TCTCAGGCCTCGCTTTCAGGATTCTCGCTTTTTTGTTTAGGCGGAAAACGTGGCATTAAATATAGAAATATTTTCATCAACTTCAAGTTATCATAAATGAAAATAGTGTTACGCTGCCATTTCCGTATTATACAAATTATTACAGAGCTGCATAAGTGTATTTATCTTGCCATCAAACGTGGGCATAATTACCGTAGTGGTTGCTTTTTAATTTGTTTTTAATCTATTTATTTTTCTTTTCAAAATTCTAAATTATTCGCGCTTGAAGATAGAAGGGTCCAAAAAATGCCCGTGAAGTCGGTTCTCGCAAAAGGTCGGGTTTTCGTGGCACAATTGAATGATAAAAGGGTTGAAGCTGATTTTTATGTGGTCTGGTCGTTGGAGAGCTTCCTCTTCGTCATCTTTGTGGTGCTCCTTATTTGACTTCCAGTAAGCTGGATTGTGCTCTTCTTCTTAGGGCTTTCCTTAAGGTACCCTGCTGGGCTCGGCAACCTGAGTAGAAAACCTGAGCGTCAAAATTTTAGCGTCATCCAACTTTGTCGAAGAATCACCCAACTTAAGGCCCCTTTTAAAATTTCTTGTCATCCAAAAAGGGGCCTTAAGTTAGGGTTTCACTGTATTTAAATTCTGGCGAAGCCGCTTTGCGGCTTCGTTTCTTAAAAAGCCGTTTTGCGGCTTTTCATCTTTGCTCTTTCAGACCCTGACTCAGGTACCCTGCGCTCGGCAACCTTCGTGGAAAACCTGAGTCAGGGTCTAAAAGATGTAACACAGGTTGCCGAGTCCAGGTTTCAGCTGTCGAGTAAACACCCTTGCTAAAATTCTTGATATGAGAAAGCCCTTGCGTAAAAGTAGAAGTGGTCTTGTTCGAGGAAGATTTCTCTTGAAAAAAACTCTTCCATCTGCAAAAATTGACGTTGCGCTGAAAACTCCAAAAGCGAGCAATATTTTTACCATTTTAAAAATTGCCCGACTAAATTTTACTCGATTCTGGCGACGCATAAATTAGATCAGTTCAATATATTTTTTTCGTTTTCGCGTCACTTGAATAATTGAGGTGGCCTAACACTGGTAATGATTTATTTAAAAGCGAGCTTTCTACGGGTTTACTATTTGGGAAACGTCATTTTCGATGCTTTCAATATTGGGACGCGATTTCAAGACGGAATTTAACCAAGTTCATTGCTGAAAAAACAGATTTATCGACGTTTTTTCAAAAAAAAATCATGAATTCCGGGCAGGTTTTCGAATCGGAAAATATGCCAGTAACTGTCACTGTATGTCGGAGCAGACATTTTATTTGGTTTCTGCCAGTTATTGTTATTTTTCTTTGCTATTTTTTTAATATTAATTGACAGCTCATTCGATCAAAAATGATTGTATACCTCTTTTTTTGGCGCTAGAAATTGCAGAAGAACAGATTACGTGTAAACTTTAAGTCCCTCGATCTTGAAATTGGTCGCTAGCCTCCAACTCCGAAGTTGGACGTGTTTCCAGATAATCGCAAATTATACCTTTCAAAAAATAACCTGTGCGGGTGCAAATGAAAATCTCGTTTTAAATCATCGCCATAGCTTCTTAATCCAATTCACAGTTCAAGCAAAATGGCCACCTTTTTCCACAAAATCAAATGATCCAAAAATTCGAGTTACAAGAGTGTATTTTTGATGGTAGAAATTTGAAAAATTATTTGGCTGAAAATATAGTTCAAAGCAAAAGAAAATCTCATCTTTCTTTGTACAGTCATTTTATGCAAGCTTTTTATATATTTTTAAAGTAACACGAGGCTTCGCAATTCTTGAGGAAGAGGAGACCACGTAGTTTACGAGAAAGGGACTTGAATAAATTGCATGACGCGGCCAAAGTGTGATAATACGCAAAGTTATAATGAGCACTGGTCGAGCTGGCCGAGCAAATAATTTCTTATTTGTATATTTCGACTTGTCACATCCTGTTCTTGCAAAAGACGTTCTAGTAGAACTACTAACTGTAGCATTTCCTACTCCTTTTTTCCATCAGCTTGCATTATTATCTATTCAGAATAGAATATTCTGTAGCTGCCGATTTTTGTCTACTTGCCGACTTTATTTAGTCTGATTGACACTAGCTATCTATCATCAGGTATTTCATTAAATTAAATATTCGGATTAAAAAAGGCTGTCTGCTAGACATTAGAATGAGCAGAGAGTCTCTGCCAGAGACACAGAAAACTTTGAACGCAAAACATTTAGTCAGAAGTAAGAAAAGTTCAACCATAATATTTTTTTAAACTGACTCAGCCCTTGAATATTCAGGCGCCGTTTAATAAAGCTGGCAATAATAGAAACGGGGCGAAAAATTTCTGCGACATTCCGTCGATCACTTCGAACGTGTCCTTCTGTGTGCCGTCACGATTTTCGTGAAGCTGGGATTTTCTAAAGCATACCAAGAAGTTTCCTCATCTTTTCGCGTCTTAAAACATTTAAGAATGCGGCAGATCAGGCAGCTTTTCTTTTGAACGAAAAATGCAAAAGAAGCTATACATTCCTGAGAAAAAAAAGTACAGGACAAGAATCGGACAAGCTCTTGAATCGTTTTCGCGGAAATAAAAACATAAATTCAGCCCGATAAAGAGAGCACCTGCGGATTGAGTCGTTCTAAATCGGAAGTATTTCCTACCCATGTTAAATCAAGTGCCGCTTTACAGAGTTATCAAGCGCGAGCGAAAATCGTAATATTGATGAACTCTCTGGGATTTAAGAGCCATTCTAAATCTGATAAGACGAGTTTGAGCAGCATCGTCACTATCGATTTTTTTTATTTTGGAATCTGGACGAAGAAAAACGATCAAAGAAGCGGATCCGAGTGTGAAAGAAGCGCTCACCGAGTGGCCCCGCGCGAGGTTTACTCAAGTTGTTATTCCTAGCGTTTGAGGAGGAGATTGGGCGAATTTAATGTTTTCCTTCCTCTTCAAGTTGGACGGGCCTGCCGCCTTTGTATCTACGTTTTTCTCGAAAGCGTGCCAATTCCGCAAACTTTCAAACACGCTCTTATCGAAATCTTCTAACCGTTAGCAGAATCGACTACGCCCGCCTCTCGGCTTGCGGTCCACTCGCTGACAAACGAAAATCACCAAACATAAATACATTACGAAAAGACACATCGTACTACTCTAACACTGTCAAAAATGAGGGATTCACTGTTTAATTTAATAACAGTCTGACAGAAAAGTGCGCCGTTGAAAAAACTTTGAAATTTATAATAAATTTTCTAGTTTGGATATATTTTATAATTTTCGAAAAATATATAAACTTTCTCTCTTTTTTTTTGCGCGGCGATGGAAAATCTGTTATTGAAAGTTTGTCGAATTTCACTTGTGGTCACTCAGAGTCACGTTTTGATTAGATTCAAGAGCGGCCCTTGCCTGATTCCTACCTACAAGCCTGGTAATATCAACTGCCTTTCCGGCTTTTCTTTTTCAGCGAGAATTCCCTTGGATTATCCCAATTTAAACCCCTACGAGATCTTAGGTCGTTTCTATCATTTATTTTTCCAACTAACTAAGCTGTGGTTAATGTTAACAGAGTTGTAATAGAAAAGTGGTTAGAGATTGTAGTTGCTTTGTAATTATTGTCATGGGTCACGGACCAAGGCCAACAACACTGTGGAATATTTCACCGAAAATACAAGCTTCTTTTGGACAGAAAAAACTCGTCGTAATTGACGCGGTAGTAGGGGGTTATCATTCGAGCTGCCCCTAACCCTAAACCTAACCCAGGGGGCTTCGCCCCCCTTGAGAGTTCCTAGTCCCTAACCCTAACCACGAGCCCAGATTCTAGAGATATTGGATTGCTCGAATCATAGGCTCGAATGATACGATCGAGGCATTTATCTTACGAAACCAAAATTAACGGAATCGCTGCAATTTTGCTTCTTTTTCTAAAGAGAAAAAATATTGATAAGGGTGTCAAGATGTTAAAACTACGAGAAAAAAAAGGGGAGAAGAGGTTCAATCCCCTAATTTTTTTTAGATCGATTGGGTCTAAAAGGATGTGTTCTGCATTTTGAAATTCAGAATTGTGAGGATTACGATTTCTCCGGAGCTGCTGAAGAAGTCCAATATGCTCCATCCGGGTTATGCATCAGAGCGATCCTTCTCTCGAAGGCGGCGAGTCGCGTTGCAGATAAGCCCGGCTCCGTCACAACTAAGTAGCGTCGGCTTTCCTCCAGGTTACCCCGCTCAACCAACGTGCCTCAGCTGAAATTTAATGGCTATAAAAGTGTTCTCACGAATGTGCTTGTTAGCAACAGGTTTCGTAAATGGGCTCTATTTGATTGCGGTTGCTCTCCACTCAGAATCTGGCAGTTACGAGCGCCCTAGCCTCAATCACCCACCCGCGGTCTTAAATTTTCACTTAAAACATTTTATGTTCCATTTTCGGCAAATTGAATCAAATACACTAATTTTTATACTACTGTCCCTTTCAGAAGATTTTGCTATTAGCAAGATAAATTCAATTAATTACTTTAATCAATAAAATTTATTTCCTTCTTTGAAGCGGCTTCCCTAGAATATAAAAAATAGATTGAAATGATAATTCGGCTAAGCCGCTTTGCGGCTTTGTTTAAAAAGTCGCTCCATTTAGTTTCCATTTAGCTCTTTAAGACCCTGACTCAGGTTTTCTACACAGGTTGCCGAGTCCAGCTTACCCGTGAATTAACAAGATTTTGATCAATTAATTAGACGTAATCAACTGAACAGTTAGTTGACGACCTTGAGGTTGTCTGACGAGTTCCTATTATTTGTAGAATTGCGTAGTTTTGAAGATTTGTTTGGAGTTTGATGATCTGCGTGGAAATTTGCAAAACCATTAGAAATCTCGGGCTCCTGGCAACAGTTGCCAAATTTAAAACAGTCAAAAAACTTTCGCAAATAGAGAGAAAAATCACAATTTGGAATCAGAAAAAAAAACAGAATATAAGAAAACAAAAGGCTTGAAAATCTTCATTTATTTCTTGCGAAAATGGGAAACTGTTGCAGCACGGAAAATAATGTTATTCAGCCAGACAATCATTCTTTAGGTTTGGGTCGATTACTTTTTTTGTCATAATTGGACAACAAGATGGAAAAATTACCAAAAAAAAAGGAAAAATCTGGGCTTGGCAACCTGTGTAGAAAACCTGAGTCAGGAATGGTAGTTTCGCGAAGGTTTGCTTGAAAATCAGACCCTGACTCAGGTTTTCTACACAGGTTCGAGAGCTCGTGGTAGAATAATGAATCGATAGATTTTTAAAATTTATGCAATCAAAATTAAAAATTTTGGCAAAATTCAAATTTTAAGCATTATCTTATTAAAGTTATTAAATTTGATATATGCTTTATTCTTGAATTGAGCAAAAGTTATGTACTACTAATTTCAATAAAATATCTGCGAAACTGGAGAACTAAAAATTCGCAAAAAGGTTGAACGTGTATAAACGAAGCATATATAATTTTCGCGTGAATCTACGGTAAGCCACGTTATGAAATGAAGAAGAGCATTGTATAAGAATAAGAGCAAGTAGGCCCGTGCAATTTGCGAGTGCGGCCAACTTGCCGAAAAGCGGCCGAAAGCCAAAAGAATGGAAACACGTGCTTTGCGACATTCCTTCGCGAAATGTGAATTCCGAATCTCGCAAAATCTGACATCGCCAAAATTTCCGAGCACTTCCTAGCCCGTGCTTTTACAAGCTCTTACTCTTCCATCCTTTTCCTCTTTTCGACCCGAAAAAACAGCGTCGTCGACGAGCTACTACGACGAACAAGAAGCCCCGATTAAGATTTTCGCCGATGAAAGTCAACGACGACCCTCAAATGCTTCTCAAATCACGCACTTTTCCGACGACATTCTTAAAAAGTAAGGTTCCTGAGAAAAAATCCCTTTCCCTGAGCTCGGACAAGGCGTCACTAAGGGAGCTCTTTACTAATATTGACAGAAGCACAAGCCACATCACATGCAGTGTGTGAGATAAAAACGAAATGCTTAGACAAAGGTTAATCCTAATTGCTTTATGAAAAGCATCTGGCGCTTCGGAGGTATTTTTTGTGATGTCTGACGATCTTTGATCTATTTCGACCCTAATTGGTATTTTCGTTCAAATAGAATTCCTGGCGCCTGGGTCAAATATGGGTAATCAACTAGAAGTAGTGTAACTCCTCCGAGAAGGTCTAATGCTGATAATTACCCTCGGCGGATTTGAATTTTTTCATTTGCGAACGGCGCTGCTGCTCGAGTGCGCACTACTAACAAGCAAAAATATTTTCTTTTTGATAACGCCCGCACCGATTTAAAAGCATTAGAGAGTCGACGCCCAAAACGTCTGTTTAGACCCGCCGTCAAGCTTCCTGAAACGGTCGACATTGTCGAGGAAGACGGAGATTCGGCAGATGGCGATTCGGCTTTTGAGGAGGAGCCTTCTGAGCTGCGAGATGCTCAGCCTTCGGTGGGGCCTATGCCTGCAGGATCGGTTTGCAAAGGGTCGATGTCCTGCTTAGCTTAGTAACTGATTTAGGGTCGATAAGGGGGCCCTTCAAGATCACCCGCATAGAAAACGCTATAGGGGCGCCCTCTTTTGATTGAGCTCTGAGATAAAATCTGGCGCATAAAACCATTGAATCATAATTTCAAAATGAAGCTCAATGCTTAAAAATATCTGTATTCATATCGACATTTATTTTATCATAAAATGAAAACGAAAGCTGTTTCTTCAATATCCTGAACTTTATGCCAGACCCTTTTCAATAAAAATGATTCTAAAGTGCTCTTTACATTGTAAATCGTTTAAAAAAGACAGAAGACATTCCACAGCTACACAGGAAGCAATTTTCATTTATCAGTCAGCTTCGAGAGCGGCGGACAGAATACACCAGGAGAATTTCAGGATGAAATCGCTCGAAAGTAAGTTTCCCTCTTCAGATAACAATGGTTTAGACATGTCATTAAAAAATAGACGCAGTGTTCTTCGTCAAATATGTACCCAAGTGAAACAGCTTTGCTGCTTGCAAATGAGCCAGTAAAGTTCGCTTTCGAAATGTTAATGGACTGCTCCATAACACGATCAGAAAGTCGCAGACAAAAAGAGTTTTTAAGCAGTTTAAAAAGGAGGATTTATTTTGTTTAGACGTACCGCGAAAGCCGAAAAGTCGAAAGTCCTGGATCGCGCTGCCCACGTCGCACAAGATCCCATCTGCCGAGGTTCTAGAGGAATCTTCCAAACACCAGGTGAGTCCTTTTAGAGGCATAATTCTACCCTAGAAAACATGTTAGAACAGATAAAGTGTCCTTTTTTTCGTGATTGTGATTGATAACGCTCACTAACAGAGACTCTGAGTCACGCTCATATTACGTTGACTGCTTATTTTGTTTGTTGGCGCTTTTTGACCCCACAACCAAGGATCATCATTTTACCACAATTGCTAACCAGCCTGGTTAACTCGGGTAAATAAATGTTACTCGAAGTTAAGAAAAGTACTGTAAATGAAGTGAGAATAAATACGTCCTCTTTTCTAGGATCTGCATCATAAAGATCTCCACATCGTAGAAAATATCATCGAAGAAGAAGATTACTACCGAAAGACAATGAACCGAGGGCGGCCGAGCATAAGCATCCAGCCACAACCGGAGTCGGCCTTTCTCGCCGAGCTGCGAAGAAAACAGAACGAGCCGCAAGTCCGCATCGCCGAGGAGAACAGCCGCGAGAGCAGTAGGAGCGGGGCCAGCTATAATAGCAAAGGCAGCTTTATTCCGGTAAGTACCGCTAAGCACCCTCCCCAATTCGCGCGAATCACGTTGCCATCTCTCGAGAACCGATCTTTTTGTCAAGTACTATTTTATAATTAGGAGAAAGAAGAGACTAAAGTTAAATTCGAAGAAGACAGTAAACCCAGTACAGAAAGTACTGATGATACTATTGAAAAGGTCCCAGTAAGTTTTACAAACAATTTCGCCCATCGAATTTGTTTGAAATCGACGCATGAACTAATCGCCAATTTCAGCCAATTTCGCGAAAATTTAGAAAAAAATTTCTAAATTTTTGAATTCAAATTTTGGAACTTCCATTTGAATATTATCTTCTCTAGAATATCGAATCAGATTTTTGACAAGCCGAAAAATTCTTTCACAAAGTTGAATTCAAATCTCAAAATTTATTTTAGGTTAGTCCTCTTCACGAAGTCGACTGAGGAAGAAAAAAAACGACCCTATCGAGAAAACTCTGACTGTATAAATTGGTGCTTTAGTGTGACTGTAAATAAATACGCGAAGATGTAGTTGTGAACTGTTGGAAGCGACTCGGCTAAAGCGAAGAAGCGAATTTCGCGTGTGTTCTTCAATTTGTAAAATTCGTGAGCGCGTGTAACCTGCGCGTACTCGTCTACCCTGATTATTTATGATAGTCGTCATTTGCTTGTAAGAAACAAGCGTTTTGGGCTCAATTAGTCTTATCAGCGGCAGTTTGGCGGATTTTGAATTCGCGTTCGTGCTGCTAATCGCGTGTTAGAACGTCTCGCACAGAGCTACCTATCGTTCAACTAAATCTAAGCCATAACATCGAAACTGGGGTCTCCCCTGCCAGAAGAGACAACCTAAAGATGCCCATCTTCCGACCTGTGTAGAAAGCCTGAGTCAGGATTTCTACACAGGTCGAGTCCAGATGCCCAGATTTGCAAATTTTCGAAAATTTTTTCTGAGCTGAGCTAGCTGAGCTGAGCTGGCTGTTTTCGAAAAACTATTGAGCTGAGCTGAGCTGAGCTGACCCAAACCTGAAAATTGCTGAGCTGAGCTGAGCTGTAGCGGATTTTGAATTCGAGCGTCATCACTTTCTGCAAAAATGATAAATACGTAATTATTCTTGTGCGAGAATGTATGAATTATTCGGGAGGCATAGTTTTTAATTTTGAAGAGGGAGCTATTTATTACTGCTACACAGATATTTGACATGCTTCAATTATGAAATTAACACACGTTGCTGTGTTCGTATCTCGCCTTGTTTGACTGGCCAAGGTTGAAACTTGAAAGGTGCTGATTGTAATTATCAATTGCAATTTCATTGTTTCATCGCTTGTCGCAATTCAACGGCCATGTCAAATTCGCAATACCAAGTGCGGTTTCTATGTAAGTCTAATTATGACGCTATTGTTTAACACTAGAACATCACCATCATCTCGTAACATCAACAACCCCCTGAAAAGACGCAATCCCTGATTCGCACTAAATTGACCCCAGAACAACGATTAAAAATCATAAGAAAATCTCGACGTTGGTTTTCATTTTTGAATCTGATTACGGTTTGTTGGAATGGCTCGGTCTGAATGACATTATCTGATGAAGGAAATTTTCATTCTCTGCTCGACGCACTTGAAATCAGTTTCTTCAACTCAAATCTGAATAAACTTAAGTTTTTCATGTCAGAATCGGACTCTCAAAATACTTTTCAAGAGAGGTATGAAGCTTGGGCAAACCAGATTCCTTGTATTCGGACAAGTGTACGTGGTGATTGGAGGGACTACGTCTGGGAATGGAATGAATCGTTGCCATGTGAGTCCTGTGAAGTGTAGGTCAACAATATTAATTCATTAAAAGTGAATTTTCGAAGTTTAACTGACATTATGTGGAAATTTGGAGAAAAATCCTGGTGTTCAGCATGTTATCTTAATTCGGACCCACATATTCGGAGAACTGGAAAGCCATACAGAGTTGATGCTATTCTCTTTTGCCAATGGTGTCAGAACAAGTTGTCTTTTTGGGAGGCGTGTGAAGGCATATGTTGCAACATAGGACTTGAACGGCAACAATCATTGCAAACCACGTTTTTTATATTCGAAGAACCAAGTCTTCGCGACCGACACATTCCATTGGAACTAAAACAACTCGATGAAATCAAAAAAGAACAAAAATTCCTTCAATACGACAATGAGCTTGCTAAGCTCAACTACGGGTTTTCACAAGAACTACTTGCGAAGCTCAAATACGAGTCCACACAAGAAAGACTTGCTCTTCACGACGAAAAGGAAAAAATGGCTCGTGAACGTTTAGGTCGAATCCTTATCAAGGCTGGAAAATCATTGATCGCCAACGGTAAGAGCAACTTCATTGTTTGTTTTTTATGAGTTTTCAGAGGACACAAAAAAGGGGTGAAGATAAGCTTACAAGATGAAGAGATGTTTCCATTAATCACCCAAAATCAAATTCCCTCTTCTCATTATTATGTTAGGAATACAAGATTAATTTTATAAAGAAGTTCTATGAGTTACGCAGGAAAATTAAGCGACTGTTATTATTTTTCAGAAAATATTCTCAAGCCAACACTAAGACAACCCTAGAAAAAAAGGTTTAGAACAGCGAAGTTCGAATAAAGGCTTAGTTGTTATTAAAAATATTAAGTATTTTTTCGTTCGTAAGAAAGCAATTTGAAATCAAATATTTGAAATAAAAAAGAAGCTAGAATTCGATCACGTGAGGAAGAGCAAAATCAAATTGGGTCGAATTCCATTCCCAGGGATTGTGCTCCACGCACATCTGCTTACAGGCGAAAGAATTCTCCGCAATTTGGCGGCAACGTGGGTTTCTTTTTTCTATGCACAAGTAAAACAGGGCTAAAATGAGCTGTTTGAATGAAATCGCACAAAAACTAGCTCGGCGTTGTCGATTTTGCATATATTTTTGAGCGCCAAATGATAAGTAGAATTTCTATGAAGACTTCTTCCAAAGACTTCAGCGCTTTGTTTCGACAATCGTGGGAGAAAAAAAATGCATTTCTAATTGCGTAATTTAAGTACAACGTGGGTGAGCCCAATACAGATGTTTTCGAGCGAGGACATGTGATATTGTAATTGATCTTTGATGACGAATGCCTCTCGTCAGGATGCAGAATTTAATGGCTTTATAATTTCCTTCTTTCCAATTTCCAGCGCTTCCCAGTTTTGCCCGCTCTCCAATTCTTCCGTAAAAGAAGGATTCAGTTCTGCGCTCAACTTCGAACTCATAAAACTCGCACTTTGCTTTCCGGAAAAGGGGAAAGAAGAGTGATAACCGCGAACACGCCTCGCACCCCTTTTTACACGCAGTGATCGTCTTCCATTCGATCTCATTAGCGCGGCTGACGATTCCCCCGCAGAGGACAAATTTTATTCTCCATTTGTTACATCCGCTCAAACAATTAAATAAGCGACCTTTCTCATTTTTCCAGCAAGGTTTTCTTTCAAAAATGCCAAATAAAATAAGGGCTGCTCATTTTAACGGGAAACTACTTTTGTTAGGGTTAGGGTTAGGGTTAGGGTTAATATTTCTTATATTACCCTAGATAGTCCCCTATTAAGGACCCCCCGTCAGCTTTTTTTGAAAAATCAAATTTCGGAATTTTTAAATTTTGACCCCGGAAATGGATTCTACGGGTCAAAATCGCATTTGAAAATTGGACTTTTCGCCGAAAATTGAAGAATTTGCACAAATTTCGATTTTTCTTGGTCAAAAATTCCTCTAATCAAGTTTTTGAAGCAAAGTTAACCTGCGGACGCATTAAGAACCAAAAGTATGGTGTTCTTCAAAATTTTCATTTTTTGAAGCTGACGAGGGGGTCCTTAACACATAAAGCTGAGGCTATTAAATCCGTTAAAATGAAGCCATCCCGGGAGTATTAAGCTATTTAAATGTGAATCTAATATATTATTATAATTATAATTCTTCTAAATTATTTTCAAATAGAATCTCTAGCGGCTAAAGTTAAATCAAATTCAAGCCTCCCAATAATTAATCAAAGTCACTAAACATTTTTGTTAGTGGGTGCACGTAACTTGCTAATTAATCTTCATCGATTCTATCTTAGAAGACAACAAAAAAAGGATGAGTAGATGATTGTAATGTCGTTCTTTTTGCTTCGAAAAGACCAGCGTTCAAAACATGCAGCTAAATTACACTCAAATAATCAAATTATTGCGCCCCAACAAACCATTGCGCTGAAAACTCGACTTTTGCGAATTGGGAATTCCACCTGCCACTAAAATTTACTGGCTTGTGGAGTTTTGACAACGCGCGCATTCCAAGTCCCCCAAACTCGCAAAAATATTCGAATCCGAAAAGATCAACGACTTCTCATCTCAGCCACCAAAATATACAAAAAGAAATTTGAAATTACTTAACGGGCGAAAATTGAATATTGCCAAAAGTAAAAGTGTTTATTCGTCGATGTCAATTTTTGGCAATTTCTGAGTAAATCCAAGGCATGTGGTCGAAAGTCTCCCATGAGCTGAAAATGGCCGTTTGGGCTATTCGGAGATCCTATAATCGGAAGTTCTTGAACTGAGGAGGAAGCCGCAGAAATAGCGAAAATTGAAATTCAAGTTTCTTCAAATTCTGAATTAGCCAAAGCCAAGAAAATCTGCCTCCATCGTGAAGATACAGTATTTGTCACAGTTGAAGTTATGGACGATCGAAAATGAAATTGAAGCGGAAGAAAGGCCAATCCGCAGGGTCGACGGATCTGGCTGCTTTCATAAAAGACGTTTTAAAAAGCCACTAAGTTGTTCTTGCGTGAACCCTTCGGCCGCGGAGCCGATTTAATCGTATTTCACGAGAATGCCGAACTCTGCCTTTCTAATAACAGCACAATTGGTCGAAATCGACACATAGTTAATCCGGCTCAGCTGGTTAGTTTTAGGCTCAATTCTGGCCGAGAATGTATAAGGCAAAAAATCAAAAAAAAACATTTCTCTTTGGCCAAAAATCATGTATTTTTCTAAATCTCAAAAGCTCGTTTCGCGGCTTGAGCGCCTTAAACTCCTGACTAATGAAGATTTACATCCGACTTTCTAAATCTTCGTTTTTAGAAGTACACGATAGAGTATCTTAGATAGTGCAAGAAAGAAAAGGTAGGTCACTTTTACAAGCTTCACTTTTATAAGCTGATTCTGTCGGAAAAATGAAGAGCTGAGCTCGGCAACCTGTGTAGAAAACCTGAGTCAGGCTTTGAAGAGCTAAAATGAAAAGCCGCGTTGCGGCTTTTTTTAAAACGAAGCCGCGAAGCGGCTTCGCCAATATTTTCAAGTACATAAGAGTGATTGTGTTGCGAAGCCGCTTCGCGGCTTCGTTTTCAAAAAAGCCGCTACGCGGCTTTTCATTTTAGCTCTTCAAAGCCCGACTCAGGTTTTCTACACAGGTTGCCGAGCACAGATGGAGAGAAGCGAAAATTTTCACAAGAAATAAAAGAAATTCTTGAGGAAATCGTAACTCTCAAAATGAATCATGAACTCTGCCAGCTGGTTCGAATAGTAAAAGACGCCACCATTTATAATTGACACATATAAATGACAGTTTCGAAAGCTACAGACCAGAAAAATAAAGTTGAAATCAAGAAAAAGCAAAAGAAAATGTGGAAAAGCTGCCAAGGAGCGCCTTTCCAGACCAAGTTCGGGCAATGCATTATTGAGTGCGCTGGCGTTGGGAGAACAGTTGCGGACACTTTTGGCGTTAACCGAATACTAAAAATTCGCCCGATCGGGTGCAGAACACCGAGCTACCATTTCAAAGATACTGGTGAGCTTGAAGCCGCTTTCTTGGAACATGGGACGTTGTCGACTGCCCAGGCGGATGCGGTTCTCATTGCACGAGAGAAAAATGATCTCAACAATTTGGGAAAATTGACGATGAAACTCTACAAAGAAGAACAGCAGCGAAAAAGAGAAGCGCCAACAGTAATCAAGCTCAGCGCCAAGCCAAAGAAGCCCCTCACCGACGAGGAGCTCATTCAACATTTCGGAGAACCGGGAAAACTGCAGCTAAAGCGCCGAAAACGAAAGGAGCCAAGAAAGCCGCCAAGAAAAAGCCCAACCAAGGAAAAGCTCCAAATGCGATTCGAAAAACACAGAAACCGGCTCGACTCTGATTGATCTCTCACTTGACAACCTAGCTGTCAATCTGCTCTTTCACTGTGCCTCTCCAAACTTTCGGCAACCTGTGTAGAACTCCTGAGTCAGGGTTTTGAAGAGCTTCACAAATTGCTGTTACCATTTATTTTTCAATACTACCTAAGCCGTTTTGACTGACTGAGAATTTCTACACAGGAAAAAATATATTCGAATAATGAATTGAAGGGGCAAGTTCAAATTTCCCAAAATATCGACGGAAAAACAGCGAATAATTTAGTCGACTCAGCAGCGCTCGCGCGCTCTCCGCGGCTTCATGAAATCTCAAAAATACACCGCGAGCGCCCTCCGCGCCTATGCCGAGAAGTACTTGAATTTTTCCTCTCGTCAAGTTTAGACAAAAATTTCAACCCTTTTTTACGTTTTCAGTGAGAGAATATCTATTTCCGAAGATTGACGATGAAAGTGTCTGCGGTTCTTGCTTCTTGCGTTGCTGGTATGAAAGAGATTCACAAAGAGAAAGAATAGCTGAAGACGGAACACTTGAAAATGCTTCTTTATTGGATAGATTAGAGTTTTTTTTTCCGTTCACGAATTTTGGAAAGTAATTATTGTTGTTTTTGTTTTTTGATAAAACTTGAAAGAGAGCGAAAATACGACGGCACTGAAAATGTCACGAATGTCACGAATATCACGAAATTGACCACTTTTTTCATGACACCGTCAGTAAGAGGGGCCGAAAAATTGAGTTGGGCCCGTCAACACAATGAGTTATCTACCAGATAATGCACGAAGAAGGACCCTTATAAAAACAGATTCGTGACATTTTTAGCCAACTCGTGACATTCGTGACATTCGTGACATTTTCAGTACCTGCCGAAAAGATGCTTCAGAAGATTGTTTTCGTCATTCACAAAAACTCGTAAAAATCTTGCTGTTCAGGAGTCTTTCTCTGAGCCAGAATATTAATGTTATTATGACTTTTTCCGTAAAAATTAAAGCGATACAGTTTCATGAAGCTGTATTGTCATTAAATTGCGCTCAATTTTATCGATAGCCCAATATTTCCTACACTAAGAATTCTGAAAATAAGTCAAGTCAAAAAAAAAATGTATAACAAAATTTCGATTTTGGAGAAGATCAATTTTAGTCAGCAATGCTTATTTAGCCACTTATTAACCTAGTTTTTACTCTACCCTCGAAATCGGAGAATGAGTTTTTTGGCATCTTCTTCGTTATTCAAAAGCTATTTTATTCGCGATCTCGAGACAATTGCCCGCCATGAAAATCCAAGCTCGGAACGTGGCACCAAAACTAGAGTCATGCAAAGTAAAAGTGCTTTATTCAAGAATTTCTTCAAAGTTGACACCTAGCGAGCTTGATCTCCGTTCCATAAAATTACGATTATTTTTGAAATTTAAATTCGATCTGATCGATTTTTTATGCGATTATGAATTCTCCTTACTCGCGAAAAAACGACGTGAAGTTAGATACTACCCTTATGTTTCTTAATGATCATTCTCAATTATTTTTTAATCGCTAAAAAACAGAAAAAATCTATCAGAAAAAACAGAAAAAAAATTTTTTAATAATTTAAAAAAAAATATTATTAAAAATTTTTTGTTCATTTTTTCGATAGGCAATTATTATGTTTGTTATTATTCAATAAAGATACTGGGGAGAAGCATTTTCAAGTAGTGCTCAGCAGGCGCTGTTGCTAGAATAGTTCCTCGATCGCCATTTTCCCACCATGAGAAATAAAAAATTAAGCGGCGCATTCCCTTTTTTCGATGCTCATTCCTTTTTTTTAGTTTTTTTATTGTTTATGAAATATTTCATCAAATACTACTGGTAGTTGATTAGATCATCAAAAAATATAACTGGATTGTCAACTGACATTTTGGTCTGAAATCAAAATCCGCCAAAATTATATTTTTTTCTGGTCGCGAAAGTGGCGAGCTAAGGAGCTGTCCTAGCAAAAGCGCCATCCATGGTCAAACTGAACTTTTCAGGTAAGAGCCTAAACTGGGCCACTCAGATGGTTCAGATGGTGTTGATGGTGCTTGTAATTTTAATAATTTGCCATATTTTGTGAGCCACACAAGAATAAAACCCACAATTACGGGTTGTTTTTTTGAATTAGAATCGCGCCTTCTCAATAACACTTAGCTCGCACTGATGAGAGGTGCTGTAATATCATAATTTGACATTTTCTTAGGCGAAGGTTATCTTTGTCGGATTATGTCTGATCGGGTGTAAACGTGAGCTATCTGCCATCTTTTAACCATAACGAGGATCATGGTCCTTTCATATTAGCAAAAATACTTTTGAAGAAACTGAACATAAGTTAGAAATTAGCATTAGCGCACCTACTCTGCTTCTTGGTCTAAAATTGCCGCAAAACTCTTGTGCACTTTTTAGTGCAAAAAATTTCCCTTATATCTCGCGAAAAAAGTAAAGGTTGTAAAAATATGATTGTTGAACTTAATTGTCGGAAATATGGGATAAATTAAGAGTGGATTTATAGAAAAGGATCGGGGCTAAAAATTGAAATGGGTGAAGATGTTCTATTCAGGAGGCTTTCAATTGGGCACTGACTACAACTTCGAGTGCCAGGAAAATGGAATTCTCGTCACATCCGAAGACTCTTCGTTTGTCTTGACTGATCGCGCAAAGAACATCGAGACGGAATGCAAAGGAATGGTTAATTTTGAAGCTTGCCACTTACAGTTTCTTAATTTTTTATTAATAATTCTTGTCGGGATACTTTAATTGCTAACTTTTGCTTTTTTTAAAAATTAAAATTATTATTTGAGATCTATGGATTTAAAGATTTTTGGTAGAAATAAAATTGAAGCCTTATTTTTTCATAACCTTTTGGAGCAACTTCGCATTGGAACAATTCTGGGGGTTCGATCTACTTGCCGCAATGCATCCAAATAAAAGAAGACACGCGTAACTGGTAATGATCCTTTTTTCTTTTGATTGTACTCCTTCTGGTTCACGGGAAATAATTTTGGTTGGGTCATTTTCTTGTTAACTTCGCTTGAAGGCTAATTGGATTTGTGGAAGCTAGAAACTGAGCAGAAACGATACTAAAAAGGGGTTGGCAAAGTATGCCAAATATGGACGGTATGATTACTAGCAACAAATTAAGTTTAGAACGCGGCCCGCGTCTTGCGTTTGTTTCCCGAAATCGTAAATTGAACCAGCTTTTGCTTTCACAAAATAATTTGCATAACCCCTGCCGGATAGGCGAGATCATTTATTGAGCAAATAGGAGCTAACTTTTTTCGAAAACATAGCTTTTATGTCTAAAAATAAAGCTGACACTACTGTTGATCCACGTCAGCCCTGTATAATAGCCCATATATAGACCATATTTGACTAGGATTGTACTACCTTCTTTGCAAGCAAATCACAAAGAATCTCTGTCAAAGATTATCGATTTTGGGTTTCGAAGAACTCTCCTTTTTCTGGGATTTATCTTCAATCTTGTGCTGCAAATTTCGATGTCTAGTCGAGGATTTAGGGGGATGTCTCAATTAAAAATATATTTTTGGGTATTAACATTCTGGGCTCGGCAACCTGAGTAGAAAACCTGAGTCAGGGTATAAAAGATTAGAAATGAAAAGCCGCGTAGCGGCTTTTTCAAAAGCAAAGCCGCGAAGCGGCTTCGCAATATTATTCTTCAATCATATTTTTAACTTCTGGCGAAGCCGCTTCGCGGCTTTGTTTTTAAAAGAGCCGCTACGCGGCTTTTCATTCGTAATCCTATAAACCCTGACTCAGGTTTTTTACTCAGGTTGCCGAGCCCAGCATTCTGGGTCCCCGAACCTGAGGGCTATTTAAATGCGTAGTATACCCTTATCCATCTGTTGCAAAGTCAAAACCCAACTGTTCAGGAACGGGCTGATCATCACGCGGAAAGAAGGACCTCGCAAGTGGAAGTCGCAGACAATCTTCGTCGAATGCGTGACAGGAAAATCTGAGCATGACCCTAAACTTTAGTGCTACTAGAGTAACTATAGCAAGTGCTATAATCTCCGCGGTATATTCATTTGTAGATAATGTATATTTGTGTCTCTATTCCTTTTTTCGTGTTTGTCAAGCTCACAACAAGCAGTCCTTTTGCGCCAAAGTTATAAAAATCAAGACCCTTAATTTAAAAATTGTAACCAGGAAGTATTAACCTACGATATGTGCCAACGCCGCGATGCCACGCGCTTGGCAGATTGATTTATTTAAGAGGCTGCCGAAACTGATGAAACTCACCATCCTCGCCTCCAAGTTCAATCAAAATTTGCAAAAAAAAAACAACATAAAAAGAAGAAAATGGATCGCTTCGATTCCAAAATACGAGAAAACCTTGTAAAGAATAAAACAGCTTGATCCACTGTCAATTTTCGAATAAACTTGACTTTTGATTTTTCCTGCAAAAAAAAGATAACGAGTGTGTATTTCATTCTTATTAGAAAGTCCTCGAATTCGCGGGAAGAAGATAATCACTCACGCTGGCAGTGTAATGGATTCTAGATCTGCTCTCCGGCGTCCGAGCCTGGCGGAGACTCGTCATTTTCGAATGAGGGAGTGTCGCCGACGCTTTTTTAATGTTGATTTTCACGGAAGTCCTTCTTTGATGAGATTGACTTCAACACTTTCCTGAAATCTACTTCGATCTCTTCCTGTTCGGCATCGTCCCCGTGTGCGTCTTAAAAGTCGTTGCTTTGCAATAGTAAAAAAAAAATTGAAAAATCACCAATTGCATCCAAATCGAAAGAATCACTTCCTCCGCCGCCATTGCTAGATTCCTCGTAAGCTAAATCGTCCCCAGCAGCGATTTCAAAGTCGCCATCTATTCCTAAAAAGACGAAGTTAATTCCGAGACAAATTTCAAGTAGTTAAACCTTCAAGAAGCATGAGACTTCGTTGACTAGAATCTTCAATCGAACAGGAAGTAAATAAATCCTCAGGACAGCTTTTCCGCTTTAACCAGTATTATTCCAAGAAAAAGCAAATGTAAGAGAAAGATAAGACTGTTTCTTGAAAGCTCATCCAACGTGTTTGGCTCTAGTCGTTGACTGTTCATCGCAGAGGTGTTTTTCAAGCCTTGGCTTCGCGAGGTCCACAGCAGTGCCATCGACATCTTTCGGGCGCGATGATAGGCCGTGTTCAACGAAGGCGAAAATTTCAGCGCTAGTAAATGGCCCAACAGCCTAAGCTCGAATTTAAACGCTGGCTGATTCCGCGGGGCCGATGCGGCTTACTGCCGGGGTCAACCCCTAAAGACGACCTTCTCCCTCGAAGAACGGGGCACTTATACAACTTAGATGCTGCTCTTATACAACAGACCGTTTATTTAGCTCGGCCCCTGCCCAAAGACCTCGGAATGTTTTTCTCTTGCGTTTCTCGTTCATCAAAGTAGTTTTTTTTTTGAGAAAATGATTACCGCCGTAGCGATTAAAAACGATTACTACTTTACTTTACCCGCTGTTGATTTTCTTAACTTCGATTATTTTGAACCCTTATCTGATTAAAACCAAAGCTGCTTTTCATCAATCTGGACAAGACTAGGAGACAAAGAAGACATAATTATGGAGTAACGGTTGTTCAACAGCCCCAAAAATTTTGAAAATTCAGAATCTAAGCTTTAAAAAGTGGATCGTTCTGATCGGAGAATGTTTCATTCTTCATCTTTCGTTGATAGTCTTTCGCTGATTCATCAGACGCCGCAAAAAAGAAAATCACAGCTTGTGGATTTTTAATTTTCAATCTTTGCGTAGTTGGTTTGAGAGAAAATGGAAGCAAACAATTATGCTTACGAGTGTGATGTCACTTCTAGCGGAATGTATGGACACTGCGACTATTGTCACCGGTAAGTCTTCCACAGGAAGTTTAACTTGATATAATTGCCCAAGTTATCCTCCTTCGACTACGGAAGTCAGCGGCGCTAGACTCTGTTGGAACTGCTTTCATGAGAAGTACCCAGGAGTTCAAGCAGAATTCCAAGTCTCCGATGCCACTTTCAAATGCCTGGGCGAATACTGCGAGGAAGAAAGCCTCTCTTATCGTCAGTATATTGCTGGATCTTGCTGTTCGGTCGCCTTGAATTTTACAGTTTGTATGTTTATTCTTTTGGTGTATTATTATTATTATTCAATATGATAAAATTCAACTAAATTTGCCTAAATGAGATAAATTGACTGAGCTCTCTTTAGGCAATGTGTCCGACACAGCTTTCTTTGAAATCACGAAATTGTATAAAGAATCAAGGAGAGAGCAAGAGTCCGCTGAGAAAGAGTCGATGGCAGCTGAAGAAGAGCTCGAAGACGCGGAAAATGAGGTTGAAAAAATAAGAAAGTCCCTCATAAAGGCAAAGGCAACGGTCAAATTTGCGAAACGAAAAGCTAACGCTGCTGAAAAGAATCTCAAAGAAAGACGAAATTGGAGTGAGACGGTTAGAAAACGTGCTCTTGTCGTTGCGAATGATGCTCTAGGATATGGTGAGTATTCTTTCTTAATAAATGTGCAACAGTAGTGACTACTTTGATTCTTGTGAGTAGAATGAGGTTTATTTCTAAGGTACAGTGGTTTATAAGAGTGTTTGCAGTTACAGAGTAAACATGGACTTGCGCCCTTTGACCATGGCGTGATTCTGAATATCGCTGTAGTTGACTACGGGAACTTTCCGTAGTTCTTTTCTGACCTGCACAACCAGCCCCCCCTAAGAAAGAAACACCTTATAACCCTGACCTCATTTTCCCTCTTATTTACCTTTCTATCCTATTATCCGATTATCTATCCTATTTTTCGTTAATTCTATCCTAAAAATCCCTTGTATTCCTCCCCCCTTTTGAAAACTGATTCCCTAATCATACTTAACCTCAAGGTAAAAATCACCATCCACTAGTGTCCAACGAAGGTTGTATTCTGGCCTATATGGCAGATCGTATGTGCTTATTGCCGCCATCGGGTATTTGCCTGATCCCAGTCCATCCACCTCTTTCAAAACCCCAATCACTGTATGGTCATTCAAAAAATGATGGTGAAAGATAAGTGACGACGTACACAAGTACATCTGTTTTAACTTTCTCACGTCTGTCGAAGTTGATCGTATGGTGATTCGCCAGGCGTTATTTTCAAAGAAGTAAACTTGCGCAAAGTCCTCATTTAGCTCGATTAGCTTATGGATCTTCCGTCTGTCTCCATTCAGTGGGTGATATGGGTTATATAATGAGTTGAATAATTCGTAGGCGTATTCTTTCAATGTGGCGCCTTCCCTCACTCGCATTGTTTTTATTTCAAGAAGGTCGTCGTCCTTTCTGTCAGTCCGAAGATCGTGATCTTGGTCTGCGAATTTGACCGTCCGCTGCAGTTGGTTATTTTCTCCCCTTTTTGTTGCAGTTGTTGTTCCAGCCGTTTCTGTTTCCATTTCTGACTCATTTCCTGCCGCAGTCGTTTTTACAACTCCAGTTGAATAATTGTCAATCGTGCCTGTATCCGGTGTGCCAGCAACCTCTGGTTCGGCATCCTCTCCCCCGCCTATTTCCGATCCTACGTCGACGTCGATGACCAGTGATCCATTTTCGACTTCCTCCAAAAAAGTTCGACCTCATTGTTTTCAAGCAGGGCTATTGAGCGATCCAGGTCAGTAGGGACTTGGTCGATTTCCATTTTCCTAAAACTTATTTTTAACTCATCCTTTGAGCTTTTTTTTAATTCTAGATTTCCTTATTTTTGGACCAGTTCCCTTTAGAACTGTCTTTCTGTTTGCTCAGTTTCCACTTTCCCTGTTGATGCAAACAATTGCAGCCAGCCACCGCCGGGCTTAACTGATTTTCTTTTTACCTACTAAAAGAGAAATTTTTTAACCTATGACCAGAAGTATTTAAGACCGACTAATTTATGCTTTTTCCTACAAACTCTCTTCGTTTTCTAATCTAAAACAGTTGCAGATAAGTTCCGTTCCCCAGTAGCACGGAAATACTGGCTTAAATTTGTTTTTCGCTTTAATGTCTGTAAGTATCTGAAACGCGAGTATGTCGAAAAAAAATGCGTCTCTCGTCTCCAGTTTTGGTTTATGGTCAAATTTATACAACTTTAAGAGTTCCTCCAGGTTTTTACCTAAATTCTCCGTATTACCTACTTCTTGGGTTGCCTCAGTATTAGGGGGATCCGGGAATAAATATGAAGGGGGACTAGTCACTACTGTGGGAATATTAACATATGTACATTCCGATTCAGAGGAAAAACTCATTGTTATTATTTAAGTGGCAGATAAACCGAACGGCGTCCTTGGTTATTTCGAGTAAACTCCGACGTATCAGTAAGTTGTTCCTCTTCCGATCTGAACGTCACAATCGGCTCCCGCTGTTTTTTCTGAAAAAGCTTTCTTATGCTTTTAAAGCAGTTTCCACAGCCTACAAAACAGCCTTTTATGAATTGAAAACCCCTCCGTGTTGCTACAAAGCAACATTTAATCCTCAAATAACAACAATATAGTCCTAAAAGAACTACAGTAACACTCACAGTAATTACAGTGTTAATGACCCACTGTGGAGCTATTTTAGATGCCATTGATATTCTCGGAAATTTATCTTCAAGTTTTTCCTTAGATCTTTCAACTAGTGATTTTCTTAAATCACCAAAATCTAGTGAACCTATTATCTCCGTATCCTCGAAATCTTCTTTTTCTGACAAAAATTTATTAAGTGACGATGTTTTTATTCCTGCCGTTATATCATAAAGTTTTACCTCCATCGTATAAGAATTATTTTTAGGGTTAGAAATTTTTCCTCCTACTCGAAATTCCGTTGTCGAACAACGAATCGTCTCCAGGTTCTCGCTTATCTCTAGCGCAGACACTCCTAATTTATCTCCGCTTTCTCTAACATCTAACTGTATATCCGTTTTTACCCCTGCCTTATCAATTGTCTGAAAATCACTAAAATGTGAAATCATCACAGTGTTTGACATCAAATCTCTCAAAAATAGGCAATCGGCTGGCAAAAGTAGCACATCGCTACTGCAGCTTGTCACTGCTTTGCCTGACAGTATTCCCCTAGAACACGGGTCCAGATAACTCTTTGTGATAAGAGATGAGTCGCAAAACCTTACAGCCCCGATCTCCTCGCACGCGTCAAGGTTATAGACACGTTTCGATTTTTTGTCCCTGCCTATGATTTTCGGGGTAGACAACCTTAAATACGCGAATTCTTCCTTTTTCTTTCCAGCCGGAAGTGGTATATGATGGACCCGAAAGGTTTCATCGATTTTGGTTAACGTTGGTACGAAATAACCAATCACGAATTTAATTCCTAACTGTTTTTTGTGTAATGTTACCTCAGACTGGACCAGGTCATAATGACCTTTACTGTAAAAATGATCACAGCCTTCCGTCGTCCCTTTGTTTAAATTTTTACAAACTCCACTAATGGTCCTGAAAACAATATGATTCGGATTTCGATTCAATACCGAAATTTCGAAGTCATGTATCGCGTTCAAGTAGCTGTTAAAATTTTCCATGACAAAATGTCTGAAGCTTGATTGTTCCAAATTAAGTTCAGAATTGCACCTCTGAAGGAGGTTGGTTTTGATAAGGTTCCTATTTTTGTTAACCTGAATGCCAACTTTCTCGAGTCCTTTTCCTAAGTTAGCCATCTCTATCTCATCCTCATTTATTCTATGAGTTACTTCCCCAAACTTTTTGTTCTCATTATATGAGTCGTAAAGGGACTTTAAAAAGTTGAGAGAACTCAAAATTATCGCTACCTCTCCCGTATCACGCCTTTCCCTATTCGCGTGTCTGCTCCTTGCATTCGGATCTATGGTAATCATATAGACCTCAGTTAATACAGTATCTTTGCAACTTCCCTCAAGGTGGTGTCCCCATATCGTCACATCATCCGAATCTAACACATATTCGAACAAAAGGTCAATCCTATGAAGATTTCTTCCCTTATCCCAGAATTCAGTTTTCACGTGATCCTCCAGATTGTAGTTAAAAAATTCAAATTGTAAATTATCCTCCAAAATCCTTGTACTTTCAACCTGATATTTAGCGTTTATCAAAATCGAGATTTTTGACTGTTGCTCAAATCTTTTTCTTAGTTGCAACACTACTCTAGCTGGAAAAATCTCCGAAAAAAGACTTATTTTAACCCTGTTGTCTTTCTTATCGTTCGAAAAATACGAGCACTGAGTAACGAAGTTAAAACCTGTACTAGTTTTCCTATCAAAAACAGTTTTCTCCAGCTTTGTATTTGGCCACTCCGAAGGCTTGTCATACAATTTTAGGCTTACTCCACTCGTTGATACCTCACTTGTTATAAACTTGGGACTAAACTCCTTCTCCCATACCTTCAAGAGTAATATTCCTGAATCTGTCTTATCTAGTCTTGACTGCTGAAACGGTGTGAATTCACTCGGAAGTGCCCAAAACGAACTTAGTAGTTCATTTGTCAAGATCGTACTTTCCTCAGTATGGTTACCTCTTATAAGACCTAGACAATCCCTAGAGAGCAGATTCTCTTTCGTTAGTACTGTTGGAAACAGTTCAAAACTCAAAAATTGTCCTTCCTGTGCTTCTACAAAGTAGGAGGGCATTTCCTCAGTAAGAAGGATACCCGAGTCATTTAATTTTTGTTCCAAAGCGTAAGCAATAGGCGAGCAACTAAGCAGAGCGTAGAGTAGCGCCCAAAAGCGTCTACTCATTTTCTTCTTCTCAAGTTATATCCTGAACATTGATTTTTAGTATCCGATGATCCTGGAAATTCTAGTTTGAGTTTCAAATCATAATCAAGTGGGCTAAAAACATAGTTATCCATTTTTAGAGAATCTAATACTATATTTTCTCACTTCAGTCACCACTTGCAACAGTAGTGACTACTTTGATTCTTGTGAGTAGAATGAGGTTTATTTCTAAGGTACAGTGGTTTATAAGAGTGTTTGCAGTTACAGAGTAAACATGGACTTGCGCCCTTTGACCATGGCGTGATTCTGAATATCGCTGTAGTTGACTACGGGAACTTTCCGTAGTTCTTTTCTGACCTGCACAAAATGGATTTTGACTGAAAATATCTTTCAGATGTTTCTTCTCATGACGCCTGCGAGATAAAGAAAGAAGAAGAAGAGACCGAGATGCACGAATGCAGACTGTGCTATAATCCTTACGGCGATGAGCGACCTGAAGCCGTCGTTATTCCATGCGGATACAAAGCCTGCTTCAACTGCCTATCGACTCTCCCGCGGAAAGTATGCCCTCACTGCCGAGCAGAGTTCACTGACGACAAACTTCTCAAGCTCCACTGATTTTCTCATTCTTTCTGACAGCACAACTATCGAAATTTTCACAAGTCTCCGATCTTCTGTCATCGAACACAACTAATAAAAATATCAAAATTAAGAATAGAGACTCATTTATTGCAAAATATATTTATAAAGTAGAATAAATCATTCTTGGGGAAGGGATCCCATTAAAATAGCCAGCAAAAAAGTTCAAAACGCAGTGGTCAGTGAAAGAATGAGCTTGCGTCTTGGCAAAGGATGTTATGCAAATGTAAATGAGGGTACAGGTGTTTATGAGGCGCCCGTTGACGCGTCTAATGACATCGATTGACAGTGTAGATTGCGGTTTTCGTTATTGATTTCACTCTTCACCGTCCACAGTCACCGACAGTTCCCGCACTACTTTCATTTTCACTTTTTTTATCCTCATTAAACTTGCCCAGTCAGAATTGACGTACTCCCTATTTTTGCTATGGTTTTTCTTGTTGTAGTTGTACAGAGAGTAAGTATCGTCCCAGCAGCTCGCCAACGAGTATTTATGTATTTACTAATTACAGTATGAAGATCAGTTGCCTTCACTTTCACTTTTGATGCAGATTTAAATTAACTGGATAAAACACAAAACTCTGACCGGGATTTATTGATTGCTGAGTCAATGCAGTCTGCATAATCGTTTGGTTATAGCAATGAATAGCTAAGTGAATAATTAAGGCGCACATTCCCCGAGAGATAAACAACTTCGAAGATGATGATGAGCATTTCTCTGAGATGGAGCCTCTTCAAGATACGAGCTCCTGTCGAACTTCGAAAGAATCGGAGGTAAAAAGGACTTATCCCTAGTTGTAGACACGAAAAGATTCTTTGTTGGATTAGCTCCTAATACTCGGACTAGTCTGAAAGAAATTATAGGCTTTTACTTAGAGTTTTAGGATCTAAGCCAGTAATCCAAACGATCTACGGATTAACCGAGCTTTCTCTTCAAAAATTCTAAATGCTTTTAGTGGCATTGCCCTGAATACAACGAAGACAAGTTGCAATGTGTCAAACCTCTTCCAGAAAAGCGCTATCGAATCGTGCTAACTGTAGACAAGCAACGAAAGACGACAGTTTTTGCGTCAGGGCCAAATCCAAGTTGGAACCAGGACTTTACTTTTGAACTCCCTGGACACAAGTTTGGACAGCTCATGGATTGCTCGAACAGATCAGGAAGAGTTCGATTGATTTCTTCGACATGGCGTCAGGAATAATTTTTGAGCTCTTGGAAGTCGAGGTAAAACTGGTGGAAAACTATCACTACGTAAATCGCGAAATCGGAAGCTGCCAAATCAAACTTGAAAACATTCCATATCAAAGGCTCGGCTAAAATAAGAATGAATAGAGTCCGACTCGATGGTCAGCTAATTAGCCGTAATAAGTCCTTGCCATGCCACATCTAACTGGTTTCGTCTATTCTCCTCGATTGATGCTCAAGTTCAGGACAGAGGCTTTTCAATACAAATTCTTCAAAAATCGCTGCCAATAATTTCTATTGAAAGCCTCAATAAGTTACAAATTCGATACGACTTGATGTTTGAGCTTGATCTGAACCCCTCCGAGTTGCATCAGCTCGAAATCAAGCTGAATACATGGCGCGAGGGATCTAAATAGACGCTTATTGAAACGCTTCGGCGACATAAATATAGAACCCTCTTGCTAGACAGATCATCTGATCCCAAAGCGCATTGAGTATTCTCAGCAAGGAAACTGGAGAATATATGTCCGATAAAATATCGCAAAAGAATGACATTAATGATCCATTGAAGTATCCATTTAGCGCGCCCAGATGCGTATAAAATACATATTAAAATTGATGGCTCGTGTACTGCTTTAAGAATTTCCAATTAGATACGCACAAAAAAAAACGAGAGAAAGCGGGGAAAAAAGGATGAATAAACCAAGAATGAGGCGCCCTCGTTCATTCATAGTTGACTGCAGTCCACTGTCTTTTTAAGGCATTACAGTCAGAATTAATTTTCTTGTCTTGTCCAATTACTAATAGAAAATATCGAAATCTATATATTCACCAAAGGGAAAATTGAGAGTAACGAGATGCCTGGCCATGGCGGCGAATATGGACGAAGAAACGACAGCCAGCTCCTCTGTAAGTACAAGCAGAACGTAGAAATAATGTATCAGTCAACACTCGCACTCGAGCTTCTCGGCCAAGGGCACATCTTTAGAGCATCTGCATTATTAGATCTATTCGATTGGCGAAAAAATCGGATATTTTTCTGATCCGAGCTTTACCAGCTTTTGAGATGGGGGAAATCCAAGAGAGAGTCCGCATGGAGGCAGGATGTAGACTTGCTGCAAATAAATTGGACGCCGTCTGAACTTAATATTTCACTAGTAGGTTCTATAAAATCTATAGGGCATTTTTCTCAGAAGGGGAGAGATAGTTAGGTGTCTGTAGATCGATAACGGAATGTAGATACTGACATGAATTGATAATGAAGACGGATGGCGTTGTCGATAGAGCTGTTACGCCCAAGCAGGAGCCGCTGAAGATGACTCGCAGAACGTACAATACGTGCCCTAATTTGGCCTTAGCCAAGACCCCCTATATACGCAAATGGCAGTAATTGAGCTTTACTTTTTCAATGACCATAGAAATGGTTTTTTTTGCTGAGGACTACCTCCAGGTATTGTTTTATCAGAGAATTATTCAACTCGCGACGCAGTGGCAGGCGGATTAGGAGCGAGAGAAATCATAGAAGAGAATCGCAAGAGAGAGAGAAAATATGGCTTTTTCAGATAATGGGCAGTGTTGTGGATTCCCTGCTGCGGCGCTCCACGGTGAAGATGGACACTTGTAATTCTTCTCAAGTGGTGAATCCGAACCGCTTCGTCCGCTCAAGTCCTGGAAGAGCTCGACAAAACGGTATGTTACTTCCGTTACGTTTATTGACGAATTTTATGCTTTTGCGGATGTGTTGCTATAGGGAAATTCTGTTTTGTAAAGATTCTTTTCGAGCAATTATAAATTGTCAGAAATGATTTTTTAATGGAGCCTTGATTTTGATTCTGGCGGAACACATATACGCGTTCTTGACAGGGACGAAGCGACAGTAAGACAAAAATGTATCCGACGTCGTTTATGAATAATTCCACCTGATTATAATCTGATATTAATATGCTATACACTGCCGTACTCTTCATCCTCAGCAGCAATCTCTTTTTTAAAAAGATGGACAAAACTATAATTACTGAAAATGAGAAAACGCCCAACAGTAGAAAGTCGGAGAGCTGCTGCAGATTTTCATGCGTCAAACTCAGGGAGCGTTTTGTAGTGAATGATAACATGATGTCGACTTCGACTTGGACGGAAGGAGAGTCAGGAATTGGATCAGAACTGCTCAGGTCAACAATTCCACCTGAAAACGCCACATCAAGTAAGTTAATATATTACTCAAAATTATTATCAGACGCTCTCTTCTACTTAAAATGAGTCATAATAGGAAGTTGTATAAAGACTTCTCCGATAAAAGAGCGCGATTTCGCCTTACTCACGAGAAAAGCACCTTATGATTTTACGACTTGAAATCATAGTGAAACATTGTTTCTAGTGAATCGAAGCCAGCTTGTATCAATATCCGACGAGGTGGTGGAGGGTTCACGCCAGACTCCGAGAAACCGCTGGGCGCAGTGTAGAGAAATGAGCCTCAATAAAAGCAAACAACGCATATCTACTGCTCAGGTACTTATTCATTCATTTCAAAAGACTTTGTTCAAGGTGTCTTTTAGAAAGATCTTGATGGAATCCTCAACATTGAAACCGAACAAAGAAATGCCTTGGCCGCCGTTAGTCGTATTCTTAATCAATATTCATCACACAGGTTAGCTGTCATAATGCATACAGTATCTATTTTTTAATTAAATTCGAAAGGATAAGTTCAAATGCCTCGTGGTAGAATATAAATAAGCTGACAAACAGACAGCTCTCGAATAAGGCTTGTTCAGAGCATCTGCATGCGCTGACGCCCGACATCACCCGCGACGGAGCCGCAACACCGATGCTGTGAATATGTCTGTTTACCGCAATACAGCCTCAGGTTTTTTCTCCTGTCGATTATGGGATGCACTCTAACACGATCTAATATAGCTCTCCTCTACCCACATAGAAGTCACAATCTTGTTCTATGGACGGCAAAACATCCGACCTACTGTACAAATTGTGAGGGACTTCTTTGGGGAATCACCAGGGCGCGTATCTTCTTAGCGTGTACATAACATACAGTTTATCTCTTTTGATACCTTGTCCTATGCGATTAAGTACTTGATGTAAGATCCGTGAATAGACAAGGTCTCAAATGCTCTGACTGCGGGGTCAAATGTCACGAGAGGTGCAGAGACATGCTTTCTATTGATTGTCTCCAGCGTGCTGCTAGCAAAAAGAGCTCCAACAAAAATGACACCCAGGAATTAAAGGAGTCGATGCTCCAACTGATCCAAGGCCGTCTTAAAACTGCTGCAGAGGAGCTGAAATTACTGGCGAATATCTTCAGTTTGACGCCAAGCGAATCCCAGCGAAATCTAGACTTGGTGAAAGACAAGTTGCTGAAGAAAGATTTGATCTGGTCGGCGAAGCTGAAAGTGACAGTTGTGGAAGCAAGAGGACTCATGCCAATGGACAAGAACGGGCTCTCAGATCCGTATTGCGCAGTTCAAGTTGGCAAGCATCACAAAAACACGACGACAAAGAAAGAAACCCTCGATCCAAAGTGGAATGAATCATTCGACTTCAAAGTTGAGAGCGCGCGTGAGTCCATTAAAATACGAATCTGGGATGAGGACGATGATCTGCGAAGTCGACTGAAAGACAAAATCCTACGAGAAGCGGATGACTTTCTCGGCCAAGTTGTGATTGACATACGCTCGATCACAGGTGACTCGGATAGCTGGTACGAGCTGCAACCAAGGACAGCGAAAACAACAATCAAGGGGAGCATTCGGATAAAGATTAGCATGACACGGAAAACTGACATTGATGGGGATGAAAAATTAGCGACAATTCCAAATCAATTTCTGATTCTTCACAGCCACATTCTTTCATATCTCCAAGACCTCACTGGAAACTCTAATTCCTCGAAAACAAGTCCGATAATTTCCTGCTCTAGTTCGGGACAAGTCTCCGTTTCCAACAGAATCGCCCAGAAAATTCTGGATTCCTTCACGAAGCACTACGGCATCACAAAGATCTTCATTCAAATGGCCACATTCGGACATTTGACCGAAAACTTAAATATGATCGACGCGGCAGAAACACTTTGGATTATTTCTGGACATGCCATTGAGCATTATTGGAACGGGGTTAATATTTTATCAAGACAAGTAGCTCCCATGGCACAAAGTTTGAACATGAATAATACTGATCAAAATCTCAGCTCGCAAAGAATTTTTTTTTCGTGCATAATTCGTTAAAATTTAAACCCTGATCTAGCCATGAACCTAACACGGCTCATCTGACAATGGATGAGCGCTTGTACGCATCAAATATCCAAAAGCGCAACTTGAGTGGACAGGTGAAAAAGGCAGAAATGTTCATCCGATTGAAGCTGAACTCCTATCGCATGCACTATGGAAAAAATTTGAATGAGCCGACCGCGCACAATTTGGAACTCTCGCTCAAGATACTCATCAAACTCGTTGAGTTCAAGGAGAAAGTCTTGAAGGAGAACAACAGCAAGCTCGACGAAATGATTCTCGACTGCTGCAGTAAATGCCACGAAATTACGTACGGGAATGTTTTTCACGAAGCAGAAGAGTATCAAGTAAGAGCATCAATTGCAGGCTCAGTTGATGATGGAGACGGACTCTGGCAGGAAAAGTTGGCGTATTCTTGTAACACAGATATTTTTAAGAGTTTTCAAAAACTTGTATCCTAACTAGAAACAGCAACAGGGTGAAAATACTGAGTCGAGTTGTGACCACTCAGCTCCACTGGAATTCTGGGAGCGTTTCTTGCGATGCGTTGTTTCACTTGTAGAAGAAGATATGGTCTACTACTCGCCCATTTTCACCTCCGTTATTCCCGATCTAAAGCTAACAACCTGCTCGGCGGTAAAGTTTTGGTCGATGTTGCTAAATGACTTGGTCGGGTTTTTGGAGCACGAGTCGGATTGCCGCCATTGGTCAACTACTTCCGACTACATGAAGCTTCAAAAGCTTGTCAAGGAGGTTTACGAGAGGCTGAGTGCGATGATTGATGATAAAAATTTCACTGGATTAGGAATGAGTTTAAAACTGCCAAGCATCGAATGAAAGAGTCGTCGTTGATTGCACTTTTGAAAACTCATAAAAAGCCCCTTATGCTGAGCACTTCATTCCTTTCACTTGCATTTGGCTGGACGACTGTATAATTGAATACTGTAAATATGTAGAGAAAAGCTATCAGCTCGATGAGTCTGACGGCTTTCAGCGAACAAACGAATACGTCAAATTCTCCAGCTCAGTTGTTGACTTGTTCGACATGCTTAATCAGCTGGGAGCGTCTACATCAAAACTGCGCTCAGACTGCCACAAATTTAATGGAATACTAGGACTCGTCTCATAAATACAAATTGAGTTAATTTTGCATTCAGTGTTATTGAAGTTCCTATTCTGAGACTATTGTAGAAAACAAATTTGCTCAAGTTGTGACGACTGCAATTTTTCATTACATAGAAATCTTCATGAAGGTAATCATTTCAAATTTAATTTCATCTCGAATTTTCTTTTTAGGATTTTCGAAAGTACCTGAATGAGGCTAACATATCCTATGTGATGACGAACAACATTCAACAAATTCGCGAACAGCTTCAAGATCTTTACATCACAATGGGCCAGGACCAACTTCACCCAAAGGCGCAAGAATATTTCAGAGAAGCTCAAAGCAAGTTATCCAAGACGATAGGTAAGCGGCTCTTTCTGTATCTCTGTTACTCTTTTCTTCATTTTAGACAAATGCATACGAATGCTTGGAGTTTCTTTGAAGCCTTGTACGGATTCTGGCATCGTCGCAATGTATAACGAGCTCCAACAACTTAGCCAAAACTTAGCTCCCAATTCAGCAAACATTGCTGCAGCGAGAGAGCAAGTTTTCCAGGTAAGAATCGCTCATAAGATCTTCGATATAAAAAAATTTGATAGGCACTTATACCACTGGTAAACGAACAACTGGACCATCTGCACGAGCACATCGAGCAAAAACCATTCTTCAAAATCCTCAAAATTGTCTGGAACTTTCTGATAGAAGGAATCCTGCACAAAATCATCCTCCATCCCGAAAGAATCGAGCCCATGGAAAACCGGACATATCTTTCGGCAACTTTGAAGGGAGGCTTTTCGAACTAAAATTAGTTGGCCCTTCATTGACTGGCAAATTGAAAGCTCTTATAAAGAAAACGCTGATTCGCACAGAAAGACCACTTACAAATTTTCAAGTGGAAGTTATATCAAACGTCATTGTTTCGCTTGAAGACTACTTTCATCAAAATGGGGAAGGATTGAAAAAAGCATTTTTCAACAAAGACAACTCCCTCCGCCAGCTAAAATACACTCTCGGCAAGTTGATGCAATCATTCGTTTTCTAATTATCTCTCCAGACAAATATACAGAAGAAACAGACGTGCTCATCTGGCGGCTAATGGATTCCTACACTTCAACAGCGAAAAAGATGCCTCCTGAACTCATTCGCCCTTCTATCGTTCTCGCATTCGAGCTCTCGCTCATTAAGAGCGGCAGAAAAACTTTCTCCTTGACGGTGAAAGTCAAATCTGTTGAGAACATGCCGCTAGAATTTTCAAAAGTCTTCCGCCCATTCGTTGAAGTTGCCGTCTACGGTCCGTCTGTGGAACAGATCGTTCATGTCCACGCTACTAAATCCAAGGTAAGCCAAAAGCCAAAAGTCGCAATTGTTCGCCAGCATGATTCTAGTACAACACTGCCAATGCAATTTTCGACCAAGAATTCTCCTCAACGTTGTCCAACGACTGGCGCAAATCCGAAATTCAGTTCTCGTTGAAAGATTTCTCGCTAATCGGAGAGAACCGATCTTTAGGACGGCACATTGTGCGCCTCTCTAATTTCAAAGATCTCCCACAAGTCGCAGAAACTGCTCCGCTCACCAAGCCGACTCCTTTTAGGTTTCTCGTCTTTTCTACTTTTCGTTTCTTTTACCCAATTTTTAGCAACAATGAAAACGTATTATTCCACTTGCTCCAGAAACGCTCATTCGACAACGTCGCCAAACAGTTCATCAGCTTGAAAGATTTCAGCATAGCAAACCACACAGCTTCAAGATCAACTACGAGACAACAGAAATAACTTCTTTCGAATATAATTGAATAAATGCGACCCTACTTCCCAAGGCGGTTGATTTCAACTAACTCTCAAGCGCAATGTTCTTCAACGATGCGTCAAAAAAAGGGCTGGCTCGGGATAAAAAGTCTCGAAGATAGTCGCTAATCGGAGAATCGACCTAATTATGAGGCCCGGGCGACATTTTCGTCATCTAATTGCCCAATCGCGGGCAATGTTCCACTTCTTCAGATTCCAAAGTTGTGCCCTTTCAAATGCCGGGGATCATTCTTCAGTGACGAGGAGGATGCAGCTGGATTGATTGAGGATGTGATGAGTAGAGCTCCAGTTTCGTATTTCCGAAAGGGCTCGCTCACGAGCTCGTCATAAATCAAAAAGAGTATTTAGCGTCAAAATGATCAAAACGCCTCGTCTAAGCGATTTTATAAAGCACTTTACGAGTTGACTTCAAAGTTGCACGAATGCGAAGTGTTTTTACTAAGTAACAACACGTCCTACTAAAAAACCGCTCGATTCTCACGTAAATAGCTTCCGCAGGACAACCGTATAAATTGTGCGAAAACACGTGTTTACGACTCTATAAGAAGACCTATTTGTTACTTCTGGAAGCAAAGAAACTTCCTCCGTCGCTGGAAGAAATTGGAACCATTGACCTTGATCGTGGGGTGGCTCATTGATTGTCTTATTTCGAAAACGGGCATTCAATAAATCGATTCTCCGAAAAACTGGAAGCTCGCTGAAGAAGAACTCTTTGAAAGTTATTTTTTCTACTTCCGATTGTCAAACAAAGAAATGGAAGTATTTTCAATGTTCCTACGAATTCGTAGTGTTTCTAACAGGAGACGATTTAATATGATGATGGAAGGCTTTAAGGATGTTTTGAAAGGACTTGAAACGCAGTTTAATCGAGTAGAATGAAGAAGGGAGTAGGAAAGAAGATAAAAGACGATGATAGAAAATGATTTCCACCCTGGGGTGGCGATGTGAGCTTCTGGCGCCTCACAATAAACTCTCTCCCGCTTTTTTTTCTGATGAGAAAAAAGAGCATCCAGCGACGGTGGCGCGTAGTAGCAGCAACACGACGAGTAACCACTCCACAATTTTTTTCTCTCTCTCTCTCTCTCAAATTAAGAGCTTCTTGGTCTAGTGGTGAGTAGCGAGTGTGTGTCGCAGCTCACTTTCGGGAAAACCTAACTTAAACGAGCTCGCCGAGAATTTTGCATTTTTCAAAAACGCTCCGAGCAAAATAAGAAAAAAGAAAAATATAACCACCGCGCTGAGATAAATTCCATTATAGAGAGCAACATCCAACACTTCCAAAACACGAAGGAAAGAGAAAGCGGTTTCGAGGGAGGAACTGAGCTCAATTCCAATTTGCAATGACAACTCCTCTTGCGCGAAAATCTGCCCCGGCGACCAGTTCCACTCAAGGTAATATCAATAATAGAAAGAAGCAATTGCGTCGATCAACTGTTTAGCCGCCGACTTTTACGGGGAAAGAAACACTGGAATCAGAATGGTTTCCACGGGCAAACTTGACGATGCCGCGGAAGAAGCCCGTAAAAATCTCATCAAGTCCATGGGCAAGAAGCCCCGTAACAGGTTCAAACGACTTTTACATTACTCTCAGAGGACTTTTCACTTGTAATTTTACATCAAAACAAGTCTTGGTGATAATAACAACACACGGCGGCGTGTTTAGATAAGGCTGATTGCCCTAGTCTCACAATAAGCTCATACTTTTCGAGCTCGAGCGAGTCGAGGGAATCCTGTTCCGCTTCATTTATGGCGGCTCGTTAAGCTTTCCAAAGTGTATCCTTTGCGCTGCGATCGGCAGATGGCATAGCCTTTTCAGCTAACAGAAATTTTGCGAAAAGAGCATTAATAATTAATTACCCGATGGTAACTATTGATTACCGAAAAAAGTATGTCAGGAAATCATAAAATAATTGAAAGCCCCTATTGAGGGTAGGAGAATGGCAATACGCATCCTTAGGTTAATTAGGTTAATCTTATTGGGTGTCCATTTTTCGGCAAATTAGATTTTTGTGGAGTGATCAATTTGACACTGATTTCAGCGTCACTGACAGATGGAAGCCCAAAGAAGAGCCCACTCAGGTGAGAGTTTGTTATTCTCAATATATCTCGGGGCTTAGCCCTTATTGTCATTTAAATTCTTTGTGCGTGAGTTCTGTACTCAAGACGAACTTAAGGAACAAAAGATTGGGCCGGACCAGAAGATTCAAAACTCGTACTCTGCGTACGAACAAAGGCGCAACTCGCGAATCGCCGAACGCACGGAGCAACTCAAGAAACTCCAAAAGGAACAGGAAGAAAAAGAAGCGGAAAGAATGGCCCGCATCGAGAAGCGTCGCAATGAGAGGTAAAAACAACAGATTCTCTTCTTTGTCTTCACTTGAAGAAATTCCAATTATGGATTTACTAGATTGCCTTATCCACCGAAAGATAAGCGTAAAAGCGTCTCAGAAGCGTATTGAAAAGGCCCGTCCAGTGGAATCACATTGAGTTAATCTCGGCGCCAGGCTTAGATTACTGCCTTTAATTGACTCATTACTTCAGATTGTCGTCAATCGGTGGTGTCGGGGAACCGGATCTGGCAAACGGCGTTAAAGATCTCAAAATTGGCGCAGGCGTGTCAAGGAATGTGCTCAATTTCGAATCCTAGAATCACTTTCGTTTCATAATTTTTCTATTGTTGAGCAGTGGAAACAGTTCTAGTGTGCCAGCTTCGCGAAAAACCGCTCCTCTTCCAGCTTCTCTCGACGAAACTAGTAATTATCCCCGCCTTTCTCATCGCTAATGTGGAGCAAAAAAAATACAAAATACAGATTTCACCCTGTCAAACCAAAATTACAGAAAAAGAGTTTTCAAATTTTCGTGAATTAACAACCTCTTCGTTCCTAAATTGTAATCGTTTACGCATGATATAGGACTCTTATTGACTGCTCATTATGGAAATAAAATTGCACTAGATGAAAAGCTAATTAGAGCTTTTAGAGAGTTGGAATTTTCAATTGTCCTATTCTCAAGCCTGTTCAATCTTTTCTTTCTCGTGCCTACAAAAAATGGTATAAATCCAATACTTGATCGGTAAGATCACTCTTGTAGACATCTTGGAAGCTTCGTGATCGTCTTTTGAAGAAAATAAGTACCTAAGGGAGCAAGTTGAAGTTGCTGTGTTGATTAAATCATGCCCAGAATTTTGTTGCAAGGTTGCCGTCTTCGAAGTTCAAACTGCTTCTCAGAAAATTCGCGATTCAAGCTTGCTGATATTTTTTGAAAAAAAAAATGATAAACAAACCGCAGAAGATTCTCTTTTTTCTTTTCTGCAGCTTAGGGTTAGACCCGATGCAAGATTGAGATTCACCTCAATCTTGCGCAGGTGAGCAGCAAGGCGATAGTGTCGAATCTCGGGAAGCGGTCTCGATTCTAAATCGCGCAAAAAGGTCGAATTCGAAAAACTGCAGTTGGAAGGAAATAGACAGAAAGAGAGAAATAGCTTCTAAGGCACAAACAAGCCGTCTAAAGGAGGCCGAACGCGGCAGAATTTACTAGTAACTGCCACCATCATTGGTATACTGTTGGATAATCTGACAGTGATCCGTTCCATGACAAACCGCGCCCATAATATTTTCGCTTTCTGAATACGCAAGAACAAGTGCACCGCACAGTTTATTTCTCTAAAAACGGAAACGAAAGATTGTGAAACCATGATCTTGCAAAATCATCCCTTTTCTTACGAAAAAAAACGAACCTGGTGTGAAAAAGAAAGAAAGGATCGCGCGAATTCGGATTTCCCGCAGCGGATCAGAGCCCGAGAATCATGCGATTGTTGCAGCTTAGGTTAACTGGCTCACGTTGGACATTATCAGACGGCGGCCGTGAGAGGATAATAAGAAATATTAAGCCATAGGATTAATTCCCTCTCTACTAGAGAGACTAGAGAGTCTCTAGTCTAAAGAGTAGATAGCCCGAATCAAAGCGACTTTCCAAGTTCACGAAAAAGGGGAACTGAATTAGCTAATCAACGAGCTGATCAACGAATAGTATCCATCTCGGGACGACAAAGCTCGTCTTGCAAAATGCCTCAACATAGCTGAAAACAAGATTCAAGTATGGTTTCAAAATCGTCGAGCTCGAGACAGGTCCTAAAACTTTTGGGAGCTTTATTTAAATTTTCACAATTTTAAGGCGACCTAGAGGGAATCGCCGCAAAAGATTGGGACATCATGGAATGCCATTTCCGCCGTTCTCCCTGGGTCATCCGTAAGTTAAAAATTTTTTGTCTTTGAGCTCATGTCATCATTTTTTAAGATCGCCCTTCAACTCAGGATTCTTTTCATCGAGTAGTGATGGGCATGCGCCACAGATGTACCCCCCGCAGAACTTCAACTGGCCGAAAATCAATTTTTCTTCACATTGTGAGTACTTCTGTGAATTTAATAATTAATCGACAGTAATGATAATTAGTAATATGCCGCCTTTGGTCTTAACTTAAGCTAATGACAAATGAACGCATATTGGCTATCCTGGAGCATATTTATTTTAGATACGAACATATTTCCACAGAGCTGGTCGGCACCCTCCTTCGAAATACCACAACAACTTAACTCATTCGATAGGTACTTAATTTCAATGTTTAAAATCACGTAACCGATCCCAAGAACTGACCTGATGAGACTCAAACAATCAGAAGTCGCTTCGTCTCTCCAGTGGAGCAACAGTTCTTCAGTCGATTCCGACGTCTCTATTACGCCTCATACTCAGCATGTGACTGAGATTCCAAATGACACTGACGGTGACTTCACTGATAACACATAGCATTGATGCGACTGTTCTTTACATTTTTGCATGCATTTTCTATGAAATTCAAGGCCCTGCAATAATTAATAAATACACTTGATGTTTACAACTTTGATAAGCGTTCTTTTTACTTATCACCAAATGATTGAGATCTTTTTGTTTATTTGTGAAGCCTTCACAGTGAAGGCTTTGAAGAAACTGAGTCAAAACTGTTCATTGAGTGGTGGGCAGTATTATGACAGTTATAAATATGTTTGTTTTATAGCTACATAGAAAGTAAGAACTTGAAACGGAATTCAATTGAAGATATTTTGTATAACTCAAATTTAGCACGATTTTAGTATAAATTGATGTGTATGTTCTTCAGCGTCTTTGTCTTGGATGACAAGTGTAGTCATATTTCTTCGAAAAAGACGCTATCCTATAGTTAGTGTAGTCCTCCGCAAAGTAAGGCTCGCATCCATTCATTCCCCCTCTAACGGCATCTAACCGTGAAAAAAGTCCCTAAATAAGAAAGTTAAATGAAAAAAAAAACAAATATTATTCTTACGATCGGAACGGAATCATTGCCTTCTTCGTCGACAAGTGTTTCCTTTAAAAGTTTAATGTGGAACACTGGATATTCATCAGGATCACTTCTATTATCTGTCACAAAGCCCAATAGATACGAATATCTATGACAGACGCTCCAGTTTATGTCGCTACAAAACTTGCTCGCCATCGCTAGTTCTTGATCGTCTGTGATTTCAATATCAGCCATGAGAATCGGTAGGGCGGTCGCTGGGCACTGAAAGAACAATCAAAATGATGGAGTCTTAGCTGACTGACCTGAAAGGCGAATTTAGGTGGAAAATACAAATCTCCGACATCTACCTCCTCGTGATAACCATAATCTACATAGTAACACCAAAGCCGGTAATCGTCATTATTCATCAACTTCTGATGGCGAGTAGGTTTTAGCCCGGGCGCGGATTCGAAAAAGAATCGCCTTCTTTCAAAGTATGATCTATGGTTGAGGTCAAACCACTTTCCGTGTTGAATGATTACTCGGTCGACCGCCTCGATACCTTCAGTACATTTAAGCAGCAACATATTGGGCTTGAGATGTTGTTCTCTTCCTCGAACAGCGTATGGCGGCGGTAGTGATACAGTCGGTCGACTAGAATTCATTCCTCCGATTTCTTTTCGTCGCTCGTCTGCGAACTTCTGTAGCTTTTTAGTCATTTCCGATTCCATCAAATAGTATTCGTCGTCGGTGGTCCTCCGTATTTTTACAGCCATTTTTCGACAGCTGACAAGGAACCCCGACTGAGCGTTTAGCAAAAAAGTTTTGCCATCTTCATCGCGATACTTCGCCTCTTCGAATATTTTCCATTTTTCTTCTCGCCACAATTTCTGGTCTTGATCAGTCGCGATAGTTTCCAATTCAAAATTTTCAAGAGACGGACCAGTTTCGTTCGTTATTTTTTTCCCAAATAAATTGCGGTGTTGACGCCAGACCGGGTCTGAATCAAGGATAAAAAAGTCCATTTTCTTTTACTTACGCGACGATGGCTATCTCTTCAATGTTTTGAGCAGAGCGATCTTTATATGCGGCCATTTCTTTCAAATGGGAAGCATACGGACTTGTTACCAAGTACAAAAGCATCTCTTCGTGGCCTTCAGCGATCGACTCCGGATATTGATAGGGCAGTCTAAATTTCGTCTGCTAAAGAGAAATGTTTTTGAAAGAGCCCACCTGAGAACAGCAAACGCATCGTACCCCTGATGAACTCTTGTTTGCTTATTTGCCCTTCGTAATTCTTCCGATCCATCCAAGAGAGAGAACAATTTGACGAGAAGACTTGATGCCACACGGTCCGCTCGTAGTGTCTGAGCGAGTCTGTTGATTCGGCGGTTCTGTTTCAGAGGCTGCGGTGCGGTCTTTCTCTGTTGCTATCTTGTACGAGCTGTGACGAATGAGAAGTAGTGCCCCCCACTAACAAATGGTGGTGGAGGACGATGATGAACTGAATTCATCTTCCCGTCGCAAAAATAGAACAGAAGATGCAAGGATAAATGAGGATGAAAGAACAACATCCTCATGGTCTAACAAAAACGGTCAAAATACCCCCACGCAGCCAGAGCGTGGTAGGCGGTTAGACTCAAAAAGCACCGATGACGTGGAGGGTGACAGCAGGTCGAGCAGATGGGATCTCGGAGGCGAGCGTCGCCTCGTCAACACGAAAGATGACCATAAAAGCCGATCATGGATATCAGAGAAATTCAACGAGCCTCAGGAATTGAGGTTCCTCCCTCCATGCACTCCACGTCGCAGAGCGCGAAGCGAGGACGAGTCGATGATGATGAGTCCCAAGCCAAAAAGTCAAGAGACGACCCTCACAACCAATCACCACCTGCTAGAGGCTACACTCCGAGTTTCCGCGGTAAGAACAAAAGAGGCCGTGGACGTGGTAGAGGACGTGGCGCTGGCAGAGGCTCGGCCTTCCGGGCAAACAGAGGTGAGCTTTCAAAACGTACCCATTATATCAAACCCCTTTTCACAAGGCACGCAACGGGAACATGGCCAAGACAACATCAATCGGCCCAACCAACCGCGTCGGCTCTTTGCTGGAATAGGAATCGATGATGGACGGGCGTCATCCTCGACCAATGACGCCGAAAGGAACACCAAAATTGTGAGGATCGAAGACATTAGGCACTATCCAGAGAATATCCCCATGGTAGAAGAACTTTTCGACGAGCGGGGAAAATTCCTCAGAAAGGAAAACGGGCACAATTACATCGCCAGCTCGGCTAAGGAACTTCTCACATACGAATACACCATGGACAAGATGATCATATTCAAAAAGGTCAAGTTTCACGAAGAGCGCTTTTACGAGGACATCATCGCGAATGGAAGATTCCCACGAACTGGAATCATGCTCGACATGGACTGGATCCCCCCAAGCTGGAAGAATATGGAGTATGACCTTCATATAATCACATCGGTCACAGTATTCGTGATGCAAGACACACTCGACAAATTGTGCATCCCAATGAAAGATATCAAATCCATGATAGTCATCAAAGAGGACGGTTCACTAGTACCCCTCAACTCAGGGGCGCTAACAGAAAACAAGAAGGCAACTGTAAGGGGCATACAGTTCTACTCTACAGTCTCCGCGCTGAAGATGATAACGCTGGCCAACGAGTGCCTGTCGCCGGTAGACCCCTTCTACGGCTGCAATAAGATACCTAGAATGGCGATGTTCTGGTGCTCCACAGAGCGCAAAGACAGATTGGGGCACTCGGCAATGGTTGCCACTCCCAATTGTGGAAAGACGATCATCGAAGTTCTATGCGCCGTCCTGAAACGCTACATGTACTACATTCGGAAATGCGGAGAATTCTACACCTTTCACAGCAAGAGCAACGTCATCAACGTTCTCCCGCTACGAACTATCTTCGACCTGTCACTCAAGGAAATGGAGGATGAGAAATTCTCTCCCTCGTATGACAGGTTCAAGGATTGGATGAACCTCTACAAACCCTACGTGTTCGACAGAAGATGCGCGGCCATGTCAGTGTCCATTGAGAGATTCCATCATCAAATGACCAAAACGGTACTCGCAATGCAAGAATACCATCTGGGCCGTGGCAACTCGCACTGGTTTACTATGTCCACCGACGACGCGTTCAAGATGAAGGTGAAGGATCAACAAGAGATCGCCAACGTCACGGAGGGAAAGATTACGATCGCCGATGTTGGTGCCAACCCTGACATTGGCATGTTTCGACCTGAGATCGCCAAAAGAAAAGGGGTATTTATGAACGATCTTGACAGGGTACGAGACGAACCAAGAGCGTGTGACAGCATCAAGCACATGGCCGGCGGCTCAGTTCAGGAGGTATCCGACGAACTCAAAAGAGTGGTCGAACAAACAAAGGACCAAGAGGAGGCTATCTCCAACGTCATGCTTTTCAGTCACTCCAACAACCGACAAGCCCTGAACTTTATGATCGAGATGCAAGCTATTAACACCAAACACGCAACTACGGTAGAGGAGAAGAGTGAAAAGCAAAATCTACTCGCCAAAATGCAAATCTATCGAAAAGAGCACAAGCTCCTATTCGACACCGACCCAACGTTGCTGGGAACTGTTAAAAGAAGTGTCGGGGAGCAGATAGAATGGGGCGTAAATACGAGGAACGCGAACGGCGATAAATACCGGGTGCCAATTGCTGAATACCTCAAGGATGGACAAGGCGATCAAACGACGAAAATCGCGACTATCAAGACGAAGGACCCGGAGTATAAATTCAACATTGCTGAATTCTACATGCAAGCCGGAAGTGAAGTCGCCCAGAAGTACATCCCTCCTGTCAAGGAAGATGCGAGGGTTCAACCGATGGATGATGATGAAGCACCATCCTCCGTCCAAAACATTAGCCATCCCTTAGATAAATGTCAGAATGATGGTACATCGTCTATGGGCAGGGAGAGCAAAGGAGAGGACACAGATCTGGAATCGCTCCTAGATGAAGATGAAAAGAAGAAATCTCTGGAAGCAGCGAAGCTCACCGAGCCCAAACAATACCTGATTAAACAAATGATGAAAGCAGCGAATGTGAGGATGTCAGCCTTCACGGACGATGATGCCTCTGAGGTATCGGTCTTCTGCAGCGCAGTCAGCCCGCCGGATGTGGCCAACGTAGCTGAAGTGGTGACTCCGAACCTAGTACAAATTTCAAAGATAGACAAAGGAAAGCCAGTGGACAAGGAAGTCATCGAAAACACCGGGTCTATCGTAAGCAATGCTAAGGCAAAATGGAACGCCATCTCACCCGCCGAGGAAGAATCGTCATGGAGGAACACGGTCGCTGTCTATAGATCCGCGGATGAATTCCTGGAGAAAGAGAACCTTCAATCGTACCCCGACCCTGAGGCGTTCACGAAGGCTCAGACATTGGCGGAGTGTGCAAGGACTGACCTGGAAAACACGATTAGGAGATACATACAGTCTAGCAACAAAAATGACATTAACACGGCCTGTCGGAAATGGCAATCCCTGATTTACGGACTAAGGGGATCTCTGATTAATCGATTGGAGAAACTCATCAACTGCGCGGAGGGCGAGTCTGCAGCCTCTTTAGGCCTAAACGACCCGGAAAAGCTCAAAGAATGGAACGGTTTCCTGAGAGCAAACCGGAACTTCAGGGAGGTGTTACACGACCCTGAGAAGCTAACCGTGCTTCATTGCTGCGACCCGGACGTCCTATCTCAAGACATGCCAGTCCCCAAATCACTAGCGATCTACAACTATGTGAAACTGGCTGGAATGGAGATGAACATCGACTGCACAAAGACGTGTGCCAACATCGTCATGAGCCAGCTGGTCGCGCTTGGACTAATCGTCACTAGCAGAAGAACTCACGCTGCAGTATACAATCCGGGCGAGCTGCCGGGACAACATCTTCTTAAATCGAAGCCCATCTTTGTTAGAGTAATTAAGGTAGGCCCAGATTTTACACACAAAAGGTGGTTAATGGCCAAAGAGTTTGTAAGGACAGTTGCAATTAAGGAGTACAAGCAAGAACTTGACTTCACTATAGACGACGTCCCCGACCTAGCCATGAATGAGCCACTTTTTCAGCTGTTTATAAATGAATTCTGGAGGAAGGTGGTGGCTAACAACCTCACGCTGGGGTTTAGAATCTGGATGAGGAAGCATGACTATCTAACATCATGCTCTTTTAGGGGTCTCACTAACGAAGATGACTCAAACTGTACAGACGGACTACCAGACCTCCCCCATCCCCCACTCACCATCACCTTCAAACAATTCAAGAACCTGTGCGAGATACAAAGAATGAAGAACAAAACACACAAGGTAAATGATATCATTAGAAGTGGAGAGGTACCCAAAATGCCAATTAGTCATGATATTCCATCCCCCCATGTATTTGCCAAAGGGAGAGGCCTAGAAGGAGTATTACCTGCGGCTGAGAATCTCCCCAAACTTAAACGATCGAGTAAAAACATCATCCCAACTGAAGGGGATCTAGAGAAAGCCGTGACAGAACATAATGAAAAGGTTGTCTCTGCTGCAGACAACCTAACAGTTGTATGCGCCAATCTTGGAAAGTGCTCCACGCTGGACAAGATTAAAAAACTGGTCAGAAGGCACCGAGGAGCCCACATCTTCACGGTGGCAGAGTTGTTTATCGAAAGAGATATGGCGTTAGACAGAGATAATTGGCCCGACGGATATCGTATACTGGCAGGCCAAGGGTCGACTGATGGGAAAAACCAATGCTTTTCCTTGATAGTAATTAGGTCTAACATAAAGGTTCTAAGGACAATCAACTGTCTACATCAAAACGCTGGGGCGCTATTGGACGTCAACGGCATCGAGATCTACATATTCTCAGTATACAACTTCTGCAACTCAGCCTTCGATGGGTACAAGAACAAGTTCGGCGTCAGCAGAGATGTCCTATACGAAGACCTCAACAAAATGAGGATGATGAGCACCGACCATCCTGCTATAATCGCAGGTGACTTTAATGTACAAGTCAATAATCCTAGGTGTCATGAGAGGAGTCAAGCGGACAAGATCCAGGCAGCAATGGACGGGTTCGAAAGGCTCACTAACTTCGTTACATTCAGGAGAGACTGTAAGAATGGGCGCACGATGGAGAGCTGTATCGATCATATCTACTTCTCACCCGGGAAAATCGACACCAACGAGATCTCCTGCAAGCCTGCCGATCACAGGACATCACTCGGGTCAGACGGTCACTGCGGAGTCATCTGCGAAATCCCAATCAGAGCTCCCGAAGGCAAAATATGGAAACTCTGGAAGGTACCGGACCAGAAGGAGAAAGATGAATGTTATAAAATAGGTATGAAAATGATGCTAAATAATATCGAAAAACTAGATAGGATGAAAGGCGACATGGATGAGGTCCAGCTAAGGCATGAAATTTTGGTGCAATATGCTCAGAAAACTCGGCCACTAGTCGACAAAATTAAGGTAACAGATCCTTATAAAATTGTGCAATCAAAAGCTACCAAAGAATGGCTGCAAGCTGGCTTCTACATCGAAAACCTCATAAAACAGAGCAAGATCGACGAAGTGCCACGAAGATGGTGGATCAGCATCGTCGACCTGTGGAATGAAATAAAGAAGATGATTGTGAAACTGAAGTGCGCGGACCGTAGATACCATCTTGCAAGAAAGTGTGACCCCGAGGAGCTATCTCTAACCGACTCTTGGGGCCTCTTTGGGCGCGAAATCAAGACAGCGAATGCACTCAGCATAGACGGCACGCCAAACCAGATTGCCGAAGAATTCGTACAATTACAGAGAAACACGAGTCCGGAGCTAGAAGGTTGTGTCGGAGACAAAGACGACCGCCTAACCACGTTACCAAAAGTATGTATAGAAAGATTCCGCGTGCACCCATGCGGAAAACTGCCAGCACTGGTAACAGTGTATAAAAAGTCCAAAAAAGCGACATGTGATGTCTTTAATATTAATAAGACTTGTCTAGAAACGCTGCCGCTCATAGGAGTACTGACGCTGGTCATCATGCCTGTAATGCTTGCTCTTCGAAACGGTAAGCTACTAAGAGTATGGAACTGCAACAGGGTAGTCCCAATACTTAAAAAGAACCTAAAGAAGCGACCTATAACCATCGCGTCCACAATAGGCAGTCTGGCAGAGAAAATGGTCTGCAAAACCTTCACGGACTATGTAATGCACTATGGCATAGTACCAAGTGTACAGTTTGGGTTTCGAAAAGCAAACAGCTGCGGAGCGGCTGTGTACCACTGTGCCAAGACGTTGTCCATGGCCATAGCTCCACAATTTGTGGATCATTGCGGCAGACAATTAGAGGAAGTAGTAGGAGGTATGGTCCTCATCGATGCCGCCAATGCGTTTGGCACGGTGGCTCATCCTCTGCTGATGAGCCTCCTGGGCCAATTCTGCTCGGATCTGTTCCTAGGATTCATTGAATCATTTTTGATCAGGTCCTTTAAAGTATGCATAAGGGGTTTCCTTAGCGAGGAAAAAGAACTAGAGGCTTTTGGGTTGCCTCAAGGCTCATCCTTGTCACCCATTGCATACAGCGTATTCAGCGCGGGCTTTCTTAAAAACCTCCGTTTAGATCCCGCTGAAGATAACTCTACCTGCGCCGATGGGGCACAAACGATGTGCAACTGCGATCATCATCCGGGTGGACGAACGAGCTGCCTCGAAAACGGTTTGATCCTTGGCGAAAGAAAGGACGACAATGACATTAGCGTTATAGCCGGACAGAAAGCCGCCTTCGCGGACGATCTGGCTGCATTGATCATCGCGCCAAACTCAACGGAAGCCGCCGTATCCCTGACATCCACGATCAGCCGAGCTACTAAGGAGATCAATGAAAAAGGGCTCAAGGTCGCTGAAACGAAGACAGAATGCTTCTTTGTCAGTAAGTCTAAGATCCCCGAGGAAATAACCTTTAACTCAACCACCATCAAAGCAAGTGAAAGCGTCAAGTACTTAGGAATTACCCTATCGGCAGAAAGAGGCAAAATATCCTATAGAATGCATGACATGAACGTCATGAGGAGGATGAGGGCGAATCATCATAAACTCATGACTCTTAAAGGAACGATATCACCAGTAGCAAATGCCAATATGGCAAGAGCTCTGGACATCGGAGTCATTAACCACGGAGCGGACTACAAGCCACTACCTTGCATCTCTATCACCAAGAGTTGGCAAAAGATTTATTGTTATACCCTGGCTAGGGTCTCGCCAAGGCCATGGTATATTGTGGAAATGGAAAGAAAGCTAATCCTTGAGGGAGGAAACCTATCCTCAATAATGAGAACGCACGAACCTCTCTGGGTTTCACTGAATTATCAGAGACTTGTAGTAGGAAAGCCCAGAGCGGACGAAGGGCTCGAAACGCTGGACAGATTCCGGCAGCCAACAATCTTTGATAACCTGATCTGCATGGCTATCAACAATATGCATAAGGTATTCAGATTGCGCACACCGGACACAGCGTGGAAAGCTCTGAGAGGTTGTCTCATCATGGTCAATGAAAGAGGAGAAAGCATTGGTCCGTTATTCGATTTCGGACGATGTGACAGATACACCGAACACCTTAGTGAGGAAACTAGATTTAGTGATGTTAGAAAATATGGGTTGTTCACATCGAAAGAACACAGTCACATAACTAAACTACGTTTGAATAGAGCCAGATTTAGGGCACTCTTCAATGCACAGGCTGTGACAGTGCGGTTCACCCTACCTAGGTCTCAGGATAACGGTCTGAGAATTGACAGGACGCAATGGCCCTACAACATGATGGCTCATTTTAACGATCTGCCTGCAAGTGTAAGGGCGGACTTTGTGCAAGATTGGTTTCCGAGCAGTCTAAAGAGATTTATGAAAGACAAACATAAACACTGGAAACGAAAAATTTGGTGTGAAAAATGTAGATATAGTTCCCCGTTCTATAACTATGATCTGCAAGTCGAGCTAGGAGACGCTCATCAAGTTACTAGAAGCGCGAAAAGAACGTATAGCACAAAGGAGGACATAAAAAGAGACAAGGAATACGATAAGTTATATGCAGAAATGCAGAATAACCAGGAAGACGCAAGCAAAATCCTGTCCATGCTCATTTGGTGGAGGCCATACAGGCTCAATAATGTAGCATTCAAGGACTTCGAGGCTATAATGCAAGTCATTCGATACCTGATGGCATATAAAGGATCAGGCACAGATATCATGCGCTTGCTAGCAGAAAATGAGGTCTGTCGGGACAAGTTCGCCAGGAGCTGCGTCAAAACCCTGAAGTTTCTCTGAAACCTTTTCACTTAACTTAATTATGTTGTTCAGAAATAATCAAGCTGGACCAGCGATTGGAAATGGTGAAGGCCATGACGAAACCGGACTATGCCCATGACTATGCAGTATTCTACCCCAGCTCCGGCAAAGTGAAAACGATCTCTCAGGCCATGATTAGGTCAGAAGGGTTAATCGAGAGGATGAACATCAAGCATGCTCTTCCTACCTTTTGGGGCGACGATGCTGAGCGAAGAAACCGCGTTATTAATGACTATAAGATGCCTGGCCACCTGATGGGACTATGCAACAAGTACTTCGCGGCATACGCGTCTCACTTCGGCAACTCCAAAGCCCAATTCAGGGCGTGGATGGGATTGAGTGCGCCGGTGCTTGGAGAAGATGCCCGTAGAAAGCGAATTGCGGTTCAAACTGCCTGGGAAAGAATCGCGAGTAAAGACAAATCCTCGTGGGGTCTAACATCCATCAACCTAATGGAGACCAGTGATCTACTCCGAAGCGACGAAGATAGGATGGCGAGACGATTGTTTGGCTCCTACTCGCTCGGCGGTGCAAACAGCCAAGAAACGAGCGCTGGCTTGGACCGCAAGCTGGAATCGGTTGCTGCTAGAGCGATTTTCTTTGAATATTTCCTACTACCGGGATGTGCCAGCATCATCCTCAACGATGTCAACGGACAAGCTGGCGCATGGACTGCAGCCAGAATGTCTGAATTAGCCCTGAGAAACAGGGACAGTATCCTCACCAACCCGGCAACTGTGGAGAAGCTCAATAAAGTCCTGGAAGTAGCCAATGTCCTCAATGAAGCGGACATACGAACGACGATCGGGGAAAGGCACCACCTCGCGGGTATCGCCGTGAGTCTAGTCAACCACCCGAGCAAATTTGAAATTGAAGCGCTGAAGTCCGAAATTCCCAGAATCATTGCGAAGTTCAGCCAAGGTGATGATCATGAAGCCCTGCTCAACTTCGCGAATAACAGTGACGTCGGCGGAGCGATCATCGAACTCAACGGCAATCTGGAGAAAGTTTGCTTTGGTCTTGGAACGGAAACGATGAATGAAGCACGCAAGGTAGTGAGGTCCTCTTTTGGGGCTACGATGACGATGATGCTGAATGACCTTGCTCTACACGCCATCAGCTCATTCTGCGAATTCTGCTCGTGCAAGAAAGACCAGAGTACGACAGCGAAGGCGAAGCTACAGGATAGAGTCGAAAACTGCTCGGATCTACTCAGACGGTTCGTCACAATCGCGACTGAAGTTGGAAACAAACGTAAGTCAGGCCATAGCAGGATGGACACCAGAGCATTCATGGAAGGACTGATGCGATTAGATCCAATCACCATCAGGCAACGCAGCGTATACGATCATTTCCAATGCATCATCAAGAGCAGAGGCTTCCATAGACTTAGACCCAGATGCCCGGCACCGCATATCATGTGGAGAAACAGGGCCTTTGGCAGCCTGATCCATCTAGAATTTTGCGAAGCCCTGCTGGTGCTTACGCAGCTTCTCTGCAAAAGCACTGGTCCGGGCTCTCTTTCCATTGTGGACCGGACGCAGAGAACAAGCTGCCTGCTATTTGCTGCAATAATAGGACAGATAAACGACATCATCTGCAGCATGACAACCGCGCTCGGGACGCAGAATCTAACAGTGGACTTCTACGAAATGTCCATGACTGCCGGAAAAATGGCAGAAATTACGAATCTTAAAGCCAGAGACGAAATTGTACTTGCAGGGAGCAGAACAACGCTCATGCACAGTGGTTTCTTCACTTGCGAGATCAGAAATATGGAAGAAAGGGAAAAACGGGAGATCTCCTCGCTCATGGCAAGGCAGGAACGAGCACTCTCAGCGTTGAGGGCAAATGCGGTGGCGCAAGCTGAATTTGTTAACACTAATTTTGAAGGACACACACCGCAGCTCATCTCCAACTTTGACTCCGATCACAAGCAATGTCCGATGATCTCCATGGTTCGCATAAACGAAACAAACCCAGGAGAGGGCATCGAATACACACTGCGCGAATCAATCCACGCTGCCAGGATCCGAGCAATAATCAACTGTCGCAAGCGAAGGGGCGAACATATCCCACTCCCAGTAAGAGTCTGGGCTCACGAAAACGAAACCACTGAAGAAGAAGAGGTGGAAATGCCTCAATTGTCATTAATCGACGACGAGGATGTGACTCGATCATCGTCAATGCTAAAAGTAACTATAAGACAGGGAAAAGAATATTTACGATAAATCCTCATTTTAGGGTCCGATTTGCCGACGTGACAGCAAAGCCGGACGAGGATAAGAAACCGTCAACAAAAACTCGGCGATATTGATGTACGAAGCCGAGCCAGCGTACGCAGAAAAAGTTTTAAACTCCTTGTATCTCGTATATTACTTGTTCTTTTATTCTTTGAGAGTGATGGTGCCCCTACCCCCGTTAACTGTACCCCTTGAACCTCTATCCAAGTTCTCTCCTAGCCATGGGTCTGTGTAGTTCGGAATAGACAACTACATTTAGCAATCATATAGCACCTTGTGCATATTTCATATTTCATCTGTCTAAAGAATACATAGATCTACTTGTACATGGGGCAGCACTTGTTTAAATATATTTCATAGTTACTGTAGTTACTTACATCCTCTCACATGTCAAATCCTTAACCATACATGTTGCCACATATCCCGCCGTAACCTATACATTAGCAATTATATATGCTTACATCATACACTTAGGCCCATCTAACCACGTGCATATTATGCTGCCCTCTCTATAAACAAGAAAAACATATATATCAATGACATATCCATAGGGACCCTCCAAACCAAAAAGAGATAGGAGGGCCCTCTTGCATCCTCGTAATGGTGTCTGTTGTTTATTCCAAAGCAAGTATACAGTAGGTTTTGTCACAGCAGATCGAGCGGTAAGCACATTAGGTCATGCAAATAAAGCCAAAAACTCGCGATGAGGCAGTACGAGGATCACATCTGTAAGAAAAAGCACTACTGCAAGGACGGGACAGCAGAAGCATTGTGAAGAAAAATGTAGGCTGGTTAACAGCGGGGCAGGCTAAGGCTGGTAGCGATTGACGGAAAGGCGAAGTCGTGCGGAGCGGCGAGTGCCGGAAGCAGTTACAGTAGGACGAGTCGAGGAAGTAGATGCATCAGAAACATCCTCGGATACAAAAGCAGCAGCTACGGTAGCGGGTGCAACTGTATCTAGGAAAGATGGTGTTGGATTATGATGAGATAATTCATAATGATAAATTCTCTAAAAAAGGGTACAGACAGTACCTGTAGGTGTATAAGTAGCCAATGCATGACATGTAGGGCGATCTTGAGAGCTGAAGGACGCCTCGGCTGCTATGGCACTGCCAACAACGTTGGAGCCCGATGGAGACGCAACACCCTCTGCAAAGGCGTCATCATCATCCTCAGCATCCCCGTCTTCGCTGGATGAGGAAGAGTCATCGTCCAGCTGCGAGGCAGAATGATCACTTTTCGCGACGATAGGAGTAGACGGACCATGATCAGGGAAAACAATTCCCCTTACGTCGAAAGTCGCGGAACGCAAGCAGGTAGCATCAGGGCATGTAAGAATAGGATAAGCCGGTCGTGGAGTATCGGTAACGTCGATGCCAGATCCCAAGAAACAACGCAAACAACCGGCATGTCGACAACGAACGTTCACAATTTCCTGCCGATAGGGAAACTTATAAGGACGACGACAGAATCGGCAGATTGAGCCAGGAGGAGTCTTGGTCTTGGACGACATCAACAGCTCCTATGCACGCAACGAAGTCTAAAGAAACAACCTCTCAGACAAGATAACGATAAGACTCAAGAGGAATTATTCTTATATTTCTGTATCATGTACAGTTTAAAATTATATTCAAAAGACATTTTCTGTGACAGAGAGGATACATGCCTGCACAGAGGATGAGAATTAGTCATTGTCATACAATGTTGGAGTTAAACAGTTGGTACAAGACTAAAATACATTGGGTTGAGACTCATGGGCAATGGCACCCGTAGGGAGACGAGCATCTTCTCGACAGGATCGTAGAAGGCCATGGGAGTCAAGAGAGGCACGGTCGTGGGTGATCGTCGAGTTTTGGAAGGAACGCGGTAAACACCGTAGACCCGTCTCATGTTCGCAGTCAGAAGAGCGTGGACGTCGTCAAGAACCCATCCTTTGCGCTCGCAGAGGTAACGACCAAGCGGACTCAATCGGTTGGCACCCAAGGGGATCGGCCAACTGGAACGGACGACTGGAGCTCTTTAAAACAAGGATTGAAAAGGGCACAGGGCACGTGAAGAATTAATTACCTTGGTTAGTGGCCTCGACGACTGAAGAGGGCAGAAATTTCTGATGACGAGCCTCTCGATCGCCAACATAGGTACATTCCTTGAGCTTGGGAGAGACCTGCTCGAGGGGGCGGTAAGACCGCAGGTCGCGGATGAGGCGGATCCATCCTGCTGTGTTCGAAGGGCAATCCTTGCTGATGCAAAACTTGGATTTGCAGCGACGAGCAGGCGCCAGCTCAGCGTGGAAAGCGGGAAAGACAGAGGTCAACATCCCGGACAAAGGGTTGGTGACATCGTGCAAGCTGGTGAGAACGCGATTCAGACGCTCGAGAGTCTCGACTGGTCGCAATCCGTGGCGAAAAGGGTTATCGGCCCCAAGGCGAGTTCTTAGAAATTAAAATTAAAATCAAATCTAAATTTAAATCTGAAACAAAAAGGAAGAGGACGATGGCCCATTATCATACCTCAAATCCAAAGCAGAGCGCTGAAAAGTGCCGGTCGGGTCACGCAAGGCGAGTAACTCAGCCGATGACTGGATGTAGGTCTGGTAGGTTGAAGCCAAAGCCAGGTAGTCACTAGTGAAGATAGGTTTACAGTCTGATAATAAAGACCGATTATATGCTTACCGCTCAAGGAAGCGGGGATTTCCACAGAAGCCCTCCATTCCTTCGGGGAGGAGAACAGAAGGAAAAGGCAATCGCGGGAACGAATCTGGCACGGGAGTATCATGATACCCGTTCGAACGATGCTGAGGATCGGCCATGAGAAGATAGCGGACATAAAGGCGGAAGGAATCCACGCGATTCGGAGTAAGATGATCACAATCCACCAACAAATCGCCAGTGGACTTTCTTATGGAGCAGTTGAATCCGAAGAGGCGCAGAAGACATTGCAAGGAGGATGACTCTGCAAGATAGTCCTCGTAATCCTTAACGAAAAGTTTAAGAGCGAAGCTGAGAAACTTAGAGGACAAATGGGTAAAAGGTTACCTGGTGTGTTGGCTGCTTCATCTCGTCGGGGAAAAATAAACGGAGAAAAACGCCGGGCGAGGCAAAGTGGCAATCGGCCAGAGTCCGCTGGTGGTTACTTTGTCCAATCGAAGTCAAGGACGGGGCAGGAGGATACACGACAACGTTTACGTCGAGAGGCGATCGCAGGTAGGTCGATTGCTCGCGCTGGCTTACGCAGCCATCCGTTACATCCCGAAGTTCGAAGAGGGGCCTGCATTGTCCATAGCGACAGATGGAGACGAAGAACTCGGACAAGAAATGAAGCGTCACCAAGCTAAAATAGTTAATCTTTCTTTGCAAATAGGTGTACGTGGTGGCTCAGAATAAAAGACTTACAGGGTACGACGCCCAACAGATAAGAGGAGGAGGCGAGAAGGCAGCCGCCTGAAGTCAAGCAAGTCTTGTCAAGACAAGTCAATAGACGAGGTCCGGCTCGGTGGTTTTGCAGTGGTGCGGTGCAGAAAGTTCTCGGAACATTTCGATTCATCAGATGCTGCAACAAGGAAGGTTGGAACCGCGTTTCGGGAGACAGGAAATAGACATAATCGCACTTCTGAAAGAACTCGGTTACTTCCGGTAGAGGACGATGTAGCAGCTTAATCAAGACAGTAAGTACTTACAGCACGTAGCAAAGCCAAAGATTGGGCGTGATTTCGAGCATGATCACGTGCCAGCGTCACTTCCATAGAGGTAGCACTTGCCTCGAACCGACCAGAAGCGCCCTCGAGGAACTTGTCATTGATGAACTCTGGCCACATCAAGAAGCCCCGCTGGTCGTCGGCAGAAAGGGTTGGTAGAATCTGACGAAGGAAGTGCACAAGACGATCTAAATGTTAATGTGGTTAACTTTCAGTGGACTGGAAGCTCACACACAAGGATGATGTATAACCATCATCCTCTTAAAATAGAGCTCGATAGACTCACCTAGATCAGAGAGATTCAGGTCTCGCAAGTAGGCTGCCACGCGATCTGACACTCGAGCAGCTGGATTCTGGCTGAAAGAGCGGAGAGTAGCAACCATGCATTCGGAAGCGGCACGGCGGGACAGGGGCTTGCCGGCCACTTGTCGGGCAGCCAAGTTCAGCTGCAGAGCGCGAGAAAAGGGCGAAAGTTGTGAAGAATCCAGGGTTGTCAAGGTTGGCGGAGTAGTCCCATGCGTTCCGTAGCGTCTATCGCGAACACGTCGGTGAGAACTACCTCTGGTGCGGGCAGAGGTGGTAGCAGAGCTGGTAGACGCGGTGCCAGAAGGAGTCGATGAAGAAGTAGAACCAGTTGCAGCGTGAGACGCAGTACCTTGTGCAGCGTTACTGGCGCCGGTAGCGCGAGTGACGCGAGTCGTCGAAGTAGATGGCGCGGCGGTCTCATGCTCACCTGTTGTCGGAGTAACAGGGTTAGACGAGCTGGCCCCAACCTCGCCTGGACCCGAAGAAGTAAGGGTTGAATCGGAAACTGCAGGAGCAGGAGGTGAGGAGTTCTGACCGTCAGCTGCTGAGGGGGACGATGCAGGAGGATCCTCGACGGGAGTCTCGACTCTAGTACCATTCAGGTCGCCATCTATATCATCAGGAACGTCGAGATCGATGAAGTCATTATGAGACACATCTTCATGACCCTCAGGAGATGGAGGAGACGCTGGTGACGAAGGTGGGGTGTGCCTTTGTGGAGTAGGTGACCTGGACTGAGCAGGAGCCGGGGAAGTCTCGGGTGCTGCGGTCGCGCTGGGAACGTCAGTGTCCGCAGCACTCGTTTGTGTGTCCATGGGCGTCGCAGCTGGAGGAGTGGACGCTGTAGAAACGGGAGATGTTGGTGGTGGCGAAGGTTGAGCACTCGTTGTTGCAACGTTCGGTGTATGAACGGGAGCGCCCATCGTGGCCCTCACTTGCGCGGTAGCGAGCAAATGCTCTTCGGGTCCTAAAGAATAGTATTTGTCAAGACTGGACTTAATAATTAGCAGGTACCTGCATCTACCAAGACTGAGACTTTATATCCGCCGGTTCCGTCCCCCTCCACTAAATAACGAGCGTTCAAATAGGAGGGTGGTGTGGCATCATCCTCATCGTCGCTTGGCAGAGGTGACCGCTGACGCATGGGGACAGTGTACTTGTGCAGCACGTCAGTGAGAGTCGTCAGAGAGGGGCCAACATGAGTTAGGTCAGAAGTTTGGTAACTTTCAAGAGGACGGTCTACAGAAAATCAGCTAAGTGATCTGAAAACAACTGAGGCCTTAATACCTGATTCAAACGAAGTCAACTCATACAGCGCCAAACGCACGCGATGTTCGGCATAGATGGTGTAATGCTGCATGTCTGTAGAATCAGGCAAGACACTGTGATCAGGAGAGATGACTCGACAGAACATCAGCAAGTACTTGGCATCTGACCCTAACGAAGAGATACGAGATCGGTAATCATTCCCGAACGAGGACCATACACCAGCCTTGAAATTGAAATTAAAATAATGATAAGAATAAAGCGGTGAGCAGTTGGGTAGCAGGCTGTATCTAGTGTACTCACGTTAAACATGTTTTGGAGAAGCCGGCAAGTAGTGGCGGTAGGGCGCACCTCCTGCAGAAGAGTAGGAAGATGACTCATCATCCTCGACAGCACGTGAGCAGGCGCAGAGACACGACGAAGAAAGTAGTTGACGCTGAAGAATGAAAATTTATGCTCCAAACTACAGATAACTCAAACATACCTCTCGTGCAGCAGATTGTAGGTAGGCAAGTGCGGGATTAGTCGGCTTTGGGAGACTTCCAAAGTCGTCTGATGGCGGATGTGATCCGAAAAAATCTCGAACAGGTCCACCAGTCGTACCACTAGTGCTCGGAGCTTTTGAATCTTCATCCGGCGATTAGAAAGATGATTCAGGGCCGGGTTGAGAAGGTAAGTGACCATATCCGAGCGTAAGGGTGCTAGGTAGATCACGAGCTGCCGGTCAAGTTGCTCACAAGCATGATGGCCGAGACTCGTGAGTTGTTGGCGTGATAAATCCCTGGAGAGTACGTCGCGGAGACTCTGTGTCACTACCTAAAAACATGCTTACAACGAACAGTCGACCTGCCAAAACACTGTACCTCGTCAGTTATCTCTGCGGAGACGCGAGTAAAATGGTAAAGCGCCGTGGAATACTCGATGTTATCGGGTCGGATCGTTGAAGTCGAGGTTAAAGTAGACTCCAACAACTCCCCTGGGCATTAATCGAGACGAAGGAGGAAGTGGGAAAGCTTGCGGAAGATGTTGAGGGCTGGTCAAGATCCTCAGGAAGTCGTACAGGCGGCTCCTCGGAACGCCGCTTTTTCTTGCTGGGGCCTTCATCAGTGGGAGAAGCGGGACGACCGCCTGACACAGATGGTGCATCACCATCGCAGGGGGCAACATTAGAAGGTTCCTACAAAAATGTTAATGAAATGTGAAAATGTGGCCAACACCCACAATGATCCAACCCTAGAATAGGACCTTAAATAGGACACGAGGATGATGTCTCACCATCCTTTATTTTAAGAAATTCTATCACACGGGAGACAAGTCAATTTATCGTCAAAATAGGGCAATCTCTTACACACTCCATAAATCTGGCTCTAATAGAAGGCGCAGCTCAAAAATGACTGAAGGATCGGCAATAAAGTCCAGCTGAAATCTAAAGCTTAAAAACTTAAATTGAAAAACCCGTAATTCTCTAGACCTAACTTTGTTTTTGTGAGCATATGGACGAGGATGCTCGAGCGTCCTGTAAGAATTGCGGTGATATATCATCAACGGTCAGGAAAGTCGAAGGGTTAGCGTAAAAGTAAACCCGGATATATCCCATTTCTCACCAAGGCCCACGGGGGCAAGACTCGATAAGTCGGTAATCTGCAATACTAGTAGATCTAACCTGTTCGGGGAGCTCGGACAAGCGAGCTGTGTAGAGGCGCACGGGAGTCGCAGGAAAATCGCCAAAGGATATCATCCCAAATATTTTCTCGGAGTCAGGAGACATGACGGAGTCACGGGGAAAAACGAATTGGCGGCGAGCTTGAACTAATTCGTATAAGATGCTGCCTTCAGGTGACCGAAAGCGCAAATGACGGAAAGAGTGGCGCGAAGCCCTCACAACAACACACATTCTAGAAAATTTTCAGCTAAATCTGGGGAAAATTTCCGCCAGGAATTCCTGGAAAAGTCGATTCCAAGAACACATAAGCAAAAATAATAAGGGGTTCTAGAAGATCACTGCGTTACATATTCATCGTCGAGAGCCCCATTTTTCTTCACAATTTTCGCTCCTCTACTATTTCTTCTTCTCTTATCATTATCACTCTCACTGCATACAGCAGTGGGTTTCAGTAAACAGTTTACTAGGATATGGTAAGTTCGCTGTGTGCACACCTGCTTATTACAGGCAGGAAAGAGAGACGCCGCTTTCAGGAGGATGATCTCTCTTCATGATCGGGCAGCTGCCAGATGGCATGATTGAAATCTAGAGGTCAAGGGCGGTCAAGCCCATGACGGACGCGTGAGCGTGATTCGCCACGACGAATGACGCATCGCCACCACGCAGTCGCATGACGCGAGAAGTGATCTCACCCGTTTATTACGACCCAGAGGAACTACGCCAATAATACGACTACATGCACGGACTACAAGTTAAATGATTGCGTAGAAGTGGGGGTCAAGGAAGAGGATGTCATGTCATCATCCTCGGTGCCCATACGCAGAACAGCTTCAATAGGATGATGCTAGGGCACAATAGTCAACGATACATCCACCGATTCCTGCAACTAATGATGATGAGGTCCCAGTACTCCTCCACCGCTAATTTCCTGCCAATTCTCCCCAAGAAGATCAAGAAGAAAAACACTTATGTACAACCTTCCTACTCTCCTCTACCCATTCCCCCCATGTTTCATCTTATCACCCTTTGTAACACCCTGTGTACCTATCACTACCCAACTATATAGTGCTATTTATTACTACTCATATTTAACACGTCCTGCGACTGTCTCACCTTAGTCATGCTGCCATTCCCACTTTTCTATCCATGATAGACGTACACTTTGCATTTGCCTATTCCTTGAACTTCTGTTTGCTAACCTCTTATTCTACATATCACACTCGTCTTGTATAACTAGGATGATGATGGTGCATCATCCTAGTTTATTATATATAAACTATTATCAGCAACTGCAATAAGTCAGTTCATTTATTTCACATATATTCAATTGTTTGTACAGGAGTTGGCCTGCTTGTCAGGTAAACTGCCACCTTACTTGTCAGAATCTGCTTCCAATAAATATAAAAAAGCGGGCCAGCCGTGTTTACTGAGTTGAAATTTCGTAAACACTATTCAAGCTAACGAAATTACAGACTCCTCCTTAGTAATATCCCTGTTTCCAAACAAACATCAAAAACGCAGGTCTACATTTATTTCACTCTTACAAGCAGAATGACTGTATTTTAGCTGTACTTGACCAGCGGATCGACGGATATCCGAAAGAAAAAAGCCTGATTTTTAAAACGTGGATCTGCTCAAGTTGGAAATCAAACAATGCAAACTGCGGCTTTTGCATTTCGACCACCAGCTCAGATAACCAAATGCCCTGCTGAGTTTTTATTTTATCTATTTTTGCATTCTATTATCTTCTTGATCAGACAATCGTGCAGATTTTCGAATCTTTCGACGAGTTGCTCGTCCTGGGGTGCTGTCTGCAGCAACGACGTTGGCCATTTCTTGAAGCTAAAATAATCAAATTACATCAACTGATGCAGAATTATCATAGGAATTAGTAAGAGAAAAGACTTCTCTCGGACTTACCACTTCATCCCGTCCGGCTTGCTTCGCGGTTTTTTTCGACTCTTCCATTTCCCTCTTCATAACTTTGCGGCAATTTCCAACCTACAAGTAGCGTTTCTTTTTCGAAAATTAAACCCATAGCGACGTACCGCTTCATCCACGAGAGCCTGAATCGCCACTTGAATATCCTCTTCTTTGGACGATGTCGTTTGAGTTGAAACATCGCGAGTGGGCCTAAATAAAAATAATTAGTAATATTAAAAAAGAAATGATTCTTACGGCTTTTTCTTCGAGGCTTCTATCTCTTTCTTCAAATTTTCATTCTCTTCCTTCAAATCATCAATCTCTTTCTTCTGATCTTCCTTCTTTTTCTTCAAAACTTTATTTTTCTTCTTGAATTCCTCGGCCTGCTCAACCCACTGTCTTTTTCTGAGCTCGGATCCTTCTAGTTCTTCAATTTTTTGTTTGTAAGCTCCCTAAATGAATCAGAATATGTGTGGAAATAAACGAAAATTCGAATGGGAAAAAGAAATCATACATACCTGAAGGGTTTGAACTTTCGAAAAATAGTCGTCGCACTTTTGATTGAGCTCCGTTTTCTCTTTTTCGTGTTCAGCCTCTACTTGATAGAGGAGTTCCCGTAAACCCATCGTACAATTTTGAATCCTCTAGCTGGAAAGAAACTTTTAGAAACTTGATTTTGAAAATGAGTGAGTCCAGATTGCTCCGCGCCGATTCTCGAAATGAAAATCAGCGCGTAAGCAAAATCAAGAAACGAAACGCCGCGCCACATTTCCTTTTGAGAACCGATAAAGGCATTTCGCCCAACTGAGCGTTTATCATTGTGATAAATTCAATAACCCTTTGTTATGGGCGACCCTTTGTTACTCGATAAAACGCTGGCGCTTTTGGGTTAGTTACTCAATAAAACGATGGCGCAGCAAAAAAAAATTTAATCGGTAAAACGATGGCACCCTTGTTAATCGAGGCGCGGGGCTCTCTTGCATGACGTCATCAGAGGACTCTTGCTGAAAAAAATAATGGAAAAGGGGATTCGAGCTCGCGCCCGCCACTCACTTTAGTTACCCCTTAAGGGGTAGCACTAACCACTCAGCTAGACTAATATGTTGAAAGACCCACATTTACAAGGGTTTATTGTTACATTTTCTCACATGGGAGCTCAAATGGTTCTCTCAGAAAATCATTGAATTGAGCTGAGCTGAGCAGGACATTTCAGAAATCACTGACGTGAGCTCTTGGCTCGGCAAACTGAGCTGTGCTGGGCTCGGCATCCTGACCTGTCTAAAAACCTTAGACAGGACCTGTTTCCTGTTTTTTGGCCCTGTCCTGTGTAGCTGTCCAAAATTGGGATTAAAATCTCGAAACCCTGTTTCTGTCCCTGACTAAAGACATGCCGGTTTACTTAACCAATTCTATTTTAATAAAGTGAAAGTGATGCTTTTAGGTTATTACTACTTACTTACTTTTAACCCATATGTTACGAAGTCACTTTTACTCATTATATACCTTAAGATTTGAAGTCAAGAATCAATTGCCAAGAAAATCAATCAGCCCAATAGCCTATCTCCCCAAGAGCTTCATGTCCCCAGCCTGGGCTAGGAGCATTTCCGTGTATTCAAAGTGCATGTCTTCAACTTATCTATCTTCCTGCAAGAGAGTCCTCCGATGACGTCACGCCAGAGAGCCCCGCGCCTCGATTAACAAGGGTGCCATCGTTTTATCGATTAAATTTTTTTTCGCCGCGCCATCGTTTTACCGATTAACAGAGGGCCGCCCGCCACAGTTTTATTGAGTAACTAGTTAAAAAGCGCCAGCGTTTTATCGAGTAACAAAGGGTCGCCCATGTTATGAATCATTTTATGATCATGGCCGGTCTTTTCAACCCTGTAAATTTTCCCTAGATAATCAATGTTTGTAAATTAGAAGAAAAGTTCATCGAAATCATTAATTCTAGCTTCTCAATTTCGACAGAGCTAGATTTATGCAGACACCGCGCCCGAATCATCCTTAGCATATTTTTTTGATTTCACAAAAAACCAGAATCTCAGCATTGCGAACCGGTTGTTTATTATTTTTCCTGCGAATGGGATAATTGACTAACTCGGTTTGACTGAGTGGCGAATATTCAACTAGGAAACGTGAGCTCAGCTGGAGGAGCAGATGCGCCGTCCGTTGACACTTTCTCACTCTTGGGCCAATGTTCCTGCTCCGCGCTTCTTTAGAGCGGCAAGTTTAGATCTTCAATGTTTTCACTCTCGTTTCGACTCCTCAGACGCGCCCTGAGAATGTTAAATTAAAAGCAAAAAGTTGCGCGAGGCGGCATTCTCGCCAAAACAACTGTTAGCTGTCCAGCACTCACTTAGTTGCGGTTCCACTTAAAACGACGTTCTTCTGCTTCATTAGAAAATTTCCCTCTTTTTTCCGAATCGAATCGATGACTACAGCTACACCAAACAACATCCTTCAGCCGCGTGTTTCTTGCTTCTTCCCATGGAACCTCAATTCGAACTCAAATTCTTCAAGGCAACCACGTCTTTTTTCTCGAGTGCATGATTACTAAAATCTACTATCATAAAATTCGATTTGCAAAACGTTTGATAGAATGCGTGTACTTAGAAGCGATCAGAATCATCCAACGCTGCGAGGATTGCAAATCGGCCGCAGATTTGGCTTCTTCCGACAATTGAATCATTTTAGCCTGGCCAGCCTAAGCCGAGGCCCAAATCGAACAGATTTGCGGGCAATTAATACCTTTTTTTCTGTATTTGAAATTTTATTACCTAAGTCACGTTTAAGTCTATTTGACTGACGGAAAGTCTTTTTGATTTTAGAACAATATCGGTACGTAAATCGTTAGTTCTAACATAGAACTTCTATATAGGCAGAAGAAAACCTTTTGAACCTTTTGAGGCTTTGAACCTTTTTTTTACCAAAGCAAAAATAGTCATAATACTTGTAGAAGGCAGTTAGAAAGCCTTGATAATCTGATATTGTCTTTTGACTAATTGAAAATTTAGGCTTTCAAGAAAAAAAAATAAAGAAAGAAGATCGTCTTTCTTTCGAAAAATTAAAATAAGTATTTCCTCCGTCACAAAAGTGCCCATTTCTTTATTGATAGGTTTTGAAGAACATTGAAAAAAAACCGATTTTATAGTAGATTTTCAATAATTATCGCTTGATAAAGATGACCTATTGACTTTTGTGATTATTTAATTGAACTACTTTGGTATGATTATATATTTTCAAAACAAAGCACTTTCAAAAGAAGCTCAAGTTTGATCCACCAACAACTTGCTTGCGAAAAGTTGGTTACCTAACTGACTGCTGAAAGAATAAGCGCAGCGACATTCTAGCGCGGGCAAAACAGCGCCACCTTTTACGCGCCGCGGCTTCGTTAAAACGCGCCCTGCTCGGACAAGGCGGATTAATTTGCAAAAAGTAAAATTTGAGAAAACCGACTCGAATTGAGAATTTTTTTTGTGAATTTTTGTTGAAAGCATTTTCGAAAATCAGTTGAGCGCGATTCCTGAGATCAAGGAAGAAACAGCAGCTTCAGAATAAGAAAAGAAAGAGGAAGAAAAATGAAGGTTCTAGCATCGATTATTTCCACCGCTTTCTGCCAGAATATTGCGACTAATGTTAGAGGTATGTATTCAGTTGTTTCTATTGCAAGTTTTGAATCTAGACTTTTTAGCTGTAATTTATGGGGTCTCTTCCAATTCTTTTGAATTCAAAATAAAACGGCTTCTTTTGAATTCGTGAATTTTATTTAAAAAAAATTTGATCATTGTGGCCCAATTTTCTGTTAATTATAAATACAATTCTCCATTTTTAATTCTTTGTAAGAAAAATCTAAAAATAGAAACCAAAAATAATCGGCTTTTTTCAAGAGCAGTTACACCTTTTGCCGTTTTTCTGTCTAATTTGATTAGATGACATAGATTATTTTATTTGCTGTGAAAATACTTGGTCTTGGAACGTGAAGTAATCTTTTGGAGCAATTGTGATTGGAGTAAATACTTCATCGCCGACACTTTACTCGCCGTTTGATAGTAATTCCTTTTCGTGTAAAAATTGTTCAATCAAAATTAGTGTTTACAGAAAATACTGAGAACTAGAACGCGCGATGTCCAATCGCTGCCATCAGAGAGATACATAGTGATAAGAGCCTGCGTAAACATGGATTTCGATGTAAAAATTACCTGATTCGGATGCCCGTTACATTTTCGCTAGCAAAGATAATATTTAGAGATGATGTCCGCTATCAACCCGGCGATGGAGCAAGTGGCCTACGAGAACTACGGCTGCGTCGCGCGCGGCTTCTTCGATCCTATCTCCAAGAACCTTGGCGAGCCTGTCGATGCCGTCGACAGGGCTTTCAACAGGTGGAAGAACTGCAGACGATGTGCCAAGAATGCGTTTGAAAAGACAGAACCAATGATCCTTCCTTATTCATACGACCTTTCAGCTCAAAAATGCCGTAAGTTTAAACTTTAAAGCTACTTTTCATTCTTTACTGAAGTTAAATTCAACTGAATATTTTATAACTTAGATGCCATATTAAGTTTAGAATCTGTGTTTGAATCTAATTGTAAATTTAAGTCGACGAGTTGAATTCTGTGGAAAGATCAGTCTGCGAGTGTGACCTTGAGTTCGCACTGAGACTCGACTCTGTTCCGTTGGATCCATCGCTGGCAGACTATGATGAAGGCAATTGCGCTTTTCTTAAAAACAGGAACGTTTTTCTCAATCAATTGCTTTTTGACAATCTTTGGTTGATAATCTATCGGCCGAACATTGATTCAATTCGTGGTTGAGAAAAACCGTGCCAGATCTAAACCCAACCACGGTTGCTGCGCGAAATCAAGCGGCTCCTTCCAATGGTACAATGCAGATCTGATGTGCTGCGATCGCTCAGGAGGGCTAAAGGCGATAGGCGAGTGTCTATAATTCTCTCTAAAAAAATTGAGAATGTTGAATATCAATTTTGCACGATTCTAAATTCCAAACAGCCAAACGGACCTCATCAAAAAAACGCCTTTAGCCTGTATTTTATTTCTCCCGTCGGAGTGAAAGTCTCGCTCCAGTAAATTTAAATTTAACTTACTTTAAAAAAAAACACTCAAGATTATTTAAAATACGTCCGAGCGAGGCGCCGACGGGAAGCAAGACTGACCCTGAAAATATGCTCAAAACTGACGTGATAACTGTCTCTGATATCACAACTATTTCCATTTTAACAATTCGACGAATCCTGAGAAGTTAAAAAATCGACAGGACTATCTGAGAAGAATATCGTTTACAAAACTGTACATAATAAAACAAATGTTCACTTTCAAATCGTTTTGCCCTGGGCTCGGTAACTTGAGTAGAAAACCTGAGTCAGGGTCTGAAAGAGCAAAAATGAAAAGCCGCGTAGCGGCTTTTTTTAGAAACGAAGCCGCAAAGCGGCTTCGCCAGAATTTAAATATAAGATGGAATAATCATCTTGCGAAGCCGCTTCGCGGCTTCGTTTCTAAAAAAGCCGCTACGCGGCTTTTCATTTTTGCTCTTTCAGACCCTGACTCAGGCTGCCGAGCCCAGGTTTTTCCTCGATTCTTGATTCTAGAGCAGCTAGAGGCTTTACAGGGAATTGTAACGCAGCTAATCTCGAGCTCCATATACACTCCAATAATCAAATCCGCTCAACAAAACCGAACTACTATTTTGCATCAAATAAATTAGCCGCTTTCGATTAGTATTTTTCCCGTTACATTTCGTGATTTTCCGTGTTTTGGGGGCAAAGAAAGTGTGACGCAAAGACTTAAGAAAGGAGCGCTGAAATGCTCACTTAATTCAACAAGGCTAGGGTCAACATACAACAAGCTCGCCCGCTAGAATCAGAAAAGCCAAATCGAGCAGATTAGATTGATTTCATTGATAACGAAGTTGAATTGAAAGAGTCTAAGCGCTTCCGCAGCCCTTGTCACGGGAAGGCTTCGGCGGGAATGTAACAAATAACTAAATTCCTGGCCCTACCCCAGAAACCGGACGGCTCCTTGAGATTACACATTGAATGGGGGGAATATTTTAATTCGTTCCTTCGTCAACAATTTATTCGTAAAATTAGAGTTGAAATTATTTTTGCTTCTGAGCTGCTCGTTCTTCGTTGAGCTGTTTTTCCACCTCGAGGTATTTGTAGCTCTTGGTGTTCCAGAGCAAATCCATCAAATCGAAGTGAGTAGCGTAGTTGATCGCCTCGCCTACTTTGGTGATGTGGTTGTGATGCAGCCAGTGCATTCCGGGATGGCTTACTCCGGGCACTCGCCAGCCCGAATGGACTGTAGTCGCGTACAAGATGTTCAAATAGATCTGATCAAAGAAATGTTTGTTTCAAAAAGAAGACTGTTTCAAAACGCTAGAATCTTACTCCGTGAATAACTGCGGTAGAAGAGCTCCTAAAGAAGATGGTCGGGAGCAACTGCATCATCATCGGGATCGGTCCTTCTCCAAAGTAGTCAATAACCGTCATGTAATAGCCGCTGTCAGTAAAACACGTTAGATAAGTTTCTAGGCGAGTTAAATTGTCACCTGAGAGCGATATCTGCCTTCGTCGTGTGGTGAAGCAGATGGCAATTTCTGTACACAGAAGGAAACATGTGTTCTGAAAGAGCAGTTACCGAATAGTAGCCCGAATAGAGAACAAGGCTCTATTATCACACTTCTTTCCGTAGATTTTCCGTCGCGCCCGCCGGATCTACTCCTCATGTCCGAGCTCGATCCAAATCCGAATTGAACGGATTTATTCTTGCCCAAGTATTTTAGAACGCGCGCTATTTTTTAAAGCACATCTCTTATCGCGAAATCAATGTATAATCGTGTTTTGGTTGATCAGCACTCTTCCTTCTCTTTTAGGGTTATCGCTGGGAATCCATCAGATTACATCAGTTTCGACATAAATTTTAAGCCTAACAACGATTAAATTAAATAAAAGTTTGGTGGCATCACATCTTTGAAAATTTAATTTAGCCTTTATTTCGTGCTACTGGGTTATCGAATTTTATATATGGAAAAAAATTATGACTAAAACCAGCTGTGATAGGCACTCCACTCTTCATATCCCGCTAAGAATTCTCCCACAATCACGCCCTCCTTTGGACGCTAAATGAGATTAAAATCACGAAATTTTCGAAGCCGATCATTTTTATTAAATGAACATCATAGAGATCTAAACCAATGAAATCTTCAATAGCGTCGAAATATTGTTTCGAATGACTCAATAAAATGTGTCTGTAACCACATCAACCCTGTTCATTTCACTGTTATATTTGAATATGTTTAGTTCCTGTTAATAATGTTTCCTAATGTTTCCTAATGTAATGTTTCCTAGTTAATAAATGAAAAAGAACACAATACTTATATCCAAGTAAATATATTTTTGATAATCTATCATTCTTATACTGACCTAAGTAGTGACAGAAGAAGAAAGTCACTTCGAAAGCAAGGCCACACAACACGCAAGAAATGAAGATGTTAATGAAAGTTTCTTCTCCTGGAGCCCGTGGTTCGATTTGTGCCCAGTCGAAGAGCTTTACAGTTAGAAAAGGACAGATGGCGAGGTGTAGAAAATGATTCCGAAGGAGGATGGGAAGCATTTTTCTGACAGGTACAGTTGTCCGTTGCTTATTTTTTTGTTTAGCTTAGAATTTTTGATTGATTTGAGAACACCTTGTACAGTTTTCCTTCTTCTTTAGTGAAGTAGTCGAGAGCTAAAAAGGCGAATCCGAAGAACCAAAAGCCTACCGCGATGATTGAAAATTAACTGTTCAACGAACTTGCTTTCGTTTCGTTTCAATCGCTTCCTACTAGCCCCGGCACCCAACAGGCGATCGAAAATGCCCATTTTTCTGAAATTCCGAACGCTTGCCTGTTGTCGTAAAAGTACTTATGGGAATAGTAAGAGAGTGCAATGAGCAAGATCGAAACGGGCTCGTAGATCCATTTGAAGTGATTCGCCGTCAGCCCGGTCCAGACAGACTCCTTCGTCGGCCATTTCAAACCTTCCAATTTCGGCAATTTCACTTTCTCTCTTGCCATTTTTGAAAATTTGGTAAGGTGACTTTGTTTGAGCTGGAATCGAGAAGCCGCCCTGGCAATTCAAATTTGTGCTCTCATGATATCGACGGGCGAATCTTCTAGCCAACGTTATACAACTCAGAATTGAATTTTGCTACGTTTTTGTTTTCAATTACGTTTTAGGAATTTAACTCTTATTCGTTTAATTAGCGCTACACCCTTTTTTTCATCGAAATTCAGGAAGGACCGATTATTTCTCCTTTTCGCAGCGTGTATTTTTGCGGCTTGACATGGCTCCATAAAAAGAATGAATCCCTGCAAAAAGCAACAATCAAACCCGTGGATCCTCGCATGTCAAAAGTCGCCAGACTGTTTCCGATTTCTTGTTAGTTCTAAAACTCGGGCCCGCTGTAGCCGTGATCCCATAGCAATTAGCTCTAGGAATTCAGGGGCCGACCTGACGATTTGTATAATTTCTATAGAAGGTGCTTGTTCTAGTGTCAACTGGCCAGAATTTTTAGATGCAGCAGGTGAGCTAACGATGGCCCTCGAGAACTGGCAAATAGCACCTCTTCAATCGCCGCGTAAATCAAAAATTCGCCATCGCTAGTTAATTATTTTAATGTTTTTCAATGTGCGCCAATTGGATTTATTCGAACGTGAAGACTAAACAATCTCTAGTGCGCGAAGCTGGCGTACTTCAGAATGTTTGCGATTTGTTTCGCGAATTTCGGATAAACATCGTCTCAGCGTCTTCCTCAAAAAATAATGTATAACATGTTTAAAGTGGTTAACTAGTAAAATTATAGCGAAATTAGCAGGCTAACTAGGGCCATTTAACGTAGTAATTTTCAATCAGCCACGGCCGTAAACGGTGCTTAAAATATTTATTCGACAAAGGGCGGCTATAAATCTTCAATCCCTTGGTGATACTCAGCTCTTCCGCTCTTTCAAGTAGCCGACCTCCCATACGTCAGGTTGACGGCTCGATTTACATAAGGAAATTCCTTTCTGATCAGCTCAACTTTCGTGAGTTGGAAATTCGGCGCATTTGAATGTCGGCCGTTTTTAAATTTAAAATTGTATGGGCGCAGGCTTGGCTCCCGACAGTCGAGCATTTTATAGTTTCATTTACTCAACTGAAGCGAATTCCGCTTTTGTGAGCTTGCCTCACGGCGCGTTTGCATTTTACGTGTGCCCAAGTGCTGAGAGGAGCGCGGCCGAGTGGCTCCGCTCAAAAGAAGCTCAAAGAGCTCAAAAGACAGCTCCCAGATGAATCATCAAACCCGCTATTTTTTTTTTCTTATTCTCGGATGCGGAGATGCTCGGCCAGAGATGAACTTTTTTTCTGTAGAGAGACGAAAACGGGGATCGAAGTTGAAGGAAAAGGAGCATTCTAATTTCAGTAATGTCGGCGACTTATGACGGCATGGTCTTTATTTAGAAGGCACTTATGGGCCGACGATTAGCCGATACCTGGAATGCATGAGGTATCAGATCTTTGGCCACTCAAGATTGTTTAGAGCCAGGGTCGTTTTGTGACGCGATCGAGGCGAAAGCCATTTCGTTTTTGATCGTGCCTGTAATTACATCTTCTAAATGGGCGCGCGTGTGTTTTTACGCATTTGTGGAATTGCGTATAATTGCCAAGATGAACAGGCGGCATCAAATATTTATCAAAACGCAGTGCAAACTGATTGATATCGCCCTGTTGTGTGCCCAACTGCCAGAATTTATACGCTGAGTAAACGTTAAAACCACTGCGCGACCAAAAATTTTCCCGACATCTGTGGAGCATCAAGCGCACTCCAAATCTTCACTTGTCAGAAAAATTTTTTTTCAATTTTTTTTTTTGCTCTTACAAAAAAAAATGTAAGATCGACAGTAAAAAGTGGCCATTCGAGAAAATTTTTCAACAAAAAAAACAGCTTGAAAATCGATTAATTAGAGTTCATACTTTCATGATATGAAGACTACTGTTAGAGTTAGCCCAAAATACAGTTTAAAACCGCGAAGAAAATGCCGGAGAATATTTATTAAATGAACATCGAGGTATTTCTTGGCATCATTTTTTTTTGTTTGAGATTTGGAAAAAGAGAGAGAGAGGCTCTCTCGTGGAGATTATCTTTGTGAGTCTAATTTGGCTACATAAATATTTTGATAAAAGTGGATATCTGTTGAGTTGGCGGAGAAGAGGTGCCCTTTGTGGCTCTTTTAGCGAGTACGGAAAGTGCACCTGTCCCGGTGATCAGAGTCCTCTTAAATCTTCATCTGCAGCGAGCACGTCTTACAAAGGTCAAGTCCTTTACAACGACATAGCCGAATACTTAAACGAAAAACATAAAGCCGACCGTAAGAAAGCCTACCAACAAAGAGATTAGAGCCACATGCGCCTAGGCGACGTGAGAATTGAAGAAATCAAGAAAAAAAAATACCCACTTTTCGAAAGATAAATTGAACACTCACCAAGGCAACAATTTAATTACTAATAGTAAGCAATCAATTAAATTTTCGCGCTAGAAACGCGCCATTTTATCGTTTCTTTTTGTGAAATTTAATAGCCCATCCGTTGAATGTTCAGTGATAATGTTTCTGAATTCGTAAGGTTCAATGTCAATTCAGTAAGCAATTTGCTAAGCACTTTTTATTTGGCGGCAAAGCGACAATACGTAGTTTGAGCAATTAGCGCCGACCAACCGGACGATTTGAGAGGTTAATTTCACCGTCTCGCCGAGTCACGAATAGATTCATTTTCCGCCATTTCATATATCACATAGAGCTCAACATCTGCCGCCACTGGACCAGGTCCAAAGACAACTAGCAAAAAAATAGAGGGAAATAGAAATTCCCACAATTCCCAGCATTGTTGAAAAATGAAAAAAAAATTGTCTAGACGAAAAGATGGCAAAATTATTCATGAATTTCTTTTCATCGAAAAAGTTTAGAGAAACAATTAGAACTTGAAATTCCTTTTTTTCGCAAAGGAAAATTTTTAATAAATCTTTAGTTTTTGGACAGTAAAAGTGCTAGTAAGAAGATTGCGGGAGAAAAAGAGTCGCGGTACAGCTTGAGAGAGGCCCTTTGTTTGAGAAAAGGAGAATAATTTCTCAAATATTAGAAAAAAGCAAATATACGGCACTGTTCGACCATAAATACTCTTACACTGCTTGAGAATCACCGCGCCAATTTTCCGCCGAAAAGATCCTTTCTTTTTAGACAGTTAGTGAATTTTAAAAAACTCGTTCGAAATGGAGACTATCAAGAAGAAGATCAACGCGCTCAAAGAGGACAACGAAATCAAGCAGGATGAAATCGACAGACTCACAGTAAGATCTTACGAAATTGTTAAAAAAGCTAGCTCCAACCAAATGTTAGTTACCTAGTTTTACGCACGTTTTATTGGGATTGTGTTTTGCGTGAAAATAAGTCACTTGTTTTGTTTGATAGCTTATCTGGGCTGTGGGCTTATTGAGGCTTGCTTGGATCATTTTTCCGCGGCTCGATTACGTCTTTTTTTTAGAGCGAGCTGAAGAAGGAACAGGACGAGCGAGAACGCGTCGAGCAAGAGCTCCATGCTTTGAACAGCAAGGTCAGTGGAACTGAGAATTATTGCGATGAAAAATATGCTTCCTAGAACAACATGCTCGAAGACGACCTCGAGCGAGCCGAGGAGAAACTTCAAAGTATCACTTCGCGACTTTCCACCGCTGAAACCGAGAAAGACGAAGCCGACCGCGCAGTTCAAAGGTTACACAAATCAAGAACTTGCCAATAAAGCTGTATTTAGCCTTTCAATTTCCGAAGGAAACGCATCCGATAAGCTCATGGATCTCGAACAGCAGCTCAAAGAAGCGAAGATCTTAGCCGAAGAATCTGACAGGTAATTTTTGAATTGTTTTCCACTTGGCAGGTTGAACTTTTTTTAACCATTTATGATGAACTTGCGGTGCGAGACAAAATGTCGGATGTCATTTCTTGCCATGTGACATTAAACGTGGACAGTGCTGTTTTTGATCTAACGTATACATGATGAGGCGTAACCAAAATCAAGTTTACGAAAATTCAATAACATCGCCACGATGCGGCTTCGATTAGGAATTATCGACCAAAGTTGATAAATTGCTGAAAGAGACTTATTTCTTTTTTCAGAAAATACGAAGAGGTCCAGCGAAAACTCGTCGCCGTCGAAGGCGATTTGGAGCGAGCGGAAGACAAGGCCGACGAGTTCCAGCGTAAATTTAATGCCAAGGGTTTTACATTTTCTGTTACATATCTTCGCATACTAGAGGAGGTTGACTAGCCGTTTCGATAAACTGGGCTCGGCAACCTGAGTAGAAAACCTGAGTCAGGGTTCTAAAAGAGTAAACTGAAAAGCCGCGTAGCGGCTTTTTTTTAATGAAGCCGCAAAGCGGCTTCGCTAGTTACAATAACTCATTGAGTTGATAACTTTGGCGAAGCCGCTTTGCGGCTTCGTTTTTAGAAAAAGCCGCTACGCGGCTTCTCATTTTACTCTTTTAAAACCCTGACTCAGGTTTTTTTCTCAGGCTGCCGACTCGGCAGTGCCGAGCCAAGTCGATAAAAGCCCGAAAGGGAGTCAAAGTTGTCCCTTTTTCGCGAGAACCTCTGGTAGAGTGAATGTAAAACCGCCACTACAGATGTGCAGAGCGAGGTTCGGGACCTAGATACTAGTTTGAAAAGTGCGCAAGCACTCGAAGTAAATGCATCTGAGCGCGAAGAAGAGCTAGAGCAAAAAATCGCCAAGGTTTTTTTTTAAATTCTCTCAGTAATTGTCGATTTCTTTTTCGTTCTATCATTTTGAGAGCGATTGATAGAGCTTGTTGTTTTTTGTTTCTAGTTTTCTAACATAGTTGTTAGAAGGTTGTTAGGCCAACTATAGTAAGGCAAATCGTCAGGGTGCGTACTAAGTAAATACACGGGGTCTGATACAAACGCATGTTCACTGCGTTCTAGAGAGAAAGAACCCACTTCGCATGGCAGAGCACAGCGCCATTTCCATCTGATTCGATTCCATGCGAAATCAAGGAAGACTCACTAAAGTGTTTTTCTTTGTGCGTGGCGCGCAACCCATCTAGAACAACAGTAAACGTAGCTCAGCGAGACTCTTAGAGTACCAGTGCCCGTCCTTGTGATTCGGTTACGTAATTAATTACGACGTTGATTTGCGATTGTTGAACAAAATTGAACAAAAAATGGAAGCGAATGTTTTTTCGGTGATTTTCGTGATTTCGTCCCTTCGGGTGCCAAAGTGCAGTGTATTTTGTATTAGTTGAATGAATCTCTCCGCGAGTTGGACAGAACAAACGAGACGCTGGGCAAGGAGAACACCAGGCTGCTCAAGGACAACGAAGATCTAGAGGCCGAAATCGAAAGCATCAAGCTCGAGGAACAGTTCACAAATGAAATTTCGCATTTCGCTTTTTCGTATTTCCATTCCCCTGTTTTGACATCAAACGAACTCGGGGTGAGAATTCGTATTTTGGGATTTTTAATTTTGATGGAACTGAAAAAAGCGAGACCAAATTAAGGAGGAACTGGCGCAAACCATTCGCGAGCTGGGCGAAATCTAAGCAAGAAGACAACTGACCCTCCACCTCTCCGCATCCTTCGAGTGCCTTCAGCATCTGTGAAAATCCTTGTAATATCCTCTTTCGCTCACCAAAACCTAAAATCACGGTGTTACTTCGACAATCACAAATTTGCCTTCTTCTCATTTCATAGACAACACACAACCCACCCACGACCATGTAAACAACAGTATTGACAATTTTTACGACTACGACATTCTCAATTATTTGAATAAATAAATTAATAAAGCCAGTTTCCTACGAAAGAGTGTATTCGGCGGTCAAAGATACAGCAGTCGCATCAAAAAAGCCCATCGAAGCGTACTCGAACTCAAACCACAGTTCATCGTAGTTGACGACTTGCAGATTCTCCAATCGAAAGGAGGCCCCGTTGCCAGATGGGGGCCACACGGAAACCCGACTGTCGGAAACTCTGAGGCTCTGTACTCGCTCTGGAAAAAGCAAATCCACGTGGGTCGTATTTTCCCATGAAGTGGCCGGTCGGAGAGCTGTTCGAACGTTTTTCTTCAAGAGATTATTTGGAAATGAAAATATAAAAATTCCGTCTTTATTGTGTTCAATAAAAACCCATATCATTATATAACGGAGAATTTTTAAGGAACTTTCCTGGGTTTTTCTCCCGACAAGTGATAGAAATATCATTAATCGAGAAGCCTTCAACTGACGAAGGGTGAAAATAAACAATGCCCTCTAAGTTGTCTCCTTTCCAATTTTGTGGGAAGGTCACGTGATAGCGCTGCGTTGAATACTCTGACAACTGTGGGAGGATGAAGCCAGTGAAAGGTTGAAAGACCGAAATTGCCTCTGGAAATTTGAACTCGCAAGTGGCATTTTTCGGGTCAGCAGGAAAACTGATGATTGAAAAGATAAATCCGCCTGAATACGATTATAGCATGCAGCATGGATCGCTATTTACCAGGATGTTGAGGATTCCAAGGCCACTCGGTATTTATAGACACGTTGATTGGTATCTCTGAAGCTTGAAAACAGCTCAAAAATAGAAAAAATAGCATTTTCTCCGCTGCTCTGCCTGCTGCTTACAATGTTCGGCTAGTGCTCCACCGGATTAGAGATAACCATAAATAAAGAATTTCGCCAAATCTGGCCCATGGCGCTGGAATTTCGGGAATCGTGTCTCGGCGGATCATGCTGAGCTCGACGTAATACAAGGGATGCAATTTATTCGATCGTTAAAATAACGACGAGTCGCCCAGCGCGCTAAGACTGGCTTATTTGGTGACAAAATTGTGTTGACGATTAGTAGGGTGGCTCTAAAATTGTCTCTAATTGGATCAGCTCCCCTTCGAGGGGCTCATCCATTTGCCTCATCTCATATTGACTCATCAGGACGCGGGGTTCATCGCTCACTGCTAGAATTCTAGCAACTGCTACCTGTAGTAGCTCTGAAATCTTATGTTTTCGCCATTTGGGAGAGATGCGAGCCTGATCGGAAGAGAGCCAGAGCAAAATAGAAACTACTGGCGAGCAGCAATTGGTAATTAACGCCTCGAAAATTTGAGAAAAATAATAACTTCTTGAAGACATTTGCGATGGCAAGGAAAGACCGGAAAAAGTCAACATTTCTATTGACAAATCGAAGGGAACAATAACCGCCAGGAAAGGTTGTCAATTATCGTGATAATCAAAAATATTTTAAAAAGAAGTTTTTGCTTAATAACCTTGCGCAGTGGCGAGCTGCCTTTGTCGGGAACGACATTCAAAAAAGTAGTCTCTTTTCCGAATAATGTTCGATCGGAAACAATTCAAAGCACACTCCAGGGAAAAACGTTGACTTTGAGTGGAGAAACGGATCCTACCAAGACTGATGGATTTTTATCTGGGGGCTTTGGACGTGGAGGCTTTTCTGATCCCTTCGAAAGCAACGCTTCTAAGGTTAGTTCGAATATTTAAAATTGTCGTGGAGGTTTTATTTTCGCAGAGTTTTAACGATATGGCGAAGAATTTCTTTGGAAGCTCGTGGAAAGACTTTGACACGTCGTTTGAAAATCAAGCTGGTCTAATGGAACGACCCTCAAGATTGGTTCTTTTTAATTCCTTTCCTTTTTCGAAGAAATTCGTTAATTGAAATCAAATCGTGAAACCAAATTTGCTTTTTTGTTTGTGTAACTTTGCAGGTCGCTGACCTTAAAATGACATAAACCGGGAACCAGAAAAAAGCCAAACTCGAATTCGAACTTCTGAACTTCCTGGATTACGAGACGGTCGATCTTCAGTCGAATCTCCTTCTTTGCGCGAACGGACTCGCAGTCCCTATTCTATGAGAAGCTCGCCTTCGATGGAACCGATTGCCATCCCGCTTTCAGTGCAAACAGTAAGACTTCAAAAGAAACAGAGATTTCACTGCTAATATTTCAGGAGCCGATTTTGACAACAAACTGCAACGACAACGTTCGCTGGGAAGTTCAACTCAAGACCGAGGAGAAAATTCTCCCACAGCAAATAAAAATCACCGTCTTTGGCAACACGTAAGTTCTGCCGAAATATCCACAAACAAGTCACCGTTGTATAGAATCAAAATCACGGGCGAGTTTGAGAAGTCGATCGAAATACCCAGCGATGTCGAAATATCGAAAATACGGACTTGGATCAAGGACAAATCTCTTTTCATTTCTGGTGCAAAGAAACAAGCTAAACCGGTTCAAGCAGCATCTAAAATGAGCGCGCCGACGAATAGACTCATTACGAACTCGGCCGACAAATGGGAGCTGCATGTGGATTTGGGAGAAAATTGTCCTGATCCTAATGATTTGTCGATTATCGTTAAGCAGAACTTTTTGTGTATTTACATTGGAAGAGTAAGACAATACTGAATTGAATTTACAAACGATAATTTCAGGGCGACGCCGAGAAAATCCTGCACGACCGAGTAGCTATTCCAGCGAATGTCAAACCAAAGAACATTCAAACTGCGATCAAAGGCAAAGTCCTTGTCGTTTCTGCTCCCAAAGGACTTTCAAAGTACAACCGACTTTTTTCTCAAATACTTCATCGTTGTTTAGGCCAACAATGTTTAATTCTACAGCTGATATTGACCTGTTTCCCGGCGGCTTTCAGATAATAAGTGGTGGCTGATGTAGATAAACTGATATAACCAGAAAGAACATCTATTTGCATCTGTTTAGATTTCCCAGCTTATCAGCCCTAAATAGTCCAATCGCGGAGATTTGCCAACATCTTTCTCAAAAATGCAATCAACAAAGACTCCAATTTCATCCACATTCGGAATGGACAGCACTTTTCCAGATTACAGTGGTTTGGGCAATTCTGCTGGTTCTTATGAAGTCATTGAAAACAGCCCTAAAAGATATCGCGTTCGAGTGCCAGTTACTTCTGGTAAATTCTGCCGAAAATTACCGTATTCTTCCGGCTAATTGAGAAATTTAGACTTATTTTCATCCTCTGCGAATATCATCATCAAAGTCAACGGGCAAAAAGTAACGGTTGAAGCAAAGATCGAAGCTACAGATGCTTATGGAAACAAGAAGATCTCCAAAATCTGCAAAGACGTTACACTTCCAGCTGACTGCAACATGAAAACTTTGAAAACTCAAGAAGAAAACAACGCCGTCATCATTTCTGTCGACAAAAATGAAATATCACAGCCTGATTTTGTTCCTCTAAAGGTTGGCTTGAAGATTCTAGAAGAGACCATGGTTTTTTTAGGAGCGACAAGCGTACGAAGGGCGGGGAGTCAACTCTCCTTGGACGTTGACGGGATCGAGCCCAAGTCCTCGGCCATCTTCTCAGACAGATGCTTTTCCGCAGCCTCCAACTCAAGATGAAGTTTTTCCCGAAGCACGTGCTGAGTCGAGAACCAGAAAACATTCAAAGAACGTTAGATTCAGTGAAGAGCCCCCTAAAGTTACTCAAGTCGATACAGATGAGCCTCCATCACCCCAAGTTGCGCAAAACAAGGCAAACCAACCGACCCCGAAGAAAAAAGGTATCATGAAATGAATGATTCTATTTGAAAATTTCAAAGGAATCGGTCGGATGGACAGCAATGACTTTATTATGGCGGAAGAAGAGGACGTTGCAGCTTCTCTCAGAAGCCTGACTCTTCCAGTTCTAGAAGAAAGGCCTGCTTCAATTCCTCCAGATGAGCCGATTGAAGACTTGGGTGTTTTTGGTGGCTCGACTCCGCAAATAGAAAAGCCGAATCCGTTTATCCGCCCTATTCTACAAAAGCCACAGGACTTTATCGCTACAAACGAGCCTGATCCAAGGAAGGTTTTCTAGTGCAATTATCATCCAGAGCAGTGATTTTCTATTGCCAGAAAAAGCCTTTGAAAGCATTGTTCCGCTCAAGGTTGTCAACGATCCGCCGCAGCGGCAGATGGCCACTAAATTTCCAAATTATAACACAGATCCCATCACGAGAACAGCGCCAAGCCCTTACTGTCCCTTCCCAACTGACAACGCGGGCTTTCCGCCACCTCCTCCTTGCGTGACGGGTGCAGGCTCAGCAACTACAACATTTGGAACACCTCTTATGCCTCCGCCTGCCTACTACGATTCGACCACCACCCGCCGTGCCTCCGTAGACATTCCAGTAGAACACGTGGACGATGCATGATTTTTTTTAACTTTCTTATTCGCTGAATTAAATAACCCTTACTTGCTTTCAAATACAACCTGCAAAGACACAACAAACACAAAGAAGTTTTTCAGGTTTAAAATTTGAATTTTGATTCAATTATTGAATCCGAAAAACTTCTCAAAGTTTTGAAAGTCAAAATTGATTTTATTCAGGAATGAATCTCCGAAGTTTTCTGAAGCCCCGAAATTCTGATTCAAGACCTAGACGTAAGAAGATATGATTAGATTTCCATTTTTTCGGAAAGTGGAAATACAACCAGTTTAATCTCTTCACACTTGTGTTAGTTGATCTTCATTATCGCGGTGTAATGGCCTCAAAGTCGACATCAATTGTGACAAGAGCAGGTCAAATTTTTCAATCGGCCAGATAAATTCCCGACCGTTCGGCGAGCGAATAATTTTTTGAAAGTTATGCGCAGGAGTTGAGCTTTTAAATGAATTTCAAATTATTTTTTCTTGCAAAAAGTTTTTTCCTTTTAATTTGAGAGCTCTTAAAAGAGGAAGATCAGTAGTTGGATATTTTTTCAGTTACTCGCTATGCAATCTGAGAGATAATAACTACGGAGAAGTTTGCCCTGCAGTAGAGCATCACGAAACATGGGCAGGTCCGAATCCGATAAAGCATCAGTCCTGTCCTGGGTATCGATGCTGTGATGGCACGAATCTCTGGTGCCTCGGATGTAACCCGGTTCTTCTGAATATGGGCGTTCCTTGCGAAGAGCAAAGTACAGAATCCACAGGAGTATGGAAAAGAGACTGCTTTTGTGATGTTTCGTGCATTGAGTTCCAAGACTGCTGCAGAGGAAAGGTTCTGGAAGCTTACTTTCAAAATAAAGGAGAAAAAAATATTGAACCTTTTTAAGACCACGAAGAGATATGCGAGCCAGTTTTGCTAACAACACCCGGTAATGCAACCTAGTTTCGAGATTTTATAATCCTTTTTTAGCATCAACCACTTTTACATACGAAACGACGGAATCAACAGAGCCAAGTCGGGAAGGAGCATCCTGCGCGAGTCGATCTTCTTCTGAATCTCTTTGTCCTTCAGGGCCAGTCGACAATATTAACGTTAGTTTAAGAAAAATCAAAATTTAACTGAAAAAAGGATCGCCTGATTGTGATGATCATCTGTGCTGCCTGGAGATGGGAAGTGATTGCTACGGATGTGTTCCTGAACTGGTCGAAATCGGTATTCCTTGTTACCGTCAGCCGACGATCAACAAGGCAGAATGGACTTCGAGCATTACTGACGGCTACGGGAAACGAGACTGCTTCTGTGATCAAGCGTGCGAGAGCTTTGGTGACTGTTGTTTCGATCACAAAGAAGTTTGCAAACCGCTCTTCGAAGAAAAGGGCACATCAACAGACTCAACCGACGTTGCTGTGCGACGATGTTCGCCCAAATGCCATCGCCAGGAATTCATCTCGTCCTTGACGAATCTTGGAAATCCTCAGTACAAACTGGACGCAGAATGTCAACCGGATGGCTTGTTTGATATTTGGACTGTAATTTGCACGGATCCAGAGGGAATACTGCCGGAAATTCGCCAAGAGGGGTTGAAATATTATTTTACAACTTTAGTTTCAAAGTTGTAGTATTTCGAACCTTTTGTAGTCCTCCGAGCATAAGGCTCAAAACTGAGAAAATCGCGACATTATGTCTCGCTGACCGCACAATTCAGGAATCAAAATGCCAAAGTTAATTGTATATTAATTGGATTTAGTGCGGGGAAAGAACTCAAGAGCCAGAAGTTGTCGAGTGCAATTGCGATGAGTCAGCACTTCGAGAGCAAATGGGCCAAAACGTAGGACAGGATTTTAATAAGAGACTGACTGACAATCAATCACATTCCATTAAATTATTGATGATCAGTATAAAATCTTGATAAAGAACTTGCTTGCTCAGAAGTCATCAACTTCAAGAAAGAAAAATGGTACGCCAATTGTCCAGGAGAAACACCTAAGCTTATGACCTTCAAAATGTGCAAAGCATCATCATTAGGCTGCGAGAGTGATCAAACTGAGAGCGAAGAAAATGACTGCGTGCTCAAGGAAAATCAGATTCTCCCATATGTCTCTATAGAAGGTAGGCTAGAGCTCATTCTCGAGCTGCATTATTGGCAATAATTTATTGTAGGAACGCGAGTGGACGTAAACGCTATTTGTGATGGTGTTTCTGACGGATTAGACAAGTGGACACTCTACTGTGATGCAAATTCGAACGGTGAGCTTGATGATGACGAGTCTCGACAGAGCTACAAACTCAAGCAAAACCCTGCGAAGATTCGCAAGAAAGGCGTCAAGATTAACTGTTAATTATGTCACATTTAATAAATCAAAATACAAGAAGAAATTTTCTCATGATCATTTTTTTTTATTTTCAACGTTCTCTATTTTTACTCACTCAAAGAATCGATGATAATAATACAGTCTGTATGATAACTTTTATGCCGATGTTTTAATGCTACGAATAATTGATCACTATTTGAATCATCACTGCAGTCAGGAATGTGGATCCGCAGCGCAAAATCCGCAAAACAGCGCAAAATGCGGGATTTTTCATTCTGCAGCGCAAAACAGCGCAAAATCAGCCCCAAAAATTTCCGTAAAATTTCCGGAAAATTGCGCGCAAAAGCGTTTTTTGCGCGAAAATTCCACAAAATCTCAATACATTTGCAGTCCGCTAGTAGCAAGGAACACGCGTCCGGCTCGAAATACCAACCGCTTGCGCTCAAGCATAAGTTTTTTCTAAATGTTTTTCAATCTTCAATTTCTTTTTTCAGGAAAGTGTTTTTTTATTTATTATCGAGAGACTTTTAGAATGTCAAAGAATTTTGAGTGCGACCTCTGTGGATTTTATGCACAAAGTAATGATCCTCTTGGCAGACATCGGGGCGGAAGGGATTGCAAGACCCGACAATTATATAACAAGCTTGAATCCCAAGAAGGTAAGCTATCTTTTCAGCAAACAGATAATAAATACAATAACCATGGTTTATTGTATCTATTGATTGCAAATTTCAAGTTTTGTAAAAATCAAAAATGAAATTTTTCTTCAGAAATCCCCGAAAATAGCTGCCATAAATGTAGGGGAACCTTCGCCTCGAAAGACAGCTGGATCTTTCACAAGACTAGTACAAAGTGTGGACTGGAAGAACGTGCCTATCGTGAATACGTCAATCAAGCCAAGGCGAGGAAAACTGGTGCGGTTCCGGCATCCGAAAAGATCAAGGACAGCACGCCGAAGTGCTCGAAAAGTAACTTACTATTTCAAAACGGTATTAATTATTACCGGTGAAAGCAGACTCAAATCCGGGGTTACGCCGCCACTACAAGTCTCGAAACTTGTGATTGGCTAGTGCCAAAAGATTGTCGCCATATATGGCGACAATCTTATTATCCAGGCTAAAGGCCTGCTTTCATCGGTATTCAGGGCATCGTCGACAAAACAAAGGCGAAGGTCTCGATGGAAACGACTTTCTTCACGGAGGAAAATAGAAAATGGCCACAACTTCGGTTGAAGGTAAAATATTTTTTGGTAAGCTGTTGAATCTTACAGGATGTATATATTTGAGTTTTTCTAGCATATAAATTTCGATCCCTTTCGCTACCTTTTGCAGCAGTATCAAACTAGGGTAATAAGGAACAGGAAATTCAAATTGGGTTTGAAAATTGAAAACATGGAAGAACCTGAAAACTAGCTCAAAACACTTCAGCTCCCTTTTTAGGGAGTGGCTGAGGGGGCTTTTTTGCGTTTGGTCAGTTGATTTTTCGAATCAAAAATTGATTCGAATTTGGGACTGATATTTTCAGGCGTAAGAATTTCTCGTGGCGTTTAGTTAGTTTTTTGTGACGCTAGCGCGGAGCAAGCGTCCGGCTCAAAAAACCAGCCGCTTGCGCTCAAGCATAAGTTTTTTCTTCTCAATTTTTTCAATCTTGAATTTCCTTTTTAGAAAAATGATTTTTTTAGGAATAATTCAGAGAGTTTTTTAGAATTTCAACGAAAGAATATATTTGCGACCTGTGCGGATATGAAATCCAGTGGAGTAGTAACATCGGGGCACATCGAGGCGGAAGGGATTGCAAGCTTCGGCAGTCGTACAACAGTAAGCTATCATTTCTATTTTGCAAACGAATAATTAATACAATTTACAGGGTTTATTGTACCAATTGGTTTTGTAATTAAAAAATTTTGTTGAAATCAAAAATTATAATTTTCTTTAGAAATCCCGGAATAAAGCTGCCATGAATGTCGTCGAACCTTTGCCTTCAAAGATAACTGGCTCAGTCACAAGCAACGTACAAAATGTGGACTGGGAGAACGTGCTTTTCGTGAACGCGTCAATCAAGCCAAGGCGAGGAAAACTTTTGCAGTAGTAATACTGCTGAGCAGTATCAAACTAATGTCTGCCTTCTCTTTTTTCATTTCGGAAGCGAGCGAATTGTTTTTCACCGTCATAAATCAAAGTATAATTTTAAACGTGTTTTTCTTGTTTCTGGTTGCGAGTTTGGGGGCTCCTTTCTTTTTTTCAAACTTGGCCTAATCATCTCTTTTCTCTTTTCATAAATTTTATTAATTAATAAAGTTTATTGAAAGTATTTTTGAAAGATTCGGAGTAGAGTTTTGAATCTTCTGAAGTCTCTCCGCCACTCTGCAATTATGAGACTTGCAAAAATAAACGTTTTCATCAGAAATTTTAAAGACACCATTTCCAGTGCGAAATCATTTCCTTTCCAACAGGACTTTCCATGATAAGATTGTCAATGAAGCTATTGTGTTTTGCAGACTTGTTCAAGTGCTGAAATTGATCACGATTTCGAGTAGGGTTTTCAACGACTTACAGGGATAGGAGAGTCTGGAACAGGTTTATCAAGAAATTTGCAAAGTGGTTCCCAACCATCTTTGATGTTCCAAACAAGAAGTCGTTTTTCTGGAACTATTTCCTTGACCCGTCGAATGTGCGCTTCATAAACATCTTCCATAGCTTCCCAGTAAGGGATCACGAGTTCGTTTTGCTTCTGCCAAGTGAACACATGCCAATCTGCTGGGTACAGTGCGACGTTACAGTTTCGCAGGAGTTTTTTCTTCATGACATACTAAAACGTGAAAAAACGCGGTTGGATGTATCTTTACTTCATTAATTCTACAAATCTTGTTCATCCTCGGCCCCGACCAGCCCATTGCCGCCATCCGATTGAGCAGCCAGAAGCCAGGATTGCCAAAACGACGAGTGTCTTGTTCGAAGAAATGAATTAAACTCCGCTTCCATTCCTCGGTGCTGTCTCTTACAGTAAGAATAACCTTTGCATTCGGAGATGCATGAAAGAGCTCTTCCCAGTAAGCATGGCCGGGAAAGTCTTGATTTGCTTGAAAACCGTGCTTTTTGTACTCATCGATCACTTTTCGAATTGAGCAGCGGCCATTAATGTACTCGAACCAAACATCTGATAGAAATTCCATCGTCTCGGTGATGTCCGCTACTTTGTACCCAAGCGTTCTTAATCAGGGGATCAGTCTTATTTTGAGTTCCTATAAAATTTATGAAGGAACCTTAGGCAGCTGGTGCAACTTTTGGTCGATGTCTTCGGATACCCTGCGCAGATGATTTCCATTCTCTCGCTCTTTTTATTATGAAAGCAAATGCTGATGATACTCTGGCCCAAAGGCAGTACGGTACAGTCTGCAGTGGCCATATGTGATCCTTAGGAAAACGGACCCACCCGAATGAAGGAAATAAGATAAGAAAGCAGTTGGTTTTCGATATTTTTATTTGAGAATTTGCAGTTTTAGATGAATGTTGTTAAGGGGAAAATGTTGTTCAGTAGAGCTTGATAATCTGATCGTTGGTGAAAGCCTTTTGGCAAATCGGACAGGAAGAAAGACGGTTCAAACAATCATTGCAAAAGCGATGGTCACAGAGAAGAGTGCATTCTTGACAATCGTTGCCATCATAGACTTCAAAACAAATTGGGCAAGAAGAAGAATGGTGTTGTGTTTCTTCCCTCAGAGTATGATACTTATTCTTCCGAAATTGAGCTTTGAGGTACAGTCGTCTTCGCTCTGATAGAAATCGGTCTCTCTCTTCTGCACGAAGTCTTTTTTCTCGTGCTAGTTTTGTAGATTGTTCGTCAAGAGCCTGATATGCTTCTTTACAACTTCTTGAATCCCGTGATTTTTTCCGCCGATCTCCTTTGCAACTGTTGACCAGTTTGAAGAAAGTGAAAACTGCAAAGGGAGCTCCGCACATTCGCACAAAAAACTTTGTCATGGTAAAAGTTTTGCTATTTTTATTTTGATTGCTTTTTTTCTGAATTTCCTTATATTTACGAATGCTCTTGAGCACCATCTGGTCATGATATTTCGGAGCTGATTGCTGTAATTCTTGATTTTCAACGAAAATCAGTGAAAAATTATCCCTGTTATCGATTGATGATGATCTAATTCCATGCTTTCCTATTTATCTTTTTTTGTCTAAAAATTTTAATATGGGACGAAAACTTTAAAAAACGAAGAAAGGCAAAACAACCAATTGATTATAAATTTTAAATAATTCATTATTGAGTCGAGCGGATGGAAGCGATGAGCTCCACTCAGCTGAGCGCGAGTGTGACTGCCCGTTGTGCCCTCTGGCTGCCCTCATCCCAAACCGTTTCAATCGACCGTGGTCGATTCTTGATCCATGACAAACCGCCGTTGACCGGTAGCATGTCGTTAGAGAAGAATGATCACATAAAAGCATGATCGCCAAGAACACGCAAGAGAAGTTTAAAGTCACCTTGACCTTGGTGTCAATGACGCTGATGCTCATCTACATCGAGAGCGTTTCCCTGCACTCGGACACAACTAAACAACCAAAAGCTAGTTCTCAAGAAAAGCTACTAGTAAATTCTAAAGCAGTCAAAAAACCTCACCCATCGCCCACTCCACTTCCAGGAAAATATTTTCAATAAAAGATCGATAAGAGATCTAGCATCGGCAACCTGTGTAGAAATCCTGAGTCAGGTTCTGAAGCGGCTTCGCAAATTTCCCAGTTCAATCTTTTTTGAAATTCTGGCTGCTTTTTAATTTCAGCTTTTTGAGAACCTGACTCAGCCAGTTTTTCTACACAGCTTGCCAAGTCCAGATTCAAAAACGAAAATTTGAAAACATCGAAAAAAGTGATCACCAACGAAAAGGACAACTGCAAGAAAACAAACCAGATCGTTTTCGTGAAGACGCACAAAACTGCTTCATCGACCGTGCAAAATATTTTGCTCCGCTTTGCCGACACTCATAATATCCCAGTTGGACTACCAGCGAATTCCGGCAGTCGTTTCTTCTATCCTCGCAAGTTTCTGAAAGCAATGACGAAGCCTCTTCTGGACGGTTCTTCGCCCGCAATAATCGCTCATCATCTAAGAGGTAAAATATCAATTACAACCGGTTATTTATCTATATCTTTTTATAGCTAGCGATCAGCTGTTCAATACATATCCCGATTCCAAGTTTATAACAATTTTACGCTCAATTCCTTCACTCTACGAAAGCACCTTCTCTTACTTCAAAACAGAAACAGCCCCTTACCGAGATGCCGCGAATTTAACAGAGTTCTACAATGAGCCGGAGAAATTCGTAGATTCAAAGGATCAAGTCGGTCCCAATGGCGGCCGCGTTTTCGCCAAAAACCACATGACATTTGACTTGGGCTTTGATCATTTGTCCGCGTCGGAGGAGGAAATAGAAGAGGCGATCAAGAGCATGGAAGAAAGATACGAATTGGTGATGATTTCGGACTACTTCGTCGAATCGATGGTCTTGCTAAAACACGCCTTTTGCTGGAACTGGGAAGACGTGGCATTTTTCGCTTCCAACGCTAGGGCCAGCAACTCAGAAGATCAATTAGACGAAGAGCTTTCCCGGAAAATGGAGGAGTGGAACCACTTTGACTTCAGGATATTTAGCCATTTTAATAACACCTTGTGGAAAAAAATTGACGAATTGGAATCATTTGATGAGGATAAAAAGACTCTTGAAGCGCTTCTGGAAGAGTTGAAAGAACACTGCCTGGATTCCGAAGTCATTTGTAGAAAGGTGAGCTTTACTTCTACCAAAGGCGCAGAAAATATTGTCTCTTAGGGAATGAGCTGTGGGAAGGCGACAAAAGTAGCAATCAAGAAAAACACCCTTTCTGAAAGTGGCGCAGCTGACGAACGATGCAAGCAAATGGTCCTCAATGAGTTAGAGTTCACCAAGAATATTTACAAAAAACAGTGGCCAAATTGGACGAATTTTTACGGCTGAAATTTTGCTAAATTATCAATTTTCCTGCCTAAAACCCAATAAAATAAAGCACAACTTGTACTTGTTTCAAAAGAAATAATTCTATCAGCAATGTCCGATATCAAGCCATTCATTTCGTAAAAAGCATGTGATTGGAAAATATCATATGTTACATTTGTCATCATTATCACTCGCTTAAAGGGATAATTTTTCATAAATTTTCGTTGGAAATCGAGAATTTGAGCAATCAGCTCAGAAATATCAAAACCAGATGGTGCTCAAGAGCTCTTTTGAGTATAAAATGAAATCAGAAATTTAAAAGTATCATAAGAGCACTTTTCATCATGAGTTACTATGGCCGTGATCCCATGCTCAGTGACAATGAAGCCTATTTACTTTGTATACTTTTGGTTTGCGGAACTATCGTCGGCTGCGGCTTCGGATTAGTGAAATTGAGTGATGACGAGATATCTTTTTATGCACTTTTGGGCTGCGTGGCTTTTATTGCTTGTGTCTTTGGATTGTTGAAATGCTTCCCAATGTGCATACCTCTAATACAGGACTGCAGAAGAGATCGGCAAGCAAACAAACAACGGCGCGATGCAAGACGGCGGGATGCAAGAATGTATGAAGAAGCAATGCGGACTATCAACGAACAAGCCGCACGAGTTCGAGCGGAACTGGAACAACAACAAAATGAAGCACAGACTCGGGTACAAGAAGAAGTAGCAATCAAAATAGAGAAACAAAAACAAATGAAAACAACCAGCCTCTATCCCAGCCTGAAAAAGCCATCGAAATCACAAAAGCCTCCATCCTCCTGCCCGATCTGCGCAAATGTCTACAATGGCAACGATTTCCAAGAATGCAGCCTCCTCTGTGGCCATCGTTGTTGCAACGATTGTTTGAACCGTCTTTCTTCCTGCCCGATTTGTCGAAAACCATTCACTGCCGACCAGATCATCAAGCTTTATTGAACATCACTTTCCCATTTTTCTCATCAAATTTCTATGGTTAAAATCTAGCTAAATTATCATTTTTTCCTGCCCAAAAACCAATAAAATCATCACAACTTGCAGTTTTTTTTTTGTTCAAAAGAAGTTATATGCAAAAATGCGCAAACAAATTGTAAATGCCCGATTTCAGAACATGTATAACGTAAAAAGCATGGAATCGCCTGCCAGTATGTCTCTAGAACAGGCCCGGCGGAGCGCGTTGTTATTCAGTTGACGCTCACTTTTCGAAGTTGGAAAGTCCGCGCCGCATCGCTTTCAGGTAAATTTGTATTTTTATTAATTAATCAATTAATTTAATTATCAAATATTTTAATTAATAAAAATAATTCAGAAGCCCCAGATCATCAGGCCGTCAGCCTGGTGAAATCTGCTCAATTTGCTTGGGAAGTGGAGTTTGTCGAAGCAAAAATTCCACAAGGTCGTGGATGAAAACATGACTGCTAAAAACAGGGTGGGGAAAGGTCTACGGCACGGCACGGCACGGCACTGCGGCACGGACACGGCACGGCACGTGCCGTGCCGTGCCGCTCCATTCAGAGAATTTCAGTTTGGACACGGCACGGTGCCGCGGCACTGGGGTTAGGGTAAGGCGCTGCCCCGTTCCTTGATTTTTAAATTTAAGGGGCTTGACGGCCCTTCGGGCCGTTTCAGCCCCGTTCCTTGATTTTTAAATTTAAGGGGCTTGACGGCCCTTCGGGCCGTTTCAGCCCCGTTCCTTGATTTTTAAATTTACGGGGCTTGACGGCCCTTCGGGCCGTTTCAGCCCCGTTCCTTGATTTTTAAATTTAAGGGGCTTGACGGCCCTTCGGGCCGTTTCAGCCCCGTTCCTTGATTTTTAAATTTAAGGGGCTTGACGGCCCTTCGGGCCGTTTCAGCCCCGTTCCTTGATTTTTAAATTTAAGGGGCTTGACGGCCCTTCGGGCCGTTTCAGCCCCGTTCCTTGATTTTTAAATTTACGGGGCTTGACGGCCCTTCGGGCCGTTTCAGCCCCGTTCCTTGATTTTTAAATTTAAGGGCTTGACGGCCCTTCGGGCCGTTTCAGCCCCGTTCCTTGATTTTTAAATTTAAGGGCTTGACGGCCCTTCGGGCCGTTCCAGCCCCGTTCCTTGATTTTTAAATTTAAGGGCTTGACGGCCCTTCGGGCCGTTTCAGCCCCGTTCCTTGATTTTAAATTTAAGGGCTTGACGGCCCTTCGGGCCGTTTCAGCCCCGTTCCTTGATTTTTAAATTTAAGGGCTTGACGGCCCTTCGGGCCGTTTCAGCCCCGTTCCTTGATTTTTAAATTTAAGGGCTTGACGGCCCTTCGGGCCGTTTCAGCCCCGTTCCTTGATTTTAAATTTAAGGGGCTTGACGGCCCTTCGGGCCGTTTCAGCCCCGTTCCTTGATTTTTAAATTTAAGGGCTTGACGGCCCTTCGGGCCGTTTCAGCCCCGTTCCTTGATTTTTAAATTTAAGGGCTTGACGGCCCTTCGGGCCGTTTCAGCCCCGTTCCTTGATTTTAAATTTAAGGGGCTTGACGGCCCTTCGGGCCGTTTCAGCCCCGTTCCTTGATTTTTAAATTTAAGGGGCTTGACGGCCCTTCGGGCCGTTTCAGCCCCGTTCCTTCATTTTTAAATTTAAGGGCTTGACGGCCCTTCGGGCCGTTTCAGCCCCGTTCCTTGATTTTTAAATTTACGGGGCTTGACGGCCCTTCGGGCCGTTTCAGCCCCGTTCCTTGATTTTTAAATTTAAGGGCTTGACGGCCCTTCGGGCCGTTTCAGCCCCGTTCCTTGATTTTTAAATTTAAGGGGCTTGACGGCCCTTCGGGCCGTTTCAGCCCCGTTCCTTGATTTTTAAATTTAAGGGGCTTGACGGCCCTTCGGGCCGTTTCAGCCCCGTTCCTTGATTTTTAAATTTAAGGGCTTGACGGCCCTTCGGGCCGTTTCAGCCCCGTTCCTTGATTTTTAAATTTAAGGGCTTGACGGCCCTTCGGGCCGTTTCAGCCCCGTTCCTTGATTTTTAAATTTAAGGGGCTTGACGGCCCTTCGGGCCGTTTCAGCCCCGTTCCTTGATTTTAAATTTAAGGGGCTTGACGGCCCTTCGGGCCGTTTCAGCCCCGTTCCTTGATTTTTAAATTTAAGGGGCTTGACGGCCCTTCGGGCCGTTTCAGCCCCGTTCCTTGATTTTAAATTTAAGGGCTTGACGGCCCTTCGGGCCGTTTCAGCCCCGTTCCTTGATTTTTAAATTTAAGGGGCTTGACGGCCCTTCGGGCCGTTTCAGCCCCGTTCCTTGATTTTTAAATTTAAGGGGCTTGACGGCCCTTCGGGCCGTTTCAGCCCCGTTCCTTGATTTTTAAATTTAAGGGGCTTGACGGCCCTTCGGGCCGTTTCAGCCCCGTTCCTTGATTTTAAATTTAAGGGGCTTGACGGCCCTTCGGGCCGTTTCAGCCCCGTTCCTTGATTTTTAAATTTAAGGGGCTTGACGGCCCTTCGGGCCGTTTCAGCCCCGTTCCTTGATTTTTAAATTTAAGGGCTTGACGGCCCTTCGGGCCGTTTCAGCCCCGTTCCTTGATTTTTAAATTTAAGGGCTTGACGGCCCTTCGGGCCGTTTCAGCCCCGTTCCTTGATTTTTAAATTTAAGGGGCTTGACGGCCCTTCGGGCCGTTTCAGCCCCGTTCCTTGATTTTAAATTTAAGGGCTTGACGGCCCTTCGGGCCGTTTCAGCCCCGTTCCTTGATTTTTAAATTTAAGGGCTTGACGGCCCTTCGGGCCGTTTCAGCCCCGTTCCTTGATTTTTAAATTTAAGGGGCTTGACGGCCCTTCGGGCCGTTTCAGCCCCGTTCCTTGATTTTTAAATTTAAGGGGCTTGACGGCCCTTCGGGCCGTTTCAGCCCCGTTCCTTGATTTTTAAATTTAAGGGCTTGACGGCCCTTCGGGCCGTTTCAGCCCCGTTCCTTGATTTTTAAATTTAAGGGGCTTGACGGCCCTTCGGGCCGTTTCAGCCCCGTTCCTTGATTTTAAATTTAAGGGCTTGACGGCCCTTCGGGCCGTTTCAGCCCCGTTCCTTGATTTTAAATTTAAGGGGCTTGACGGCCCTTCGGGCCGTTTCAGCCCCGTTCCTTGATTTTTAAATTTAAGGGGCTTGACGGCCCTTCGGGCCGTTTCAGCCCCGTTCCTTGATTTTTAAATTTAAGGGGCTTGACGGCCCTTCGGGCCGTTTCAGCCCCGTTCCTTGATTTTTAAATTTAAGGGGCTTGACGGCCCTTCGGGCCGTTTCAGCCCCGTTCCTTGATTTTTAAATTTAAGGGCTTGACGGCCCTTCGGGCCGTTTCAGCCCCGTTCCTTGATTTTTAAATTTAAGGGGCTTGACGGCCCTTCGGGCCGTTTCAGCCCCGTTCCTTGATTTTTAAATTTAAGGGGCTTGACGGCCCTTCGGGCCGTTTCAGCCCCGTTCCTTGATTTTTAAATTTAAGGGGCTTGACGGCCCTTCGGGCCGTTTCAGCCCCGTTCCTTGATTTTTAAATTTAAGGGGCTTGACGGCCCTTCGGGCCGTTTCAGCCCCGTTCCTTGATTTTTAAATTTAAGGGGCTTGACGGCCCTTCGGGCCGTTTCAGCCCCGTTCCTTGATTTTTAAATTTAAGGGGCTTGACGGCCCTTCGGGCCGTTTCAGCCCCGTTCCTTGATTTTTAAATTTAAGGGGCTTGACGGCCCTTCGGGCCGTTTCAGCCCCGTTCCTTGATTTTTAAATTTAAGGGCTTGACGGCCCTTCGGGCCGTTTCAGCCCCGTTCCTTGATTTTTAAATTTAAGGGCTTGACGGCCCTTCGGGCCGTTTCAGCCCCGTTCCTTGATTTTTAAATTTAAGGGGCTTGACAATGGCAGGGAACTCTGAGGTGATCAATTTCAGTTACTTCCCAAACCCCACCCACCCCCATTAACTGTTAAAATACAATCTATCCAGGTTTTAATTCAAATTATGGTTTTTATTCAGATTTCAAAAAAAAAAAATTCAAAATTTTTCGAAAATAATTTTTCACGAAATTTCTCGGCCGATACCTACGTTGCAGACGAATTTATTAAATAAAATTATATTCAAATATTTTCGAGTGTTTTTTACGAGAAAAAAAGGAAAAAACTGTGCCGTGCCGTGCTGTGCCGTGTCCCGGCACGCGTTCTTTAATTTTTTGCCGTGCCGTGCCGTGCCGTGCCGCGGCACAGGAATTTTTGGTGTGCCGTGCCGTGCCGGTGCCGTTGAATTTTCTTAAGACATTCCCCACTCTGGCTAAAAACCAAGCAGACGACCACCTTGCCTAGTAAAGGCTTGTCTCTTTAACTGTAACCTGAATAAAATCAATTTCCGTAAATTCTATCTACAAAAGATGCTCACGTTCTTGAATGGGCGGATTAACGCCAGCTTTGCCGTGATCATCTCTCTCATTTTGTATTCTTGATTTTCTGCAGGTTATTGTAAACCGATTTTACTAGATATGCATATATTGCAGTGACTACAGGTTGCAGGGGGTTACGTGATCGTCGCCGTCGTCGGTGGTCGGTGGTTTCAACGAATTCCTTTATCTCGGTATATCATTTACAGCGCATCATATACTGTGTAATTACCCACGAGAGCGACGGTAATCTGCGTAAAAAAAAGCTATCTAGGACAACTTATGTTAGATGAGCTAAGAATAAAAGATCAGAAACAATGTCATACAACTTAAAAATTTAATCTCTCAATCTGTCAGTAGGAACATTAGGGTAAATTATTCACACGATTGGCCATATAAACTAAAGTTTAAAAGTCAGTTGAACCGTTTATAGACAAAAACTTTGATGCTTGCCCGTTTTGTTCTTTTTTTCGGGACTTTGTCAAACGCTCTTTATTTTCCTTACTTCGAGAATTCCAGAATAAGAAATGCAGGTACCGAATTCACGGGAAAGGATGAAGAATATATATTAATGCTTTTTAAGTTAAAATGGCAAAAGTGAGAAGAGCAGACCAGAATCCACCAAAGTCTTGGAGTGACGCATTGAGAGGAAAACTTTTTTATGGAATTATCCGATAAGGGTGTCAATGACACCGTGTCATGAATACCTGTGTGTTGAATACCTGACTCAGGTTCAGAAGAGCTTGAAGGAAAAGCTGCGTTACGGTTTGTTTTAGAAATGAAGCCGAAAAGCGTCTTCGAGAGAAATTCAAAATTATTGATAAGTAATACTTAGGGGAAATCACTAATAATTTGACTTTCTTTAGGGCTTAGTAGGGTAGGCATATAATACAGTTTTAGAAAGCCCAGAAGCTGGGAAACATTTTGACTATTGATCTTTGGGGGTGATCTCGTACCCTGAGGGCATTTAGGTACGTCCAAAGTCCCAAAATCTGGCCAATTCCAGAAATTGGAATTTTTAAGGTAATAACTCGACCTTTCAGAAGGTGTTCCCTATCCCAGATTGTAACCCAGGTTCTGAGGGTCATTTTGAGATATAGAAAAGTACTGAGACCCGGGGGTTCCTGAGGAGCTAGAGGCTCTTGAAGTTGGGGAATTCGACAAAAATTGAGTACTTTTTCACAAAAAGTACACCATTTGTGTCACAAATGCCTCCCAAACACTTTTTATCTATGTTTTTTCATTTAAAAATATTTAAGATGTCATTTGGGGTCATCTGAGGTCACTCTAGGTCAAAAATTATGAAAAATTTAGAAAACTCTCATGAGTGACCCGATCTGACCTCAGATGACCCCAAATGACTTCTTAAACATTTTTAAATGAAAAACATAGATAAAAAGTGTTTGGGAGGCATTTGTGACACAAATGGTGTACTTTTGTGAAAAAGTACTCAATTTTTGTCGAATTCCCAACTTCAAGAGCCTCTAGCTCCTCAGGAACCCCGGGTCTCAGTACTTTTCTATATCTCAAAATGACCCTCAGATCCTGGGCAACAATCTGGAATATGGGGCACCTTCTGAAAGGTCGAGTTATTGCCTCAAAAATTCCAATTTCTGGAATTGCCCAGATTTTGGGACTTTGGACGTACCTAAATGCCCTCAGGGTACAATATCAGCCCCAAGTATCAATAGTCAAAATGTTTCCCAGCTTCTGGGCTTTCTAAAACTGTATTATAAGCCCACCCTACTAAACCCTAAAAAAAGTCAAATTATTAGTGATTTCCCCTAGTAATACTGCAAAGCCGCCTTGCGGCTTCGTTTCTAAAAAACCCCGCTACGCGGCTTTTCATTTAACCTTTTCAGAACATAGCTTAGTTTTATGAAAGTAGATAATGGCCACAACAGTTCGTGTTGACTGTTGCAGGAGTTAAGATCCCATTTCTTTCGAGGACGTGAAATTTAAAGTTCAAATTTCCATGCGCGCGAAGAGCAGTTTTTCCGTTCATGCGTCCCTCCACCTGTCGCATCCAGCCCAATTCTCACTCGCGGCGTTTCTTCAAGATCGACTTGGCGATGAACAGACGTTATGGGACTAGAAGCATCTCCTACGTTTGTTTCCGGCTGCATATTCTCAATAAATCACAATTATAAAATGTTAAAATGACTGAAAATGTGTTTGAACTTTACCGTAAATTTTCGCGGAAAACACAAAAACCGTTTCTTTTGAAAATTTCAAAAACACAGCTTTTGCAAACGGCCGCGCCTGAACCTTCCGAGCAGCGCCAAAAATACGGAATCAAGATTTTCAGTTCGGCGCTGGTTCAAAACTCCAAATTCCCGGTCGGACCACGGAGCCAATTCTATTTTTCAACAGATAGCCGATACCGAACAAGAGAAACAATCGTTATCAAAGAGCATGCACTCTAGTAGACGTAATGCTCCTGTGGCGCAAGACACTAAGAAAAAGGAACAGTGGCTTGTAAAACTATCGAAATTTCTTCTATTCACTATTTTAGGTTTAAAAACAAGGGTCTTTATTAACGTTAATTAGTAATTTATCCAGATGACAAATTTTAAAAAGTCTTAAAAAGTCCGGGAATAAAATCGACGAGCACGTACTCAAGAGCGGCATCGATGAGCTCTCCGAGTTTATTGACCCCACTACTAACGTCATCTACACGAAAATCCGCGCCCTTGGCAAAGGAGGCTTCGCCAAAGTCTATCAGTGCAAGCGCGGGCACCCGTTCCCCGAAGACTACGCAGACGTCGCGCTCAAAATCGTTCCTAAATCGCGCGTCGCCAAGCCCAGCCAGTTGGAAAAGATTAAGGGCGAAATTAGTATCCAGAGCACGCTAGAACATCCCAACATTGTCAAGCTGCTCACGAGCTTCGAAGACCCGACTAAAATTTGCATCGCCGTCGAGCTTTGCCACCGCAAGAGTCTCACTAGCTTGGTCAAGCAAAAGAACCAGGTCTGAATATTTTTCCTTCAATTGAAAGATTAAATCCTAATCAAGGTGCCGCAACAAGAAGTGGCGCGAATCGGGACCGCGATCGTGCAAGCTCTGCATTACATCCACTCGCGCGGGATCGTTCACCGCGATCTCAAACTCGGCAACATTCTGCTCACGAGCGATGGCACCCCCAAGCTCGCCGACTTCGGCCTCGCCATGTACTACGAACACGCAAAGCCAGGGAACATCTGTGGCACGCCTAACTTCATTTCTCCCGAAGTTCTCAATGAGCATCCTCATCGCCCTCCATCTGACATTTGGGCTTTAGGTAATTACTTATTAGCAATTATCAGTATTCAACATTTCTTTAACTAACCTAGGCTGCGTTCTCTGCACCCTGCTCTCTGGAAAGTCATGTTTCGACTACACGAACATGAAAGAGACGTATCAAAGAATCCTGAAGCTGCAGTACAATCTGCCCGACTGGCTATCGGAAGAGGCGAAAGATCTCATCCGCAAAATCCTCGTGCCTGATCCGAACACGCGGCTCAATCACGAGCAAATCCTCGCCCACCCAATGATGCAGAATACACCGATGACAGGTGTTCTTTCGGAGCGCAGAGACAGGTGATTTCGCTGTTGACTATTAAAAAATAACGATATTTTCTCTTTTAGCGAGAAAAACGTTCTCACTCACAACGCGCTCAAAAGACGATACAGCGAGGGCTTCGGAAACCAGGGACAACGATCCAACTCGAACAAGAACGTCGCCCCTGCACTTCTCTCTCCGATGCACCAAGATCCAGGAAGAAGTTCTGCTTTTGTGGGTTACAACACGAACCAGTACACCTTCAACCCACCGCCAAGGGTAAACAATTTTGATTAACAACGATTTTCTCAACAGGTTAATTTCAGCTTGCGATCAACAATGAGACGATCATTCCGCCGGAGCAGCCTGTATGCAAGACGCTCCCATCTCCCAAGGAAGGTGCAAATAATATTAAAAGCAATTAAAATTATAAAACTTATAATTTATGCCAAAAAAGCATAATCCAACGACTCGACTCCTCGAAGAAAACCGAGTTGTTTGGATCTCGAAATGGGTCGATTACACGAACAAGTAAGACTCACAACCAAAAAATCAAGGAAGAAAACTAACTTTTTTTTTCAGGCTTGGATTTGGGTACAAACTATCCGACGGCAAAATTGGAGCGAACATGCCCTCGCCGAGCAAATCGTTCATCATCCTCCGACGAAACGGCTTCATGGCGGACGACTATTCAGAATATAGACAGTCGAGAACGACGTAAGCATTTTTCTTTTTGATGATTTTCTGATGACTCTCTTTTAGGTTTATGTTCAACGGGCAGATCGGGCCGGAGCACAGCCGCCACAAGAAGATACTTGACTATTTCATCAAGTACATGAGGGAGAACCTGACCAGCGGCGCCGAAAATCTCATGCTTCTGAGCAGAGAGGCGTCCAACGACACCATCGATGTTCGACTCGTTCGCCATCAAAATTCCGAATTCGTAAGTGAATCAAGTCAAAAGTCGTCCATATTCATCCATCTCTTGTGTTCAGGAAGGAAGGCAAGCGATAGCGATGGAGTTGTCGAACGGGACCCTTCAGGTGAACTTTTCCGGATCGCGTAAATTCGTGATCCACAAGCCGCGCTCACTGACAAACGCTGTCATCCTGATCATCGACAGCCAGAGACAAGGACAGGTACGCCAAAACTCTTCAAATAATGTATAATAACCCTTTCCTAGGCCTTCGACTGTTCGAACATGATGACAATCCCGCACGAGGAAAACAAGAACCTCGAGCACGTGCACAGGATTTTCCACAAAATGCACGGTGACAGCGTCCACTGTTGGACCGCCACCGGATGGGGCTCCATCCTCTGCAGGTTGACCAATGCTGTTGGTCATGTATAGGCTCGGATCAAAAGTGAAAGTAGCAAACTTAGCTTTCTCATTGCTTGAAGCACAACTCGATCCAATTTAAAGACATCCGTGTATATACTCTTCTCATTTATTGACCCCATACATTCCGCAAGTTCTCAAGCCGCAGTTTTCTTTCGAAATGGACCCGTCTTCATTCATTCTTCCTATATTCCAAGAGGGCCGTTTCGAGCGACTGTTCAATTCATTCAAGTTCATTCTTATTCTAATTTCCATCATTCCTATCTACATTTCTGTGCAGTTCCATTTCCATTATTCCATTCGTTTCATACGCTTACTGCAAATATTAAGCAAAATAAATCAATTCGAGAAAATTAATTATTGGAAGAATATTTATTATCCAATATTGCTGCAGTTCGAAAGTAAGGAAATGAAAATCGTAGCTGAGAAATAAAGCCGTGTATCGCAGTTTCTTCACAAAGTGACGGTAAAATCTAAACGAGCCAACCAAAACGGGCGGTGCGTTTTCTCGCGTAGGCGCAGCGTAGGAGGCGGCACCGCGTTTTAATTGGTCGACTACACAAGAAACGTGGTAAAAGAACAAAACGAACGAGCTAAAGAAGGGTATCGAAAGAGACGATAAGGGCACATTGTATAGGCATGTTTGCGCTGAAATTGAAAAAGTCTCGATTTTGGGTCACCCAATCACATGACGTCATCAATTTATCACGTGATACAGCTTCGAGGTGAAAAAGGCGCAACCTCGCTGTATCTAATTAAATTAATAATAAAGAGGGAATAGTATTTACATTGGGCATGCGCGCGCGGCACTTTCCAAGCGCGTTTTGCCCGCTGGCGAGAGCCGCGAGAAACACGCTTGCAAATGCGCTGAAGTGCGCTTTGGTGAGGCATTTGTGCTTGCGCAAAAAATGAGAAGCGCAAAGGCCTCGTCGCTTTTCCTCGATCAGGATTCGAATGGCGCAAAATCTTTGGCTGCTTGGCATAGAACGCTACCTAGTGGTGATGGAGATGGTAAAAAATCCGACCTTTTTTCGGCTCCCAAGAGATTAATTTTCTCAAGGGAGCATCATCCCCACCACCAGCCGGTAAGCTATTTGAAAATATAAATTTACAGTGAATTATTATTAAAAACATATATTATACTTGACATGCGAAATGTGGATTATAATATATTCCGTTTTGAGTAATAATCAATAATCATCCTCGGTGTGGTGTTTTTCGGCAATTTACGCACAGGTAATAGAATCGTGCTCCCATCGGAACTTCTTGTTGCAAGTGGCAACGGCGATGCTTGGGCTTCCACCGTTCAGGCAGACGACCTCGCATTCAACGTTCTAGACACAAGTTTTAACCATTCTTATTTATCTTCAAAACATACCTTGCCACCAGCACAGTTGGTGAAGGCAACATCAGGACCGAATGCAGTGGTGTCACAGCCAGTATCGGCTTCAACAAGAACTCGCTGAGCAACTTCTTCGACTGGTGCCTCACTAACTGGGGCTTCCTCTGGAGCAGATTCCTCGGAAACTGCCTCGGTGGAGGTTGTCGAAGTGGTTGAGGCTGCGGCTGTGGACTTACCCTTTGACTTTTTGTCCTTTTTGCCAGCTTTGCCTGCTTTGGCTGGTTTACCACTGCTGGTTGTAGTTGCACTCTTGGCACCTCCACAGGAGATGGTCTCCTTCTTCGAGATGTCCCAGTTGCACTTGCCCTTCTTGCATTTACACTTGACAGTATCCTTTGATGGCTCGCTGTTACCATCCGCACAAGTAAAGCTGCACTGTTTGGCGCTGCATTGAGCCAAAACTCCACCTTCCATCTTCTCGAAAGAGCCGCAGCCACCCTCTTCGGTTCCACTGTCACCACCATCAGAGCATTGGATGCCCTTCTTTTGATATTCTTTTCAATGATCCACTTTCCTCCCTTGCAGTCGAGCTTGGAAGCAGTTGGATCGCCACCGTTGGAGCAGCTGTAATCACATCGGTTACCGCTGCAATCTTCGACGACATTGTCTCCAAGTTTGACCTGAAAATAAATTTATTTATTTGCAATAAAGCGATAACTTACATTTGGACTGCCGCAATCATCTTCTGGTTCTTCGACTTCACCACCGTTTCCGGCCTTTTCACATCGGATCTGTCCAGGGTAGTTTGGTGACCATCCCTCGTCAATGGCAGCGAGGCAGATGACGTTAGTTGGGGCACCCTTGTTCAATTTGTAACCAGGGTCGCACTTGAAACCACAATTGGTATCAGTACATCGAACCTGCATGTTATCCTCGTCAATGTTGTAGGTCTCTCGGACTGGTCCACAGCTCTTGACTGGTGGCTGAGTTGGGGCTTCGCCAGCTTCACAGATAATTGTTCGGACACCTTCACCCTCGATCTTCTTGTAGATTGGGACACCGTATGGGCTAGCGTAAACAGCTCGCCAGAAACCTTCCATGGCACCTGGCTTGTAGCACTGAACCTTTCGCAATTCCTGGCCGGTCTCCTTGACTCGTGGTGGCACGAAGGTACCATCTTCGTTTCGGAGTCGGCAGATCAAGTGGCAGTACTGGTCCATCTCTCCTGGGGTGTACTCTGGGCACTCAATCTCAAGGAGTGGATCGCTGGTGATATAGCCAGTCTCTGGTCCGAAATCGTCGCAGCCAGACAAGCATTTGACAGATGTCTGGAAACCGTTCAAGAACTCTCCAGTGAGGGTCTGGCAAATAAGTTCGTCCATAGTTGGAGCGACAGAAGAACCCTCTTCGGCATCGCAAGAGAAGTAGCAGATGTCGGCATCGGAACATTCATGAATGACACCTTCTCCGATGGAAAGAACATCAGATGGGTCACCGCAAGTGGTGGCAGAGCACGCAACGGAAGCTTCAGGATCAACAAGATCAAAATTACCAGAAGTGGCGAGACAGGCAATAGCGGTATGTCCCTTGAGGCCAGAGATGACGGTGCCGTTGCATCCGAGCATGATCTTGCCATAACCATCAGCATCAAGCATGCTGAGATCGATCTGGACATCTTCGCTGAACTGGCCGGCAATGCTGCTGACGTCACCGCACATGGTTTCGCCACAAGTAGATTCCATAGTGGATGATTCAGAGATATGAAGATTGGCAGCGTAGTCAACATTGACAACACCTTCGATCACAGTGCAAGTAGCAGTGGTGACACCATGGAGGAAGTCAGTGGCATCTTCGCAAGTGTACTCGCAAGTGTTGTTGGCGCAAGCCTTGATTGAGTTTCCAGTGGTTTCGATGTTACCACAAGCAGTATCGTATCCGGGGTAGCATCCGATGGTGCCGCCAACGTTGGGGTAGTAGTTTCCGTTGGCCAAACATTCGACTCGTGGAATTGGGTTGTAGTGAGTTGGGTCGGCGCACTCGAAGTAGCAAATTCCAGTGGTTTCATCGCAGATTGCCTTGCCAGCGCTATCAAGAAGGTTGTACTGATCGGACACATATCCACAGTCAGTCTCTGGTGGAGGAATGCACTCAATGTGCTGACCGACTTGTGTGAGGAACTGCTTGGTGGACTGGATACATTCGATCTTGTCGATTGGGTATGGCTTCTCATCTGGGCTAGCGCAGGTAAGAGTACACACATCAAGGTCGACGTTTCGGGCATTCTTGAAGTACTCGCAAGTGTAGGAGACATCATCATCGAATGTGAAGCTATCTTCAAGATCACCACAAGTAACATCGTAGAGGTTACAGTTGAATTCTTGGTCGAAGGGGTAGTTGAATTGCTCAGTGCTGACATCGCAGGTAATAAGTTCGATGTTTGGCTGGTGGTTTTCGTACATGACCTGGTCGCAGATGACCTGACAGGTGGCAGTATCCCAATCGCAGTTGATAACAGTATCGTTCAACAAATTAGTGAAGTCAGCAGCATTACCGCATGGAGTATCATCTCGGACTTCACACTTGATGACTGGGTTGGTAACTGGGCTGGCACTAGAAAAAAATGCTTTCTTGAACAATTATGAGGTCCTGTTTTACCTGTCTGGCCAGAGAACGACATCCTCGAAGGTTCGAGTGGCAACGTCACAAGTGATAGAGGAAACAAATGGTTGCTCAGCAGCATCTTCGCAAGAGAATTCGCATCCAGACTAAGATATTCGAGTGATATCTTTTTTAAAAAGTTTAGAGTTTACCTCAGTGCAGGTAGCGACAACTCCAGCTTCGACAGTCCACTTATCAGAAAGGTCACCGCACATGGTGTCCTTGCACATGATATCAGTAAGAGTATTGGTGAAAGCATTAGCTTCACAAGTGATCTCGGCGTCGGTAACAAGGACCTTGTTAGTGTCGACACACGATGGTGCACAAACATGTGGGGTGGTCTTAAAATAATAGATAAATTCAAGAATAACTAAAGATTCCCAACCTGATAGACAGAGACAAAGGCTTCACAGCCGAGGTCGATGGCGGCGGGATCGTAAGTGAAAGTATCGGCGAGATTTCCACATGGAGAATCTTGTTTTGGAATACAAGTAAGAGCGTTGCTCTCACTTCCGAAAACATGAGTGTATGATGTTCCGTCGCAAGCAGCGTTGAAGTAGCTTGGCATCTGAGCAGGATCAGCACAGCTGAAGTCACAGTAGGTAGCGTTGCAGCTGGCATCGACGGAGAAACCAACGAACTCGGTAGCGAGCTGGCCACAAGGAGTTTCGGCACAGACGATTTCGACAGATCCGCTCTCGGGCATCAGTGTTCCGGTGTTATCACAGATAACTTCGGCAAAGGGGTTCTTGGCGGTATCGATGACGAAACCGGCGTTAGCACCAAAGGCACATGTAAGAGAACACTTAGTAGCATCAGCCTGGACGTCACAAGAGACATCGATGTCCTTGAATCCAGCTCCGTAGTCGAAGTTCTTTGGATCACCACATCGAGTTTCTTCACAGGTAACGTTGACACCAGTGTTTTCAACAAAAAGCTCAGTATCAATGTCACATCGGATGACCTCATATGGGTAGGCAAAAAGGGAGGCATCAGAGCAAGTCATAGTACAAACATCCAAGTTTTGTCGAGCTTCGCCGAATTTAACACAGGTGGAAACGACTCCAGCGCCGATTCCAAAGAAGTCTTCGAGATTACCGCATGTAACATCGTAGAGAGAGCATTCCATCTCAATATCAGCAGCCTCAACAAAAAGTCCAGTAGATGGATTACAGGAAATCTTGACGGGGTCAGCCTGAACAGCATCGCCGTAAACAGCTGTGTCACAGATGATGTTGCACTCCTGGCTAGCTTCGACGCAAGAGAAGGTAGAGTCGGCGGGCAAGTTGACAAAGAAAGCAGTTGGATCACCACAAACAGTGTGCTCGATTGGAGCGGCACAGCTGATGCTTGTTGGGGTAACTGGCGCGACGGAATCTGGGTAGAGGACAACGGCAGCGAAGCTAAGGTCAGCTTGGCAAGTAGCGGTATCGAAGGTTGGCACGAGAGAAGCATCGGTACAGGTGAAGGTGCAAACATCATCGACGCACTCGTATTCAACACCAGCTTCGACAGTCCAGGTAGAAGAAACATCGCCACAGTTGGTGTCCATGCATGTGATAGCGGCACCAGCGCCAGTGTAAGCAGAGTTTTCGCAGGTAACGCTTGTTGGTCCAGTTTGAACGTTGTTTGCGTTGGCGCAAGTGACATCGCAGGAGACAGCGGTTGTCTGGTAAAAGGATTCAAGACCAGTACAGGTGATTGTGAAGTCATCTCTGACCATGGTGAAAGAGTCCTCAACTTGTCCGCATGGAGTATCGTACTCGGCGACGCAAGCAACCTGTTGGGTCTCGGAGCTATGAGCGTGCTGGTAAGCTCGGTTGGCAGAGTCACAGGCAAGAGTCAAGTAAGTGGACATCTGTCCAGCAGCACAAGTAAGATCGCAGGAATCGGCGGTGCAGGAAGTGGTCAAGCCAGTGGCATCGACATTGTAGAAGTCACCGAGAAGACCACATGGGGTTTCGGCACAATAGATATCGTTTCCAGATGCTGGGGTAAGAGTTCGGTCAATGCATGTAACTTCATCAACGGGGTATGAGAATGCCTTGGTAGCGTCTCCGTCACAAGAGAGAGCACAAGTGTTGGCGTCGCTGCAAGTAGCAGTAACCTCGGACCAACCAGCTCCGTAGTTAAAGTTAGCTGGATCACCACATCCGGTGATTTCGCAAGTGACAGCTCCTGCTGGGCTGATAGCGCCATTATCACAGCTAACACCATCGGCTGGGTAGGGAACAAGGGTAGCATCGGTACACTCGGCAGTACAGAAATCAGCAGTAGAGTTGCAGTTGTAAGTTCCATCAGCAAAATCGCCAGAGAAAGAGTCCTGATCACCGCAGCTGAGCTCTTGGCAAGAAACGGCGGTAACACTGTCTTTGTTATCACAAGTAATGGCGGCGACACTTGGATGAAGATCACCGGGACATTCGACAGCGCACTGTCCTCCGGCACAGTTCAAAGTAGCGCCTTCGGTTTTAGTGATAGTAGTTGGATCAAAAGCAGCATCGCAAGCGAGGATCTGGCACTGAACACCGGCACCGCTCCATGCGCTCAAGTCCCATGCGGAAGCACCACATGTGACAGCATCAGTCTTTTCAGCGGCGTTTTCGACAGCAATCATAGTGGCATCGCTGCAAGAGATGTTACAGGAAGTAGCATCGCAAGCGGCTTCAAGACCCAAAGAGGCAAGTCCAGTCCAGAGATCGTCATCTTCGACAAGACCACAAGCAGATTCTGTGCATTTGGCAAGCTTGTTGGTAAGGAAAGCCTCGTTAGCGAGGAAATTAGTGCAATCAATGGAAGCAGCTGGCTGAGGGAAGTGAGTATCATCGAGACAATTGATAGCACAAGCACCGGCATCACAGACGACATCAGCAGTAGTGGCATCATGAGCGGGGAAATCAACAATTTCAGCCCCGGCGCCATCATCACAAGGAAGATCTTGGCACATGAAATTAATTACTTCAGCTGGATTAAGTTCGAATTCTGGTGGTGCAGCGGCTTCGTTACAATGGATTTGTCCATCCCAAGCAGTGGTGACATCTGAAGCGTCTGGATATGCGGTACTCTTTCCATCAGCGCAAGAAACAGTGCAATAGTCGTTGTGTTTACACTCGACAGTGGCTTTTGCAGCGATGGCAGGATACCAAGGGTAAGCATTAGAGTCGGTAATGTCACCACATGAGTAAGTACATTCATCTGTGTTGCAGGCGGCTTCCTCTGTGCCCAATCCGTCGCAGACGAGATCTGCTCGTCCGGACATGATAAGGAGAAGCTCCTGGTAGTAGGTTCGGTGTTTTCGAGCATTGGTACAATCTCGTTCTCTTGTAGTGGTACCACCACCGCACTCGGCTGTGCAGTCAGACCAGGGTCCCCACTCACCCCATGATGGGCACTTAGCAAGACCACAGTTTACTTCCTGAGTGGCTTCGCCAGGTGGACAAAGAGCAGCATCGACGACAACGTCGCCAACCAAACAATCTCTTGTCTGGATCTTGGTAGCGTTGACACCACAAGTGACAGGACAACCAGAATCGGTCCACTCTCCCCAAGTTGGGCACGGATCGTTGTCTGGGCAGTTGTCAACCTTCTCAAGGAGCTGGCCGTCAGCATCACTCTCGCAAACAATATCATATTCATCACCAATTTGCTTATTAAATTCATCCGCATATGGATCGTCAATCCAAGCGTTCAACTCGTCCTCGCCTGAAAAGTAATTGTCTTTTTCTTGGCCAAATCAAGAAGGACGCTACCTGATCCGTGTCTAGAATCGACACACTCTCGGACACATGTTCGTGTTCCTTCGTAGCCGCATGATTCTGTGCAGTTTCCACATTCCCATTCGGTAAAGTTACCGGTAATTACGATTACGGCTCTAGCTGCTCTCTGGCTTCGCCGACTCGCCTGCGCGCAGCCCGCTTTTTACTGGTTGAATATTTTTAATTTTATATTATTTTGACTTGATTTTCGAATGATGTCTATATTGTTAAGTATTTTTATAATAATTGCTTAGTTACTGTTTGTTGCCACGTGTTTCTGTTCGGTAGAAAGCTTACAGGTCTCTTATTTTATCGTTATTCTCTTCTATGTCTCCAAAAATATAAAGTATTGAACCAGCTCCTAAAAGGGCAAATATTAAGCCCGAGCGGATCATCCGGGCGGGCTCAGATGAAAAATGGAATTCGGAAGTCGCACGAGTAAATCCAATTTTATTCTTGCTTCCTCAGATTATAACCGCACTGATAAGAGCATGATAACCAGCCGGTTCATGCTCCGGCGTTGCCGCCGAAATCGGACGCATCGAAGTCGGAGATTTTTGCGGAGATCAGTCAGATATTTTTCTTCGCTAGTTGATCAAAACCATAATAATTCAGCTGATTTAGAATACCCCAGAATGGAGAAGAAACTTTCTCATTATGCGAACCTTCCTGGACTAATAGACAAAACCCAAAAGGACCCATTTTACAAATTCTCGAATAAAAACTCAACTACGATTTTGAAATACGGGAAAATCTTTATTGATAAGAAAGGGGGAAATCGCTGATTTTCGCGATTATGGACCGAGACAAGATCGGAGAAACTCAGAACGTGCAAACCGCTTTACTCTACTGAGTTTTAATTCAATAAATCTTGCCCTGAAGAATCTATTCGGGCGATTCTATGTGTTTTCATTTTTGTCAAAAATTTTATAAGATTTGTAAAGAAGATGCTTGTTTTCAACCAGCATCCGGAGGACCTCCTCAACCGGAGCGTCATGGTCAAACTTTTGGTGTATGCTACTAATGATGAACGAGGGCAAGAATAAATGTATTTTAGCGTCCAACTCGTGAGGGAGAGGAAACGATGGCAGCGTATCGATACGCAGTTCAACAGGTAATTGAATTACCGTAATGCATTAATTTTATATTCATTTAAATGTCTCTAATACTTTTTAAGGGGAACCAACCCTGCAAATGGTTCCGTAAGAATTGCAACTTGAGAGAGTCGCAAAAGAAGGTCTGCGAGACTCAGCCGGTCAAGAGTGGCTACTTCTTTCTTCCTCGCTGCCTGAAATGGGGCTTCGTTTGCCGGGCTCACAAGTTGTCCCAGCAAATGAAGGACAACCTCGGACCTGACAATGTTAGTTTCTGTATTGGCTAATAATTGATTCTGAATAAACAACGACACCGGACTAGTATGAATTTTTATGGACGTTATGCAAATAAGTTCCGACATTAAAGTCATTTGATTTCACTTGTTCACAATGTCATCAAAATAAATTAGCTTGGCGAGAAGTATATTTAATTTTAAGACAGAGCCAAGTGCTCCTGAATAATAAACCAGACAGTAGCAAGGAGACGTCCTGCGCGAAAAACCTAACTCAAAAGATGAACAAGATCTTTCGCAGTGAAAACCTATGGGATGAGAAATTAACTAGGTAAAAGTAGAACATATCGAAGAAAAAAGAGAAAGAATTCTTATCCCCGAACGCAGTTTTGATCCCGATGTGGATGTTGCCAGATCCCCAGCAAATAAAACAAGAACGAGAACGGTATCGTCGCTCTTTTAGGGCGCATTTTTTAACTTGTTTTAGATCGCATTAGTGATGACAGCCTTTATCCTCCTCAACGTAATAATGATCTACAGAATCTGCTCGCGCGATTTTATTCACATCAAGTTTACTTTTTTGCTCAAAATTATCCTAGGTAAATCGCAAAAGCCTTACCCTGACCATTTATATGCTGATTTCTTATTGTAGAAAACCTGAGTCAGCTTTTAAAAGAGTTTTGATATAAGCCGCGAAGCGGCTTTCTTAAAAACAAAGCCGCAAAGCGGCTTCCCTAGTGCTTTTAAATAGATTATGGACCATAATTTAAGGTGGTTTTTGAAGCAGCCCTTTCATAACCCTGACTCAGGTGTTCTGCACAGGTTCCCGAGCCTAGCTTGAGATGTTTCTTTTAGACTCTAAAAATTAGAAAATTCTAAATTTAGAGCATTACTTGCTCAGCACATCTATAATTTTCGGCTGCACTGGTGCGGTCCTCTGTATCTACCAGTTCTTCGGAATCATGACGGACAATTGGGCGCATTTTTTCAAGTTTGACCACAATACAGGAATGAGTTACAGTTCCGGCCAGACTGCAACTTGCAGACAAAGATCAAGCATACCAAGGGGAACCTATTAAACTCAAATTAAGCGGTGAATATTTCCGAGTACGAAGATTGCCAAAAATCGCACGAAGGTAAGCAAGTTTCAGCCGTTCTGGACAGCCGCTGTTTAAAAATTTAGAGGGGATAGCGACAGAAGTGATTGCCAGCCTTTACGCCAGCCATAAGACATCCATTGCACTCAGAGAGGTTCTACAAGGGCTAATAATAGTAGCCAGAATAATCAAAATAGAACCAGCATAAGTTCGAGGAGAACGACGGGTCTTTATGAGTCGAGACTAAGGTGACTTCTGAATTATTTATGCCCGGAAATTGCTCACTCTCTTTCTTTTCAGCGACATCTTTAGCGATCGAAGTAGTCGACTCTGACCCTTTGCTGCTGACCCTGTTCTTGTTCATTATTAAGCAACTGCCTCAAAACATTGCCGCAATACATCATCCTAGTGTTTTCAATGCTCTGATCGATTTCTATTTTGAAAGTGATAAGCCAATTAAACAGGAAGAGGTTTACTAAAAAACGTTTATCGCGTGACCAGTTCAAGAAATAAAAACCAAAAGGCTTCCTCCACGTTGCTGCTTACACGAGTGTCATTTTTAAAAACAGAAGCACTCGTAATTGGCAATTAGTTTATTTTATAAGCACAGTTAGTACGTGATTAAATGCTTCTGTTTAAAATATATTCAACACACAATACATGTTTTTACCATATATTTCTGTAAATAAGTATACTGGAACATTGGTGCACGGCATTGTAATATTTTAGTTTTTCATTTTATGACTGTCCCAAAAAATGTTTCCTTCTTATGTCGAGAAAGATCCAAAAGAGGGCGCAAAGAGTAGAAAATCAAACCAAGAGCACATCTCCTGCTGAGCGCTATCGATATAAATCTTGGATTTGTAGTACAAAAGATTAAAATCTCTAACTAAAAAAAAACCTAGAAACTGACTATATCTTTTGTCTTTATTTCTAAAGTTAGAAAATTCTGTCAAAAGCTCGACTGAAGTAAGATATGGACAATCCTCAGATTTACGATCGGGAGATTACGATGCTCATATTTCGAAAAATAGCCGCGTTGTTCAAACTCGAGAGAAACGGTTTCGGTGGAGCAGAGATTTCACGCCGCTTCATAATTAGTATGCAAATGCGCCCAAACGATAATTAATACGCAAATGCTTTGTTCAGCTCGATGAATTTGTTGGAGTGTTGCTAATCAGTGCGGCGGTTCCATTTAGCGACAATTAGCAATGCACATAATTGCTTGGCGCCTGGCTCTCTTTTTTCGTAACTTGAAGGGCTAATTCTGGGGTGTGAGCTGAATACTAGATCGTAAACCGATTGCAGCTAATAAACTTGGCGATAAGCGTCTTTGTGAATATCGAATCGGCGAGAGAAACTCGTCTGAATAATTTTCGCGGGGCCTTCGATTCTGGAGCCGAGATCTATCCTGCCTCTGGAATTCGGGAAGGCCAATTGCTGATAGAAGGTGTACATGCTTTGGCTACCACCTGCTGCTGCCTGGGGCGACCGCAACCGTCAGCGGTGCCGACCGGTTTGCAGCGCGCCGCCGACGCTTTCCACAAATTGAACCACAAACACCGATACCGACTATTTACTGGTACACCCTTCAACAAAGAAAACGGCCAAAATTGAGATTTACAAGAAGAACAGAAGCGCCAACCGACTGGTCCAGTACCGCACACAGCCCAGGATGGGAGCGAGGTAACACATTACCGGACATGACACAATCAGCGCGCCGCCAACTGTCATCACTAATTTTCATTTAACCACCGCGCACGTCACAATTCAAAATCTCTAATATTCTCTTCTGACTTTCTTGAAATCTCTTCAATTGAACTTTTCATAGTCACGTTGACGGTCGCTTGTAATTTTCATTGATCACGTTGAAATTCATCAATTGAATTCGCATAGTACAATAAACCCGACCAAGTGCGGTAATTATTCGCGATTGCGGACGGAATTACGATTATTGCCAAGACAAATAAACTAAACTTTTTTCCTTACTTTCATCATTTTTTTTTCTCTGTGAAAAAGGGCCTTTTAAATCCGACGTGCTGGGATTGATGAGATGCTGGGAAAAGAAAAAGAATAAAAACGAATTCAGGAGTCGTCGAATTAAATCTTGGGTGCGGACAAAATGGGAAATGGTGCTGATATTTTTGCTAATAGTCGTTGTGGTCCCCCAGATCCAGACGGTTTTCAAGCAACACCGCAAGCTACGGTTCAAAATGTCAATTTCTATATCCACTCGTTTTTCCCCAAGCAAGAGCCCAAACTTGAACCGTGAAAAAAGAGAAACAAGCATAAACACAACTCTCCCACTGTCGAACCTTTGGTCCAAAAAACAAAAGTCGTTGTCGTCGAACATGAGCGCGAAAAACAGCCTGATTACAGCCCAGATATAGTGAATGTAGTCGAGGAAGAAAAACACTGGGAAAAGGTCGATGAAAATATCAAGAAAGAAAAAGATGATGATCTTAGCTCCGGATTTCACACTGTAAAATTTTTCTTGCAACATTGACATTTGTGAATCCAATCAAAGCCAAATTCTGGTGCCAAGTTCAAATGTCCAAGAGGACTATCCGAGGCCAGAAGAACTGAGCGAAGAAGAGCACACAACGCAGCTTCCTCCGACTGAGAAACCTTTTATCCCAGAGGCCGCAGAAGCTGGAACGGAAAAACAAGAGGAGCACGCTGCTGAGAAGACAAACATCCTTCGTGGCAGCGCTGATGTCTGGACACCAGAGACGGTTAAAAGCGACGATGAACTGTTCGAAGCCGCCCTTGGAATGAACATGGGAGCACTGCCCAACCCCGATTTCGTCTATCACAACAAACTGCCTAAGTGCGGCTCGACAACGATGCACGCAATCCTCGGCGTACTCAGTAGATGGAACAGCTTTCGATATTTGAAGCTAGAGCCCTCGTTGGTGAAATTCTTCGACGGCGAGAAAATGAGCAAGCTTATCAACACACTAGTGGAGAATAAAAAAGTCTCGAAGGAAAGCGGTGGTCCAGGGAATCTCCTATCTCTTTCGGGGTTATCTCGAAAATGCGAGAGTGTTGTAATGAAATTAGCATAGACCATCGAAAAGCCCTTTTTCATTTTCAAACATCATTACTACTTCAATGCGAGCATGTACGAGCTTGAGACGCCGACCTGGATTAATGTCATTCGCGATCCGCTCAGGCGAGGTTTTGGACCAGCTTTACTATTGAGTTTTACTACTAGTAGCATCCAGTTAAAAAACCTTTCAAAAGCTGGTTCGAATCGAACTTTTACTTCAAACGCTTTGGCTGGGAAAGACAACCAGGAAGCCGGAGAAGAGAGGATCAAGATCTGACGATTGATAAATGCGTTGAAACGGGACATGAAGATTGCAAAAAAGTCAAGGTACTGCTTCTAGAAATCAGCGTTTCTCCTTGATTATTATTTGACCAAATATTCAACGTTCGTCTCAGTGGAAGTACAATCAATTCTTGTGCGGCAATGCCCCTGTATGTACAGGCCACTCGCCTGCTGAGAAACAGAAGGCGGCTGAAATCGCCAAGCACAACATCGCCAACAACTTTTTCCTCGTCGGCATTCTGGAGCAGTTTATTGACACCCTTCACGTCTTTGAGAAACTGATGCCGTCTTACTACAGCAGGTGAGGTGTTAACCTTTCTAATGTGGCCGAGTTAATACATAATCGTAAATCCGCCTTCAGAGCTGTCGAAGCTCTAAACTCACAAAGCGTGCAGCAGATTATCAATGCGACGAAAACGCAACACAAGACGCCCATGTCAGACGCGAGCAAAAACTACTTCAGGTGCAGTTTGTCTCGTTTCCATTGAAATTTCAGCTAAAAATAACGCTAGAAATGGACCGTTGAGGCACGAAATCGACGTCTACAACTTTGCAAAACGAATTTTCAACGAGAAAATGAAACGAGCAGGAATAGACCCTTATGTAAAGGTGAATCATTCTAAACGACTATATTTTTAAACTACTTATCCTAAGCCACCAAAAAACTGACCACGCTGCAGCCAAAAACGAATTCTTACTATGCCAATAATATTTATTTGCACTTCTAATTCTTCATCATTATTATTATTATTTTAAAGTATTTAATATTACGAGTGTCCGATTTTCACTGAAACTTTGCCTGTTCATTGCTGGAGTAAACATGCTTTAATTATATTTCATTTTTAATTTTTAATTTCTATATTTTTTGACTTTAAGTTGTTGACAAAAATAGGGATTTTACATGTAGAGAGCCTTCATCGTCCGCCAAGGTCTAATTAAGGCACTTTTAATTATGAAATAAAGCTAAAGAGAGAGTCCTCAACAATCTCTTATTTAGAAGGGGTCGCCAAGCTGTGTCTGCAACCTGCGTCAAGGCCTGAGTCAGGGCCTGAGAAGTCTTAAATGAAAAGCCGCGTAGCGGCTTTTATGAAAACGAAGCCGCTAAAATAAAAACTAGATAAAAAATCGCTACGCGGCTTTTCATTCAAGACTTCTCAGGCCCTGACTCAGGCTTTGAACACAGGTTGCCAAGCCCAACCCTTGAGACGTCAATATGCCTTTCCTTCGGTAAGCAGGGAGTAAAGCAACTCCACCTCGTCTTTCTTCTCCTGCTCGCGCTCCATAAACGTCAGCAGATTCGTAATGTACGAACTGAATAACAGTCATTAACAAAATAACCCTTTGATAGTTTTTTAATCGGCGTGTAAGATTGATTTGCGCGTGTTTTCGTTGGTACCTCCTTTTTTGCCGCGAGAGCTCTGATGATGACGAAAAGATGTCATTTGACTGGGTCAGGGATGAAAAATTAATTGAGCGGTACGAAATGGTCAATTTAGTAGATTTGATTTTTAGATGAACTTTATTTTTGGGTCTCTCGTTTTTGGGAGAAGGTCTCTAGATAAGCTTCATCCCTGTTCTGTGCGGCGGAGTTGAAGAGTGCCAAAATGAGCAAGAAGAATTGCATCGTGCTGCTTATCTTATCTGGATATTTTCTTAAAATTGATAACGAGTTCTTTGTGTAACTGAGTTCTTGGCCAGGCGAGCTTATTTATAGCCTTTTGGTTAAAAATTAATACAAGCCCAGCTTCGCCGCTGATTATTCTTGCAGGAAGAAACAAATTGTTGCAGAGTACGCAATTGACAAGAGTCAGGGTTAACATCGCTTTTTAGAAGATACAAATTTCTCTCTCTATAAATATTTTGAACTTTTGATGCTAGGCTCGACAACCTGTGAAAAAACCTGAGTCAGGGCCTGAAGAGTTCTTTCAGGCCCTGACTCAGGTTTTCTGCACCTGTTGCCGAGCTCAGCTTTGATCTTTGATATCTTCAGAAGAAATTCAAGGACAGAAAAATATAAGAAAAGGCCCAAAAGAAAGATCTTTCTCTTTGCAATTAATAATGACACGGGAAGGGGTCTTTTCCTCTCGGCTTGATGGAAAACGGTTTAGACTACTCCACGAGAAGCAGCTCAGCTGTACATATAACGCCTGTATATCCAGTAATAATATTATTTTGCTCCTATAAAATCACCTTTCAATCAATGATGCGACTTACGAGAGTAATCGCTATTGAATTCAAAATGGCGGAAATTTAGGATTTTGGATGGAAGTAACGGTGTTTCTCTGAGCTGAGATCGAGTTGGAAGAGTTTTTTTCTGGAGCTTTTTTGAAGATGTATTGAGTTAGAATCGATTCGAGGGAGACTGGTTTAATATAAATGATGGCATCTCAATAGTTCAGTGAAGAGGTTAATATTAAGAGAGGTACAGTGGCCTGGCGCGATTTGAGTCGTCACTGGGTATCCCATTTCAGTGGCCGTTCCAGACTCTTACGTTGGGCCACTTACCGCCCGGTGACGTCCTTTCTCCAAAATCTCAAATCAAACTCGCCTCTCTATTTATTGTCGCCGAATTCCAACATTTTCTCAACGGAAACAAAGACCCCCTTTCTCTTTTTAAAAAAACTACCAAATAAAAAGCTAAATTAAATTTGCAAAACTATCTTCACAATACAATAATTTCTGTTAATAATGAATAGTATCATGTGGATCATCGTGCATGCGTTCCCCCGAGACAATCATTGAAAAGAATTAACTTAAACCCCCAAAAATATATTAATTTTTCTAGGCTGCCTTTTGTCAAGTTATTGAAAATAGCCCTACTTTGAGGGGATTTTCGACCGAATTTTTTTGGCAAAAATTTTTTCTAGTTTTCGACGCCTGATTTTTTCAACCCTTTTCTATCCACCAGTAGACTCAGATTTTCCCATCTACTCCGGTTTTCCCGCATTTTTGGTCACGGAAATCCCGATTCTGGTCGACCCCCCCCCTTAACTAGTCAAAATACCCCTACTTCGATCACTTGAAGTCATTTATCGCGTTTTTTTTTTGTTTCTAAGAGCAAAAAAGGAATGACTACTTGATGAGAATCGAGTCTGTCTGTGTTTCGATTTCCGGCGTCTCTAAAGGGTCTCTAAAGATTGACAGATGATTAGTTCTTGGCAGGGCGTCTAGGTTTACAACAGAATCTACCTTCCCGTGTTCATGCTGCCAGATGTTGGAGATAAGCGAGAATAATTAGCGCCGCTAATTGGAAAATTTCTGCATTATCACGTGTTCCCGCGGTGGTGGAAAGTTTTTAGGAATCCGGTACCAGCTCGAGCAAGTAGCGAAAAAAAGCTGCTTCCAGCTCTTCTCAGTCAAAGTTAACCCTTAAAGTTTTGAAAGAATTGGGGGCTGAAAGAATAGCATTTGAATATATACAACGTGAATCTTTTTCCGGTATGAGCAAATGTTTAAAATTAAGAGTCTTGTTATTGCTCTTAATTACGGTGGCAGAGCAGCGAGAGTAACTCCAACTCAGGAGCAGTTCTGTTCTTTTTTCTCTCTGTTTTGTTCTGGTTTTTCAGACCGAGACGGTAAATCTGACTGCCGAGTGTCTGTCAACTTTGGTTTGATAAATCATCATCGCCAATTCAAAATTCAATAGCTTGAATATTCAAAATAAAGGAAGAGGGTTTTTACCCCACTTGTTACTTTTCTCCTGCAAGAAAAAAAAACTTCTTAGCGATGGAAAGAATGGGGGCATTATTGGATCAAATGATCTTGATCATCCACGTGTTAATCAGTCTTTTTGTGGATCCTGTCCATTTTGGAGCCTTCTTTCAGTTTATTTTCTTCCAAAGAAGAACCTGCCTATTCGTCGCCGCAGTGACTCGGTGGCCTGTGAAGAAAACCTGAGTCAGGGTCTGAAAGATCTCAAATGAAAGGCCTTTCATTCAGACACTGACTCAGGTTTTTTTCGCAGGTCGTCGAGCCTAGCACATTGATTCGTGAACTTTGCAGTCATCGGTAATTGAGGAATTAATCAAAAAATGATCGTTTCATCAGATTTTAATCGAGTAACATAAGCTCGTTAAGTATTCAACTATCGACAGCTTAGGCGGAGATAGGCTAGAAAAGCGCGCGCGCGATGGCCACCTAGTAGCGGTGTCGCTCTTTCGTATTCACGATTGATGCTCAATAAGCTTACTACTCTATTCATACTTTTCACGCTAGAAAAGGAAGAGGAGGACTCGAAACTCGATAGTAGCAGTTTGAAAAAAAAAATCGCCGAATTGACAGTTTTGAATTGAAAAAAAAGGATGCGACTTTTTAGGTTTCTGACGCTGTGCACGGGCACAATTCACGCACAATTACAAGAGAAACCAGGTAAATGAATACAACAGAAAAACAGAGATGGGGTTCAAACTTTCTTCGGGATAATGCAGCAGACCATTCCCTCTGTTAATATTTAATGCTTGAGTAGAAAGGGAAACGTTTCAATACTGGGCTGCTATGAGAGTGACAAGGAATATATTAGTTATTCTTCTTTTTGCTGATGCTAGTTTTGTCGAGCTGCTCTTATTGCGTTTAGGTTACTGTGGAAATAGGCACATACTATTATGCAAATACTCATACCGGTGGCAATTAGGGGCTGGTGATATCTTTTTCGATTCAGAATCGACGATTCACAATTAGGACCCATTTTCAGTTGCTGCAAAAATCCTCTGATTCCCGATCCCTTACCCTGAGCTCGGTTGCCTGTATAGAAAACAAGAAAATAATAAAAAAATGATAATTTTGTCGAAGCCACTTTGCGGCTTCGTTTTCGAAAAAGCCGCTAAGCGGCTTTTCATTTAAGCTCTTCAGAACTCAGGTTTTCTACACAGGTTGTCGAGACCAGACCTAACCCATATTTTTATATCTGTTATTTTTGGAGTCAAGCTTCTTTAAAGCGCAATCTTAAATCAGTTTCTAAAATCATCCCCATTTTAACCACGACTATTTAAATAAAAATCCCTAATTGCCTCCGATCCAGCTCATCACTCTTCTAACTGTCTCCCTTTTTCGGTAGTCATCGAGCGCGCATAAAAATGCTAATCGTGGCATCATTTTAATTCTGGGCCGTCCACGTCTTTTCACGCGCGTCCGGAAGAATTATGACAGTGCTTGGATTTCTCAACACGGTGCAGTTCTCACGACTCATCATTTTTCTTTTCAGAATTCGAATTTGAAGTTCATCATCGAGGCGGCGAAAATAAGATCTACACCTGGAGGGAGGCCAAAAACTATTGCCAATCGTAAGTCCAAGGGAAATCGCCATTTGGGCTCGGCAACCTGTGTAGAAACCTGAGTCAGGGTTCTGAAAAGAGCTTCAGTAAAAAGCCGCGTAGCTGTTATTTCATAAACGAAGACACAAAACAGCTTCTCTAGAATACAAAAATCGGTTAAAATGGTAACTTTGGCGAAGCCGCTTTGCGGCTTTATTTTTTTAAAAAGCCGCTACGCGGCTTTCGTTTTAAAATAACAAGCATTTTTTAAACTCTGGTTGTCAACCTCGAGTTCAAGGAGAATTACCATAAAAACACTTGAAAAAAAAGGATAGATATATGCAGATCGGAAAGATTAGAGATTACCGTTGCTCTGCATACAAATAACGCTCTTCTTATTCATCATTCAGGATATACGATGGTTGGCAATTGGTGATCGTGAACTCGCCCGTAAAGCAAGAAGCACTTGAGAAGGCCTTTCTCAAAGCCGGGGCACAGGACGAAGATGCGCTCTGGATCGGTTTCATGAACGAAGACGGCTGGGGAGCCAACTCGGCCGATCCCGCGTTGACCACCGATCTGTACGGAAACCGCGCGGTTTACACCAACTATGGCCCAGGAGAGCCAAACAACAAACGTGGCAGCCCGAAAGATGAAAGAGGCGAAAACTGCGTCCGAATGGTTTTCTTTCAATTACTTGAATATCAGTCAATTTAAAATATTATTTTCAGCGATACAAGAAGAAAAAGTTCTTCTGGGAAGATGCTCTTTGCGGTCGAGGAGATACCATCAAATCGGGAAAGAACAAGAAAGCTTACAAAAACTCCTTTGCGTGTGAACCAAGGAACGTTGAAAAAAAGATAAAATGAAGATAAATTGCAAATTTTTGGAAAATTAAGATTCAAGCAAACGGACTTTTTTTCAACTTGAAAGACCTCTGATGGATCTTGGTCCTTGTGACAAACTGCCAGAAGAAGAAATCCCACAAGACGACAATTACCGCATTTTTCCAGCGGAAAAGCTTGGCTACAACGAAGCAAGAGCGAAGTGCCAAGCGCTTGACGAAGAAGAAACCGACAATTCGGGCAAGTGGGATCTCGTCGTTTTCGAGCAAGAAGAAGAACTGCAGTACGTGAAGATGTTGATCAACTGCCTTCCAGAGTCGTTTTGGGTGGGGTACCGCGAGAAAGACGGACTAGCGCTGGATGCGTTTGGCCGAAAGCCTCAAATCGAAATTCCTTGGTGGGTCAACAAGCCTTCCGGGGACCTCGACGACCCGAATAATCCTGGAGAGAACTGTGTCAGGATGCAAAACGGAAAGTTCACGGATGAAGAATGCACCAACGCCAACACTGGCCAGATGAGAGAAGGGCTAGGCGTTGGCTTTGTCTGCGAACGGCACACGCACATTATTTACGACGTAAGTTTCGACTGGGCTCGGGAACCTGTGTAGAAGACCTGAGTCACGGTCCTGAGAAGGAGCTGTAATTTATAGCCTATAAAGAAAATAGCAGCGTAGCGGCTTTTTAACGAAGCCGCCAAGTAACTTCGCCAATAGTACCCTTTCAATCAATATTTTAAATTTTCAGTCAGACCCTGACTCAGGTTTCTACTCAGATTCCATAAATTATCTTCTCAATCTATTTCTAAAACTCTGGCGAAGCCGACTTCGTTTTCAAAAAAGCCGCTACGCGGCTTTTCATTCAAGCCCTTTCAGGACTCTGACTCAGGTTTTCTACGCAGGTCGCGGAACGCGCAAGTTCGAGCAAAAGTTTAGATGGAAATAATGCAGTTCTAAACTCGTAGTAAATTAGAACCACCTTAAGTTGCTCTTATCACAACGTTCTTGAGCATAATCCCTTACGCGAAATTTTTGATATACGCGGCTTTGGACAGCTTTTTTCTCTCTTTTTCCTAAATCGGTGGACCGTTAATCCGTCAACGTGAAAATAGATATTCATCGAAATAAATCGCGTGATTAAGGAGGAGCCGGCCAAAACATGCGAAACCAACGAGCATGGAATTCTGCCGTTTCGAGTGCAAAAGGGTTGTCCCACCCCGAGCTACTGCACAGCTACGTCGGAGATCGTCGACGCCTGGTCCGTCCAGAAAAGAGGAAAGGGAACTTCGTTCGGCCTGGCGCTGAAGGTTTCCATTCCAAACCGGTTCAGGAACAGTTTCGAAAGCATTTCGCAATCAGAAATCAGCCGGCTTGTTTTCGAGAACGAGGCCCGTTCCAGCTCATTTGATAAATAACTATCTATACCGAATAAATTGTGAGAAACTGGCATGAGATGGGAAAACAAAGCAGTCGGGTATTCGATACTTATCCGCTTCCCACAAGACATCATCTCGGCTAATTTTCAAGGGATGGGATTCTTCTTTTCATTTACGTGAAATCGTTTTCGTTGACTCTCACAGTGAAGAATGACGATATTTCTCATGGTCGTTGACTTTCTCATTGTGAGACCAAGCCTCTTCTACCAACCCTAACCCTAACCCCTCTTATTTCAGAGGAATTGATAGAATTAACAATTTTCAATTGAAATCCCAAAAAAGTTTTTAATTTCAATTTTTTCAATTTTTACAAAAGCGGTTCGGAAGTGCTTTTGCACTCAAAGTTTTACACAAACCCAAGCAACGACGGGTTTGATTTAGATAAGAACTCGTTTCTCTTGCTTGTGGAGGGATTGCCCCGACGAGTCCATCCAACTGCGCTGGCTTTCAAAGGAAGAGTCAAAAGACATGAGTGCTTTGATCCGTCGATGCATGCTAGATCTGGATGTAAGTTCCACCGTGTGCTCGATGACCTGTGTAGAAAGCCTGAGGTTCTGAAAAGCTTAAATTAAAAGACGCGTAGCGGCTTCGCTAACATTTTAAAATAGATAAGAGTGATTGTTTTGCGAAGCGGTTTTTCATTTTTCATTTAGCTCTTGAGAACCTGACTCAGGTTTTCTACACAGGTTCCACCAATTCATCATTATATGAATGATGTTCTTCATTATCACTATTCTGGCAAAAAATGAATTTCATTATAGGGGGACGACCTGGAAAGCCAGCATTTAGCTCTGACATTCGCCAGTTTGCAAAGGATAAGTACGGCAGCGATGTAACTCTCGACAATGTCCAGAGCTTTGGCATTCGCAACGGCGCATTGAAACGCGTCCGGGCAAAATCGCTGAAGCAAAAGAAGGACACTCTTTTGTAAGATAGAAGAAGATAAAAAGAAGAAACGCCGATTGTAAAGACCCTCGCGAAGATGTATCCAAAACTATTCATTCCATTATTAGCCTGCTGTAAATAAAGTCTTTTCTATTTTAACACTTGTCTTGAAAAAATGATGCAGATGGCAGTTTCTTTAAAAATAAAGTCAAAAACCGTGGGAGAAAGGACCGGGGCGATACGAGCGAGCTTGTGGAGGGAGATTCTTTTAGCTCTCCGAGGCGCTCTTTGACTGTTATTTTTGAGTTTTTGAAAGGGCGCTCCTCATTCCGTCTCACCGACCTCGAGCTTGAAACCTTTTTTTATGCAACTCGACAACAACAAGGACGACTCCCAGCCAATAAACGCCACCATTTTGCGCCATAAAAGCCCGCGTCGAGCAGGTTCTTCCTCAGTCGAGCTCGAGCATCAGCACGAGAAAGAAAGAGATAGAGATAAAGTCCTTCTTTGCGCTTTTTTCTAGCTTTTCTTTTGAGTTCTAAAAGTTTCCTATTTTCAGAATAGTCGGTATTGCTTTCGATGAGTCGCAATGCCAACGACAGAGGACCTTGATTTATCAAAATGCTACTGAATCAACGATCTTCGGTTCTTAGGCAATTCTTGGTCATAGATTCCTTGCCCTCAGCAAGAACGAATCTATGCCATGAGGAAATACAAAAAAACAAGCGCCATGAAAAACTATTGATGTCCGAAACTGACCGCAGTCGTAAGTACCAACTTTCACGGCGAGTTTTTCTAACAGAACTGCTCTAGAATACTACTGCGCGACGATTCAAAAACCAAACTGCCGAAAAGTTTCAATCTTTTAAATCTACTTTTACTGACTACTTAATCACTGAGTTTCCTATGCCCGTTAGCGCAAGGCACCCCCTTGCTCGAATATTGTTCTTGAAAATCATACAGTGACAGGCTGGGTTTTCCTTGAAGAATATTCGAGTTCCGAGTTTCGGATCCACATTCACCGCTCAGAGCTGGCTTACCCTCGCTGTAAAGCTGTAGATCTCAAGATCTAAATCTCTTTTTTTTTAATGTTTGCTTAGTTGTCTTTATGTCAAGCATTTGTATATTTTCGCGATTGTCATTTTAAAAATTTTTAAAAAGTAAAAAAAAACAAAAAAAAATTAAAAAATAGTTCAAAAAAAAGCATAAAAATAAAAAAACCGAAAAAAATGTAAATTTATCTAAGACCCTAAAAATAGCTCGCTAGATGCCAAATGTATAATTGCTTTGCCGCCATGCCTTTACTATTAATTCATTTTACTCCACGGATAATCTATGGAGACATAGAAAATCTAAAAAAGCTCTAAAAACCTGTGTGCAGACAAAAAAAAATAAAATTTTTCAACTTAGTGAAAACCCGCTCGAATAACCGAAAACCCCACTTGTTCACAAACTCGTTAGAATTCTCTCCAGTGATATGGTTTTAATATTTGCCGAATTTAAATTACCGACCCTACTTGACAAATGACTCCAGCTTACAAACACCTGACTAGTCCCTGAATACGGATTTTAACCCTATATTACCATGACCCTATTATAATCAATCCTGAATCAACTTCCCCTGAAATAAATATTCCTGAAAAAAAATCTTAGTTCAATGCATTCAAAAAAGCAATTTATCTTTTGAATAACGCTCGTGGGCTCGGCAACACGTGTAGAAAACCTGAGTCAGGTTCTGAAGAGAGGTTCGCAAAGCGGCTTGGCAGGCTCTTCAGAGCCTGACTCAGGTTTTCTACACAGGTTGCCGAACCCAGTCACGGTCTCTTTACACAACGGGAAGGCATTTGATTCATAAAACTCGGAATGGCCGGTGTTCATTTTCTTCACCTTTGTTCGAGTATTAGATCGAGGGAGGGTCGAGTAGGATCGCGTTTGTGGAAGATTGTGAAATTCTGAAATTCTGAAACGCATAAATTCGCGAAATCTTGCTGAGAGGGATTTTGCTTTCATGGAACATAGGTAGTTGAAGACTGACTATCGATTTCCTTCTTGCGGGTGTCGAAATATAGCTCTTGGGCTGGAACAGGACGCCGAGCACTTCACCCACTTCACCCGATGACCGATGACCCACAAGAAGAAGTGGAGCAAGACAAGCAGTTTCTAGCGAATTCCGATCATCTCAGATTCCGGATCAGGTTCTCTCTTTATTTTGCTGAACCTGTTTCAACTTCCGCCGCTTCTCCCGTCGCTGAGTCACTGCGCAAACGACTGTATTCCCTTTAATCTAACTGTTAGTCAATATTGAAAAGAGTAAATTGCTCAATGAATGAGCGAACGTGTGAAACTGAAATCCAACCGCGAAAATCAAAATTCAAGATCTTCCCGGAAGCTCCAACTCAACTTCGATCACAAAATCGGAAAGATACATTTTTTGTTTAATCAAAATCCTGTTGCTAAGCGGCTGCGAAATTCTTCACTTGAAGAACATTAGATATTGCTCAAGATAAAAAAAGAAGAAGTTTTCTTCCGGCAAAAAACTGTCAAGAAAGAGATAATCGAGAAAAATGAGGGACGAATAAAACAAAGATGGAACAACGAGTTCGAGTGCACGACTATGTCGCTGGTGCCTTCGAAGCTGTTTGGCGAAAAGGACAAGGTATGTTTTCTTTCCTTTCAAATTGCAGGCTGAGAAGATCAATTAGCAAGCAAAAACTTGGTACTACTATTTGCTCAGCAGGCCGGATTCTCGCATGTGGCAAGTACACAGTAGCAGGGTATATATGATGCTGCATGTTACGTATTTGATTAGGGCGCTATCTACCCATCGACATTTGTGCGTGACGCGCTGGAATTGTCATCTTGAGCGTCTTTGAAATAAATAACGATTCAATCTATCTCGATTCAATTTCAATCAACTGGGAGAACTAAACTAATTAAGTAAAGCACTCAAACGTGAACAATAAATTGCCAAGGCCACTTTTTGGCAGTGCGTTACTCCTCATACTTTCAGAACTATGCTTTACTGCTCTATAAATGTGACAGAAACGTTTCTTCGCTTGCTGATAATGGTTTCTCTCTTCAGGAGTCCTGAATATTGAAAATATATTCTTCGCACTACGCGCACTATTTTATGATTAGGTCCAAAGGGTACAAGTCAAGGGCAACAAGGTGACTCGCCGAGACTCGGGCCCAGCCTTAGCGAGGAGGTAGCAGGGGGTCACAGGAGCCAGTGAGCCTGGCTAGCGAGACAAAAATTCCCTAAACCCGAAATTCCCAACGTCGGTGCGTGGTTCCAAATGGACCCGTCTGATCCAAATAACAGAAGACTCAAAAGTCAGGGTTGATTTTTTTCATAAACAAAAACGAGCAGAGAAGGACTTGAAAGAGAAAGAGATTAAAATGAAATGTGAAAATATCCCTGTGACAGCCCGTTTTCGAATCCGGAAGATTCACCAGCAAGCAGCCGCAATTATGGAAGTCGAAGTCAGAGAACTGGGTATGACGAAGTTTACACGGCGGGCAAGAACTCTCCAGAAAACGGTCATTGAAATCAAGGAAGAGAATATTTTTCAGTGTCATTTTTTTCATGTTTCTTTTCGTGACCATTGAATGAAGAACCCTGGAGCCGCTTGGAAAGATCAGGCATGACTGGCTCTTCGTACAGGAAACTTTAGTGAAATTGATTGAACGAATTGTTGGTGAAATTTAATCACTTGATTTGAAAGTCAATCGTACGGAAACCCTTACGACTCCGACCAAGACGTTGGGGTTTACACAGTCGACGATGTCCCCTCCATTGGAGCGACCGAACTGACGGAAGAAGAAGCAGCGGCGATCGCCTCTTATGAATCTTACTTTTTAACTGAGCGAGGTACAGCGAGCATATTCGTGATTCGTTGCAGTTAACAGCAGCAGGAGCATTGATGACTCTCGATTTTTCTCAAAAATTTATAATTTCCGACTGCACGCGCGCTAATCCGATAGCCGACCTTTGGGCACGCAGCGTGTATGCGAGCCTAGCGCAAAGTGAAAATTGCCTCCTTAGGGGTACAGAGATGCCGAGGAGCTCACAACTCTAGTGACTCGTTTTTTTTCTCATTCCCGTTGTGTGTTTATTCTCCCGCCGACCAACTTCCATTCCTTGTCACTCGCCTGAGGGGGGCACAAGAGGGCTCAGTCAGAGAGATCTTGAAAAAATTTAACAGAGACTCAGAAGATTTAAAATGGGAAAGAAAGGGAAGAAACGCGGAAATGGGAATAAGAAGACCTCCAGGAAAGTGTTTTTTTATTGTTTTAACTTGCCTGCAAAGTTCGAAGCTTGCGGAAGCTTGAATGAGAAGAACACACATAAAAGCCCGACGAGTTCTAATGAAGTTTCCTCTTTTTCAAACATTGATATCGGGGCATCTCCGCCGGCGAGTTCGCCTCTGTGGTCACTTCAAGGAATTCCCGCCATGCCTGCGCCACCCACCACGACCCCTCAAACTCAACTGAGCTCTCCACGATCACCCCTGACCCAGGCAGCCGAGGAAGAAGCTGGCCAATACCGCAGTCCAATCACTTTGAATCAATATCCGTCCAAGTTTAACTTTCCCGAAACAGGCCTGGTTCACCTAATTGTTCTCTAACAACTGACATTTTCTCTTTTGCCAGGATTACACTAATCCAATTACAAAATGTACAACGAGTAAAAGCGATAACGAGAAGATGTACAGTTGTAAGCCCTGGCCGCTCAAGAATCTCGAACCTGTAAAAGAGAATAATGGGAAGAAGAAGAAGAAAAAAATCACCGTCGATGTTGAACGAAAACCGGATGGCACTGGGCTCATGTTTTCGCCCCCGGTGACTGATGATGAAGAATTCAATTTTGACAAAGAATTAGTCGAAAGACCACCCTTGCCACGAGGAAAGATAGAGAAGGAAAAACCGATTACTCCACTGGAGGTGAGTATTCATTCGATTTGAACGGGAACGGAACACGTTTTAGGCGTTGAAAAAGCCGGAATTTATAACATCTCGAGAGACGGCGGAGAAAATCAAGATCATCCAAGAACGGACTGCGGAGTCGATGGAAGTTCTCGATAGGCATGGATTCACTGACCGTACTCGAACGACTTCGGAAGTGAATCTCCACGACCGCCGAGCCTTTGGTTCCTACGAAAGTGGCTCTCCTTTTGCCTTGGACGAGGCAAGCGGCGGCCCAGCGCGGCCTGGAACGGCGCATCCGACCAGAGGGTTGAATCTGAAACATGTAAGAAGGAATTCGGCGGGACTTGCGACTGGAATCGGAGCGAAAGAAGCACCTCAGCCACGGGCAAATCTATCGAGCAGAACGTCATCGCCTTTTGGCAATCAGTCGTCCTACTCGTACTCTTCTAGCAACGTCGTTGGCGCTCCCACGCTTACACAAAAGCTCCGATCAGGAGTACAACCCGTTCTTGTTGATGGCATCAGCTTGGCAGATCTTTCTCGATCAGCAAGTGCACGGTCGAATGATTACGCTTCCCTGCGATCATTTCCATTTGAGAAATACGCTTCATCAAGATCGAAAACACCAAACGACTCAAGCAAATCTTCCATCGGCGTCAGGAACGTTTATTTTCAACGGAGAAAATTTAAATCGAGTACCTTTAAAATTGATTCTTGTTGCAGTCAGAAAATAAACGCGAAAAAAAGCAACATAACTTTCTCAACAAAGACTGATTTCGATTTCGACAGCGTGGAGCGCTTCGCGGAAGTAGAGTCTAAGCACGAGCTTCCTGCCTCTATTCCAACATCTTTTCATGACTTTGTCGTCGACGGAATCGATCAGAGCTTTTCATACGATGGTACTACACAAACTTTACCGGGATTGATCATTTTCAAAGCATGGCATTCTTGAGTCAAGCATTTGCATAGGCCGCAATGTAGAGCACTTTCTTTTTTTTTTATCGAAAATGTCAAATAGTAATCGTTTTTTTCTTGTTGGAAATTCTTTCACTTCCGTTGATTGTAAGTGGCGCGCCCTCAGTTGCGAGATTGATTGAAAAAATTGAAATTGCGAATAACGAGCGAAATTGTTCTGACAAGGGCAATTTCGGACGGGGGCAATCTTCCGCTCGTTGGAGCAATTTTAATTTCCACTTCTTCATCCCCTCGCTGAAGTTTCTGGCCATGCTAAGTTTTCAGTGCCTTGGGCGACAGTGGCCCATCTAGAATATTTATATCTAAACAATTAGCCCATTCGAAAATGCACCGATCTTGCTTGTTGAACAAAAAACTCGCTGCCCGCTTCTTTCTCTTACTAAGTGCTCTCTCTCTCTTTCTTCTCCTGGAAGGTAGACTCTGATCTGAATGGAATGTTCAAAGGAATGTTCAAAATCTTCTTTCCGGATTTTTTAATTATTCGATTATGCGATTTTAAACGTGGGATTTGAAAATAAGAACGTTTTCGTATTTGTTGACGGATCAGCTGGGGCTTGCTCTGAGAAGGAATTTCGCGGCAAAGGGAGATTGAAATTGTTGCAAATTCAAGATTTGCACTGTGCTGTTTGGAGGTGTAGGTTGCGCCACCACCCACGGCTCGGCCGCTCTACCAATTTTGGCGGCGCTTGAACCGTTCTGGTCTCAGCGGCCGTGACAAGAGCAATCACGAGCTAATCGTGAGACACCTGCTCCTCCAGCTCACTCGATCCAACCCAGAGAAAGCACCGACTTGGCCGAAACAGATAGATGAAGAGTTGGACTTCCCGCTCCCACTTAAAATAAACACGCATACGCACACGTATACACAAGACATGGCTTATTAAATCAAGCGATTAAGGGTATCCACACGAGTTTTTCCCCTTGGCCGTAGTAAAATATGTAAATTTTTTCAAGCTGAATGATTTTTTGTTTTTCCTTTTGATTTTCAATTGTTTCATTTTTTTTTGCGAATTCGATGTTTGACTCTAATATCAGCTACTACCGGTAGTTGACGAAACTTGTAATAGCTGTAATGGCAAAACAACTGCGGCTGTTTGAACTTTTTGGTTCCTTGGCAACTGGCCCTGGATTGAGTCTTTTTTGGAGTTTTTGTTCGTTTAAAATCAGCTTAGAGCAGCGACTCTCTTGCTCTGGGAATGTGCTGTTGGTCATTCAAAAAGGGGGGCCTGGAGCGAGTGATGTTCGCGTTTCCTTTTATTATTCCTGAATTGCGCATATTCCGTTCTAGCGCTCGTTCACGCGCTCTGAGCGCTTCATTCACCAAAAGTCGCTTTCCTATTTAAACAAGAGTGTTCAGCAACAATAGAAATTTGGAGCAACGTTTTTGCTCCAGAGTTTTTGTCAAATCACGCCCTTAGGCACGCATAGTGAGCCTCGATCAAGAAGTAAATTAAGAAGCCCTTGAAGTGAAAGTGCTCCGGCCGAATGATAAGAGAGTGATTGAAACCGTTCCATCTGATGGAGCAAGTCCACGAAGACCTCGTCCGCTCGCTGGCTGGAGAAGGATCGGGCCAACCTTCCTTCTAATCTACTTTAGCTGCCTTTCTATTAGCACATAATATTTTGAACAAGGACGATAATAACCACAGTAAAAACCCATAAGGTAGTCAACCCATTACCAGGCCCGGCATCCGACAATAACAACCAGCAAGGGGCACAAAAGACATCCTATGAAATTAATCTCCAACGAGGGAAAGGTAAAATACTAACAGTAACTACTAGAAATGCATTATTAGCGAAGAACTTAAATTTCTCTCTCTATGTCTGCTGCTCTTGCTTGTAAAAACTTTTAACAGGGAGCAAGGCAAATAGCGAGCTTGGGGGTATTACAGGGTAATTACAGGCAGACCGCCACCGTAACTGCCGGATAAAAGTGCAAAGGAGGCAAACGAAAAGAGCGCGGAAGGAATTTCCGTCGTCTTTAAGACGCTGCGCAAACAGTACAGTTAATTTTCCAACTTTTGATGCGTTGGTAAACTCTTCGAAAGAGAAATAGAAACTTGCCAAAATTGAGCAAGCATAATTTGTGTATGCTCAGCTTTAGTCTCTTTGCGCGAGTGCGTTTGACAGATTTTGATCTTTAAATTATCATTGCCGCGATTACACTACTCGTCGCTGTCCGTGACTTTCGCATTTCACACTTCTTTTTAAAAGCTCTCTCTCTTTAAAAAGAAGGGCGTGTGTTTAGAGCTCACACGTTAGCTCTTATAAGCAAATTAGCCTGTTCACGTCAGTTGGGGAACGGTGCGGTCACACGCAGAACGAAAGCGACCGCACGGTTCCACCCCTGTGATCTTCAAGCAGCCACAACAAAATATATAAATGTTTTCACTTCACAGCTTTCGGAACTTGAAGACTCTCCAACCAGCACTTTTTGACGTTTTCGATAAATACAGCTTCCAATTCAATTTTCAATTCTTTCAAACAGCAGATTGGGCAGAATAAGAATCAGCACTGCAGAGCCTCTGGGCCGGCCAACCTGTCTAGTAAACCTGAGTCAGGTTCTAAAAAGCTAAAATCAAAAGCCGCGTAGCGGCTTTTTTCAGAACGAACGGCTTCGCTTGTATTTAATCATAGATTAAAATGGTTATGTTGCGAATTGATTTTACCTCTTTAGAACCTGACTTAGGTTTCCTACACAGGTTGCTGAGCCCAGCCGCAGCCTTTTCAGCGCAAGAATAATTTATCGTCTTTATCACTTTGATATTTCAGATGAACGCGACAGGATTCAGAAGAAAACCTTCACAAAGTGGTGTAACCAGCACTTGAAAAAGGTAATCAGCCTTGAGAAGGAGCCAGACGAAGCTTCCAAGTCAGCGGAAGGGTTGAAAGTAGACAAGCGGAACACTTTGTCACTAACAAGTATTAATGACTCGCTCGAAAATGGACACGAAAAGAATCACGATAATAATAATAATGATGATTTGGTAACTAACAAAACTTGTAAATGTACACTTTTGGTGAGCAGCAATTTGAGCCCTTTTTCCGGATAAAATCGAAAATCAGGCTTTTTATCTTTTTATTCAAAGGGTGACACTTCCGGTGAAACTAATTAAGAAACTTTATCAATTATCTAACTGCTGATTCTTAGTCTGGATCGACTATCGACGATTTGTATGAAGATCTCCGCGATGGCTTCAAGTTGCTCTCGTTGCTCCAGAACTTGAGTGGCCAGTCATTAGTAAGTCGGCATGACAGAAAGGTATGGGAAACGGAGAATGAAACTGGTGTCACTGGTGTTTTTTCGCGAATCAGCACACGCCGCCTGATAATCGCTATCAAGTGGCGGAGCATAATTTCGATTTCTTCAATCACTTTCAATTTTGGAACTTCCAATCAGAAGCTAAATAGCAGTCGTTCTTAATTTTTATCTCGTTGAATATTCAGGGTTGAGTATTCGGTCACTTATGATCTCGGAATTCGCCGCTTGTTAGATTTTGCGAAACATGCATTTTGCTCTGTGATCTGGAATTTTAACTAGAAATTTTCTCCTTTCTTATACCGTGATATTTTAATCCCCCCGTGAAGAGTATGATCTAACACTCGAATAGAACCGCGCAAGCGCCACCCAAGGCCCAAGAATGTTCATGGTATGTCCCAATTTGTCTAAAATCGCCCACAACCTAACCATATATTAATACTGGCTTCTTTCAAAACTAGCAGCTTTATTTGCATATCTCAAAAGCTTTCATGATTTGTTTGTTTCTTGTAGTGCACTTTGTTGTTACTAGAACGTTTGTGGTGACATGTATCTTTACTGTAGCAAGACTTCTTTACTGATCTAATGGAAATATTATTTCAGGCGAGAGAAAAGGGAAGAAACAGAATACACCGGGTTCAAAATGTGCAGTTCGCGCTGGATTTTCTCAAGAAAAGAAAGGTAATTCCTGATGGTTTGCAACCTGTGTAGAAAACCTTAGTCAGGGTCTGAAAGATCACTGAAGATTTGAATATCAATAGGAAGGGTAATTTTGCGAAGCCTTTTCGCGGCTTTTCATAAGTGATATTTCAAACCCTGACTCAGGTTTTCTAAACAGGTTTAGAACCGAGCTTAAAATCCCTGTTGTCAACCAACCCTTACCCTGACTGTACTTAGGTCCGTCTTGTTAACATCCGAGCAGAGGACATCGTCGATGGCAATCCAAAACTCATCCTTGGGCTTGTTTGGTCTATCATTCTGCACTTCCAGGTAACTTGGGTGGCCACAATAAGTCATGTTAAAATCGCTCAAAGTTGTCACACCGTGGGTTTGGTACAAAAGGCATCTCACTCGACAGCGCCACCTGAAATATTTTTGCGTGCCTAATTGCTCGTGGGCAGGGCAGAGGCTGATAAGCATGGAGCTAACGTAGTGCTAAACTCTGTTAGACAGCGGCCCTTTTTGCAGCAGCGCCCGCAGTCAGTAATTGTTGGATTTTGGGATTACTGACTGACAAATACCGATGGGCGGATGCTGCTCAAAGCTCCGCGAGGGGGACTATTTCGAGCAAGTCCTGTATGTTGAGAGAGACGAGAGAGAGCGCGAGCAGAAACATGGATTTCAATCTTTTCAAATATTAAAATTATTTATTTTTTTTTATATTTTATGCATTTTTTCCTTTTCCATTTTTATCCATGAAAAGCAATCAAACGGCACACGCCGATTGAGCTGGCCACAGGGACTTTTAATCGACCCTTATGCCGAGGCGCATGACAGCGAGATCTCCTCAAAATCGTCGACAGCGCGAAAACGAGTGACATTTAGTGAATTGCCTAATGAGACATACGCGTGGGGACATGAACGCATAAGTTTGCGCTCATACGATGAGTTTCCGCCGCCGGTTCTTTTTGGTTATAAAAGCGCAAATGCTAATTTTGTTTATAGGTTGAAGAGATTGTCATTGAAGGCGACGACTCGCAGCAACGGCTGACAGCGAAGAAAGCGCTGCTCCAATGGGCGCGACAGAACATGGAAGGCTACGACACCAATGTCAACAATTTCACCACCGATTGGAGCGATGGCATGGCCTTCAATGTCATCATGCACAGAAACAAGTAAGCAACCAACGAGAATACGCATCGCTAACGATATTTTAAGGCCGGAGATCATTGATCTCACGAAAGTCTCGCAGATGTCAAACAGAGAGCGACTGGCAAACGCCTTCGATACTGCCGAGAAGAAGTTCGGAATCACTCCCTTGCTCGACCCAGAAGACGTCGATGTCGCCAAGCCAGACGAGAAGTCCATCATTACATACGTCTCCTCCCTCTACGACGTCTTCCCCAAGGTAAGCTTGGGTTATCATTTTTGGTCTGAGAAATGCCCTGGTACCGTGTGAAATTATTTTTTAAAAAACAATGGCGGGAAACCCTGCTTGTCGGTTTGAAACTTTGAAACACAAAAATGCAAAATTTTTTGTAGAAAAATGAGGTAAGCAGCTGACGACAATGTAACACAGTAACAATTTATTCTTAGCACATTATAAATTTCGTTAGTATCTCACTACGTAGGCTTTACACTTACTCAAACTCACTCTCATTAAGTCGAAGTAGCACTTTACTCAGAGTTTAAAATAATCATGGGTTATTTTTACTGAAAATGATTATTTTGGGCACTGACGTTTTCCACAATGACATCACCGCACATCTTGTTAGTCTCACTTATCATTTCGTAAAAAGTACTGATTTGGAAATAGAATGGTGATGGTTTATTTAACGGTGGTGGTTTAGGTCCCTCCAAAGCCAGCCATGGTCACAAGCGAAGAATGGGAATATGTGCTCACAGAGTACAGAAGAGTGTACACCAAGATCATCGAATGGTGCTCGACTCAGATCACAATCATTCGACGGAAGAAAGCGCCAAAATCATCGGAAGAAGCGGAAGAAATGCTCCGTGAATTCACTGTCTTCCAAAGTGAGCGAGAACAAACTGCAGCTCTGCGGGACGAGTGTAGATCTCTCTGGAATCAGCTCAATTCACTCGCTGCTCAGAGTCGTGGAGAGTTTACTATTGGGCCGGAATTGGACATAAACCCAATGGAAGTTCGATGGGATGAGCTCAACGCTGAAGCAGATCGTCATGGCAACTTCTTGCAATCAGAACTCGAGCGTCTCAAGAGGCTTGAAGAGATCTGCAAAAAGATGGATGCCGAAATCGACGAGACGAACGAGACACTCAATACTGCCGGAGAGTGGCTGAAAAAACTTGCGTCTGATGATTTAAGCGATCTTCCATTAGATCTTGATCCTGTTGCTGAAGTGACGAACTGCTTGAATCGTGCGGAAGGACAGATCCGTAGTTTGTCAGCAAAGGTCGAAGAGTTGAGATCAGCGCGATACCATAGATCAGAAGAATATTATGAAATCGTGGCCCAACTTAACTCCAGACTTGTCGACATGAACTGCGAGTACGATCGCCTCAAACGACTCGGACTTCTGGATCCTATCTCAATCAAAGAAAGGAGAAAATTAAGACCACCTCTTGAAGAGTCGATTGAATGGAAAGACTTGTTAGATGCTGAGAATGTGCTTCAAAGATCAGTCGAGGAACTTGAACAAGTGACCGCTGGCGTTGATGGTGCAAGTGCAGAAGAAAATCTCAATAAGATTAATGACTTATTGAAGTCGTTTGCTAATTTCTTGGATCCAACTGTCGACAAACTTGAGAACTACTACTCGAACTTCGACCAAGGAACCAAAGATTACAAAGCATATGATGAGCGATATCGTAAGTGGAAATCCAGTGCTCAGGACCATCTTGCAAGCCTGAAGAGACGCGTCCAAGATCAGCAAAAATGCACGGAATTCCTTCAAAGCTGCGAAGAATGCTCTTCAGAGCTCATGGCAATCATCGATGAGCTCCAGTCAGATGATTGGTCTGATGAAAACAAAGATGTAGCCCAGGCTACTGCCGCTTTTGAGGACTACAGCAAGCGAGTTCAGATCATCTGCCGCAACATCGACTCTGTTCTTGGCCACGGACCATTGACTGCCTCTCAAATCTCTCGTGGAAAGGATTTAATTGAAAATTACATCTTCAAGCTTCAGCACGAGAAGCAAATGGCTGCTGCAATTCTTGAGGCGTATGAAGTTCAGGTCCGCCTTCTCTCGCAATACAAAGAATTCTTCGTTGAAATAGGCGATTTGAAGAAACAAATTCATGACCGAAAGATTACAGTTCAGTCTATTTGCACTAATCTTGACGAAAGCAGCGCGGCCGAGCGAGCTGAAAAGCTCGAGGAAATCAAGTTTACCTTTTCGTCCTTGTCAGTCAAGATGATGGAGTTGGAAACGCAGTCAAAGTCTATCACCAATATCAAGGCTAGACGATATAGAACTGAGAAGCATTTTGCTGCTCGTACTGTTACAAGGGTGAAAAATGTCGATCTTAACATCGCGAGAAATGAGCCTCTGACGCTCGTTGACTCGAGCAAGCCAGAAGCTTGGCAGCTGTTTACTGAAACTGGACAGAATGTTACTTTACCGGCGATAACAATTACCCTCCCTCCACCGAACAAGCTGGCAGAAGAGGCTGTTCAGGAGCTCAAGAGTGAAATGACCCAACTAAAGGGCAATTGGGAGCAGTCCAAAGCCAATTGTGCCTATTATCAAGCATCTGGAAAGTTTCATGAAAACGCTGGAAAAATTTTGCAATGGGACAGTCTTCCTCCTATCAATACTCGATCCTCAGCGATGAGCTCCCTTGAAAACGCATTCAAGGAAGCGGGAAGACATGTCGAAGACAGCCGCAACGACTCTGTTCAGCGTGACTACGATGAAATGCCTAACATCATCAATAATTGTCAACGACACATTGATGACTTGGAAGCCAAGGAACACGCCGCGAACGAGGCAGAAAAAGAACGCCTTCGAAGAGAACAACTCCGAGAAGAGCTAGCACGAAAAGCGCAGAGTCTTAAAGACTACCTCGCTGGACTGCAACAGAAATTGGATAATGCAAAGAAGGACATTCTTCATCGAGTATCGATTGCAATCGCATTCGAAAATCCACACGAAGCCGCTCAAGATGCCCAGCGTAGTATAAATGATCTTGAAGCAATCCGTGCTGGATCAAACCGAGTCCATGGGGAGTTATCCGAGTTGGAAGCATCTGAAGAAGCGCCAGAGGGTATTGAGCTCGCGAAGGCCGATTTGGAACAAATTCGAGCGGACGTCAACCAATTCCAGGCTCTGTCGCAAGTCTACATTAGAAAAGTCCAAAAAGTTCAAGTTGTGATCGGACAAGTTCAAGCTACAGAAAACATCATCGCTAGATTGGAAGAGAAGGTCAATTCGCAGCTGAATCAGGCAACATCAAATTCAGAGGCGATGGAACTAAAACTGCGCCTTCTTAAAAATTCCACATTCGAGCTTGGTGCACAAGATGCTCTTCTTCAGACTTTGAGTGAAGCAGCTGGAGAAGCAAAGGCTCTTGGACAGCAAGTCGAACAAGAGTCAAATATTCCCGACCCTGACGAGTACATCTACGGATTCACTGTTCAAAAACTACAGGACCGCCTTCAATCGCTAAAGGACAAGCTCAAGAGTGAGATCGATCAGCTGGAAAGCGAAATCCCTATCCTCAAGAGCCAAGAAAACGCAGCAGAAGCGAGCCAGCGGGGAATCCATGATGCTAGTCGTCTGCTTAACGAGCTTGAACATATTGCCAACGCTGCCGATAAAGAGTTGCGCCGTGAGCACGCTGAGAGCTTTGATGTCCGCGCCAGTCTTTCTCGCTGTGACGACTTTTCAAAACGACTCAATAATGTCCGAAGTCCCGTTCGCGAGCTTGTAAACGAAATAAACGCTATGATTAACGACCCTAACCTTACCGACGGTGTTCTGAAAGGACGCCTTGAAGAAGCCGCTCAATCCTTGCAAAGTGCACAGCAAAAGCAGATGATAATGTTGCGGGAATTCAACATAAGATGAACGAATTGCAATCAGCGATGGATGCACTCGCAGTTACCCGAGCTATTCTCGAGAAGTACCAAATGACACTTTCTGCCGATTCTGTATGCTCGACTATCGACGATTACGAACACAAGATGGCATTGCTACAAGAACTCCAGAAGGAAATTCCAGAAAATGATCCGAAGTTCGCTGGTCTCAAGAGCCATTTGACCGAGTTACCAGACAATGACCTCGACAGAAATAGACTAAACGTCGAGATGAATGATCATATGAATGAATGGAATCAGCTCAAATGGCAACTGAACATGGCCTTAGAAAGCAACAAGAAAGAGCTCGACAAGAAGATCAGAGAGCGCGAGCATGAAAACAGCGTCGGCTCGCTCCGAAGCAAGATCGCGGAATTCATCGCCAAGATCGAGAAAATGTCCGCTCAGCAAATTGACGTACTCAGCGCTGAACACGAGATGACTGTAGCGACATTTTACAATGAGCTCCAGGCACAACAAGAAGTCCTTGACGTTTTCAACAATCGTATTGAAGGAGAGTACAAGGCGCTTCGAAATGAGTGCGACCAGCTTCAACTTCCCAATGAAGAATGCCAAGAACTTCAATCCGCCTGGGAGCGTGTCTGGAAGCTTACTAAGCACACTATCGATAAACTCAAAGCTCTCCGAGCGTACACAGAACAGGTTGAGAAAGCTCAGGCTGTTCTGGCTAAATGGACATTGGAAGCTGAGCGATTCGAGCGTGAATCTGAAAATGCCGATCCAGATTTCCTAACAAAACTTTCAAAAGATGCCCAACGTGCTTATGCTGCCACAAAAGAAGATGATGAGACCTTTGTTTTGTCCATTTTCGCTGCAAATATCTCCTCAGCACATGCGCCAGTTGCCCATGAAGCCCAAGATCGAGATATGGCCCAAGCTCAAAGCATTAGTGAGGACCTATCAGCGCAGTGGAATGCGGTCAAACAGCGCCTCCAAGTGGCTTCGAAAACAGCTTTGAACAACTCGAAATTGAGACAAAGTGAGAATCAAACTCGCGAAGCTGGTAAACAGCTTGAATTTGTTTCCAATCTCAAGGATAGACTCACAAGACTTTCTGAGAAGATCACGAAGAAACTGAACACTCCCACTCCTCTCGAACTTTCTGACCTAGAAGTTGTTTTGACCGAAAATACCGCCTTGTCGACTGAAGTGAAAGAAATCGGCAGAGAAGTTGACATGACTTCAAAGAGTACGATGGAAATGCTCCGAAAATCTCGCGATGTCGATACTGAAATCGCGACTCAACTCCGTAGCATGCTCGAGTCTATCACTGGCCTCTGGGGTCCAATTGATTCCGTCTGGAACGTTTACGAAGACAAATGCAGAAGATTCAGAAACTGTGTTGAAAAATATGGTGGAGCTCGAATTCAACTCGAAAACACTGAAGACGAGCTCACTAGAATCGAGATCGTTTCGCAAACGGTTGAAGAACGGGACGAGAAGTTGAAGAGATTGAAAGAGCTCCAAGCTTCCTTCAGTCAGATTGAACCACTTTTCTTCAGCTTGGAGAGCTCGCACTCGGAGGTCAAATCTGTTGAAACTAGAATGCAAACTAAAGGTTTTTTAAAAAGTGCTAATGAATTCCGACTCATTTTCTTATAGGCTACTCTGATGAGTCATTTGAAACACTTACGGTGCTCGTTCAATCGCTTATTGCTCGATGGCGCAACGCAAAGACTGAGATCATTCGACGCCAAACTGATGTAAAGGATGCATTCGACAAGCTTGGCAAATTCAAACAGTCAATCAAGAAGCATGTCACTTTTGTCGAAAACAAGGAGAAGGAGCTTGACTCGATTCTTGCAACTCAAGCTGAAACTTCTGAAGCCATCCAGCGAAAATTGTCAAAAGTTGAAGGACTCCAAAAAGAAATCAACTCGCTTCAGGACGAATTCGTTCAGGTTCGCCAGCAAAATATTGATCATAAGACGTATGGTTTTCCTTCAGGTTGAAGAACAAGGAGAACAACTCAACGAAATCATTCGCGATGCCAACGCTCATTGCGAAAAGTGGGCTGAAAGCTGCGAAAAAACGCTTTCTCTCCCAACTCTCGAGCGATATGTCGAAATTGAAATTGAGACCGTTACGAGAAAGTACGACAAACTCGGCCGAATGGTCGCCGAGCAGATCGAACGACTGAAGATCAAAGTTCGCGAAACAAAGGCGCAAGAGGTTAGTGAAAAAATGAACGTGGTGACTTTAATGGTGTTTACTAACTGGGTGCTGTTTCCGATGCAAAAATGCATTTATTGTTCTTTTGCTATCCGGGTGTTTCTCTGTCTTCATTTACTGTCATTCATTTCTAACTCGATAAGAGAAAAGTTCACGAAAACGCATGACTTTCATGGTTCTAAAACTTTGGTGTTCAAAAAAGGTGTTTTAAAAATGTGTGCTTTTGGAGATGATGAAAAATAAATATATCAAACACACTCAGGAGTCCGAAGCTCGTTATGAAATCGAGCAGTCCACTGTCACTCAGCGAGAAAACGACGTCAAGTTCGATACTGGATTCAAGGGACAAGCAAATCTTTCTTCCCTCGAGGTAAGCAATCTCTGACAGCCACAGTGGTAAAACAAATTTAGGGGTCTGGACTGATTACAAAAGATCAAGCAGATAAGCTTGAACTTGGTGATCTCCTTCCGTCCGATCTTGATCTGCAACTGCGACCTTGGCTTTTCTGTGGAGAAGAGCCCGTTGCTGGTGTCATTCTCGAAGAAACTGGCGAGAAGATTACTCTAAATGAAGCTTGCAGAAGGAGCCTGCTCAGAAGAGGAACCACCCTAGAACTTCTTGAGGCTCAAGCCGCTGTTGGGAGCGTTATCGACCCCATCAGGTGAATATAGAAAAACTGATAGTTAAAAACTCAATGCGATGTTTTTGTGCAGTTTCTCATTATTCTTTAGATCGGAGAAACTTTCTGTTGAAGAGGCGATAAGCAGGAATCTTCTTGACCCCTATCAAGTTGATGCTCTTCGCCGAGCAGAAAGAGCTGTTACCGGCTGGCCAGATGCTCGTGCTGGAGGAAAACTTCTCTCACTTTTTGAAGCTATGCGACGAGGCTTAGTGGCCGACACTCGAGCGATTCGTCTTCTGGAAGCTCAGATTGCTACGGGAGGGCTTATCGATCCCCGAGCCAACCATCGAGTTCCAATTAATGTGGCTTTCCGACGAGGACTCTTCGACTCCGAAACCAATCAAAAACTAGAAGACCCCACTGACGACACCAAAGGCTTCTTCGATCCCAATACGCAAGAAAATCTTACCTATATTGAGCTTATCCGACGCTGCCAAAAAGAGCCAGAAACTGGCTACCACTTTTTAGTGCTGCGTCCAAAGCGACGCGGCGAGGGACGCGCATCAAGAAGCTCACTGTGGAACGACACGCGTAATCAATCCCGTGAGAGCCCAGCAAGCCGTAATTACAATCACTCTAATGCCCGATGCAAGACCCCAGAACATGTTACCAAATCAGCATCATCTACCTCTCAATCAATCAAATCGAAAAGCGCCTCTAACTTGCCTACAACGCACCAATTGACAACGAAAAAGTTACGACGCGAAGATATCATGTTCACTGTCCCGAGTGGAATAGTCAGACTCACCGAGCTCATCGACGCTGGTTGTACTGACGAGACTGCTGTGCGCGAACTCGAGTGTGGAAAAATCACCATGGAAAAATTCCGACACTCGTTAGAACGATATTTGTCTGGTTTGCCACCGATCGGAGGAGTCAAAATCACCCATGGAAGTGGAGTGACTGAAATCCTTTCTATCTATGATGCGCAGCGTCGCCAATTGATCGATCAGGATCTGAGTTTCTATCTTCTTGAGGCTCAGGCAGCGACTGGCGGACTTTGTGGACTTGGAAGCGCCAAGCGATACGATCTTCATACTGGATTTGAACAAGGCCTCATCGATAGAGAGCTCATTAGCGATTTGACTAATGGACTTTCTGCTGTGCTCGGTTTTGTTGGAAGAAATCGCTCACTCGTCTCGACTATGGAAGCAGCAAGAATCGGAATGATATCCGAAGACGACGCTCGCCGGCTTTTGTTCACCCAAATCGTTACCGGCGGCGTTTTCAATATTGCCAATGGATTCCGATTGCCTCTTGACGTCGCCAGCAAGAGAGCGATGTGGACACGCAGCTGGGACAACATGGCTCCACAGTGCTACGAGTTCAACCAAAAAGCAATGACTTATGAACAGCTTTGCGCCAAGTGCGAAAAAGATGAAAGTTCGCGATGTCTTCTTCTTCCTATTGCTGGAAATAAAAAGCCAGTTGGAAAACCAATCCAATCCATCATGGGAACTCCTCTTAGCTTCTACCACCGTAAGTTTTTTCATAATGTATTCTAGTCACTCTTTTATCTATCGTTTTTTATCAGCTAGCTTGGATTTTTTCAAATCTAATCGAAAAATTCAGAGCATAAAATGATCTCTGACGAAACTTACGCTGCTGCTCAAGCTGGCTTCATGTCTGAAAGTGACTTAGAACAGCAGCTCTCTCGTCGACTCATTGGTTGTGAGCCTATTGCCGGCATCTTTGTCGAAGGTCGCCTGATGTCGATCTGGGATGCTTCTCGACAAAAGCTTATCAAACCTGGAAATGCCCTTGAGCTGATGGAGGCCCAAGTTGTGAGCACTGGTGCTCTCATCGATGCGATATATGGAAAGCTCACGGTCAACGATGCAATTCAAAACGGAGTGATTGATATGTCCACTGGCGATGCCCTCAACAGATCCCGAATTGCTTACAAAGGCGATAAGGATAAGAACTCTTTGAAGAGCATGATGAACAAGGGCACCCTTGCTGAATCGAAAGCGCTCAGACATCTCGAAATTCAGATCGCATGTGGAGGCGTGATAGGTATTTGGAAGCTGAGATAGCAGTTTCTTCATGAAGTGATTTTAGAACCAAGAACTGGGCGATACTTTTCCATCCCACAAGCATTCGAGGCTGGCCTTTTGGAAAAGAACGACCTTCAAAAGATTAGAAAAAATAAGTTCTTCACGGATCCAGATCGAGAGGAGCGACTGAGTTACTTAGAGCTATGTTTGAGATGTGTAAAGGACGACACGGGCCGCCTGTTCCTGCCAGTTCACCGAATCAATCTTGCCAAGACAAAACGATCAAAGCCACGAAAGAAGAAAATAGTCGTTGTTGATCCCAGCACATCCGAAGAGCTCAATTGCCAAACCGCGTTCAGCAGGGGTCTGATCGATGAAGAATTCTTTGTCCAGCTGCTCACAGAAGAGGGCAAGTCCCAAGAACAAATCGACGACATTCTCTACGGAAAAAGCAAATCCATTCCTCTTACTGTAACGCATGAGCGCGAGTTAGGGTTATGCAGATACAAAGTTATTGAAAGAAAATCTTCGCATGCGGAATGAAAGAAAACGCACGTGAATAAGTAGCATGAAATTTTTAAATGCTTGATTACTTCGGCCTGGGCTCGGCAAACTGTGTAGAAAACCTGAGTCAGGTTTCAAACAAGCTAAAATAAGCTTTTTTAAAAAAAGCCGCTAAGCTTTTAATTTTAGAACTTTTAGAACCTGACGCAGGTTTTCTACCCAGACTACCGAGCGCAGCTTTAGGAATTCTTTTATTTGAAAAATTTAGGTTAGGTTTAGATAATAAGAGATAATGAGTAGTTGTGCCACAGATTAGTTAATGCATCAAGTATCACCCACTAACAGACCTCGATCGACAGCCGCCGCGATTCTAAATCTGACATTTTCTCTTGCACATCTTCCTCCGTTGATCTCGGATCAATTGCTTCCACACCAATGGGTTCTCGCGAACCTACCCCATCGCTTGGAGTTGTCTCCGCCGCTGAGTTAGAAAACCGTCTCCTGAAACTAGCAAAAGACGGTTTCCGCGTTGCGATCGGAGCAATCAAGGATGAGACTACTGGAGAAACAATTTCGATTTCCCAAGCGACTGATCGAAAACTGATTGACTCTGTTACCGAGCAGCGATTGCTCGAAGCACAAGCAGTTACTGGAGGAATCATTCTTCACAGCTCCGGCGCGCGGCTCACACCGAATGAAGCTCTGAGCGCCAAGTACATCACCAACCGAGCGTTTTCGACACTGACGGAGGCGTACAAAGCATGGACTGGCTTCTCAGATAGAAGAACTGGCAAACGCAATTGCTTGAGTCTGCCTGAAGCTCTCAAAAGCGGCTCAGGAAGTTATGAAGCAATGACGAGATTCTTGGAATATCAAATTGTTCTTGGAGGCGTGTATGACGTGCAGAAGCGAGAGTTCCACTCGCTACATGAAGCAGTCGATCATGGCTTGATCGAGAGTCGAAAGGCGGAGCGTTTAGCTGACTTTTCGGTAAAAATGTACTTTCCCCATCTATTTTAATTGGTTTCTAGCGTCACTCGAGACAGCTGACCGATCCCCGAACGAATCTAACGACGACGTATTCAAAGTTGGTTGACGCGGCCGAGGTCGACAAGGAGGGCATTCTCGTCCTCTCTGCCTGGCCTCGCAAGCAGCGCTCCCTCAAGCTTGACTCCGGCCTCACCGTTCGCGCTTCTTCAATCGCTTCATCCCGAGCTTCTTCCCGCGGCACTTCGCCAACGCGCCACCTCGACACCTTCGATATTGGCCAGATCTAACGCTTACTAACTCAAATATATATTTATAAATTTAACATTATTTTCACTTTGGCCTATTTTCAATTTACGTTCACCTCAACCTCTGTCTCTTCTTTTTGTGACTAACTGTGCATGGAATTAAATACTGTATCTATTTATTACAGTGGCTAACTGTATATTATTTTATATATTTGAGTACTGATCAATCTGAGATCTTCGTTTCTCTGAACCTTCTTTTCAACCATTTATTCGAAAAAAATCCAAAAAAGCAAGAAAAAAAAAAGAAAATTCCTTCAGTGTTACGAATGGCTTACTACTATGACTACTTCAGTACTCTTATCTGTGAATACTTTGCTTCTTGCGAGTTCTGTGATGAATAAACTATTCAATAATCTCAAATAAGGCAATCAAATGTTTGATTTTTGATTCTAAGACGTTCAGGTATTCGTTATGGAGATTTTTATTGGTCTGGGCTCGGCAACCTGCGTACAAAACTTGAGTCAGAGTCTGAAGTATCTCAAAAGAAAAGCCGCGTAGCGGCTTTTATAAAACGAGGCCACGAAGCGTCTTCGCCAGAATTTAAAGATTGATTGAAAAGATGAGAACCTGACTCAGGTTTTGTAGACAGGTCGCTAAGCCCAGAAATTTGTATTGAATATGTTCTAATCGAACGTAGTCACTAACTCTCATCGCCACTGTTCATTACTTTGAATGTAGAGTAGTCCCTTGAAAATGACAGTAGGAAAAAGGATGATACTGGTAGATTTCGCTTTTCCTTGGCGAGATAAAATTTATATGACAGTTTATTCAGGATAGCGTCTTAGCACGGTAACGCCCGCGCCGAAAAAAAATCTTCCGAAGCATTTAGGCACACACTGTGTGCCCCAAACACGTACCAGGGCAAAGTGATGGATCATCACGTGTGGTCATCATCATTTTTTTGTGCGGTCAGCTTTTTTCACTGATCAGAGGGTGCCTTTGAAACTAGAGAAGGGAAAGAAAACGAAACAGAAAGAAGACGGATTTATTTAGGACGAAATTGGGATGGCGGAACGGAAAGTAGCCGAGATAGCCAGGTGGATTGACGAAACTAAGGAGAAGAAAAATGATCTAGTCACGGTTCCAGCACGATTCTGACTAATTTTTGCTAGAATTCCGATTGATACTAAAGTAGAATTATGGCTAAAAATAGAGAAACCGTTTGCGGCTTCGAGCAAAAAAAGACGCACGTGTCCCAAACTAGAAGTATTTTCACTTTTGCTCTCGCGCGCCACTCTCGCTTTCCGGGTAAAGCGGTAAGTTTAAAAACACCCCCGTGGGTGCGTGCCTTTGATCGTTAATTCGCCCGGGTGTCCCAAACCAGAGGGATTTTTTGGTGTCCCAAACCAGCGGTTTTTACTGTATACAATGTTACATTGTCAATGTATACTGTACATAAATTAAAATATTAATTATAATGTACAAAAAAGTAATGCATCAAAACCGAAAGAAGTCTTGCCTGATACGCTGAAAGCAACTGGCGATGTAATAATTGAAATCGAGGAGATCATCGAAACAGTCGTCTCCCGCCGTCCCGTCGTAAATGCCGCGGCAGGGTTTGCAGTGGAAGTGATCGAAAAATACGAACGCAGCGCGAAAATGACGTTAGACGATGATCGGAAACAAACGAGGAACGGATTCGGAAGCGCGTTCCCTTTTACGTTATCGTGATTTCCGATTTCTCCCCGGAAACTTGTGTTTTAACGCAATTCCTGCGAACTCAGACAAAGCTCTCCAGACAGCAGTCTGGAGAATGTGTTCACGCTCATCCTTGATCGAAATCAAGGACGAGTAAGGTGTAAATTTATTTATGAATTTGAATTCGAATCCCTTATACAGTTCTCGCCTGTCGAAGCTTGAATCGAACACGGAAGAAATGAAACGCAACTTTGAGAAACTTCTGGCTAGCTTTTTGAGCATGCAGGAGCAACTGAAATCCCATCTGTCAAAGTTACAATCGGAGAGGGATCTTTCTGGACTACAATCTGAAATGGAATCGATGCGATTATCTTTATTAGCTCTCAGTGATGGACTAAAAGTGACGCCCCCCGACGATCTCTTAGAAGCACAGACTAATTTTACAAAGCTCCAGCAACTGGCAAGGGAGTTGAAAGAAAAGAAACCAAAAGTGTTGGAAATTGCAGGTAATTATTTTTCAGTTTATTATTTCAATGCCTTGAGGAGGACGTAATCTAACAGGAAAGTGATGCGATATAAAGTCTTTTCTAGGTTTAGCGATAGCCTTTTTAGGTTTTAAGGAATAATTTTAATCAAGTATTATTTTAATTTATAAATCATCAAAAACCTGCCTCGAAGTCCAATTGTGGAGAATTGATCTTCTAGTTCTGGATAAGAAGACCTTATCCAAGACTCAAAGTTTTGCCATTTTTGGTCTGAAATTTTCCTTTTTGAAATCATAGAAGACTCTTTTGAAAATTCTTTATATCTCTTTTACCTGTATCTTCATTTCGGATCTTAAAGCTCTGGCAATATTGGATCAAAAAGCTGAAGGTTATCCAAAAGAATCTCTTACTCAATCGCGCCATGGCAGAGACTAATAGCCTTTTTGTCAGATTGGAAAGCTTTATACTCGGCACAACTGTCTTTGCGTGCCTTGGTGATGCTAACGAGTTAAAACACGTGCGGATCACAGTAGAATATTAATGCTAAATGGAGCCCTGATTCGGAGAATTTTGTCACTTGCCAAGTATAATTCAAAATATAGAAACGGAGATGCGTAATTTACACAAACAGATTAAATTGGAACATATCTTTATTTTTTTCTAGTTTTGTAACCTATCGTGAACAGAAATAATGGGTCAGCGTTGAATAGCGGTAGTACTGTGCTAAATTGCTGAAGGAGATTTGAAAGAACTCTCCGTTCTCGGACACGTGATGTCTAAAGATCGTGCTCGTAGTTAAAAGCTCGTAGACCTCTTCTTCCGATGTGCTTCTTTCGCCACCAAGGAGGATGATCTTCTCCCACACTTCGTTAAAAGTAGCGGCTGAGCGTTGCAGTGCCACGAAAGCATGCGTGACGAGCGCAAGTGCCTGACTGTCGCTAGAATCGACACTTGACTCGCTAGTTGAAGCTGTGAAACCGTGGTATTCGTGGACGCTCGGGCTCGACGCTGATGATTGAATGCCCTCAGAGCCACTGTGACTCAAGCAGGGTTCAGAACTGGCTCTGGGCGGTTGGTTCTCGAGACGTCCTCTTCTGAATTCGCCTTGTTCAAAGTTGAAGATTTCTCTGATGTCAAGCGCCATCGTGCCATTCGTGCAAGTCGGAGATGCATTTCTCGTTTGGCGTTTGAACTGCGCCTCAGGAATTTTGGCAACTTCTACTGTCCAGAATCCATGGGAGCCTGTGCTCTTCTGTTTGACGAAAAACTCGCGCTGGACAAGATTGTGTCGTACAGAATCCCTCCAAGCTGATTTAGACGAGGCCAGTGCGGGAAAAAGCGCTTCGAGCTTTGAGTAGATTTGCCCCAGGCGAGCGCGTTTTTCTGGAAAAGTTCGAATCACGAGCGCGGTTAACACGCCGTAGGAAAATGGAGGCTTATCAGCTTTATTGTACACGCGGGTCTTCATCTTTTTACTTTTCAAAATTCGATATCAAAATCGACTATTTTTTCAAAGTTGTATTCTTTGTTTTTGGATAACTGATCAGTACGATTTGTCTTTTTATTTTCGGAAGGGCGCCCGAAATGACGTCGGCGGCGAAGACTCCCGCCTCCCGAGCTAGACGGAATAGCTTCCTCCACTGCCTCAAGCTTAACTCGTATCAGAATCTTCACATATTTTCTCTCAAGAAATTTGCCAATTATGGAACATCGGACAAATACATCACATAGGAAAAAATTATAAAACATATTCTCGTTGAGAATTTCGATTCTCTTGGTCTAAGATCCGATTATTCATCTGATCTAGTATGATGGCTGGATACTTACTGAAGTATAAGTCCAAATATGGTCAGGATTCTTAAATAAGAGAATATTAGGGGTACTCAATATTATTTCCTGACCCAGGCTTTTTACTCAGGTTGCCGGGCCCAGCCATAAGATAAGGGATTTTCTACTTCAGTCTGGGAAGTCTGGTCACAACTGGAAAGTCGGAATGGAATCAGTATCAGTTCAGAGGTGATCTTTAGGAATTGGAAAACAGGTTATGAGTGGAATGTTAGGGAGAATCTTGTAGTTTCCCATTGAGACTTCCAATGTAGACATTGTCTGAGCAGTAACTTTCCGAACATCCTCAAAAAGTTGTTTTCAAGTCTGATTTCTGGATTCTCTTCAGTAAATATTCTACTTTAGCTACCTCCCGTTCGACTTCGCGAAACCAAGACTTGAGTACTGCTGAAACCCAGCAACTTCACCTCGACGCGTCAACCCTGGAAGATCTTCTCCATGAAACAAGCACGACCGCAAGTGAAGCCTCGCGGTCTTACTCTCATCTAATGGGAATTTTGAGTGACTTTGAACAGGTAAAACTAATGCTCTTCATTAGCGCGTCCGATTCAAGCCGATCGCGGTTGTTTACTAGAATATTAAAAATGGGTGACCTTGACTTTCTTGGTGCTTAATTTAGTGGAGCAGTGGCCATAGTCCCGCCCGCGGGGGCTCTTGGCATCTATTCTAATCGTTAACGTTGAAAAATTCTGATATATTCTAGCTCTTCCTTACTCCTAAATTTGCCAAACAAGTTTCTTTTTTTTCCTAACTGGATTACTCCTTTCTGGAGTAATTGGAAGTGACAGGAGCCGCCCTTCCTCAAACGCGGTAAGAAAGAGCGAGAGACCTTCAGGTTGAAGGGTGGGCCGCAGGTGCACGAAAATGCAAACAGTTTGGTGCACCCACCTGCACCACCAAATTGGCCAATGAATGTACCGAGCCTCTCCACGGCGCAAAAAAGGAACTCTCTCTCTCTCTCAACCGCGGTTTACCAAAACACCGCCGCCAGAATTTATCATTCCGACAAAAAACCTAAATTCTAGAGACACGAACTACTACAGAGCTATCTAGAAGAAGTCGAAAAAGAGTTAGAAAACGTCTCAGCAGGTAAATTTACTGAACGCGCTTCACTAATCGTCTAGTACAATAATACAACTAGTTGATGAATAATCATTTTTTTTATTTTTTAGTAAATTATTCAAAATTTAATTTTATTTATTCTTATTTAATTTTGAATATAAAAGCTATTTTTCCTCTCATAGCAGAGTTTTCAAATTTTGATAAAAAAAAATAAATTCTACCGCGATTCTCATTGCTGACTGACTACTGACTAAAATTTGCAGAAAAAAAAAATTTTCAAAAACAATTAAAATTCCCGCAAATATAAGTCAGTAGGAATTGATAATCGCGGTATATCATATATTTTCTCACTGAATAAGATATCATAATAGTGGTAGGATTCTTGTCCAAATATTTCCGCCAAGTCCTCCATAGTGTCCGCTAATAATCCTTGTCTCGACAGATGACGTCCTGTTGACGTGTGTGAAGGAGTTTTCCGTAAGGAATCCGTTCGAGTGAAAATGCCATCATCAATAATGTCAGACTGACCGGATTTAGTTTTCCATGCGAATTCTTTACTTTTTTTTCAGTAAATGATGTCCTGAGCGACGAGACGGATTCTAACAATGTTTCTCGGGTGGAAAAACTTTCGCGGCTGAAGGACCTCGTCAGGGAGCTAGAAGGCGAGAAGAAGGCAGATCTGAAGCTGCTGGAAATGAGCAAGGAGAAGTACCAATTGGCTAGCAAGGAATTCCGCCGCGCACTGCAGCTCGACGACGCCGGGCAACTCTTCGGCGAAGACGGACAACGACATCGCCTAGTCGACTCCAAATACGAACGCGTCCAGCAAAATTTCGGTCTCCTCTCAAACAAGGTACAATTAGAGCTACGTAAGCCGCAACCGGAATTCCGAGCATTTTGACGAGCAAAATTGGCAGCGCAGCGGAATTTTTTATCGTCCATTTCTGAAATCCTAATGAGCAAAATCTTCGTTAGCATCCAACCGTTTCCACGGGGGAAATTTTAATTTCCAAGGTTTGAGGTAGACAAAGATCCCAAAATCAAAATATTGATGTCATTACGTATTTGCGAATATAATGATTTACGAAAATCGCCACTCATATAATATTTTTACAACCGCTTTTATTCAGTTTATAATACCGGAAAATACTGCATGGTGAATAATCGTCGCCGTAAATTTCGCTCTGCGCTAAAAGGCGCATTCATCAAAATGACTATTTGACAAAGAGAGTTTCCTTCTTCAACTGAATGCCTGAGTCCCTTTTCGCTTATCAGTAGCTCCTAAAACTACACGTGAGCCAAGTCAAGCACGCAGCCAATGCTGGCACGTGAGAAAAGGCGCTACATTTTTTCCAGAGAGAATGAATTGAATCAATGTTCCTAGGCCCGGTTTCATGCAAAATAAAATGCTCATCTTTTTGACGTCCTTTTTTTGATGCCGATTGAGAATTTCTCGATGATGAGCAGTTTTGTCTGCCGCTTGCAGACGGCGTTTGCGTCATTTGGCTATATTGGAAAGGGTCTTTTCGTAGAAAAATCATTTAATAATTTTAACGACCTTTCCCAACCTAAAGGGCTTTACCTCTTCTTTTCGGACTTTTGCTCATTCTTCTGCCGATTCATTCTTTTTACCGTCGGAGTGGACCAAGAGTGAGTCCCTTGTTCTGCGCATTTGTCAGGAGAGCATCGCTTTCTTATTTCTAGCAGGTGTCATTTTATAGGTTAAGGAAGACAAAGACGGTGGTGACTCGGCTTGGGCGAGAGTGATTTTACGAGTTTAGAGCAAAATTTTGATCCTTTTTCCTCCGCGGATCAGCACTAAACAAATAGCGGCAGCTACGTGGGAGAATGTCAACTGAAAATACGAAGAGACCTTGAACGAACTCGAGCTCTGAGCTGTGCGATAGTGTGAAGCTCTCTTTCTATCTATCCCCACGGGAGGTCCCGTCTCTGCTCGCACGCATGCTGAGGAAGCCACCTTCCCTTTTTCAAATACCTAACCTCAGCTAGATACCCTCCTTCTTACAACGTTACAAAGGAGCTCAGCCGCGCGGCAAATCAAACCACTGGCACGAGCAAGGACCAACTGTCCCTGGTCAGTTGCTCAGCGCCAAAACTGCAAAACTCACTTCCCTGCCACAAGAAAATTAAGAAAGAAAAAGACAGAGAGGAAAATTGAATGACTCATGGGAAGAAAAGCTTCTGAAGCGTGAAGATATACACTAGAGGTACTACAAGAAGAACAATCTAAGAAGAAGAAAGCATGGGAGTGTGCGCCTCCAAACCAAAGGCACGGTCAATATTTACAGTAACTCTTTTTGACTGAATTCGATTTAAAAATATGTAGAATCTAATGGAAGTTTAATTTAGACGGCTTTAGATAATAATAATTATTTTCTAAATTTCAATCAATTTAATTAATTACTTTCAAAATTTTTTGTTTAAAGTCAAAAATAGCATAATTTTCTAAAATAAATTTCTCGTTTTTTTTTCTTTCCATCGATATCTAAATTTTGGAATCTAAAAGAACCAAAAACACGATAATAAAAAACGCTGCGTGGGCTAAGCTAAATTAGAATCACTGTGTCTCTTTCTAATTTTCTCTCCATTTTACTCTGATGACCGTAAAATAGACCGATGAAATCGACATCGAAGAGCCTCCAAAGACGATCAAGTCAGAAGAAGGATCCGATTCTCTGGATCAGAATTACTCGTTGAATTCTTATGCTGGCGTCTCATCAGTTTTGGGTTTTTCCTATAATGAAAAGGGTCTTAATCAACGAAGAGGCTTCTTAGATAAACAAAGAGCCAACTGAGAGAGAAAAAGGCCAACCCAAAATTAGATCAGATGGAAGAGTCACTCACAAGGCAAAAAATAAGTGCATTGGAATCGTTAGAAGCCTACATTAAAGACGACATTAACGCAAGGTCCATTGGCGATTATTTTACAGTCAATGTAATAGTTAAGAAGCAGATCCTGCGATTTGATCGAAGGAGAAGCGCTAGAATCGACAGCAAGTGTCGAAATCAACCGAATCAATGACACAGTCGCCCGTCTTCGCCAATCCATCTCGACATTGGATTTGATCAGCGAACCAGCGCTCGTCGCTAATGCCAGTCCTTACGAGAAGCCGCTCTTTGCCTCGCCATTTACAAACTCGGAGCTTTCGCTCGAAAGCATCACCAGTGATCTCGGAGGCTCAATAAGCGCCAAAAGCCCCTCACACTTGAAATATCAGTTTCTTGTCGACAGCCGAGTGCCACCAACATTGTCCCCTTTATCAGCACGCAGCGCTACTAGGACTTCTTCGGAAGGAGAAAACTCGCAGCAGGAAGAGGCAATTATACTTATCTATAAGCAGGACTTGGCTCGACAACATGCTTAGAAAATCTGAGTCAAGTTTTAAAGGGTTTTAATGAAAAGCCGCTTAGCGGCTTTTTAATAATCGAGGCGCCTTCGCAAAATTACTATTTCAATCTATTTTCAGATTCTGGCGAAGCCGCTTTAGGTTTACTTAGGTTTTAACACATGTTGCCAAGCACAGAAGCAGGAGAAATAAAACAAACAAAGCAGAAATCCAGAATTTTCCTTTTAAAAATCTATTCAGGCGGCGGAAAAATTCCAAGCTTATGGAAATGTGCTAGAAGTCTGGAAAGAGTACGAAGGAGTTGAGCTCAACTGTAAATCATGGCTACAAGAAGCGGAAATTCGACTTTCTGTTATGGGAGCGCCAAGGTAAGCGCTAATTACAGCCAAAAAAAGTGGCAATTTTAATCAGTTTATTGTTTTGGGATAAACGCGCCCGGGTCACTAGACCTATGTTTTCCTTCAAACACGTTGTTCCGAGAAGCTAAAATTTATAATTAACGGGAAATCATAGCACTGACTTGGCAACTTTGAATGAGCAAATTATCGACGCTAAAACTGCGCGGCACGATGCTGATGGCCACAAAAACTCCTTCAAGCGACTGGATCAAACTGCACGGGCGATTGGTCGACTTGGGGACGAGCTTGTTTCTCATCGAGACCAGCAACGCGTCTCCCGTCAAACTCAAAAACTGCGCCAAGGCTTCCAGGCCCTGTCGGATAAAATCGACATGAAGGTGAAAGAACTAATGGAGATGGGCAACGAATTGCAGCAACTCCAGGAGAAAATCACAAACGCAAACAATGAAGCAGAAGTCGCCGCGCGAGTCCTAAAGGAAGTTTCTCGAGCTGCAAGGGCTGATAAAAACTTGCTAGAAGAACGACGAGATAGGCTGAAACTCTCGCAGACGGAGATCAAACGGGCAGAGCGTGAAATCAAGGAGTCAGGGGAAAAAGCAGCGCTCAAGGTTTTGTCAAAATGTGGCGAAGAAAACGCACGTGCAGTTCGAGAAAAGCTCGCAAGCGCTCAAAGACGAACAGAAGGCGTCGTCGAGGATATCGAAAAAGAAGAGCGAAAACTTTCAAGAATGATTGAGCTTCTAAGCGACTTCGAAAATCACGCTGATCACTTGGAGAATGAAATCCAAACATTGCAAAATCCAAAAGCCTGTGAAGTGAAACTCGGCAATTTGCGCGAATCGGCGTCTTACCTGCTCGATTCCGGCAACTTCTCGGATCACAGTCCCGTCACACTGAGGCTTGATCGCTTGAATCGTATGCTGGCGAATGCTTCGGAGCAGAGCAGAGAACGAAGGAATGCACTTGAAAACGAAAAGCGACGGGAAACAGAGCGTGAGCGCGAGTTTGAAAATGTCAAAATCGAGCTCGGTCAATTCGATGTCGTTTCTATTCAAAGCCTTGCGAATCTGCCCGCTGACCTCAACAAGCTTGACAATTTGATAACAAAGTGGGAAAATCTCGAGCCCAAGCTCGAGTACTTAGAAAGCACCTCTGAAAGTCCAATTATGCAGCCAGGCTCGACTGCTTCTCTTCGCAGAAGAAGCAGAACAAGAAGACAGGGCGGCACACTCCCGAGGAATTCAGGAAGACTTTCTGGAGCGTCTGCTTCCGGTGTTGAAGGTTTGAGATTGAAGTACGAGAGCATTGGAGACAGACTAATCAACACAAGAAACGTGGGCCAAATACTTCTAGAGCAGCTTGAAGTGTGGCATTCGAACCAGGTGAAAGCAGAACACATCATGAAAAATCTGGCTGACTCGTCATCTTTGATATCAGCGATGGGAGACGTGGCGGAAGCCGTGCGTTCCGGCAAAGCTGTTATCACTACATGTCGCACCAAACTAGATAACGAGCCCAAGGACCTTCCGAAATTAGAGTCGGAAGTCGACCAACTCCAAAAACAATTTAACGATGTGCAACAGGAAATCATGGACGCGCGATTGTCCAAGGATCAAAAATCAAAAGACATTGATCATTGGCAGCAGCGCTTTTAAATCTCTCCGACTGGACATCCGATCAATGGAGTCTCATGTCCGTGCTGGGGAAGATTTCGGCTGATCCGGCGATTCTAGAGCCACAGAGGCAGCAAGTTGATGCGCTGCTGAGTGAGTTTAACTCGCGAAAAGAGCGATACAACCAGCTTCAAGCGGACTGCCTATCTTTGAACGATTCGAGCAAAAGTCAAGATATGAAACAACTGAGCTCGAGGTGGAATGAATTGGAGCAAAAACTTGAAGAGCGTAAAATAGCAATCGATGAGGCGCTAAAATGCACGCGCGAGATCGAGCAAGAAACTGCCAAGCTACAAGACTTCCTAACTACTGTTACTGCTGACTTAGCAATATCAAGCAGACTGCCACCAGTTCCCGATTCAGTTGAAGATTGCCTCAAAAAACTCAAACAGCACCAAACCCAAGTGACCGAAATGGAAAAGAGTGCCAAACTCGCCCAGCAAGCAGCAGAATTTCTTGCACAAGTTGCCTCTGGAGCTGAAAATCATGGCAACAAATCGCACTCGGTCGGACAAGCACTTTTCATTTCAACCAAAAAGTTGGACGAAAAAATCGGCACTCTCACAGAATTGCTGGCTAACATCGATGAAGCGTATAAACTGAGATCTGAGTTGTTCAACTCGATCAATGCGATTGAAAAGGGACCAACATACGGACGGGAAGAAATTAACGCTCTGAGATCAAAGTATGACGAGCTCGTTTCGCTTGTAGAAGACATCAGTGAAAACACGTCGCCGATTCGTAATAACTCGCTACGAGAAGACAAGCGCTCCATTCAGCGAAAGATCAAAGCGCTAGAAACGGGCTTAGACCAGCGTGAAAGGGACGAGTCACGAAGAGCGCGAAAACAGGCGCAGCTGCTGTCATTTATTAACGAACGGGAACAGCAGATTGCGTCCACACATGAGGGCGAGGCTCAACCTGACGCCATTCACCAGAAAATCACACTCGTCCAAACTCTTAAGGATGAACTCACCGCGCGCATGGGCGAACTGAAGGCTCAATTCGGCGGCCCCACTGATTCACAAGTTCAACAGAGCTTCAACAATCTCCTCGAGAAGAGCACCGATAGAGCTAAGGAGCTTCAGGATGCGAAATTGCAAGCAGAAGAGCTCGACGGACTCCTCCATGATTTCAACGAATGGGCGGAGGACTCCCTGGAAAAGATTCTCGCTGCTACGAACTTAAAATCGCCCGAGACTCTTTACGAAATGCAGGTTTGTCACAAATAAGCTTTTTCTTACAGGCTCAGTACTTGATACATTTTTGAAAAAGTTGGGTTATATTGGCAAATGTCGAGCTCATCCCTCAGCAGAGTGGCGCAGCGGAAGCGTGCTGGGCCCATAACCCAGAGGTCGGAGGATCGAAACCTCCCTCTGCTATATACCCATATTTTCTTTTTTTTTCTCATAACAAAGATTCTAGAGACCTCCTACTTATTATTCTTTTAGACAATGATGGAGGAGTGCAAAGACCAACGCGGTGAAATCGAGCTTATTTGCTCTCTGCTAAAAGGTGTCGAACCAGCCGGAAAACGATGGGGAGGAAGACCTTTGGAGCAAGTCCACTCTGATGCTCTGCACACTCTCGATCGCATCAAGAGCTTGCTGAGTGAGCGAACAGAAGCCGCCGACGATGCTCTCAACCGAGTCAAGCGCTTCGAGGAGTCGATAGAGAAGCTCACCGCTTGGTACAGAGAGATCGGCGACGACCTTGACAAGATCAAATCGGCGCTAGACTTGACGGAGCCGGAAGTAATCGATAAAATGGTCGACGATGTTGGTAGAATCTCCACCATTCTTCAATCGAAAATGGCGACACGGGAAATTATGTCCAGAGAGTGTCAAATGATGAATTTCGATTTGGCTGAAGGGATGAAGGATAGTGTCGAGGAGAAGCTATCCAAACTCGAGAGCACAGCTTCAGAAACAGAACTGAAATGCAGAGAGCTTCAAAATCTTCTTGAAAAGGTTCAACGCGCGAGCACGAAATATGCAGAAGTGCGAGACGAGCTTTTGCCATGGGTTGAAGACATGGAGGTGCGGTTAGATCAATTTGACGACGTTTCCCTACCAGATGAGAGCCTCATTGAGGATCTCAGCCAGATGAGTGAAGAGATTGCAGAACGACGTCTTCTCGCTGACCGCCTTGTTCTCACCGCTGATAAACTCGCGCCTTTAGGAGCGATTCAAGTCAAGAACGAAGCAGCACAGATCTCGAGCAGATATTCCGACATTCGCGAACGCTGTCGACAGCGTAAGAGAGAAACTCAACAACTCGCAATCGAACATCAGCAGTACTCGGAGCGTCTTAACAATCTGAACAACGCTTTGCAGCGGATTGATGAGCGTCTATCGAATAGCGATCGCCCCGAATGCAACGTTGAAAAGTGCAGAGCCGCAATGGCGGATTTGAATCAACTTAGCAAAGAATTGGACAAGCTAGAAGCTGCGAAAACGACGCTTCAAAAGACCGGTCAAAGCCAACTTAGCGATCCCAAGATAAATTCAGAGCTGGCAAAGATCGATTCGACATGGGATCATCTCCAGAATACGCTCAAGAACAAGCGCGATCGATTGAGACAAACAGAAGCTGCGTCTGAGCGATTTTGGGCGAAAAACTCTCAGTTCCAGAATCAACTGGATCAGCTTGAAGGCGAGCTGCGAGAGATCAAGCCAACGCACGATGGTAAACGGGATATGGATCAGTTCGAGAAGAAAATTACAGCAATGGCCGGCTTGAATAAGAAAGTATCTGACACAGCCCGAGATCTTGGCTCATTAGGCGAAAATTCCGAAGCGCTACGCATGGCGCGAGAGGGTCAATCACAGCTCGATAGAATCGCCAGGAATATGCAACAAAAGCAGAACGAGATCGAAGCGGCTGCCAAAGAGCACGAGAATATGCAGCGAAAAGCGCGAGAGGCACTTTCGTGGATGCAATCAGCAGATGTGCGCTTGAAAGCACAGGGAGAGCCAAACTCTCCGGACGACTGCCGGGAAAAACTGAGAGTTATCTCCGACATTAAAAATCAAGCGCCCAAGTTCGCTGCTGCTCTTCCAGCAGCATCGTGGAGACAATTCGAGAACCGTTTGGCGGAAGAGGTTAGGGACACGGAAAACAAACTCATTTCAATGGGCCACTTTGACCAGGCGCTAGATGAGATTTCCGACTGGACAAGTAGGTGTTCAACAACTCTGAGCTCAATCGGACAAGATGCTAGCGCACTCCAAACTGATTTTGCCAGGGCAGAATTGATCATGTCCGAACTTGAATCACGCCAACGAGCGCTAGAAAAGCTCCGCGAAACAGCAGTCGAAAGATTTCCACTCAAGCAAAAGCGCCTTATTGCTATTTCTGATAACTTATCGAAAATCGGATCCATAGCAAGTACAAAACACGACGTTATTCGAAGTAGAATCGAAGCCGCAGAGTCAACAGAATTGAAAAAGAAGAAGGTTCAACGATGGGCTGCTGATATTCGAGAGTATCTTATCAATGACGGGCCCTATTCAGGATCCTCCGAGGGCGCGAAAGCTCAATCTGATGAATGCCGGAATAAAATTTCGGAAATGGTGAAACAACGAGGTGAATGCCCTGCAGCGCTGCCTGATGTTCGCTGGCAACAGATGGAGACTGCTCTTTCTGAGCGCAAGAACAAGCTCGGCAATTTACAGCTCGAGGTTGATACCTTCTGGGATGCTGCAAAGAAAATGGACAAGTCCCTCGGTCAATTTGAGTCGCAAATCCAGAAGATGCAGCCACCATCAGTTGTCGAAGACTCTACCAACTTGCAGATCGAACAAAATCGCAAACTTGAGGATGATATTCGCCTGAAAACGAACCAAGTAAAAACTATCGAAGATCTTTCTGGCTCTCTCCGAGCGAACATCAACAGAGAAGACGCAATCCAAGTTAAAAATGCAGCTTTGAGCATTCACTCTCGCTGGGAAAAATGCTTGCAAGCGACCAACAGACGTAACTTGGCCCTAGAAGAGAATAGAAAACGCGCCACAAAATATTCCGAAATGGTTATTGAGCTCGTTGACTTTATCGAACTTTCTCGCTCAAAACTGGAAGAGGCCAAAAGCAGCTGCGATCCTAGAAATGGGAAACGACTGCTAACGAAGCACAGCGAAATCGAACGAGAAATAGCACGCAATGAAAAGGGTTACGACAATGTCAAAAAAGAAGCCGCTCATCTTTTGAAAATTGCAAAGCTACCGAGTGATGTCACGGCGATAGAAGTAGAGTTGAAAGACATCCAGAACAAATGGGGAAATCTGCAGAACTTGAGCTGGAACTTCGTAAAAGACCTTCAAGACTCGATGGTCTCTTCTGGTCGCTTAATAGATGCACTCGAGTCACTAGAAGAGTGGCTGATTAAAGTAGAACCAGAGTTATCGGAACGCCGCCCATTAGAAGGCGATTTAGATACAGTCGAACGACTCCTTGAAAATCACCGCGATTTCAAACGAGAGCTTGAGGAGCGTGAACGGAGCTTTTCCGACATTAGACGACTCGTTGTTGATTTATCGGAGCAAGACGCTGCTTGGATGCGCCCTCAAATCTCCGGACTTGGCTCTCGCTGGGAAAATTTGAGAACTCTTTCTCGTCGCCGGGACGATAAACTTGCCAGAGCTAAGGTGAGAGCTCAAGAGTTCCAGGACGAAGTTAACAATACGCTCAACTGGCTTGCCATTGCCGAAGAAAGGCTTGACAATATCGCCATGCTCTTAGACGGAGATACTTCTGGATCGTTACTGGACAAGGCAAAGCGCAATCAAAGCGATCTAGTTGCGGATATGGACAAGAACAAAGCCCAACTTGATCGTGCAGTTCAACTTGGAAACGGAATTCTCACAAATGCCGATCCTGATGCTGTGGGCACTCTTAAACACTGGCTTGGTGCACTCACTGCTGGCTGGCAAGAGGTCCAAGCTTGGATCGAACAGCTCGGCGAAAGAATAAAACGAATAGAGAACGACGATGCGGACGCCCAGCAACGTCTAGATGCGCTACTAAACTGGCTGACCGGAGCACAAGATCAACTTTCCATTCGAAATCGCTCGCCCCTTCCAGCTGATATCACGCGTTTAAAACAACTCGCCGCTGAGCATCAACAATTTCAAGAGGAAATTCTCGCCAGGCAAACCGAATTCGACGAGCTCATCAGAATTTACAAGAAGAATTCAAGCTCTAATGTGATGCGAGAGAGCTACGGCTCGCTAAAGCGTAACACAAAAATAACAAATCAAGGACTTGTTGAATTCAAGAACTCAAAAGCCGCTCTGCTCAGCGGAACTTGGCAATCAGGTAAAGAAACTTATTTCGAAAAATATCTTCACTAACGTATTTCAGTTTGGCTGGCAGCTCTAGAAAGGCAGCGCGCAATTGCGAATGCCTTGGATGGTGCAGAGGAGAGTCAGTTCGACTTCGACACTTGGAGAAAGCGATACATGGCTTGGATGAACCATAAAAAATCGAGAGTCATGGAAACCATGCGCTCGTTTGACAAGAACAACACCGGTTTCATTGAAAATAAACGTTTCATTAATGGCGTTATTGACTCTGGATTTGACACCAATGAACGAGAAATGCGAAAGGTTAGTGCCAGATCCTCCTCTATGATATTTATCGTTGTAGGTGGTTAAAATGTTTGACCGGGACGGAAACGGCCAAATTGATTACTACGAGTTCATCAGCGCGCTGCATCCTCGCGATCAGTACAAGCCAGAAACAGACGCGGCGAAAATCGAGGACGAGGTCATTCGTGAAGTCAGCCGCTGCCGATGCTGCGAGCGATTTGCTATTCACCAGATTAGCGATAACAAATATCGAGTACGTATTATTTTAACTCATCATTCAAATGTTATTCCAGCTCTCATTCAAATTTAGTTTGGTGACTCTCAACAACTCCGTCTGGTGCGAATTTTAAAGTCGACTGTCATGGTCAGAGTTGGCGGCGGTTGGATGGCGCTAGAAGAGTTCCTGAGCAAAAACGATCCTTGTAGAGGTAAATTTACTTCGAAATTGAGTCTGTATTTGTACCTAGAAATTCTTCATTAAATATTTTTTGTTTTCAGTTCGGCGACAAGGTAATATCTTAACAAATGTCTCGACGTTTTTTTAAATGTTTTCACGGCACGATAATGATTATTTGCCACTTGAAAAGGGATAGATATTGATTTTTAAGGCGCCTGTCGTAAAAAATGGGCCAGCTCCAAGAGGTTGATTCGCTGCAACTCTGATCTCTCGCTTCCTTCTACTTTCTCCGTGGACACTAGTGGCTCGGGCGAGACCTTCTCCTCGTCCGGGCTACTCGTGGGACATTTCAGTGGCTCGCTCACCGATTTGGACCGCGACGAGAGCCTGTCAATGACGGGCTCGACGTTGTCCACTAGCTCCGACCTACCGCGGATCAAAGGCTCCAAAATTCCTTTGAGAAGTAATCTCGCTTTCTATTCTAACTCCTCTCTTTCACTCTCCATACTAAATGCTTTCCAAAATCATCTTTTCAAAAATCTCACCAACTCACGTTTTCACAAACTCATACGGTATGAGTCATACCAGAATTGCACGAATGAATGTCGATCGTCACGATTAAATAATAATTCGAAAGCTAACATCCTTTAATTAGCCCGAGGAAAAGTGGCTCCAAGAAGCGATGGGTTTCCTACTGATCCACTCGCTGACGGAGTGTCTCAGACAATGTCAGCTTTCACGCGAAAATCCCGTCGCGATCGCCACAACTCTACGAGCAGTCAGCAGCCCATCAGGTAATTAAGGCCTCCTAAACTCTATCTGATCACAACAACATTCAGAACAACGCCTACAGATCGTCCAAACACTCGCCCAGGATCGCGCATTCCCTCCCGCAACCCGTCGCGTTCGAATTCTAGAGCCGGTTCACGTGCAGGCTCGCGCGATCCCTCGCCTCACAATAGAATTCCCAATCTTTCCGTTCTTTCCCCCAAGAGCTTGACTCCGCAGGGCTTGATTTCTCCCATGAGCCACCGCAGTAGTGGGCGCAAGGTGAGTCCATGAACTCTTTTTTTCTTTCTTTCTAACGAGTTCAATCGCAGACACCGAGCGGCTACAAAACTCCATCCGGCAGAAAAACGCCCAGTTCGAATTCAAAAACCGGCGATTCGGACATCGCCGAAGCAGCCCGCCGACTTTACACGCTTCAAACCGAGAGAAACTCGAAACTCTAAGTTGCCAGTACCGTACTTTCACTTATTTCGTTTACTTCTTTATTTATTTTCTAATTTAAAAAACAAATCTGCTGTCAACTGCCAACGTCTTAAATGATACTCTCACAGCATCGATTCTAATTTCTTTTAATAGCCTGGGCACTTATTCCTTTCCTAAACACGGTATTACTATCAATACGACCCTCTTCTGATGGTGCACTGCAATGCTTCACACTTACAGTAATTAATCTTCTTTTGGTTTCATTTTACTTTTAAATAAATTTATTCACTCTTCAGCCATTTTCTATCAAACAAAATGAGAAAGATGGTCACCAAGAAAGACCTGGCCGGAAATCCCGACCATGACGACGTCGACACGATGTGTCCGACGACGTAGGGTCGGCACGGACCACCCTTTTCAAAGGTCAGGTCTGTAGGTTCCAAAAGTTGGAGCCCTGCAACCTGTAGTCGTAGTAGTAAAATCGGTTTACAATAACCTGCAGAAAAGCAAAAATACAAAATGAGAGAGATGATCACGGCAAAGCTGGCGTTAATCCGGCCATTCAAGAACGTGGGCATCTTTTGTCGATAGAATTTACGGAAATTGATTTTATTCAGGTAACAGTTAACGAGACAAGCCTTTACTAGGCAAGGTGGTCGTCTGCTTGGTTTTTAGCAGTCATGTTTTCATCCACGACCTTGTGGAATTTTTGCTTCGACGAACTCCACTTCCCGAGCAAATTGAGCAGATTTCACCAGGCTGACGGCCTGATGATCTGGGGCTTCTGAATTATTTTTATTAATTATAATAATAATTAATAATTAAATTAATTGATTACTGAATAAATATAAGAATTTACCTGAAAGCGGTGCGGCGCGGACTTTCCAACTTCGAAAAGTGAGCGCCAACTGAACAACAACCCGCTCCGCCGGGCCTGTTCTAGAGACATACTGACAATTATCTATGATATCGGACTTTGACAATTTATCTTGCGTATTTTTATCAATTTAGCAATTTTCTTCCGTAAAAAAGTTCAAGTTGGCTAACTTTTGGTATCGTTTTTTTTAAATAAATATGGCTGGGATTAAATTCTATTGATTCTATAATTAGAAGCTTCTCCCATTCTCCGATAATTGGTTGAAAGAATTTATTTATATATATTTACAGCTTCCTGTTAATTAAAGAGTTTTGTACAGATCAAAGTTTTTCTTTTTGCGAATTCCGTCCCAAAAGTAAACCATGGAATTGCGCGCAGCGGGCTTTGCCTTTTCCAGCAGCGGAAGCACTTGATGACAGTTATCAAGCGCCGTTGGATTCGCGAACTTGAGCTCGAGCTGGATTTCACTGCGCAGTTGCGAGAAGCTTTTCTCGTCGCTAAGAGCCAGAGTGACGTCGTGGGTGTACTTTTTGAAGTGGCAGTTGAGCTCGACTTGGAGACTATCCTCGGAGAAGGAGACGGACAAGTGGTTTACGTCAATTTGCTCGTCGAAGATGAGATTAGTCTTTTCTTCGATTTTGCAGAGTAGAATTTTGCCCGGAATGAGGATCAGTCGGCGAGAGTCGAGTCCCTTCTTTACGTCGCACGAGAACAGCACTCTTGATTGCGCTTTCTTTGAAGGCGAGGAGGAGGCCTCCACAGTCCAATTTTCGATGTTTGAGAGCTCGGATTGTTTGGTCTCGCGTCGCTGGTCATTTACAACCTGAGCGAGGTCGCGCATGATTAGGTCGGCTGATTGGCAGGACTGGTAGTCGCCGTGGTAGACTTCTGTATACTGAAAAAACGAAATTGAAAATACTGTTGATTTTAGCACTACTGTAAGCCAAAATATTAAGCGAAGTTTACCTTTAACAACTCTGTAAAATGAAGCGGGTATTTGCAAATACGCTGGACCGGCTGAAGAAGAAAATCAGCAAGTTTCAAGAGCGGCAGATTTCGCGATTTCCGACAGTTTTCCCAGAAAGTTGAAAAGACCTCCAAGGTGTCCATCCTTGCCAGTTCGACAATAGCATCGCCATAATTGCGACAGTACTTGACATATTCCTTCTCCAGTAGCTTTCCGTGGGAAGTAAAGACAGCTCCAATGTTTGAATTTTGGGGCTTATCTTTGACAAAGGCGCTCTCCAGCTGAGCGAGGAAATCCTTCTGAACTGAGTACAGTTGCGCCAGATTGCCGAAAATGCGATCGATTTGCGCATGAGTAAAGTTTTCGTTGGAGAGAGCCGGCTGCCGGTAACCCTGAACAAATCCGATTATTCACTTGTTACATGGCGTACTCAGCCGTCACGGATTGCAGAAATCAACAACGACTCACCTCGAGAATCTCTTTCAAGTTCTTAACGTAGCTTCGTTCGGTCTCTACTATCTCTGTAACAACGTTCGCGCGCATCTTTCGCTTTCGTTTCGACTGTCTGCATGACTCTTGCCTAAAAAGTGGAAATAAATCGATTGTATCGAAACGTATGAAAATGTCTCTCTTTTTCGTCAATTATTAATTCCATACCTTGATACGCCGAGACCGAGGAACTCTTCAAAAGTCATCATCTCCTCTCTTTTTTCTTCGCGCTCATCAACGGAGTCGATACTAGTTCCGGAAATATTCCTAAAGCGGGGGAAAACTCCAAGGAGTCCTCGACGTCTTCTCTTACTAAAGAAAAGTTGTTGAAACAAGCTCGATTTTTTGTACTCAATTTGTGAGATTGGAAGATGTTGTGTTGCGCTAAGAATACAAATATATACCTTGGGCTTTGAATTGAAAGAGGATTTTCTATGTCTAATTCAGAGTTCTTTCTGCTCAGGCTTTTCGGCTTCACAATTGTAATATTCTCTTTATTGTTCGTCATGATTTTTGCTTTTCCTGTGCTCGCTGAAAATGTGCGTGTGTAAGATTTAGTGGTGGGAATTCAACTGCGGGAAATTACACGCACTGCGCGCAAGGGAAATTCAAAGGTAGCGCCACAAGCGGAGGGCGTTCTGATTGGCTCCTCCCGGCCAAGGGAGCACCTTTCTTTTATGAAACCTGCGTCTTCCGGCGTGTCAAGGGGGACACCTGCTCGGCAGTCTGCGACACATATTTCGCCGAAAATGATAGGCAATGAAACATCAAAGACAAAGTAAAGTGTTAGGACAACGCTCAAAGAGCGGCTACAGCTGGTCTCACACACGATATTATTTCGATCGTCTTATGAACATGATTTTTATTCAGATGATAATTTATTTTCTATAGGTAAATAATTCAGATAGTGAGGATCCTTTTTCTAGGATTCCTAATTCCCGAATTCTTCTTTCAGAAGATACGACAGGAGTTCAGAATCCTCTTACGGATTCCTAACTCCCGAATACTTCGAATTTCGAATTCCTAATTGCCGAAGACTCCTGGAACACTTTTTTCTTTACTTCGTCTGCTTCTCATCTAAACAAAATACATGTAGAGCGTCTAAAAGGCAAACTTATCGCATGAGTAAATACCCTAATTGGCGATGCAGTACTTTGTTTAATCCGTTGGGACTTAATATTGACAGAGCGGAACCTTGAATCACGCTCAATCACCCGGGAATTACTCGTTCACGCTTACCTGTGTCTATTTTTAGGTCCCCTTCAGCCATGCAGGCTTCGAGGTCCAAGTTCGCAGCGTTGTATCGCTTCACGCTCTCGTGATTTTTACGATTTGTGAAAAAGATGCCATCGATTTGTATCTTATCGGATCTGACACCGTTGTCTATAAATATCAATTCTTCATAATTACTGTACTTATTTTATGCTACAAGTAGTTCTTGGTATTGTGACGAGTCTGCTTTGAAGAAATTTGAACGGTCGTTTGATTGCATAAGAATTTCGAAAAACGGATATATCATAAAATTAAACGAATAACAGATTTATCGTGTCTGTGAAATTGATTCAATTTAAGATTACCAAAAAAAAAGAAAAAAAACGAGAACGAGGTCGACAAAGAAGGTAAAGGAAAAGGCATCAGTATTTGTTCAACGAGGAAAAATGGAAAGAGAGGGAGTGCGAATAGGTAAATCGTGTTTATAACAGATACAGTTAGTTATTGTTTTGCAAGTTAGTTCAGTAGTTGTATAAAGAGTAGAATTGGTAAAATTGGAACTTGGTTGGAGAAGAATGAATGCACCTACTAATCATTTTTTTACAACACCCAGTTTCTAATCAACTTTGTTTTTTCGCTTTTTACAGTGTTCTGTAGTCTGGATTCCGCGCTCGGTAAAACTTCAAGCCAAAGAAAGCCGCAGCAATCAGAGCCGCTAAAAGTAGCAGTTGTGTATGACTTGCTTATTTTATTTGCGTACCGGAGAAAACCATGCCGCCGAAAAAGGAGGAGCCTGAAAAACCACCTTGATTTGGCGCTGGGGTTGGTGATTCAGTTGGTGTGGTGGCGTTTGAGGGTGTTGTTACAGGAATCGTAGTCGTTGTACCTAACGAGATTGATAAAATTGGTGGGTTATAAGTTGACCTCACCATTTGATGGGGTAGTCGTGTCTGGAGCAAGTGTTGTGGTTGTATTTCCTGGGGTCGTTGTTGTGCTCTGAACAATTCAAAAGTCGAAATGGAAATTGAAACTGTGACTTACGTTTGCAGGGGCAGTCGTATCAGGAAGAGTTGTCGAAGTTGTGCTCTTTGATGTCGTTGTCGTACCACTGGTTGTTGAATTTGAAGGTACTACTGTTGTCGTCTTCAAAATGTTGGGTAAAATAAAAGATGGACAGTTGATTTTTTACCGTATTTTGGGCGAGAGCGCAGGAGAGAATAAAACAGACGAGAGCGATAATGTTCATTCTGAATGACAAAACATTGGCAGTTGAGGAATTATGTTGTCTAATATCTTTCTGCGGAACGATTCCGGGTACATTGACCTAATAGAAAGCATGCGATACACACGCTGAAGACGGAGGCTGTCAATTACGAACAGAGCAGTGATTGAAAACAACAAGGTTGACAGGAGAAGAAGAATAGGGAAACTTCATTTAAATCCTCTTTACTTGGACGGAGGCGGCTGCTGATTCTGCTGCTGATAGAACTGAACAAAGTTCGTTGAAAACTACTTATATACTTTTACTACCCACGCTTCGATAAGCACACATAGATGATTTCGCAACCCACGATTCTTAGAATTTAACGCTACGTACTTGTTGATATTGCTGATAGTATTGCTGGTATTGCTGGTGATATTGCTGCCATTGCGCAGCTGTATCAGAGCCAGAGCCGCTTGAGTAGGTTTGATTAACGACTGGAGGAGGTGCCGAGCTGGGGTACTGTCCGTAGCACTCAAAATACTGAAAGAATGAGTGATAACTGTGTTCCCAAAGTGTGGTGATACCTTTTTGTAATAATCTTGCCATTGCTGGGCGTTTTGATCTCCACCAGGGAGCGAGTTAGAATACAAAACAGGGGGCGGATTGGAGTAGACATCTCTCGAGCGGGGATTCCTGAAGAAACTTTGGCTTGCACGCCATACAGTATTATTCGTACCTGGAATCAGATCGACGATCGCGGTCGTCGCTGCGGCCGTATTTTTCATCCTGAAGCTTCTTGAAAGCGTCGCCTTCTTCGTTGTATTTTGCAACGAGCTTCTTTGCCTCTTCTTCTGGCAAATCGAGGTATTCGATCTTTTCGAAGAGATTGTCGTCCTTCTCTGGTAAGCTCATGGCCGCCTTCCACTTCATCATGTTTTCATTGGTAATCTTTCTGCCTCCTTCGCTCTGTTTTTTGTTCTGAAATAAAGACATGAGAAAAAAGCTACTAATTAAGCATTACCCTTCTCCTTTCATACTCTTCTTCGGACGGCACCACCACAATACATCGCCTGTGGAAGCCTTCAAATGGGCCCATCTTTTTGACATGTCCATTTCTGTAGATATTTGCCTGGTCGAGAATGTAGTTTCGCTTCTTTCGATTGGCGCGTTCCATTATACGCAGCACGGCACCCATGACTTTGGACTGAAGCTCTTCGAAAGGCGTCCCGTACTTATTCGAGTACTTTTCGCGTTTTTCGCCGCAAATTGCCATCTTGTCCATAATTGATTCGTTGCCGATCAAGTGAAAATGCTTTGCGCGATTGTCGTTCATGAATTTGTCCACCCACGTTGTTTTCCCTGAGCTTGGGAGACCACACATCATGATAACTGAATAATGATGTCAAAATAGACCGATTCTATTCTACATACCAGAGCAGCTTCTCTTGTCTTCTGATTCTTTTGGGCCTGCGATTCGTTCCTCGGCAGATACAGCTCCGATTAATCGGTATTCTCTGAGCGATTTTGGGGATGACTCCCACATATCATTATAAGTCGAGCTTCGGCGACCGAAATGCAGATGGACGGAGTAATTCTTGATCAAGAAATGAGGGTAAAATGCGCTAGAAACACGGTTGTCTTTAGCCGAAAGAATGAACTGATTTACCTTTGCTCGGCACAGCCAAGCTCCTCTCGGTTAAAAGTGACAGTCTCTGCCCCGTCGTCGGTCAACTGTTGTTTTCCGTTCCTTGTGTAAGCAATAGTGATTTGCTTTGGATCGGTGAGATCCAGAAAACACCCGATTGTATCGCCGCGTCTGAACGTGCTGCCAAACTCCATGAATTTTTTGTTGTAAGCGAGCTTTGCGTGAGAGTCAAATCCAATCGAGCCTTGGTCTTCGCCGAGAACCAAGTCTGACATGCCTGTGCTCCAACCGATCCGGCACCAGTAGAGGGACTTTTCGTCTGGATGAAGATGCCTGTATGATGATAAGTATTTCGCTAAGATTTCAAGCACTTACTTGGTGGGCATTTCGCGGGAGATATGAAGCTCGAAGCAGACCTTTCCGCCACGAACACCGTGAGTTGCTTTTGCTCCGGCGAAGCAATACCCAAGCCCTTCGTAGTTGACGTTTTCACATCGATTCCTTTCTGTGATTTTCATGTTTAAGTCGGCCATGTAGGGCGAGATCTCCACCCGCGAATCGTCCCAAGAGGGGTCGTGCTCCATCTTGACGCTGCGACGAGAGGGCGATCTGTCCTTGTAGTCTGATCGCCGCCGTGGCTCAGAATGGCGATAAGCTGATCGGTTCGAATCGTGGGATGGGTTTTCTCTACGTTTCTTGACGGGCGGCGGGGCAAGTTCGGGCGACTCGCCTCGAACGTCGCCCAGTTCTTTTGGCACCGGCGGGTCACCAATCTCGGTGTTCTCCTTCTTCTCTTCCTCTTCTTTTTTATCTGCGTCGAGATCGGCTGTGTCTGCGTGCAGCTCAATACCCCCATCGCCTGTTTTCTAGGTTGACGAACTTATCATTCAAACAATAAATAGCTATCAGTTCTCACGTGACGAAACTCGTCTCTGTGAAAATTAGAAGGAATTCAAGTCTTATCAATCCGCTCCTGGTTCAGCGTTCTCATCAGTACTGGCTTCCGCGGGGGCCTTGGCTCCTTTGGATTCGTCAGTACCTTCTTCCATTTTTTCACTCTGATCTTCACTCTTTTCGGATTCACCGTTTACAGCTTCATTATTCGTTTTTTCCGCAGCTTCTTCAGTGTTTTCTGAAGGTATTGCGCTCTCGGCATTTTCATTCTCTTCGCTATTCTTTTCCTGGCTTGCTGTTTCTTCCTCTGTCACTGCTTTAAGATCAGCTTCAAGGTCATCGACGTCTCCTTCGAGATCGTCATTTACTTCTTCCTGAAGATAAGCATGAGGATAATTTTTAATATTGAGAATTGGGCTTACCAGGTTTTCTGGTTCTTTGACTGCCTCGATGGTGACGGATCGGAGCAGCGCCGCAAGATCAGCTTTTTTAGCGCCTTGAAATTTTAACTTTCAATAAAATGAAGCGAGAATCAATTTCACCTTTTGGGATATCGACGTTGAGCTTTTCGAGCTCCTGCTTGAGCTCGACGACTTTGAGTTTAGCAATGCTAGCCTCGTCAAACTGCGTCATTTCGAGAAAAGAAAGAAGTATCGAGTAGGAATGTTTATTTAAGAAGCAGGAGGAGCTGCAATTTTCACCTCTTTTGCAGCAGTTACAGATTGATTCATTGCTTGTATTTTGAAAGGTGCGAGGATTTCCCTCGCTTTGTTTCTAATTCTTGAGTCAATCGAAAAAAAGATACGATTTCTTTTCATTTCGTTGGAATTCAAAAACGCTGAATGGATTCGGATTTAGACAAGTGGATACAAAAAGATTGATTTGACAAAAACTTAGCAACTTTATTCATTCGGAAAAGTGTGTTTTAATATAAACGGCAATAATTATCATAATATTGCGTTCAGTTCTTTTTTTGCTTCGCTTTCTGAAGGGGATGATCTGTAACTCTTCCTTGGACAGAACCGAGGCGACAACGAGCTCCGAGCTTTGGATTCGAATTCCGAGAAAGTCTGAAAAGCAGCAGGTCAGAACCTGCTAAACATACCTTCCATAAATTAAGATATTTATTAATATTAAAGTTTGTGCAGCAATTCTTCAATAAGCTCGTTGGCGTCTCTGGCCAATCCAACAGCGTCTTCGTTCAGTCCCGCGTTCACCATTGAAGAAGTGTAGATGTGCTTCAATACTTTCTTTGCAGTCGCTTCGTCCTTTTCCCGCAGTTCTGTCAGCTTTTTAATGACTGAAAAAGTAACTAAATATGTGGATCATCAAGGTAGTTTACCTGGATGGGATTTAGATAGCTGCAGGGTCGGCTCGGAGATCTTGGCAATAGTCTCTGGCTTGAAGAGTTCGGGGTCGTCTGGGTTTTGCATTCGCTGGGTGCGCAAGAAATTGCGGGTCACACCCAAGTTCCATACTGTAATCATGCCTGGCTGGTTCTCCAGTTTTCCGGTCATTTGCACTTTCGAGGCTAGGTCTCCGAGAGACTCTTTCGCCCATTCTGTGAGTTTATCTTGCTCCTCTATAAATAACTTAAAGCAAAGAATGCAAATCAGCTCAAACCTGAATTGATAGCGTCGTCTTTCAACGAGTCCTCAACGTTTGTTCCATCGACTTTATCGTCAATAATATCGTTTTCGATGGAGAAGGGAACCTTTTCTTTAAACTTTTGCATTTGTTCCATGACGATTTCGTCAAACATATCGTAAAAGAACAAAACTTCGAAGCCTTTGTTTTTGATTGCTTCGAGGTAAGGACTAGCTAGTGCTTGCTGCCGCGTCTTGGCAGGCAAATAGTAAATATGTCTGAAAGGTGGCTAGACAACGTTTGAAGTGACTAACTAAGATTCAGTCTGGAGCAAGAAAAAAGTCTTAGCCACTTTTCCTTTGATCTTCTTTCATTCTTTCAATGTACTCTTCGAGCGAAGTAAGCTCGCCAGCTGCCAGGTTCGACGATTCGTATCGAAGAAGACGAGCTACTTGATCTCTCCGGTGAGCGTTTTCGCCCTCGAGCACAATGCCCTCGCTGATAAAATACTTATGCTCGGCATAAAATTTTTGGTACTCTTCTGGTTGTCTCTGAATACAAGAGTTAGTCCCTTTCAATTGGAATTTAGATGATATACCTTTGCTCTGTCGTTGAGGAACTTGATGACTCTATCTGTAAGAGTGTCTCTAATCTTGCTAATAAGGGGCGTGTTCTGAAGCAGCTCACGTGACAAGTTCAGTGGGATGTCTTCAGAGTCGACAACGCCTCGAATGAATCGCATCCAGTTCGGCAAGATCATGTCCGTCTTGTTGCTAATGAGCACTTTGCGGCAGTAGAGAGCGATTTCGGACTTGTTCTCATCTGGATTCGAGCGGCCGAAGTTTGGTCGCTCCATGGGAACGTAGAAGATCGAGCGCACAGAGATCGGCATTTCCGTCTTGTAGTAAAGCGTAAAGCGAGGATCACCCTGGCCCTGGGTGAGGAACTTGTAGAACTTGTTGTGCATTTCGTCGCTGATCTGGTTCTTTTCCATCATCCAAATTGGCTCGATTTCGTTGATGTGTTCGTTGTCGCAGTAAAGCGGAAAAGAGGTAAACGACGAGTACTTTTGAGCGATTTTCTTCACATGGCTCGGATCGGCGTATTCCCGCGAGTCGGGCTTCAGCGTGAGCTCGATTCTAGTGCCAACATTGAGGCCTTCTTTGGGCTCGATTGTGTAGCCAGCATCGCCAGTAGAGCGCCAGTGCAGGCCAACATCTTCGTTCCATCGCCGCGTGTACACGTCGACGCCGTCAGCGACCATAAATACGGAATAGAAGCCGACACCAAACTGGCCGATGATTGACTGGGCGCTGGCACTGTTTTCTTCTTTGACGGCAGCCATGAAATCCTGACTACCCGATTTTGCGATTGTTCCCAAATTTGTCATCGCTTCTTCTTGCGACATGCCAATCCCATTGTCCTCGATGATCAACTTGTTGTTGGCTTTGTCGAAATGAAGCTTGATTTCTAGCGCTGGTGGATCGCCGCCGGCAGCCATTTCTTCGAATTTTCGCTAAAAATCAACCAAAATTTCAAGCAAAAAACTGAGGAAAAAGTACCTTATTCAGAGCATCGGAAGAGTTGGAAATCAATTCCCGGACGAAGATCTCTACTTCTGAGTAAAGCGACTTCGCCACGATGTCGAGAAGCTTTTTGGTCTCGGCTTGGAACTCATAAGTTGGACTGCTGCTATCTACATCTGAGGCAGCAAATCGAAGCGAGATCGAGTGAATTCTTGAGCCACGATTTCCCTGCCCAAGCAATGACTTGAGCGAGCGACTGGCCCTTCGATGCATTCTACTTTTCTGAAGAACGGAATGACACTTTTTTTTTAAATATTTTTGAACTTGGAAAAAGTCCGAAATTTGATTTATTTTTAGAAAAATATAATCATTAGAGTTTGTTGTGTAAAAAAATAAGAAGTAAAAAAGGAAAGAAAGAATTGTTGAAATCGGAAGGGTAGATGAGGCATTAATTGGCACGACTTTGAATATTGAATAAATGTCGAATACTCTAGTTACAGTGAATGACTCTAGGAATCGTTCATGTAGCGGTAGTAATCGTTGTCCACTTCGTTGAGAAGCGAGTAAATAGAACTGAGACCAGATTCGACTGAAGGCGAGCGATGTCCACCCATGCCGTCTTCAGGCGGAATCGTCGAAAACTGCTCTTCGTCTTCTTCTGCTTCGTAAAACTCGTGGCGGGACAGTTCCAGCTCGTCATCGTCCTGATACGGAGCGGGAACGTCTTCCGTATTCATGAATTCTGACACGGAGACTTTCGTCATCTCGAGAATTTGCGCTACAGATCGGACCTTCGGCGCGGCAGTCATTCCAATTAGCTAAATCCGAAATTTCAATCAAGATAGATAGATGAAAATACCAGGGTGGCACAATTGGATTGGAATCCAATTTGGAACCTTGTCCAATTGGAATTGGATTGGAAATTGGTTGGACAGGGGCATGAAATTTCGGGTCTTTCCAATTGGAAAATCAGATCCAATTGGAAAATTGGAATCCAATTGGACGATTGGATTTTTACTCTCTGGGGCCCCAAAAAACTGCCAAAAACGGGGTATTTCGGGAGAAAGAAATATTTTTAGGGTTTCAACAGTCTAGGAACACTGATCATTGATCAAAAATCAGGGAAATAGAGTTAAGTTCCGTTAAAAATATGACTTTCACTTCTAATATATCGCCTTGACTTTAGCGGGAAGAGCTTTGGATCCTATTTTATCCGCTTGTTTTCCTTGTGAAGCGGATTTTTCAGTCGGAAAGGGGATGCAGATGGGGAATAGGATGTCCAATTGGTCAAAAAAGGTTTCAATTTGATCGCAATTCCAATTGGAAACCTATTTTCCAATTGGAAAGTAAATTTCCAATTGGAATTGGAATTGGATTGGAAATTGGTTGGATTGGACAAAAAGCGATTGGATTGGATTGGCAATTGGTTGGATTGACCAAGAATTTTTTTCCAATTGTGCCACCCTGAAAATACCTCTTTTGAAGTTTTTGGCGCAGCAGGAGCTACAGTAGGCTTTGACGGACTTCGTTTCATCGTGCTCGAGTACAAACCGGTTCCGCGAGCCATTTCCATCCTGGTGCGTTCTCTCCACTTGGGCTCGTTTGCCGGATTCGTTGCATTGCCCGGACGTCGATACGGATCGATAGTAATCTGCGTCTTCGAAGAGGAGGGACGCGACGATGGAGGTCCCCGTGTTGAATTTCGGTACACTCGGTCGGCAGAAGACGATCTAGAGGAGGAGCCTTTCGGTGGGGACTTCTTTGGGCTCTTTTTCGCCGTGCTATTTGACGCTGATTTGACTGGTGGACTTTTTTCAGGCGATAAGACTTCTTTTGCCATGTGAAGAGCTTCATTTTCCCGGAGGTAGCTAATAATTTAGTAGAAAAAAAAAGAATTAAAGTGCCTGCGTACTTGTTTTCAGTCAGTATCTGATCTTTTCTTCTTTCTGAAGAAGCAGTAACTCCTCTACTTCTCTGCGATAGTCGCCCCGATCGAGCAGACTTCGTCTCCATTTCTGTTTCAAACTTCGGTCTCGAAGGTGACATTGGCTCGATGTCCTAATAAAAAACGGTAACAATAGATCGAGTACAGTATTTACAGCTCTCACTCACTTTTTGTAAACTATTCAGCTCGCTGAGATCAATGCCCAAATCGGGCGTCTGCCGCAGCGCCTCAAGTTCAGCAGTAACTTGCTCAGCTAGGCCCTCGATGCTTTGATCGGACGATTTGCTGTACGTCTTACTGTCGGTTTTGATCGATTCGTGGAACGAGATGGATTTCTTGAGCGTTTCTTTGCCGGAGTCATTGCTCTTCAGCGACGACTTTGAGGCAGAACGAAGCACGGGAACTGGCTCTGGCGAAGCATGCTAAGATCAAATAGCTTTTGAAAACTATGATTAGTCTTTTACCTTTTGATTTTCAGCGGGAATAGGAGCTGGAATCGATTCACGAGCTTGTTTCTTGATCTGCTCAATGTGCATCTGTTGAACTTCTCGCTGTGCTTGCTCAAATTGGCGGCGAATTTCTGCGCCAATTTGCTCAAAATCAGCTTTGAACTCTTCTCTGTTAAAGGGTTTTTCATCTTGATGCTGAAGGACTGACTTTTGTGGAACTCGCTTGTGGTGAGGTGATTTGGGCTCTGATTGGACTAGAACGGAGGGCTTCGTCTTTTCCTGCTTTTCGGGGAGGGTTTTTGGCTTGTTCACGTGTCCCATGTTCTGACCGTCGAGTAAAACGCACTTTCTCACTCGCTACAAATAATTTATTTGTGAAAAACGGGAAAAACTCACTGTTTGATCTTCCTTCTGCGCCAAATATCTAGCAACAGAATTATACTCGACGAGTCTCAGATTTCGTCCACCTTCTTTAGCTTTTTCTTTCTCTTCCCCAACTCCTGGTAACTGGATAAAGGTAAACTCCTTCGTAGCCTTCCTAGGCTTTGGCTCTTGAACTACTGTTTTTTGTCGCAGTGGTGGAACACGAACTGGCTCTGACTGAGAACGAGTGAATTTCGGGTTTGCATTTTCTTTGCCATTCGATCTTGGAGTCGCGGAGCTACTTCCAGGCAGCTCTAAAAGTGGAAGGCCGTTGCAACGGTTGAGTTCCCGGTTGAACTTTTCGCTTTCGGAGCGTGGTGAAATTTGCCGTAGCGTTGCACTAAAAGAACCACTGATTATTTCACTGTGATTATTTTTTTTTAAATTAGGACCTTTGAGAACGGCGATACATAGAGTTGCGGACAGGAATTCTAGTAACTTCCGATTCTTCAGCGATTTTTTCTTCCATCGAGTCTTTTTTCTGCATGTTTCCAGCCATAATTCCCATCATTTGAGTCATCAAGCTCATTTGTTGGATCATCAGCTGTTCTGAAGTCACTTTCTGACTGCCAGATCTATTTTCTTGAACTAAATTTCCATCAAGCATTATGTTTTCTTCTGGTTCGGCTGGAGAAGCTTCTTCGAGTGTTGGAGAAGTTGGCTTCTTCTCTTTGATAAATGGTGTTTGTGCAAGCGTTGTTTCCGCTCTGTTTACTGAGTAACTGGTTTTGCAAACTTTAAAGACTCATTTTTTCACCGAAAATAACCAAATTTTGATATACGAACGAAAAAAATATGCAGACAAGCCAATAGTTACGTTTGGCAAATTATTGGCTTTTTGAGATAGTTTTCAATTTTTATTTAAATTGAGCTTTTGAAACCAAAACTAAGACTTCTGGAACTGTTTCATCTGGTTCTGGGGCAACGTCGCGAGGCGAGTCAGTAAAGACTGCTTTGGGAAGATCCTCTGCTGGAGGAGAAGCCATTCTTGTCACCATCTCCATCTTCGAGGCGTCCAATGACTCGTTGACAGTGTTGTTGATTCTGTCAATCATGCCTAGAATTCTTTTCGTAGTTCGCTTGTCGTGGATAAGCGTTGCAAGGGTCAGATGAAAGCGATTGATTGAAATGGACTCGAGCGGCTGGTGCGGATTGGAGGCGGTCTTTTGATCCATAAAGACCCAGTTGAGAAGAGCAGCGATGTTCGTATCGAGAACTTGACGGCCTCCAGCTGATCGAGAGAGCGTATAAAGTTCGGATTCTGATAACTCGTCGAGGAGATCGATGATTCGTGGCTCGTAAGTCTCAAGAGCTTCTTCCGGGGTATCCTCTAGTTTCGAACGGAAGCCGGGAAGATCAGACATTCGGCGGCTAATGAAAGTTCGCAGACTCCCTGAATCTCTCTCCCCGAGGCTGAGGCTTTTGACCTTACGAAGAGCCTTGTTTGAAGAAGTTTGGTGGAGACCAGTTCGATTGAGATGCTCTGTCGAGCTTGCTTTCGTTTTCAAGGAAAACAAAATCGAGTCGGACCGCTGTCCGAGATTGGAAGTAGAACTTGAACGTTTATGAGGACTCTTGGTTGGAGAAGCTGTTGTAGAAAGGTTAAGTGCGTTCGTGAGCTTTTCTTTGATTCTGTTTTTCTCGCCTTCGTGCTCTTGCTGCCGAGAAACGGCAGATCCAGCTGACACCATTGGGAGATCATATTTTGGAGCTTCGGTGAAAGGATTGAATTGGTCTTGACAGTGGTAGTCTTTCGCTAATCTGCAGATGATCTCGTGGCGATTTTGAATCAAACTAATGGGTTTCTCGTCCATATTTGCCTGAAAATTTTGAAACGACTTCAAAGATTACCTCAATTTACCTGGAAAAGATGGATTTGAGCGGCCATAAATGAGAGAAAGTCACTTGAGCGTTCGTACTTTTTGAACTTTGTCCTTCCAAAGTGAGCGATGTACTCATCGAAATTTTCACCGCTAATATGGAAGTTGTATTCCTGCTGCTCAAGTTTTTCACATTGTCGAATGAACACATCCCGACAGGTGCCGCCGGGGACGAGATCTAACGTATCGTCTTGTCTAGTCCCATCTGGCAAGTACAAGTCCAATTTGTGGTCAACGAGGAATTTTAATCGCTCTCTATCGTTTTGTCTGCAAATCATTTCTGGGTTGTAGAAGATTCTGGCTAACTGGTTCGAAATTTGTTCGTTGGGCTTTGATTCCATCGCGGCTGTTATCATTGCGGACTGAAGATCGGCTCGGCAGTGGAGGACGTCGCTGAATTGATACAAACGGGCGATTTTGTTGATCAGATGGGATGATGTCTGGACCAGCTCAGATGTTGTTCCTTGAGCGATTGCTTCGTCGCCTTCTACGGCTCTTCTGAAGAGAAAGGCAGCTCTTCTGTACTGGTCCCGGCAGAAAAACATCCAGAGAAAGGAGAAAAGAACGCGCAAGCAGGCAAATAGGGGTTTTGTCTGATCATCCCAGACGACCGATTGGTTTTGAATATTTCTCAATTCATTTAGAAACAAATCAGCTGCATCTGTATCATCTCCTGTCTTGGCAATGCTCGAACGAACCTTGCTCCCAAAAAACTGCGAAAAGAAGCGATCCACGCCAGCGGCATTAAGGAGACTCAGACAGAGCTGTATCTTTTTAGCGATGACTGCTCTGAGTTTTTCTTCGTTCGAGCCATCGTTGAGTATGCCCGGCTGAGCTAAAACAAGGGGCGCAAATGGCCCGGGTTCGGCATTTCCTGCTCCAGCTCGATTTAGGAGGCCGAGAACATCTTCGATTTCCCCATGAATGGTAGTAGTAAGCAAGTCGATCTTCGCACAGTTAGCAATAATGAATGGAGAAATTATACTGAATGGCAGTTGATTGTTCGAGCTGTGATCGTCTTTCATAAAGTTGCTGATGCGGAAGTCTACAAGTTTTTCCAGAAGAACCATCAGTTTGTTCAGCTCATTTGCTTTGACATCCATACGGGAAGAGTGATTGTATTCAAGGGAGAAAATTGGGGAGATGGCTTGGAGAGCGATGGCATTTTGAATTGAATGAAGCTGTGAGCAATAAGTGGAAGCACTGGAGAAATCGGCAGTAAGGAGGATCAAGCTAAGACCCATCGATGGATTGAAGTGCGTGCTCATTTGGGACATCTCAATCGACTTCTTTATCAGACTCGGCTCAAGTACAAGATTTCGATTGACAGAAGGCGAGGGAATAAGGACCGGCTGACGACCGTAGAATGCAGATACAAAGAGGACGAACGTGCTCATTGCGTAAATTCGCTCGTATGTTTGCTCGTTCGCTTCCAATGATTTTACGTCGTCGACTAAAAGTTGGCAGAAGAGAGTAGTTGCGGCGAGGATATCGTATTGAGAGAGATATTGACACATTTGACGCTCCTTTTCAGTCAATTCTTCGTTTTTATGCGTCTCATCTGCTGGTAGCGAAAGAGGAACGACGCCGATGTCGCACAACTCTCGATGAAGCCATTGCTTCAATTGAAATAGTTCCGGTGACTCGGTTGAGGAGCAACAGAGCTTGTAGACATCAGAACGCGCAAGTTCGAAGAGAATTTTGCACCTGTAGGTTTTGGATAGTTCGGCCTCTGTTGTTAGCAACGTGTGTTTCCATTCGGCGGGAAATGGCTGACTCACGAGAACTTTTGCGATAAGAGATCCCTGTGCGCATAGAAGCAGATCAGTGACTCTATCGAGCAGGCCGAGGATGATGCCTTTTCGCTGATCCCACCAGCCGAGCTGAGAGATGTCCATCGAGATCTTTTTCAGCAAGTTGAAAACTGTCTCTCCCATTCTCGGTGTTTCATAAACAGCGGCCGCAGAAAACCGCCCAAAAAGCGTCACGATGTCTACTAAACAGTTGTGTTCGTCTTCGCTCAACTCGCCCTTGACGAGAATGGCACCGAGAGAGCCACGGATTGATTCTTCTGTTGCGCGAATAATTTCAAACGTCGTAAGCTTACTATTTGCGCCCTTTTCAAATGCGGGTAGAAGGGCAAGATTAAAACGCTCGCGAATTTTGTTGTTGAACTCTTTTTTGTAAAGCACCACTTCGTCGTCCGAATGCTCAGAGTCGGTCGCTACTTCTGTCTCGGGAAGATTAAGATTGTTAGTCGAAGTGGAGATTTGCAACTGGCCGTCTTTTGGTTTGCCCATAACAGTGTCAAAAACGTTCTTGAAAAAGTTAGGGATATTCTTCTTTTTGATCTGGGACGGTTTGATTGTCAGTGCTCGGGAATCACTTGCACTCTCGGGCTCCATTTCTTTTCTGTTGAGCAGAAGATAAGACGATGTCAGGAGCTGATTGAGAAAGATGTTCATGTTCTTTAAGTGGAGATTTGGGTATTTGATGATATTGAGGCCGTAGCCGTCCGAAGCCAAAAGAAACGGGTCTTTGAAGCTGGCGCTCAACGAATATATCTGCGGCGGGCGATTGAGAAGTGGCTCAAAAAGAGCGACAGGGAGGAACTTTGTCGGTTTGTTAGTGACTGTGTTGTCGTTCGAAACGAGCTCATGAAGCGAACCTAGAGTTGAAACGACGAACATTGTCCCAATGCTTGTCAAGCCAAAGACCATGTAATCGCAAACAGAAAACTGAATGGACGCGACTTTGTATCTCGTCGCTTCGTATGGAGTCGGATTGTGAATGTGACCGGCGTTGATGCCACAGCCTTCCAAATTAATACGCAAGATGCTGCCATTGTTGTTGGGATTCATGAAGATGATCTCGTTCTGCTTCGGATAGCGATAACTCATCGTGAATACCAAGTAATCAGCTTTGCGTGAAATCGTGGCAGTCATGCCTACTTCAAAGTCTGGAGAGCAATCTGCAAGGGGAAAGGTGTAGCAGTCCAGTTTCAGCCGATCCACCGCGCTCTTTTCTTTGTCAAAATAGAGCTTGACAACGGAGGCGTTGCAGATCTGGCTCAAACAGGTGAGAATGAGAAGCACTACTTTGTTGTCGACGAATTTGCTAACGATAGTGGACTTTGAGCTGACGACGAAATCGCGCTGCACGGTCATCCATTCTTTGAGCGGGTGCCAGTGGAACAGAGTTCCTTCAGAGTCCACAACCACGATGTTCCCTTGCGAATCGCGATTGATGTGAATCAGTGGCTTGTCTGAGGGAGTGTCGATGATCCAGGCTTCCTTGCTGCCGAGACGAAGGCCGGCGACGACTTGCTCCGTCCTGTGGATTCGCGAGACGGCTACGTAACTATCATCCTCGATCACTGTCAAACACGTCCAGCCACCATTCTTCAGCGGGCCTGGGCGGCGTTTTCGCTTAGCAGACTCGAAGTCGTACACTTCTTTGACTCCCTTTTTGGATCTGTGAGCCAGACGCCTTGCCGATCGTCCCCAACATTTTTTGCTACGGATTTACAAAGAGCTGTCGCGCCCCAAGGCGAGTGTGTTCTGAGCTTGGTGTAGACTTGTTTGACTTCTATCCTAGCCATCCTTAAAGTTGTTCCTCATCTCTAAAAATAACAACAATAAGATATGTTATTCGAATTAATCAAGAAGTCATATTTTGAATCTTTGAGTAAAGTAATCTCACTCGAATAAAATATATAATTATGAAGAGGAAAAAGCTTCAGGCTCCAGGTAATAAAAGATAGTTTCAAAAGGAGAATTTCATTGAACAGTTAGAAGCTACAACTATTTCAGTATCAGAACACGCAAAAAGGGGAAAATGAAAGCGAAAGAAGAAAACTGGCGCCGAAAACTATATAAAGATAATTCAATTTCAAATTTTTGAAATCGTGTTTTGAGCTTAGAGGGATGTGAATTCAGTTAATACAGCAGCAATAGGAAGGGACGCGGTACATTTTGATACGCGCCCAGCCTAAGCTTATTAAAGCTTTGGAAGAAGAAATTAAAGTTAAGTTGGGAACACATGCAGAAGAAAGAAGAACAATATTAAGATGGATAATAATGAAAATTGGAAGGATTTTACTTTTTATTTAGTTTCGCAATTTGAAGTCAACTTTGATGTCCTCGGCGTCGTCGGGTTGCTTCTACTCAGGGACGGGGACATGGTCAGTCTCGGTGGCACGGGGAGCAGCTGGTCGGAGTCCTAATTTAAACATTTTCTATCGTGGTAATTGATAATTAGGATTGTTTAATTTTAATTGCACCAGTCATTAATTAAGGTGAGAAATAATCATAGCAGTTGCAAATTTGACTTCTTGTCTTGACTACAACCTACAGTTGGAGGATTTATTTTGACCGAAATACTATGATTTCGGTCGATAGGCCGGTCTTCCTTTAGTTCTGCTAGGATTAGTTGCCTATTCTTTTGTAGCCAAGCCTATGGTAAGTAGAATCAAGCGAGGGCGCGGAGATAAAAAACTGAATAGTAACGGCGATGATAGCCAGTAAAACAAGCAGAAAAAATAGCTTTTGGGGATTTTTAGCCCACTTTATTAAGTCCCAGATGCTGCGTGTTCTACTTTCTATACTCTGATAAGAACAGAGATCGGGGGGAAATATGGGAATTGGTATTTTTGAACTATCTGTCTGAGAAGATGATTGTGTCTGTGCCGAAGTCTGTCGTGGTCGATTTTGTGCGGTTTTGATGGTGGGTGCTTGTGCGAAGGGAAGAGCTCCTTTGAAGAAGGAGTAGTCCGAACTCTGCGCCCGCACGCGAGGCGATGGCACCAGCTCTTTCACCGTTGCCTACGAGAACAGGTCTAAGTTTCATGTTCCTAGTTTCTGTTTTTACGGGTTAAAACCTGACAGAGCACAAGTGTTACACTCAAAATTGACACACTCACAAATATCTTTGATTTCACTTTGTTACTTTCTTTCGAGTTCATTTCCTAGTTACTGTAATGTTCCAGTAATCTTCCAGGTACTGAAGAAAACGAAAACAGGGGCATTTATTATCGCCAGTTCCAAATAAAGAGAAAATCAAAAATAAGGCATATTATTTTTGAGCAGTTTTTTTTCTTTGGAGTAGTTTCGATCAAGAAAAGCCAAAAGGTCAATTGCGCGTCCTCCTTGTTTTCAAATCACCAGATCATCAACTGGATTGTTTGGTGATCTCTCTCTCTTCGCTTAAAAATTCGCAAAATTTTTGAAGCGATTTTAGTTGGATTATAAAAAAACAACAAGGAGGAGAAGCGCGAATTTTTAAAGAATCACCAAGCTTTTTGCTTTTTTACCTCGCATTCATAGAATGCTTTCTCGATATAGGCTCGGCCCTCGGGGCAAGACGCGAGGGATGCGCGGCGGCGCATTACGTTTCTGTGCCCGAAATTTTCATGGATGGTGGCAGTTGGCGAGGAGCGGCCAGAAGCCCAGCTCTGACAACGCTGCGGCCCGGCAGGCTGATTTTCAAAATTTTAGAATTTCAAATGTGATTCGAATGATTCGATGGTTTTTTTGTTAGAATCGAGAGTTTCAATTTCGTTGGATTGGAATTTTACCTGGAACCTTTCTGGGCCGGGACTTGGCGTTCGCGCCAACGGGCTCAAAGGTAGATGCTGCCCAGCTGCAAGAGGACTAGAACAATACAGTTTAGCTTCAAACAAAGGCTTTAGACAGCGAGTGAAATGTCTCCAATGTCACATACAGTCCCGCCATCATATAGAGCCATGTGAACGACCGCATACACACCACATGTTAGAAATACACCCTACTAGTAATATTCACTCGCTCATGCTGTGGAAGAATGGAATATTTGCTTTGTGAGAAGTGAAGAAAGAGAAAGAACGAGAGCGGGGAAGAAATTCATCCCTGGATGAATTCAATCCAGACTTGCTAATTTAGTTGAAGGACATTTATCGTGGCGTAATCTTTTAATGAAAAAATTCTTGTTGTAAATGCCCATCAACTTTGGAAATGAAGCTAGAAAATCCCAATTTTGAGATTTTTCCGTCACAATTGTTTGTAAATCTTGATGTTTAGAACAGCTAATGTTCTACCTTAGCGGTTTGCTACCAGAAACGATCGCAGAAACAGGATGCGAGCCGCCCATTGGCGCCGATTTGCGGCGACAATTTTTGCCGCTGTAGATACTAATTAAAGAATTCACACGTAAATAACTGTAATCACGAAATAATCAAGAATTAAAAATAAGTTTTGTGCAAATTTAGTTTTGAAAACTTTGATCAATCATAAGATCCGTAAATCGGATCTGGATCTTCGGTGAAATGTTTTACTTGACAACTATAGCTCTAGAAGGGGCAGTTACCTTTTATCCTTGAACGATATGGTATTTGTGAACTTTGGAAACTGTTTTCGTTGGGGTCTTTTCTGCCTTGGACTTGTTCGGCCACTGGTAACGTCCGACGGGACCTAGAAAATTTCAATCAGAATTAGGGCTTGTTTAGTTATCTTCAATCATGCACCACGGTAGTAATAATCAATGAGTACTACTAGAATAGACGATAATAGGGAGAAAGACTGAACATAAATCAAGCCGACACCACAGAATAATAGTTACCTGGAGCTCATTATTCGATTTTTGTGCCGATCTAGCTGTTGATCTACACTTTCAAACGGGTCAACAATTTTTTTAGTTGCAAATTGCCAAAATTGCAAATTGGCAACTTTAAATTGTGTGTTGTTCTCGTATTGTCGGGTTATTATCGGTTAATTTGCCAAAAGTTGCATGCAAAGTCAAGTTAAGTAAACTTAGTAGCGATTCGATTTCAAGAGCTCAAGAATGGAGTTTCGAAAGAATTACCGAAATATTTGATAGGGAGTGGTCTGCAAAGGAGACGGGGCTTAATCGAGGAGAAGGACGCTCTGAGCCGATAGGCGATCGCCTTGAGGATCGACTTCATTTTGGTTCATTTTGAAGTTTTAGAAAGAAATACTGTTGAGCCGAATGAACCATTCCTTGTGAAGCTTCGACTTCTCGTCAACGGATTGGGGGTGTATTTACTAAAGGATTGCCTAGCTGTTGATGACCGGTTACTCTTTAGCCGACTGGTTCGCCGATACCGTCGTATCAGTTTCCCTGTGCGGCGAGTTTTTGTTGCTGAATTGAAATCGCCGTCGAGTCCAGTGGAATCACCGAAAGAGTCAGCTCATCACCCTCCGAGTAGATCAGATTCAGCACTTCCGTGTTCAGGCATCCCTTTTCAAAGCGGTTAAACCTACTGTTTATAAAATCATCTGAACCTGAATGATTTCCCCGTTGACGTGAGTGATGAGATCCATCGCTTTTAGCCCGGCTTTTTCGGCTTCCGAGTCTGGCGAGACCTTGCTGACGATATGATGAAGCGTATAATTATTTGAACTTCCGATATAAACAGGAATTGTAGAAAGGAGAAATCCAATATCCCGTGTTTTGTTTTTCAATCGGCTGCTGGTACCAACTAGAAAGATAAATGAGATACAGTAGTAGGTCTTTTGATAGACGCTTACCTAAGCTTTCGGCTCTATTGCGAACTGTACGAATCTTGATATGCCTGGTGTCGCCCAGCAGCGGACTTGCGCAGCGGTTGGGACTTGAATCTCGGGAAGAAGGGTTGGAAGAATGGACTTGGCTCGAGCGGCCGAACAACTCGTTTGAGTAATCGTTCGGGATGATCAGTCGAGACTCGGGAATCGATGACGTTGATGCTGATTTGGGCACACGTCTTCCGCTGGAAGCTAGAAAAACAAGGCTTATTGGTGCTAGCAAAGAAGGCGCAGAAAGAAAGAGTGCGCAATGATGTGTTTCTTTTTTCGGGCATGCGTGAAATAACTGATCAGATAGAGAGAGTGATTTTCTTATTTGATAATGTAAATGATTACCAGTGTAAGGCGGAATATCTGTATCTAAAATAAAAGTTTGAACTCTCCCATTCCTTTCGGTGTTGATTCTTTTTTTTCGAAAGAATGAAAAGAAAACTGCGTTTGATTCAAATACCTGAGAGGTGACGGAAGCGATCTTGAGACAGTAGAGCTCGTACAGGCGCACAATCGGACTCGGATGAATTGGAAAAGCGGCGAGATAGCAGATCCCGGCTGCCGAGTTGTAAGTTGCCTGTGGGCGTGATTGTTTCCTCCTCGTCTGATTCTCCAGAAATGAAGAATTTGATGTCAGTGTCGCTAGACGTTGAGCTAACTCTATTTCGATTCGCCAGTTCATCAGTAATCGAGTCAAAGCTAAAAAAAACTGTAAGATATCAACAGTCGGCTTAAAATTCATTAACCTTGACTCTCTGATGATCCTTGACTTTGACTCGTGGTGATTCATGATTTCCTTGGCGGCGTTGGCAGCAGCAGCGGGAGAGATGAGACTATCGTTGAGAGAATGTCTTGATTGAAGAGGAGTAAGAGTTCCTGGCTCGCTTTTGGGAGACGTGGCGGCTGGCGATTCTCTTTCATACTTCCTAAACGACGAGTTGTACTTTTGAGAGGTGGAAGCAAAGTCCAAGTTCCTAAGGTTGACTTCTGAGGAGGCTCGAGAGTCGCTCAGCTCATCTAAAATCGCCGACTCTTCGTCACTTGAGTTGTGATGGTAGCGATCGCAGCGTGGATCAAAGTACGACGTGTCGTCTTCGTTGCTCAATTCGGGGATGAACTGGGCTTTCTGGCGAATGATGTTGTTCCAGTCCACGTCCTCGAAGTATGGGTGCGCTTTGATGTCCTCCGCGCTGGCGAGTCTGTTCGCTGGTTCGATCAGCAGCAAATTTTGAATGATGTCTCGACAGTTCGGGTCGATCAGCTCTTCTTCGTCTTCGCAATCTTCTTCTTCCATGAATTCTATCTTTCCTTTGACGATATTCGAGAAAACATCCTCTACTGTTTCGGCATAAAAAGGGGTGATTCCGTGTACGAACTCGTAAAGCACCACTCCAAAGGCCCACCAATCGACGTCGATAGAATACGCTTGTTGGAGAACGACTTCGGGGGAGAAATAATCAGGAGTTCCCACGCGTTCGGCATCGCCAAACATTGGGGCGTCTTCTTCTTGTCGATCTTCGTACAGTTCTGTTGCCCGTTTCATCAGGCCGACCTTTGATAAACCGAAGTCAGTCAGTTTTATATGCCCTAAGGAAAGTTTTTACACAAGTTTATCGAGGAAAAAATCGTTTACCAATGGAGGTGATGAGCAAGTTGTCCGGTTTGAGATCTCTATGCACGATTCCGTAGGAGTGAAGATACTCGAGCGCCAAAACGACTTCCGCAGCGTACATTTGCGTCCATTCTTCTGGAAGAGAAACAATATTCTTGAGCAAAGTGCGCACGTCCCCGCCTTCAACGTACTCCATGATCATGCATAGATGCGTCTGAGTCTCGAACGCGCAATACATAGACACGACGAACGGGTTCTCGGTAAAAGTCATGATGTCGCGCTCTAGAAACGCGCGTTGGACTTGATTCCTCAGTCGCAGCGACGATTTCGTGATTCTTTTCATCGCGTATCGCTCGTTTGTCTGTCGATGTTTCACAAGATACACCTTCGCGTATGCACCTAAAAGGACACATAAATAGCCAACAAACGGTAACAAATTTGATAAAAGGTACCTTGACTGATTAACTTGTGTTTCTCAAAGTCCGCTTCGTTGATTTTGACGTCCTGGCTCTTTTCTTGCTGGATTTCATTTTCATCGGAGCTTTCTTTTTCGTTGTCCATGTTGCTCGTCGGTTTGTCAAGGCCGAGTTTCTTGAGGACGTATTGATGCGGCGGATCTCTCGAGTTGTTCGTCTGTCCTTCGTCCTCCAGCTGATCCAGAATTGAGATGTACTCTTCCGTGTCGAATTCGATGTACTGTAAGAGTCGAGAAGGGCGCGACGTTATTTTCATGTACTTGCGAATACAGTTGAGCACCGATTCTGATATCACGCCCGATTTCTGCTTCCCGTCGTTTTTCAGCACTTGGCAGCGCTCGGAATTGTCCGCGAATATTCGACAAGTGATGGAGTTGTCTCGGGCTCGTTGGAGTGTCACTCGGGCGATTTCAATAACTTGCTTGTGCACGAATCCCCAGGCCGCGTCACCAGAAGTCGATGTTTCCTCAATCTCCGTTTCTTCCTTGATAAATTGCTCGAGCTGATCCTCCATTTGCTTCGCCAGAATAGGAAATCGCTCGCGATAGAGCAAGTTTCGCTCTGAAAAACGCCTTGGAAAGGGTGCAAAATAGGGTTGAAACAGACCTTGGATGTCCTGCTTTTCCAGCTGCAAGTGATGCGACGAAACAGAAGAAGTCAACGAGGTGCACTTGCGCAGGTCTTCGACGGAGTCTACTCCAGAGAAATTCATCCCACGCTCCTGTGATGATGAATAGTTCGAATATGGCGGTGTCTGTTACGAGATACTTATAAGAAACGAACGTTTACGCTAGAGTGAGTTCACATTTTTACATTTACACCCGATCGAATAATCCTAATTTACAACTATTACTATCAAGAAACACTTATTTTTCGAAAAGATAACAAACAAATAACGCGATTATTGTTTCTAACCGATTTTCCCTAGAATTCCGATTGTTACTAAAAGAAGAATGACTGCCGAAAAAAGAAAAAGAAGCGGCTTGCGGCTTTGAGCCAGAGTTGCAAATTTTGATTAATTTTTCTGAGCTGAGCTGAGCTGACCTGAGTAAAAATTTCTCTGAGCTGAGCTGAGCTGAGCTGGCCTATTTCGGAGGTTACTGAGCTGAGCTGAGCTGAGCTGGCCTTTTTCAGAGGTCATTGAGCGGAGCTGAGCTGAGCAGATCTTTTGTTTAAGAAAGTTGAGCTGAGCTGAGCTGAGCGGACCCTAGTTAGAGCTGAGCTGAGCTGTTTTTTGCCGTTTTTTGGTAGTAAAACTGTATTCAAATCATTTAGCTGAGCTGAGTGATAATTTTTTGAGCTGAGCTGAGCTGAGCAGATCAAATCATGTTCGAAAATAATTGAGCTGAGCTGAGCTGAGCTGAGTGAAAATTGTCTGAGCTGAGCTGAGCTGAGCTGAGCAGATCAGATCATTTTCCAAAATCACTGAGCTGAGCTGAGCGACTGCTCAGCTCACTCAGCCAGCTCAGCTCACTCAGCTCAGCAAATTTGCAACTCTGCTTTGAGCAAGGAAAATCTTAAGCCGCGCATGGTGCGGCTTTTTCTTCCTATCTTCCTCGAATCCACAAGCGGCTTCCCGACATTCAATGCTAATTCTTATTTGCTAAGAAGCAGAATTCCAGCGAAATTTGTAAGGAATCGCGTATTCTCTAAGCAAGAAACAATAGTTGTATTTATGAAGTTGAAGATTTATTGAAATAGCGATAGATAGTTTGTATCAGCTCCTGGGTCAAGTAACCCCTGTCGGAAGGAATGGAAGGGATGGAGTGGCAGCTCCATCGTCGTGATTCTCTGTGGCGAAGTCTCTCCGCGGCCGGCTGGATGCGGGGCGAGGTCTGAGAAGCAAGTCGACGCGGCGTGAGCGGCGAAAGGCAGCGAGAGCCAGAATGCGATAACGCCTTGCTCCGACGGTTCGTCATGTAGCACAGGCAGGGCTCCGAGCGCGAGCGCACTTGATCCCTTTTCTTGGGCTTTACAAACACTTTTTAAATTAAAAGAAAGAAAAACTCTAGGTTACGATACTATGTGGAGAACCTAAGTTAGGGTCCTCAAAGAGTATGATAACAGATTGAAATGGTTGTTTTGGTTATCTCTTTTGGACCCTGACTCAGGTTTCTAGACAGGTTGCCACTGCGTGAAAAGGAGGTTTGTTAAAGCCGTTAGCTGAGTTTGTGGATTTTGGCTGCAGACTCGTTGCCAGTCCTGTGAATGTCCGGAATCGACTCGTACTCAGCACTGAAGCCGTTGACCATCGAGCTCATTGGCGAGGCGAACTTGGGCGAGGCAAACTGCAGTAGGCCGCCAATGATTCCAGAGCCCAGCGAGCCACGACGGCCAGCATCGTTCGTTCTTGGTATGGGAAGATGACCCAGAAGGGAGAGCGGCATTTGCCCCTCGTTACTCATCTCGAGCAAGAACTTTTCAAAGGGTTACTTAATTGGTTCGTTAATTAGTTTGTTCTTGTGGGAAAGAGAAGATTATTATTAAAATAATTACGTAACCCAGTAGCTTATCTCGTGGACTATCGAGTTGAACGACTTTCCGGTCTCATTTCAAGCCGTTTTTTTTTCTAATTTCGGAAGCTCGTTCTTTTTTTCTAGGGCAGTGTTGATGATTCACAATCGCCAGTTTCGATCACCCTCATATCCCGATCCGCATTTTTTCGGTTTTCAAATCGGACAGTCTAAAGTTGACGAAAGGTCATTAAATTTCAGATTGTTCCTTTTTCTCTTGAAGAAACGCCTTTTTTCCATCCGATAATGCTCGCCACTGGTCAGTGGGAAGTGAGCCACTCGCGGCCCCGATGAGTCACCTTTCTGAACTCAGCGACGGGCCGCTCGAAATTCCCTTTATTCTCGATTCCTGCAATTAATGATGATTACATATTTTCTCTTTATGTAATTAGATTGAGTCTGTAAGTTAATCTTACTCGTTCACTTATTATTTAATGAATTGATTATGATTATCTTGCTAGCTAATTATTTGACAAGTATTTTCACTAACTTACTGGATGATCTCTCACTATTTCGATTAAATTACAGCCAAAATTGATCGAAAAATTCAAAGTGGGTTTGAAAAAAAAGTTAGCAAATAAAAAACGTCGTGCCGCACTGCGCCAGCGTGAGCGTAAATCTCGACGTAAACCGACCGTTATTTGATCGAGCAGTCGGCCCAGAGTGGCCCGCTGGTACGACCCCAGCCTACGAATCGCCAGGTTGCGAGTTCGATTCTTTGAAATGACATGGCAGCTTGTAGGTACAGCTGATCCATGAATTGAAAAATGAAATGTAAAATGAAATTGAAATATGAAAATTGTTAAAGGCCGATATGAAAAACAAATAGAACATACAGTGGAAATAATATCCCCGTATGATGCGCAAAAATTGAGTTACCCGGATGCCTGGGACTTGCTTAGTGACAAGCCCAGATGAACAAATATAGTATCGCGAAATCATGAGCTCCTTAAAAACCCGTCCGAGTTCCCTGGGACACTTTCTAGGAATTGGAAAGTTGGACACCCAAAAACTCGCCTCAGAAATCTCCGGATGGCTCCCTACGGTACCTAAGGGAAGTCAGCTGGTCAAGAAAGAGGGGAGTTCTTCCTAAAGGATAAATAGGAAGTTTTTGCTTATTCAGCTCTCATTTTTCTTATAGCAATTGCACTAGAATGGATGCTGAATAATAAGGCAAATGAGATCTGCATAATGACTCAAAATCTAATGATTTTTTCCGTTTTCTAATTGCGACGGCCAAGTTTGAAGCAGATTGATTTTCGCAATCTTGAGAAAGGCTCTTTGATTTTTATGGATCGGCAAAGTTATTTTGAACACATGTCAGTGCCGTGGACCTTTGCGCATGCATGATATTTATAGAAGCAAAATGAAAGAGAGAGAGACGGAAAATAGAACTAGATTTGATTCGGTTGTATACAGTCTATGACGGCTAGTCCGAAGTTTCTCAGCGGCTGTTCCAACCGGGCCGAAATCGTGCGCCACTTTCTGCTATTGATGTTGAACTCCTCAATGCTGTCGTGATAGTGGCCATTTGTGTAGTCGTATCCGCCGCAAACGATGAGTTTTTCATCTCCCCAGGCAAACACTTGTGAGTCCATTCGTTTCTCGTGCGTGTCATTTTGTCTCTCCCACTCGCGAGTTTCAAGATCGAGAGCATCAACTCTACAATTTTGAAATTCTTTTATTCATTTTTTGTCTACCTGACTGTTTGCCCGCCTAGAATGTAAAGTTTGTTTTGCAAAATAGCGGCGCCCATGCCGTTTTCCGAGAAAGGGAAGAAAACGGGCGAGATGTATCTGGAGAAGACATCCCATTGATCCCGTTTCAAGCTGTATCTTTGAATCTTATCCGTCGTGTGTACTGTATGGACACTGTACTGGCCGCAGCAGATGAATAGCGAATCGTCTTTTGATGCAAAAGCAGCACCGCCAACACCAAGAGGCATGGGAGCTCCGAAACGCCACGATTTCGTCGATGAGTTCAAGATCTCCACCGACGAAAGCACTTTCTCCCGTTGATAGCCGCCAACAACGACGAGAACGTAGTTGAAGGCAAATGTGGCGTGGAAGAAGCGACCTTGGTTCATGTTTGGAAACTGACTCCAGCTTTGTCCGTCGAAAGTGAAGCAGTGATTCAACTGTTGCAAGGTGCCCACGTCAAATCCACCCGTTAGCCAGACTTGTCCGTTTGAAGCCGTCACTCGGTATCCTTCCATATTGCTTCGGGGAAGTTTCTGTGACATGGCGCTAGAATGTTGTCGCTGAAGCATGTTCCATTGGTGACGACAGCAGCGGCAATTGCTATCGCTTCGATGAGAGCTACTTTCCGGCTCTGTATGAAAGAAAGGAGTACTGTTTGTATTTTTAATCTAGTTTTTTGAACTACTGTACTTCTAGAGACGATTAAAAACTTCCCTATCGACGACATCATTTATGGGCATATTGTGAATATACTCGTATGGCTCCTGATTGTATCCTCCAAAAAAGAAGGCCTTCTTCTTGATCGTGAACATCTCCGAAATGATTGATATTGGTCCATCTTTCATACTTTTTGAAGCTCAATTTTTATTAACAAAAAATTTTAACAGCAAATTTGAGCTCTTTCCTTAATTTTCTCAACCGGTACGTCTTGATGAGCGGCACAAAGGCTTCTTGAAGTGAATAGCGAAGAGAAAGCTCAGCAAGATACGCCAACTGGTGCTCGTGCAGATCATCGTGAAGTGCCGTATCGCAAATTTCTATTTCTGCGATTTTAATAAAATCCATGAAGGCATATTGGTCCGCGAAAGCAAGTGAAGCAGCAAGATTGTCCCACTCGAAGATTTCGTGAATTGCATTTTTGACAATCTTGATGGAGTATTCGGGAAAATTAATGAAGTCTGCATCTTTTTCCTTTTTCAATAATATTTGCGTCTAGTCAACCCTTCATTTTTTTACCTTGAAGTCGCCCTGGAAATAACTCCTGCAGTACTGACTCTTCGATATCAGTTTATCTCTGGAAATCAGGACGCTGCCGTCGCTAGTTCTCAAAGTAACATCTTTGGAGTTTCTTGACATTTTCAAATTAATTAAAATTGATATTCTTTGTTTGGTTTGATTCTGGATGCCTTCCAGTATTTTCTCAGCTCCCGACCCTCTTTTCAAACAACTGACCAACTGATTGCTGTGAAAGTTCATAACACCCTATAAATATCTGTAGAGCAGACACCTTGCAGCCAAAAATACACAACATCTGGATTCAAAAGCTTCATTTATTTCTAAGGATAATGCAAGCTTGGCTCAGCAACCTGTGTACAAAACCTGAGTCAGGATTTGAAATAGACAGTAATTAAAAAAAAAATAAAAATGTTTATCTTGCCAAAGCAGCTTTGCGGCTTTGTTTTTGTAAAAGCCGCTATGGGCCGTTTTAAAATCCTGACTCAGGTTTTCTACACAGGTTTCCAGACGCTTACCCTAATATTTTAAAATAATAAGACCCCGTTGTCTGTTAATTTTGTGTTACAGTCCGAGAAAGAGCTGGACACTAACTGAACTCGCTGAAATCATAGAAGGAGATTAAATTTGAGCAGGTAAAATAAACGAAGGTATTTTGAAATTTAAGGATTTGCGCCAACTTGTTTTGCGAGAGATGTTTTTTCGATATTTTAGAAAAAAACTTTCGCATTTAGAGCGCGTGTATTGGGTCGGGTGTGGTTTCATCGTAGATTTGTTTCTACCAAAATTAAAATGACTATCCGTCCTGCTCGCGGTCCCTTTGGATCCCCTTGATCCACCACGCGGTGGCGCCATTGGCGATTATTATCGTTGCGCCGTCCGGTTCTTCCGTGTTCCATTAGTTCAGAAATACTCTGATAAGGAGCCCACCAAAGAGCATCCAGAAAGTAGAGATGCGCTCTCTTTCTGTTTTGGCGGTGCTTGCAGCCGTCCAAGGAGAGAATAGCTCCGACTTAGAAGCGAAAAGACGAGACTTTGCCATCGATGAGAAAGAGGTCGACACACTTACTTGGACTCCAGGAGGAACTGTCAGAACTACGCAGGACAGACCCTACGTTAGAGGAAAAGTTCAGGTTCGTACCGTGATTCTCATTTCTGACGAATTTTTGCTGAAATTCTGATTATTACTTTAGTAGAATTACTACTAAAAATCGAGAAGCCACTTGCGGCTTCGAGCAAGAGAAAATTCATTTCGCTTTTTCGTCCTATTTAGCTCAAAGCCGCAAGCGGCTTCTCGATTTGAGTGGTAACTTTTTAATTTTAAGATCGGAAATTTAAATACAAAAATTCAGAAAGGATGCAGCGAAGAGATCATGTACGGACTGTACGATTTCGACTGCAGCCGAGGTAAACGAACTATCGGCCAATGGACCAAAAACACTCGATGCAGACTCTACTGTTTGAACAGGTAAGATTTCCGTCCCTCATATTTTCTTATCGTCCTTCTAGCCAGCGAATGGAACCCGCGGTAAAGCAACTTCGATGTACATACCACAGACCAACTGGGCGATACATCTGGAAGGGCGCGGCGCGACAAGGAAACAAGCGAGTTTTGTTGAGCAATCCTCGAGTTGACTGCATCACAATGAACCACGTTGCTCGATGGGGCCAGTGGGGACCCTGGTCTTCATGGACGAAGTGCTCCCGCGAGTGTGGAACAGGAGAAAAGATCCGTCAGCGGCGACGAGTCTGTGTCGGCGGCGTCATGGGAGAAAACGACAATTGCCCGCATCAAGGAAACGTTCAGCTCGAGTACAGCGGATGTGACAACCAATGCGGTAAGTAATTGGCTCGCTCCGATTCAATTCAATTCGATCGCGCGCTCATTTTGATTATTATGAGTTTAAAAAGTTGCTCCAGGAGTCCTGTGTACGCATCCCAAACATGTCGCTTACAATGTTACGCGATTAGAACATTGATCCAGCAAATCCGTGTTTTACCCAAAACCTTCCGTCCGGCGTTATCTTTTTGACGTCAGCTAGGGAGAAAGAGGCACCAGTCGCCCAGCTACTAAGCCCTTGAGACAATATTCGTCCAAATATTATTTTCTTGAAACAAGATCTCATCCGACCAACAGATTCTAGTAACAAAAACATGTTACAGTATAAACAACAGGATTGTTTTAAAGAATAAATCTTCCAGGTGTTTTTCTTAAAAGAAACAACAAGTATTTTTCCAGAAAACTAATCACATGTTTTAGTTTCGCCACCATCAGTATCAGTGTCCTTTAGCGATGTCAAAGATAAAGGATTCATCGTCAACTGGGAAATCGAAAACATCGACGAGTCTGACATCGGACATTTCAAAGTGGAAGTTTTCGAAAGCATCGTTAACTGGAACCAGGAGAGCTATAAAGTCGCCAACCTGGATATGATCCACCCAACTTTGAGAGACATCAGCGTCTGGCGAGAAATCAAACCTCTCACAAGGTAAATCTATCTTTCTATTCACAATTTTCAATTAAAAATATAGATATGACGTCTGGGTCTGGATGATGGATAGCCGAGGTCAGCAACTAGCCGATCCGGTTATCGAAAAAGTCTTTACTCTCGGAAGTCGTTTCGATTTCGACGAAGATGTCATGTGCGCCGTTGACTGGCCCACTACTCACAAGGATGAAATGATCACCTCTTGCGATCATTTGCAGTACGTTCCAGCCGGCCACAGATGCTACACTTACTGCAAAGACGACTGGAAGAAGATCCGAGGAACCGAGTACATCACCTGCATGAATGGTCAGTGGCGAGGAAGCTGGCCCAAGTGCGAGCCTCGAGGTTGGCGATGCAACATGAACATGGACACTTATTGCCCCGGTTGCATTCGACCAGACAACTGCTGTGACTTCATCACAAACGAAGGAGACGTCGACTACATCTGCAAACAAGGATACCTCCGACCAGAGGTAAATGGCCCTGGAAAATCTGGAGGAATCGCCCGAGCTCTAACCAAGAAACTCAAAGCAAATGGTCCTTCTTGCGCTACATTCCGACATCGAAGACGGGATTGCAGTCTCACCTACGCTGTGAAAGTCTTGGCACTGTACACTGACGAAACTGGAAAGAAAGATCCGATCGAGAAGATTCTCGTTGACGTTGCTCAAGATACGGATTTCACCGAAAACTGCATTGATGATGCTGATTACGATGTAAAAGTGATGGATGTTCGGCCACAAGCAGGTTATTCTCACGTCCAGATCGTCTTCGAAGCCGAGCTCAATCGATGGGATGGCAACCTTGGATATGACATGTGGTTCGATGACTTCGAGCACGGATACGGTCGATGCTCGGTAATGCGATGCGGCGAGTTCCCACCACCTCTGTTGAAGGGAGGCGGAGCTACGTTTGGACACGACGTGGCGCTGGAGAACACTTGCACAGACGGAGACAATGCGCACTCCGTCTGCAAGATGAACTGCCCTTCGACTCATCCTGTCCACCACTTTGCTCATTACTGGCAAGAAATCATCTGCAACCCATCTGGCTTCTGGAACCAGCCACTCTATACCTACTACACTGGCTACTGCCAAGCGCCTTCTTGCAACTACTTCGACATTATTCCGCCAAAGAACGGCTGGTATAGTTGCTCAGATGAAGGCTATGAAGGATCCGTGTGCACTTTTGGATGCAACAGTGTGGATTACACTCTCAATTCCAAGGCACCCTACAGGTAAAAATCAACGAATGAAAATGTTTTCTCATGAATTTTGTTCAGAATTCAATGCATGAATGGAAAGTGGAAGCCGATCGGAGGCAAGGCAGGCTTCATCAAGGGTCAGATCCAAGCGGATTGCGTGTTCAACCACGTCTTTGCCCGACGAGAGAAGCGAATTTCCCAGCCTATTTCTCCACTGCACGCTATGCGAATGCAATACAGGTAGATTTGGCTTTATAAACATGATTGTAAATTGTAATCTTTTCTCAAAGAGAACTTGCTGGTCTGGACCATCCAAGTTCAATTCGAAAAGAACGAACAAAGTACAACGTTGAAATGACGAGGAAGAAGTTCGGCTTCGAGGGACGAAGCATGAATTTCGACCAGGTCTTCCACGCGGAGATGAGCACTCCAGACTTCGAAGAAATGCCAATCGCAGCTTTTGGCTCCAAATAAAGGCGGAAATAGAGAGTCGACCCTTCTAAAAATTGATAGTTCTGATGAAGAACATTATCTTACTGTAAATACTTACTTCTCCTGCAAATAAAGGAAACGTTTTATAACAAAGTTGGGATTGCTTATTTTTATGCTTCAATAAAAAGTGACGCTCGTTTTCGGAGGAAAGGGCTTAGAGCTCAGTTTTAATTGAGTCGATTTAACATGCAGACTTGTTTTGGGAAAATTTTCTATCTTTGGAACAAGTTTGTTAAAGAAAGAAGCTCTTCAAAGAGGATCCGTGCGAGGGTAAAGAAAAAAGAATCAAAGCGAGATCTAGTGAGTTTATTCTGTGATTGTTCGGGTCTAGGCTCGGGTTTTTTTATGAATATTCAGGCATGGCTAGATCAAGACGGAGAAGATGACGACGGGTCAGGAATCAGTTTAATTGAATAAGCGATAGGTGGAAAGTTTAATAGAATAAGCCGTGATGCGTGTTCTAAAACGAGTTGAACTCAAGAAACAGATACCGAGTGCGAGGAAAACGATAACGGTAGATAACTTTTGCTTTTGATACAATCCAAGGTTGTTTTTAAAACAAGAGGGCTCTGAAATGGAAGAAGAAGACTTTGGAGAACAAGCGCTTGAAGACGATTTTGAAGAAGATGATGGAGGAGATGATGATGACGAAGACTCAATAGAAAGGGAAATCGAGGAGAATGATCTTGTCGATGAAGTTGGTTCAGGTTGCAAGAGTTTTAAAAATATTATAATCCAGCAATTGCATTTTTTAGAAATGGACTATCAAATCGACGAGGAAAACTATCAAATGGACATTGTTCAAGCAGAAGCGATGGAGATGGAGGAAGCAATGCTCGACGAAGAATATAATTTTAACTCAGGAAACTCCCAACAAATGCGGCTAATCACGTGACTGCCCATCAAATACTTTTGAATAGAAATTTGGATAGAGATTAAAAAGATGCTGGGTCTGTGAATGACTACTGGTGCGCTGAATCGCTTCCTGACTCTGTATAACAGCAGCAACAGTCTCCTCCATTTATCCTGACGGGCAGTCTGAATAAAATAAACAGAATATGTTGATGCGGTGGCGCTTATGTTTTCTAAATATGCAATATGCTTAAGTGTAGGTATAAGACGATGGATAAAGCTGGAAATCTGGAGATGCAGGCGCAATTTAAGACTAAGCAGGATAAAATCACGCACTCTGGCTTCTTATCCTCAGACTCGTTTATTCTCAAAGAAACCCTCTTTCACTCATTTTTTATTTTATTTTAGATAGAAAAGGGTGAAAATGAGAGCTTTTGGATTTCTAACTATCTTCTTGGCCTCAGCCTTGGCAATGTCTCGGACACGTTTTTGCTCAATTGCCCAGTTTATTTGAGTTTTACAAAAAAAAAACTTGATCAAAAACGCAAGAGAAGTTTTCAGCCCACATTCCGAAAATTCAAACGGGAACGGTAATTTTTTTCTTTCAGCGAGATTTCCTTGATTCGCTTTTTAGCGCAATTTGGCGAACATGTGCATAGTTGAGCTTGGTAAAAATATTATTTGTCTTTAACTCTAATTCGAGTTCCAAGACCTGAGCGCCGAATGCTTGGATGTCGTCGGGCCCCAGTTGTCGTATCTCGCGAAGATTATTTACCAGCGATGGGTTAAAACATAATCTTCAATTTTACGATTAGAGATCTATTTTTTGACCTTGGAAAAGAGTGAACAACAAGCGCTTAATCGCTACTTTCCTACTGCAACTCTCAGCCCCGGCAACGTAAAAGTATATTAATGAAAAAGCTTCTCAATACATTCAGACTCGAATAAAAATTGTGCTCATTTCAGAACAACAAGAGATTTTTCAACTCTGACTAAAATTTCTCCTTTTTGAAATATTTATGCATCTGCAATCGAAGATGATTAAAGTGCCCAAAAAAGGTCAAAGGACGCCTGACGTAGTTAGCTTGTATTTGCGCTGCGACTAGTAATTGTCCGCGGCTTCTTTAAATAAGCGAAGAAGCATGAGAGGGTGAGTCAGTTTTCAAGCGCCAGCGCGCTAAATAGAGTAGTAAAATATCTTCGGGCCACGCCATTTTTACAAGAGAAAAACTTAACGGAGAGTTGAGTGTGCCTAATAGGTTCTGTAGCTATCCGTTGGATGAATAAGAGCTAGAAAAAGAAAAAACGCGCAGAGAAGAGGCCATCATTCAAAAAGAGAGAGAGTGGAAAGAAAAGAGACAAGCAACGAAATGATCAGCGAAATCTACAAAATTGAATGGGAATATTCAGACGTCGGAAATATCAACAGAGTGAGGCCGTTTTTGAGAGAAATTTTCGACAAAGAAGATCTTCTGCCACAAGACATTATCAGCGACAGCTTGCTTCAGAGCACGCAGAACAATGACGAACTTGAGGTCTTTTATGATCAAATAAAAAAGAAGTTAAATATTGGATGGAATACACTTGTCGACATTGCCGATTTCGAAGACATCCACGTGGATTTGGCTCTTATGCTCGCCATGCAAAAATACATCGTTGAAAATCAAGAATTTCCCAGGGTGGAAGACGACTGCTTCATTTCGTCCGTTCTCAAGCTGGGCAATAACTGCAACGGAGTGAAAGAGAACCCAGGGTTCAAACAGAGCCTCGTTGGAAAAACGAAAATTCAATTTCCATTCGACGATCTGAAAATTATGCAAAACGATTTCGAACTGGACTTTCACTTTGAACACGTTTCTTACCCAGACGAATTTCTGATTGAATATTCTGTAGCGCAAAATTGCTTCGAAAATGGCTGGGGGAACAGGTAGATAAAGGCTGTTTTTTACACGTTTCCAACGGATTAATTTAGGGAGAACTTTGTTCCTGTTAATTCGTCATCGAATGCTCCTATTACCCTGCATTGGTGTGGGGAAAAAGTGGAGAGCACGAACCTTTGCGTCACTGTTTACAGTACATCTGAAAGCAGCCCGACATTGGAGTGGACAGAGTCGCCTTTAAAGAAAAAGAAGGGATTGAAAACGAGCACGGATGATTCTGAATCGTACGACTATTATGATAGTGCATCACTTAGTGATGATGAAGCTATCTCCGTGGATTCGATTGCCTGCCCAGCAGTTGTCGAACCTGGAAGTTGTGTAATAAACGACTCTGAAGCTGATTGCAAAGGAACTATCGACGGATGTAAGGATCCAGCGGTCGACTGCCCTTTGATAAGAGTTGGACCGGTTGTCATGATTGCATCAGGTAAAGATTGTTATTCATTTGTCACGAGACTCTGAATCCCTCGTATTCATTGTCATTTTCGTCTGAATCCTCCCCACAATATCAGCTATTTTTAACGATCAACTTAAGCCACTAGCGGTTTTCTTTTGGTCGTTGGCATTGTGATAGTGATTGTCGTACTTCTCGTGAAAAAGAGAAAATCGTCAGCGAGACATCCAGCAGAAAACCTCCCCACCAGTCTACCCACCTATGCTCGAGCGAAGCAAAAGACTCGCGGCGGTGCAACTGGCTATTCCTACAATTGAACTTACTTAGTCGCCCAAAATCAATAACCCTGCAGAATCATGATTTCACAAATGTAAATAACCAACACTGCTTCAAAAAAAAGACTGCGATATTTTGTGGTACTCCGAATAAAATGTATTTGCTTCAAATAAAAGAGTTGCAGTGAATTGTTTTGCTATTTAAAAATACAGAAATGAAAAGTTGATTCATCCGAGCACCTGGATCATTCATTTATGGATGGGATTGTTAGCAATGCATTTTTTACCAGAACAAATAATACATTTTTTAGATTTTTGAAGAGTTCGCTTTGAAGAATCACTTTTGTGTGCTTTTGTGGATTGTAGGAGTAAATCACTCTCCTGAACAAGAATTTGCTGAAATCGTCCGATCAATAAATGAGTTAAAAACGTGTTAATATTTTTGAATCATAATTGGTTTTCAAAAACGTGTAACGTGTACTTTGCTGCTTTTTACCTTCAAATCTAAGATAGATTTGTCGCCGTTATGGTGGCTTACAGCGTTTTCATTTTTAGCGGGCGGGTTAGCGGGCCCGGCTGGTTTAGGAATGATCTTTCCTTTAGTTTTTTCGTTTACTAGCTCGTTACCAATGCTGATTTTGGAAAAGAGAAGGGTGCCTTTCGTCTGCGTGATGTTCTGCCCGTTAAGGTCGTACAGCTCGATGAAGCGATGGCCCGGCTAAAAACTCTTGAAAAAAGACGCGAGACAGAGAAGCGGACCTGTAGATAGGCAAGTGGCAAGTAGGACATGCCCAGGACCTCTTCTGAGCCACTGTCGAGCACTTTTACTTCAAGCATGGCGAAATCGGGAAACTTGACGGAGAAAGTCGCTTCGTTTTCATGTTTCCAAGTCGGGCTAAGAGAAAAATTAACAAAAGCAAAAATAACGCCTAGCTTACTTGAATCCGTTATTCTTGACGACAGTAGTTTTGAATTTCTGCTCTTTGTCCAGCTTCGATCCCGACACGAGCACGAGCTTTACGTATGGATCGCAAACGTCTCCTCCCGCTTTTTTGTTGTGGAATTGCTGGCCGGAAATGATGGCGATTTTGAATTTCATGCGACTTTCGAACTTGCTGCTATTTGGGTCAAAGTCGCGCTGTTCTCGGAGCACCGGCGGCTTCAACACGAATCCGCAGTTGCCGTTGATTTGGAACATAATTTGGTTCTTCAGCCGCTCTTCGCCGTCGTATTGATAGTTCAGCGCGACGACTTGACAGCCATGCGCCCAAAATGGCAGAGGATCGTAGTTGGTGCTCTGAATTCGCGATCCGTTGGGGTAGATGCGCACCAGTTCTTTCGACGTATGTTTGATGAAGTCTTTGCCCTGTTCTTCCATGATCACTTCTCCTTTTCCTTCTTTGATAGAAGAAATATACTTGTAGTCGTCTGGCGCCAATTCGCCGAATGGTTTCAGGTGTCGGGAAACCGTGTAGATGGTGATATCGGACAGATCTCTGTGCAGCTTTAGCTTCTTTTTCGAGCTTCTGATTCCGTCAGTTTGGATCTGTTCACCGTTTTGGGCACCGTGCTTTGCCTCCGCGGATTCATCTTCTTCCTCTACGTATTCGTGCTCCTCGCTTCTACTGTCAGCGGAATCGGCATCGTCTTTGGGTTCTTTCAGCTTCTTGCCTTTCACAAAGCATCTCGCGCCCATTGCCAAAGGACTGGGCATTTTTTCCTCGTCATCGCCCAAGGGCTTCGTTATCAGTCGCTTGCCAAAAGCCGCCTTAATATAGTCAGCCATCTTTTTCTGATTGCTTTCTTTGCAATGATTCTCCAGCGAAAGAATGAATGGGTATTTGCTGTAAGGCTTGCCTTCTTCGAAAGCGTACTTCGCGCACTCTGTGACCACGTCTTTGAAGAATAAGCGAGACTGTTTACAAGGACAGTATCCGTGATAGACAGAAGGCTCTTCGTCATCGTCCCAGCAGTCAATTTCGACGCATCGACAGCCACGCTGAATAGAGCGAACGTAAGCTTGAAGTGAGCAGGGTCCGTTGATTTGGTCGCCTTCGAGGTAGGTATTGTGGCTACTCGCGATGAAGTAATCGGTCATTGGTCTTGTCATGTCCTGGTGATGAGTGTAAGCCCCTGGATCAACAGCGTTGCAGCATTTTAGGATGAATGCACTGAATTCCTCCTGCGTCATATTCGATGTTCCGTCCCGGTCGAAGTAATTCATAATCAATTTAACATCATCGTCCACTCTTGTATCGTACTTCATTACTTTGCCGTCATCTTTGAGATAGACATGTTTCATCTGCTGCGATTCGAGGAAGTCTTTGAACTCGCCGAGCGAGATTTCACCGTCATTGGATGTATCGTTCTCAGCCAAAAGGTCTCGCAAAGTTTGAGGAATGAGCAACATCCCGTAGAGATATTTTACTTCAGCCCAATTAAGTCCGTCCGCTAATGTCATCGTGTCACGATTTCGTGAACTTGGAGTTCGGCCCGTTAGAATCGCTTCAATTTTATTTTCGAATTGATCGGTGTAAGTAATTTCCACTCGTCTAAAGAACTCCTTGATCTCTTTTTTGTTGAGAACACCCTTTCTATCTTCGTCGACGGAATTGAAAGTACGCCAGAGACGGAGCATCTGATGGTCGGCTGGAGAGAGCTCGCCCAGAGTATCAACCAACATGTTAAAGCAATTCACGACTTTTGTCTTGTCCTCTTCGTTGATGAACTGGAGAGTAATTGGGGGAATGTTAGACTCGGGAACGAAAAGAAGTGAAACGCACAAGTGTCTGCTTTTCGTCGGCACATTTAGCTTTTCGAGTTTTGTGCTCCAAAAGGGCTTTACTTAAGCAATAATTAATATTAAAGAAGTCAACTTTTATTACTTTGACATTTAGTTTTTCCTTGTTTTGTTTTGTAAAGCCTGCCTATCTGGCTTTTCTTTCACAATTTTATCGAGGAAATGAACTGGAAAGCACCAACTGTTGATCGCGCTCTGCTTGTTTGAAAGTATGATAAGTTGGTAGTCATTTGTAGTGTTTATATATTTCGTCTTTGTTTTCTTTCGAGGTTTGCCAAAGCAACCCGGATCCACGCTGTATTGAATGACCTTTGTGTAGTGGTCGAGATTGCACTCAGTCGATTTGATGTTGTTGATGAACTCCTTAATTGATTGTCTTTTCTTTTGAAGTGTAAGTATTGCAGTCGGGGCGAAACAATGGAATTAGTAAGGTTAGCATTTTTCTTCACATGTGAAAAGATTTTAATGAGTATTGTCAATTACTATAAACTACTTTCTAGCAGACAAAAACGATAAATCACACAATTAATCTTATCAACGAACAGTTTTACCTGGACCGTGAATTGCTATAAGTTAATAGTTTATTCTATCGTAAGAATTGTAAAGTGAAATTATACAAAGAAAAGTTAATACTCGCACTACACTACAATTAATAAACACTGAAAGCAACAATAGTCACTATTATCTAGCACAAGCTTTACAGATTATTGTTGATTGCGTGTTCAATAATCTGACTAGTTTAGAATCAAATTAGAATTGAATCTACAAACCATCAAAAGAACACAACAGAAAATGATGGTAATGGTTACTTACTCTAATAGACCCGCCAGTCGTGCGAAACCACGCTCCGAATCCGGGTTTTTCATTTTCAATAGTTTTTTCTAGCAGTTCAGGGTGCAAATCGTCGAATTCTAAAAGCAAATATATTGATTCAGCTCGGTATCTAGCTCCTATCAGGAAGAGCAAATACTGTAGTAGTCAAAAAAATGAACTTGAAATCCAAGTCTTTATCAAGTGAAAATTAACGATGGATTTAACATCATCGTAAGTTACGATTCGTAACCAAGAAGTAAGCAATAAATATTGACGGGGCAGTTTAGAAATAAATCTCGAAATAAATAAGTAATCTCATAAAATTCCTGAACGACGAGTAGAAATCGCCTATTCGTTAGGTCAAAGAAGGAGTGTCCTCTTACCATGCTTGAATGCTTTGCCCCTATCTTTCTTCGGCAGAACGGCATTCTTCAAGACCTGAAATTTCATTTTTGAGTTTTTCGCTTTCTCTTTCAGAAGATCTTCAGACTCCGCCGGATACTTTTAACTACGACTAGCCATCAAGTCCACAAGTTCATTTTATTGCATTTGTTTTATGATTTCTGACGTATCTTTTTTAGCAAAAGAATTTTTCATTTCAGTTCATGAGCACTGATTTTTTTGATATTTAGATTGGTCGCGAGCTTTTCTTACTGGGCGGTCAGTATGGCAGCAGCTTTTTGTTTGAGTGCTTACGTGAGCGCCTTTGTGAGTTTTGGATTTTTTCAATTGAATTGAAAAGAGCCTGGCTCTCGTTAAATCTTTCAGAGCGTTGGCATTTTGAAAAACGTAAATTTACGAATGGTGGCTTGGACTTATTGATTTATTATGGTCAAGAGCCGCTTGGGTTTTAGAAGTCTTGATTTTATGTATCATTTACAGTACCGATACGAGTTGAGTGGGCATTCGAAAAATTAAAAAATGTCTTTTTTTTTCTAATTTTATGTCTCTCGGTTTAGAAGAAGGATTATTGTGAGCTCGGAATTATTGCTCACTCACGAGCGACCAAAGTAGGGGAACAATAAAATCAAGTTAGAGTACCAGGATAGGGTAGTCTGAACAGAGTGACAAACTATGCCCTTTGAAAGACGTCAAGTAGTTGGTTTAAAAAAGCCATATCTGAGCGTTTACTTGCAGCTGAGATTCGCAACCTGTGTAGAAAACCTGAGTCAGGGTTTTCAAAGAGGATGTAGGGAAAAACCGCGTAGCAGTAATGTTAGCGGCTTCGTTATAAAAAATAGCCGCCACTCGGCTTTTCTCTGAAGATTTTTGAACACCCTGACTAAGGTTTTGTACGCAGGTTGACGACATCGCATTAACACGGACTTCCCATTATAAAATCGATCAAAACAAAGTTTAAAAAATTCTAAAAGAAAGAAAAGTGAAACAATGAGCTACAAATTTAAAACAATACGGTATTGTCAATTGTGAATACCTTTCGTTTGCCATTATTGGTCATTTTCCCTCGCTTCTTCAGAAGATTGATCTCTGCATCAGAACTTTTTTAAGTCTTTGTTTGATCCAATGAATACCCTGCCCTGCGGAATGTTTTTAAATTTCTCAGCCGGAAAATAATAGAAAAAAGGGGGATGGGAAAAAAGTGACGCCTTGAGAGATTATCAGTATTGACGCTACGAACAGGAAACAGGGCCTGATTTGTCACCCCATTGGACATTTCCTGTCGTTCTTCTGTCACGAAAATTAGTGTCTTTGGCTTTGAAACAATTGAATGAAAGAAGCAGACACTTTGGTGAATTTACAATCCAAGGAGCTGCACAACCTGGTCGGCAACCCGTGAAGAAAACCTGAGTCCGGGTTCTGAAAGAGCTTTAATAAGTCGGGAAATATAGACTGAGCTCGTAATTTTAACTCAGATTTTCGACCCTGACTCAGGTTTCTTTACAGGCTGCCAAAACTACCACTTCAATCAATCTTCTACAATCTGGCGAAGCCGCTTCGCGGTTTCATTAAAAAAATCCGCTAATCGGCTTTTTATAATAGTTCTTACAGAATCCTGATTCAGGTTTCTAAACAGGCTGTGGAGCACCGAACTGAAAGTAAATCCGTGATTTGCGTGATTAAGATTGATTTTCTTCTTTATTATTTTTCACAGCGTTACTGGCAGCTTTATCTGTTCTAACAAGTCGTTTCGTAAAAAAACATTTTTCGCATTTGAGTTCGTTGAAGTTTCCGCTCTTATTCTTTTCTATCGTCGCTGTTTTGTCGTGCGAGGACCAGCAGCGCTGGCAGTAGCGGCGCTTGTAGCTCTTGTGCAGTCGGACGACGACTTTGTCCGAGACCTTCTTCGCCGTGTGTTGCCATTTGTGCTGGAAGGCGGCGGGAACGCCCTCGACTGAAGCCGCTTGGAGAAGGGATGCGATATGTTTGAAGTGGTGGAGTTTCGCACCGTTGAAGCCCCGCTTCCCTTTTTTCTTCGTCATTTTTTAGTATATCTAAACGAGTGGACTCTCAGCTGAGATTTTCTAAAGTGGTTCTGATTTCGAACTAATTCTCGCTGGAATTTGGAATCCGAATTTCGGATTGCCATAAACTTAAAATACTCTTGAAAATCGAGAAGACGCTTGCGGCTTCGAGTTAGATAAAAAATCAGTGGCTGCGATTTTCAGCAGTATATTCAGTTTGGCGTCAATCAGAATTCCAGCGAAAACTATCACAAATGAGAATGGCGGTAATTTTAGAATTATTATAAATATTTTTATTCAAACAACATGTTGCAGTTGCAATTATAGTTAACAAGAAAGAAGAATAAGGAAAGTGTGAGTTTTGGAAGTGAAAGAAGCGATATTTTTATCAGAAAAAGTGATTTTCTTCTGTAAGATACAGACTGTGATTTAGATTAGGTCGAGATGAATGAGTTCTAAGGAAAGATTAAACACTCATTCAGAATGAGTCATTCTTCGATTAGAAGTTTCATGACTGATGAGAGAAGTTGATCTACTTCAGCATCGGCTTTTGATTCCCCCAGCTCCCTGAAAAATAAGCATAAATTCTAAAGATTAAATATTGGAGGAATGATCTTACCGTAACGAATGAAGCACATTCCCAGCGGCCGTTGAGAGTGATGTCGATATATCTTTGCTGATCTGGTGCTTCGATCCCTTCAAGAAAATTTAGTACAGTCAGCTTGAAAATATGTTTTTACCATTGACGACTTGGCCAGCGTTTCCTGCCAATACGCGATGTTCAAGCTCTCTAAATAGAGCTTTTCGATGCTGAGGTCAATTTTCGGCTCCCTTTTGTTGTGGTCATTCATCAGCTCTTTGTGCATTTTAGCTAACGTGAGAAGAACGATCTGTCTGGCTTCTTTTTCTCTGGTCAAGGCAAGCTCCGTCATTCCGCTTTCTGCGCGCGCCGCGATTTCTTCCTTGACAACTGCCAGTCGTTCGTCGACTGCCTTCTTTCTTTTCATAAGATTTTCGAGCTTGCTAGCCATTGCTTCGATCTCTTGATTGACCGTTCGTTCCAAGAACGAGGAACTGATGGCAGACGAGTTCTCGAGCGAAGGGGCAGCATTTTCCTTCAGAACTTCATCGTCTCCAGAAGTGGCGGCGGGGATCACATCAGACGTCATTTCCACCGTCTTTTTTCAAGCTTTTCGACAGTATATATGAGTTTTTTCAACAGAAAGATGTTCTTAGACCACGATTTGAACCGAGAAGTAATCAGATACTACCGTTGAGGTTTAATCTAAAAAATCTCGAAGTCGTGTTCTATTTTGCAAAAATCGTTTTAATCCCTTAATAAGAGCACTATTTTCTACACGTACTGATTGAGAGCATCGAAAGCCTTTCCTTCTTGATCAAGTCAATCTGTCGTTTGACGAAGTACTCTTTCTCGTCGCCCACCGGGCTGTCCTCAAGAATCTCGACCTCATTATTCTCCACACTGTTCACTCGCTCTTCGGAGTCGGACTCAGCGGCAGGATCGAAGCCAAGGAATTCCGTGAGGAGGGGAAACGCATTCATTATTTTCACTCTTCTCAAACACTGAATAGGTTATGATCGAATTCTTTTCCATTTTCATAAATATTTTTTAATAAAAAATATTGGAACGTGAAAAGTTTAACAGAATTCTTCGGATTGAAGAAGGCGGAAGTGTGATAAGTGCGCAGTGTTAGGTGTATCGGGTGATCCACAGAATTAAACGGTCTCGTGAGCTTTTCGTGAACTTTTTGAGGATGTCGTTCTTATGATTGTTCGTTGAAGATACTTAGGATTGCTCCCTTGAACTCTGCGAAGTTCTTGTATCCTGGCTCGAGAACAGTCAACATCTTCCTCAACTCTTTTCTTTGGCGGCGTAAAGCCGGGATTTCCACTGAAAGAAGATCGTGAATGTCAACGAGAGCTCAATGAAAACCTCTCTAAAAACCTGAGTCGGGGTCTTGAAAGAGCTTGCTTCGCAAAAATCACAACCTCTGTCTATTTTGAACTCTAGCTACCCGAAGTCAGGTTTTGTAAACAGGAGTCCTGTTTACCACCAACAGAGTTGGTAAAAAAGTATACTTCACTCGCCCTTCAGAATGAAGTATACTTCAGGGCGTTGCAGGGCGTTGAAGGGCGTGAAGTGTACTTCCGCCCTTCCCTCTACTTCAACCGCCCTTCCGCCCTTCACTCTACTTCAACTTGGTTCTGTCGGCCATCAGAATCCATCCGCCAGAATTTTTTCAAATTTTGCGCTTATTGGCTCTCAGGCGCCATGATTTAAATCACGCTGATTGTGGCAGATGAACCGATAGCTGAAGTATACTTCAGGGCTTTGAAGGGCGCGTGAAGTACACTTCACCGCCCTTCAAGAATGAAGGGCGCCCTGCAGATTTTTGAAGGGCGAGGGGAAGTATACTTTTTTACCAACTCTGAACAGGACTGCAATTACCTCGATTTTGTTGGAGGCGTTCTTCGATAGTACCAATCGTTATAATTTCCTCCTCTATATCCATCCGCATGCTTTCAAGGAACACTTCTACACTGCCCGCTCTCTCAAGTGCATTCACGAACTCTTGCTCCCTCTCGGCGATTTTCAACTCACGTTTGAGGGTTTCCTTCAGTTCCTCGACGCCCTCAATGATCGCCCATTGGAATTTAGAGCGACGCACGGGCAAATTTAGATCCACGACGACTTCGACTAGCTCAGACGGGATCGTGTCGAGCAATTCTTTCTGGTCGACGTTTTGGAGGAGTGAACGAATTGAATTTCTTGCTTTTTGGAGGCTCTCTTCACGCATTTGGGCACTGGTCCTGCTCGCCAAAAGTGCTTGATGCGCCTTGATGTACGGCTCGCAAAGCATTTTCAGATCCGAAAGGGCTATGTCGGGCAGGTCTTCCTAAAAATCATTGTTAGTACTAATTTAGACTCGGTATCTTGTGCAGAAACCTGATTCAGGCACCTATCTATCACTCTAATTGATAAACTCTGCATCCGCGGCTCTGTTAAAAGAAAGCCGCGTAGCGGCCTTTACGAAAGCTATTTCAGGAGCCTAACTCAGGTATAAAAGTAGAATATTGGACCTAGATTAACGCTTGCTTTGATAAATTGACACTGTTCAAGAAAACACGGATTAAAATTTTTAAGATATCTTTCTAGAACTACTCTATTTTTCAGACTTTAAGCAAGCATGCGCTCTCATTTTCATTCCAACTTTTTGGGTTTTTTCGGCTGGGTCGTGGGTTATTGTTCTCTGATCAAAATTGAACAGAGAGCATCTCCCAGGCCTTCCGGAGAACACTCGCAATCGACTAGCCTAAGTACCTCTGAAAGATTCAGCTCGAGGATAGCATCGCCTGCGATTTGAGTGATTTTATTCCACAATTCAAGTTTTTCGTTTGACGAATCAGCATTTGCCGTACTGAACATTCTAAAACCAAAAGAATTGAACCTTCAGAATTTTAAATTAGCGACATTGATTCAAATAGCACTCTCATCCGAGTTTTGGAGATAAAGCAGAGAGAGTCACTAAAATCGCTTCTTCCGTTCGTATCGTTCGCGAGCCTTGATTAGGGCACGTATTCAGCCACTAAAAATCATCATCACTAGCTTCGGAAACTGTCCGAAAAATCTCTAGCTGCAAAAGAATAAATCGGTAGTCCGGGCCATACTCGAAATCCATGCACAAAAGGCACAATGGGCAACGTGGAGTTGCCGAAGCTAGCATTAATAATTACCGATTTGAAAGAATGCTCAAGGCCTACGTTTATATAAATACAAGTCAGGGAAAAGGTTCAATGAAAAGCCTAAAACTATTCTCCGCTTCGTGGCTATTCATTGGAGCTTTTTCAGGCTAAAAGTTTCAACACCCTGACTCAGGTTTCCTACATATCTTGCCGAGCCAAGAATTGAGTCTGAAGGGCGCTTACCATATCAAACAAATCTGTCACGCTTTCAATTCCGTTTTCCTTCAATTCTGGATCCTGGTCAAAGCTATACTCAAGTCCTTTCACGCCGCCAAAGACGACCATGATGTGCTTGGCTTTTTGAGGCTGCATCTTCTTGACTGGCGTTCCTCGCTCCGACGTCCCAAGGATCAAGTCGTAGTTTCCTTCCCAGGGCGAATGCATAAAAACCTGAAAAAAAGCTGATTCAAGAACTGGATTTGACCTCTTAAGAGCTACCTGTCCGAGTGAATTGGCAAGACGAACTTGATAGCCCCAGTAAGTCCCCGATTCTTCGCGTACTTGCGCGGCTGTAACAAGTTTTCCCGTCAAGTAGCGTCCGTCTTCTCGTTGCTCATCATCTATAAAATTTACGTGAACCCTCTTGAAAATGAAAATTTACAAACCAAGCTTGACAGTCACTCTTGAAAACGCAGGAGCTTCTTTTTCAACTCGCACGTCGTGCTCGATACCGCAGTTGATCCAAGATCCTTTGCCCTTCTTCTTTCCTGGTGGTCTGTCCTTTCTCTGGCTTTTCGGTTCATTCGTTGATAGCTCTCGTAAATCAGGAATGATCGAATTCAAGCCTTGCCTGCACAATTCCTTCTCTATACTTGGAAAATTCACTCGCTCGAAGATGATGCGGCGTATCAAGGGGATTCAACAAACCAGCGTACTTCAAATCTTTGTGAACAGGGAAGAGGTCTTTTCGCAGGTACTGAGGGCATTCCAAGTATTCTGAAAGGCGCAAGAAAAAGTATTGATGCGTCAAGAGGAAGGAAGCTTACGTAAAATTCGACCAAGTGTTTGATTCGGGTTTCCTTTCTTTTTGACCCCAGAGAACTCGCCGGTTGTATCTTCAGCTGCTTCGCCGGATTCGTCGAAAATGACAATCTCGTCGACGTTGAAGACCACACACGCACGAGCTATTTGACCAGCTAGATATGTCCTACAGAAGTTGTAATTGAAAACGAACCCGAGAAAGAAGACAAACCTAAGTTCGAAGCTTTGAGCATTATCAAGAATCGATCCCGGTAAAGCGATCGACAGCGTCCAATCTCGTCCAACAGGTTTTTCTTCTTCCTCAGCTTCTTCCGCTGCTTCATTCGATGGTCCGGAAACTTCTGCTCCTTTTGTTTTTCTTTCTTTCTTGCGCTTCTTTTCTTTCGCAAAGGCTTTAGCCGAGTAGAACATTTAAAAAGTAACCAGGGTCTCGAAAAATTGGAAGTGCGGTGGGTGTGGAAACGCGCTCTCGAGCGCTCCACTTCTGCGCGCTGGAAGTGCGTGTTTAAAAAAACCGCGAGCTGGTCGTGGAGCCACTCCCGGCGCTGGTCGTGCCACGCCCGCGATTGGAAGTGCGCGCTTGGGGCTGGAAGTGCACACCCGGAGTGACGCGCCTTTTCGATTGTGCCCGGGCTCGGCAACCTGAGTACAGGGTTCAGAAAATTTTTCTCGATTTTTACTCAGGAACTAAGGTCAGGGTTTTTCACCCAGTCAGGTACTCTCAGGAAAAACCTTTTTTCGACCAATTTCGCAGATAAAAATTCTAATCATTTCATTTTGGCCAGATGATTTATAACCTCACAATCCTGTAATCACAAAATCGCAAATATTTTTGACGATGCAAATTGACCCTTTTTTGTGCTTATTTTTTTTTTATGATTTGATGCTTATTTTGTTAAATTTTTATATATTATATCAAGTTTTAAGAGAACTTTTGTGAATAAAAGTTAGCTTTAGCCCATTAGAAGGAGGTTTTTGCCGAAGTTTTTAAAAGTCAAGTAAAAATTTTCTGGCAGTCAATTATTTTAACTCAAAATTAATTCTATTATGAAAGGAAAGGACTAGTTAAGTGAGTTCAATCTATGTTTATTCAATTTCAGGTTGTTCCGGTAGGTAGGCGATAAAACCCCGAAATCGACAAAAAAGGGCTTCCGGGTTGAGAACGAACTTTTTTTGGTTCGTTTCAAGGTTTTCTGTGGGGCGGGCTACTCACTTTCCCCCTAGCGCGTTTGCACTTCCAGCCTCGGGCGTGGAAGCGAGTCCACGACCACCGCGCGGAAGTGCAAGGGGAGAGGGCGCGCTTGCACATCCACCGCACGTCCAAATTTTCGAGACCCTGAAAGTAACAAGAATGATCTGAAATGAGAATTCAAGCAAGTAAGCCTTTCCTAATTCTTTGATCTTGGTCTTTTCCGTGTCCTCGTCCAGGTCGGCTTCCAGCGTCTCTTTAACTTGCGCTAGATGTTTCTGTTTTCTTTCAAGCCGCTCCAGTCGTCGTTTTTTCCGTTCTTCAGCGTCCTCCAACTTCTTTCTCCTCTTCCGTATCAGCGCGGGCGTCAGTTTCTTTCCCTTCTTCTCCGCCAGTTCTTCTAGCTTTGCTCGTTCCTCTGGTTCAAGGGTTTCCAGATGCGCGGCTACTTCTTCCTCCCGCTCTGCCGCCTCGAGATCTCGCTCTTCCTGGGCAGAGGGCTTTTCTGGAACGGGAATATTCGACAGCTCTTTTAGCTCTTCTTCTGTCGGAATCGTCACGACCATCTTTCTTTTTAATTCAAGCTCTGAAAAAGTAAAACTGGCAAACTAATTCTAATATTTCGAAATAAAGAACTCTCAGAAACAAAATTTTCTATCAACCCTCGATTTCGGATTGATCATACTTTCAACCAACAGCCTCCCAAAGCCTTTTGTGGCTTTGTGTAAAACATCAAGAAGCGCGGTTAATTTTTGGTTACTCGCAAGCGGCTTCTCGATTTTCAACAGTGATTCCTCCGTAGAAAAGTCGAGGTTCCAGCGAAATAAGTGGATCCGAAATAAGAATCGCAGTAACAATAGGCCGATACAGTCGCACAACGCTTCAAAAGTAGCATGAAAAGTGATGAATATATTTTCAAACTGGCTGAAATCGATAACGACAACCATGAAACTCCTTACAGTTGTGTGAGGAGTTCCCGCACCCCTAAAGAGCGGGTAAAAGGTGCGGACACGCAGCAGTGCTGCGGCAGCACTCACTTTCGCTACTTCTAGAAGAAAATAGTAGAAAAATAATCCGATCCTCAGCTAGAGTGAAAATGAGTATTTTCCTCCTGTCAGTCTTCAAGGAAATCCATCATATGTCTGACCTCGCTAATAGTTTCTACTCAACTTCGCGCGAGACAACCTATTCTCACACCTATCGACCCTCAAGTGGATGAATTCCTAACGCTAATCTCAAGAACAATGCTAAGAAAGAGTCAGTAGTGGGTTTTTTATAATATTTTTTTTATTCGTCACAGAAACACAAATTTGCAAATGGTGGTACACGATGAAAGGGATGAGCAACAAAAGCGTCAAACCCGAGATGTCAATAAATAGCAATAAGGCCCGAATCAGATGCCCGATTTTTTGGAAAATTATCAGGATATTAGAGGTTGAACTTTCTAGTCAGGTGGTGGTGAATGAAATTAAGTTATTCTGAAAACGAGTCTGATTTTGGTCGGTAAAGAGTAACATTTTTGAAGTACCATTTAACCTAGGATCGAAAAAAAGTGTCTCGTGATGGGTTTTTCCTTCTCACGTGCTTCCACAGAAAAGTGGAAGCAGGGAGGTCGGAAAGAGGGGTAAGGAAACAGCCGGGAGCGCTCGCGCGCTCACCGACGGCAGAAGAAAGTTGTTGTTGTTTGTGGCAGGAATTCAAGGGGCGACAGGGCACAGTACACTCCTGAGGGTTGAAACTCAGAAGCGACGAGTGTCCCAGCCGGCCCAAGAGCCCGATTTCAGCGTTGAAACCAGTCGGGAGGTTTCATTTCTTGCCAGCCTTAGCAGCGGACTTGGTGACCTTGCCGGAAGCCTGAAAGGTAAAAGGTTAGTCATTTTCGCTTCTGATTAAGGAGTTCAAATCTGTACGATTGAAAAAGAACTCACCTCGGATTTCTCGACGGCCTTGATGACACCGACAGCGACGGTCTGTCGCATATCTCGGACGGCGAATCGTCCAAGTGGTGGGTACTGGGAGAAGGTCTCGACGCACATGGGCTTGGAGGGGGTCATGAGGACGATGGCGGCATCACCGGACTTGATCTTCTTGGGGAAGTCCTCCATCTTCTTACCGGATCGTCGATCGATCTTTTCCTTGAGTTCGGTGAACTAGAATATGGGTTCGAAAATGGAAGGATGAGGGATTGATAGTACCTTGCAGGCGATGTGGGCAGTGTGGCAATCGAGGACTGGGGAGTAGCCGTTTCCGATCTCACCAGGGTGGTTCATGACGATGACCTGGGCGGTGAAGGTCTTGGCCTCCTTGGCGGGGTCGTTCTTGGAGTCGGAGGCAACGTTGCCTCGTCGGATGTCCTTGACGGAGACGTTCTTGACGTTGAATCCGACGTTGTCACCGGGGCCGGCTTCGGGGAGAGACTCGTGGTGCATCTCGACCGACTTGACTTCAGTGGTGACGTTGACGGGGGCGAAGGTGGCGACCATACCCGGCTTGATGACACCGGTTTCGACTCGGCCGACTGGCACAGTTCCAATACCACCGATCTTGTAGACGTCCTGGAGTGGGAGTCGGAGTGGCTTGTCGGTGGGTCGGGTTGGTGGGATGATAGAGTCGAGGGCCTCGAACATGGTCTTTCCGGAGAATTTGCCCTCCTTCATTTCCTTGTTCCATCCCTTGTACCAGCTCATGTTGGTGGATGGCTCGATCATGTTGTCACCGTGCCATCCGGAGATGGGGACGAAGGCGACGGCCTTGGGGTTGAAACCGACCTTCTTGACGTAGTTGGAAACTTCGCCGGTGATTTCAGTGAATCGCTTCTCACTAGAAAGGGAAATATGAGTTATTTGGATCGGAAGTGAATGCTTTAATTAAATTATCACACAAAAAGTCGAAATCTTGAAGCTTTTGAAAACCCTTGAAGTCCAGAAAACAGATGATTACCTGTATGGTGGCTCAGTGGAGTCCATCTTGTTGACACCAACGATGAGCTGCTTGACACCGAGGGTGTAGGCGAGGAGAGCGTGCTCTCGGGTCTGGCCGTTCTTGGAGATACCGGCTTCGAACTCACCAACACCGGCGGCGACGATGAGGACGGCGCAATCGGCCTGGGAGGTACCAGTGATCATGTTCTTGATGAAATCACGGTGACCGGGGGCGTCAATGATGGTGACGTGGTACTAGAGAATTCGTTTGAAGAAATAGACGAAGTGAAGTATACCTTGTTGGTCTCGAACTTCCAGAGGGCGATATCGATGGTGATACCTCGTTCTCGCTCGGCCTTGAGCTTGTCCAAAACCCAAGCGTACTTGAAGGAACCTTTACCCATTTCCTGGGCTTCCTACAAACATACGATTGTTAGAATGATAAAGAAGGGACTGATACTTTACCTTCTCGAACTTCTCGATAGTTCGCTTGTCGATACCTCCGCACTTGTAGATGAGGTGACCGGTAGTCGTGGATTTACCGGAATCGACGTGGCCGATAACGACGATGTTAATATGTCCCTTTTCTTTTCCCATGACGGATCAAGAATCTGAAGTAGAGGAGGATGAGATTTAAGAAAAGAGATATTAGGGTAATACAGACGGAAGAAAAATTAACTAAGGGATTTAACGCGCTTAGAAGGAAAGCCGCGCAGCGGCTTTTCATTAGAAGAGGGAGGGCTAGAATTAATGGGATGGACAACGGTAAAGGATAAATGTTGGGGATTGAGAAAAAGTTCTCTGAGGAAAAAATCTTCGGAAAATCGTGCATCTCTCTGCGTCGCGAATTGAGTTTTGAGTCTCTGTCGGTCTAAACGGGCCGGGGGAAGAGCCCTGGTGGCGATTGAGGTGCGTGGGCGGCGGCGGAGTGCGCTGAATGGCGCGCTAAGCTTCACGTGGCGCGGCCAGCCACAGCGCCGCCCATTCGCCAACAGGCACCAGCGCCACATCAGCAGCGCACAAAACGCGCACTAACGCGCTCAATTCCCACGCTGCCGCCAATTTTCAAATCCACAATTATGAAATTTTACTTATTCACTCTATGAGAACATCATGTCTTTTCCGTCATTTTAAGGGTACCTAGGTCGAGTTTGGACACCCCCTTAAATTATTTTCTGACCGTAAAATCGGATTCTTCAGGTTCTGAGAAACAAAAAACTCTATTATGACCCTATAGATATATTAACGTTTTCACCGTCAAAAACCACTTCAAAGTTAAAAATCTAAAGGAAATGCTAGCGCCTCGAATTTGGACGAAAAAATTTTCATCTTCGATTTTGATGATTAGGGGCTTAAATGAAAGCTTATGGCCAGATTAACATCGTAATGAAGCTTAAAATTGCCCCAGAAAATTAAATTCATCTCAAAATGGGGGAAAATGAAAGCTTACTAAGCAAAAATGCAGAATTCGCGAAGACTAGTCCAAACTTTTGAAAATTTAATTAAGAAAATTTTTGAATTTCATCAAAAGCTACTGACAAAATTTAGATGAGGGTCTGAAATTTATATTTCAGGCTTAAAAAAGGGGGGTTGCTTAGGCAGATTTCTCGGAATTTCGCCATTTAGTTGGTCCATTTTCGGCAAGTTGCCAACTTTGACGGGTTAGATTTCCAAGAAAATATTGACGAATCATTAAAAGCTACTGACAAAAGTGAGATCTAGCTATGATCTTTCAAAAAAGCTATTGTACGAATTGTTAGCCCTTCCAGGTTCCCAAGAATAAACCCTTAAAGTCGGCCATCTCGACCCAGGTACCCTTAATCAATAATTTTAATAATCATAATTTAATTTTAATAACTTTATCGTTAAAACTCCTTCCTCGAGAAATAAATTGATAGATGAAATAAACATAAAATAAAAATAAATAATTTTGCTTCTTTGTAATGTGGAGCATATCATTTCGTTAATCAAAAGATTTCGACCGTCTTCGAAATGTTACGTTAGGGAAAAGAAGATTCTCGACTTTTAGATGATTCCGTAACGTCATTCGAATTACGAATTTTCAATCTTGCCATTAAAATATTTCTCACTAATTAAAATATAAATTTTATCATGTTATTCAAATTCTTGTTAAGAAGAATTCTTACTTTAACGGGAAAATAAGTCTGAAAGTATAGCAACCAACCTTTATTTGTTAGAAAACTCTTTCTAAATTGAGAAAATAGGGTACTTCCGGCCCTTTTTATTCCTGAAATAATAGTGAATCATAAAATCCTCAATTTTGTCAAGAATTGAAGTCAAAGATGATCTTTTATGTTAATCTTCATTCTACGGTAGCAAAAGAAAAGTAGCATTGATTTTCTTTTCGTAAATCGCTTTTTCAGAAGAGCAAACTATCAACGTCAATGACGCACCATTGTGGCTTCCACGTGAGAGCCTGCCTGGCCAGATTCCGATCTGGTTTGATTTTGTAGCGATGAGTCTCCTCCCTGCTCAAATTCCATGCTTGGACTCGGAATATGGCCTGAGGAACCTGTCTAGAAACCTGCATCAGGGTCTAAAGAGATTCAATGAATAGCCGTGCGGGGGCTTTCGATAAACGAAGCCGCAAAGCGGGTTTGCGAAAATAACCAATCCATTAATTTTTTTGACCCTGACTCAGGTTTTTACGGTGTCAGATCTTCAGAGTCAGAATTAGATATGATTGTGGTTTGGTTATTTTCGTCTTATCGAAAACCGCTACGCTGCTTCTTATTTTAATCCTGACTCAGGTTTTCAAACAGGTTTCTGAGCCGAGATCAGAAAAAATTAATGTTTCTGTGAATCTGATATTTGACGCCTTGAGTTTGGAATTTGAAAAGGAAGAAATCGAAGACAAGGAGGAATGAATGATTTTGAATTAAATTTAATTGAAGAAATTGAACTGGGAAGTGCTGGTTTTGATAGTTTCAGTTTATCGTTATTTACAGGCTTTTGTTTTTTTCGCTTTACATGTTCTGTAGTTTACTGCAGAGTGGGAGGGTCTTGCTGGGTCAGAGGTAGATGAGGACGTGCATTTCCATGTTTTTGGAGTGTTTCTTCATCTGGTGCATTCTGAGCTTGGACTTGCTCGAGTAGAACTTGCCACAGTCGGGGCACGTGAGCCGTCCTGGCCGCCCTGAACTTTGATGAACAAGCTGCCGCGGATGATGGTGGTGGCTGGAGGAGCTTCGGCGACAAGGTGTGTCTGAAGGAGAAATATTCATATTTGCAGCCAAGTTTATGTTATCGATGCTGATCTCTGAGTGACTTTTTTTCGCTGGAGTTACGATTGTTACTAAAGTAAAATAACTTCTTAAAATTGAGAAGCCGCTTGCGGTTACGAGTAAAATGAGACGGAAAAGCCGCGTTTTCTCTTACTCGCAAGAGGCAAGAAATTATACTTTAGTTACAATCGTAACTCCAGCGAAAAAAAGTCACATACAGATCAGAATCCCTAATTAATTATAATAATAATTATAATTATGACGAACCATGCTCGCCGCCGCCATTTGTATTTCGCGAAACCTCGAGCTGCTGGACTTTTCTACAGGCAGCGCGGTGCTCGCTGTGCACTAGAATGTGCGCGTGGAGGGAGCCGGCGATGTGGAAGCGTTTCCCGCAATACTCGCAAATGTGCAGCGGCATTGTATCGAACGGAGCTGTTTTTGGGGCTCCACATTTGTATTTGTGAAAGCAGACATTTTATCTTTAGATTGTCATGGTTTAGATGGGGTTCATCTTTCTAGCCGCGCGCGGCTTAAAAAGATAAATCCAGGAAATTATGAAAAGGCAACTTTTTACAATCGAGGTTCCAATCACTAGGCCAAGAAGTAAGTGTTGGCTTGAGTGGGCAATTACGCGCCTAAGAAAAGAGCTTTGTTTATTGAGCCCGAATGTCCCGGATATTTTTGCCTGATACTTTGTTTTTCTAGCGGATTAGAATCGCTCGCTGCGTGAAATAGGGATTGTCTATTTAGGTAGAAAATTGCTCCAAACTGAGCAAATTGGGGAACTGTGCTGCGGCCCAGATTTGGCTTTGAAATGTAGGTCAAATGTCTCGGTGGAGCCCCGCGCCTGTCGTGCCTGTGTTTGCGGTTAAATTTTCCGATGAGGCGGAGAGCGAGCACGGAGGGGCGATTGGCATGTTTTCGCAGGACGAGCTGGACAACTGCCGGGGAAAACTCATCGAATCGATCGATGGCGGAATCGTGGGATCCTAAAACAAGTTTTTTTCTAATCTTATCGGAACTTAATACGCAACCATTTCCTTGAGAAATGTTCTCATGGGAGGGAACTCCAAAACTTGCAATCTTTGAAAAACATTCAAAAGCCGCGTGCGGCTTTTTTAAACAATGTCTTCGAAGGCAGGGCTGTGAACAAACCCTGAGTAAGGATCCTGGAAATCCTTCAGTAAAAAGCCCCGTAGAGGTTTATTTTAATCACGAAGCCGAATAGCGGCTTCGCTAAAATAACATATTGAATCAGGATTAGGATTACTTGTGTTGCCGAGTCCGGATTGAAGACTCCAATTTACTTACTGTGGAATCATTATGGTTCAAATCGAGTTTGGGAGTTGAGAAAGTCGAGTCATTGAATTCTTCCAAATGAGAAGAAACATCGAGCGCGGGGTTGATCGCTGATGAGTGAATTGGCGGCAGTGGGGCTTCAATGACCGAGGTGGGGGAGGAATCAGACTCGGAACTGCTCGAAGAACAGCTAGAGGAGGAGGATACTCGATCCATCGCCAGGCGGATCTCTTCATGTCCTGGAAAGCACTCATAACTTTTTCAAGGATAGCCATAAGCACCTTTTTAAAACGCGTTAACTTTAGGTATGGCTGCCCCCTTCCCTGCTCATGTATTTCGTCTTCTTTGTTGAAAGTTGCTCTCTGTAAACATCTATCGAGTCGTTGATATCTAGCCAGATTCTCTTTCGTGTTTCATGCAACATAAATGCCGTCTCAGCCTATTTCGAGGAAAAAGGATGAAATGGCCGAGAAAAAACGGCACTCCGGCAATATGCGCCTAGTGGGAGCGCGCAGTCACCGTGTTTGAATTGCGCGCAAGTGGCGCCCTGGGGCATGCCGAGCTCTCATTGGCCTGGGTAACGCACACAGGCTGTCTCTTGAAAGAAAAGGGATTGGCGTGGGTTCCTCAATCGATTTTGAACTCGATTCAGAAATGATAAACGTAAGCACATCTACTCAAACTCAAGTACTCTCGCCTTACAGTCTGAAGTTCATTTTCTTACTGTATTTATATGAAATACTTTCTTAGCTAATAAGCTTAGTTTTCTCCCTTTTAAGAAGGATTTTTTTTATAAAAGACCGAAGATTTAAATTTTCTTTGGAAAACAACTTTTTGATATTAGATGTGAGCATCCTCAAGAGTTTTAAAGATGATGAAGTTATTCAAGAAAAAAAGTTCTGATTCACATAATACAATCAACAACAAATTATTTCATCCTCCATTGCACTTTATCAACTTGAAGAGGTCCCATAAAAAAACATTCTGGGAATCGGTGCTAGACTCCTCACAGCTGAGTGCTAAGGCATTTACCCACGATGCAGGTGATTCGTGTTTATAGCAGTCAGCTGCGAAAAAAGGCAGATTAGGCTCCTCCCTCGCATCCTGCCCAGCGAGTACTCGAAATCAGGATCTGCACGGCGTGATACGGAGTTTCAGCTCAGTAGTCGCAACTTTGATAAGATCCAAATCGCTTTCCCAAGAAGCAAAACACAAAGCAGCGAAAGAAAGGAAGCTGCGAATTTCATGGCGCCAACTTTCTCCTTTGATAATGTTTTACGAGTCCTGGGCGAGCGTGACAAATCGTCGGAGAACTCGCTTTTTATGTTGCTGGCCCAAATAAAATTAGTATTTCTTTCCGGCCGCAGTTGCGAACAAAATAAATGGAAGACTTTTTCCGGTCAGCTGCCGGCGTGAAAATCTGGAGCTCACTCTTTCTTCCTGATAAACAAGAAAAATCGACGAGCAGCGGGCGTAAAATCGACGACAGCCGATTCAATAGAGGATTGATCCGTGGGTTTATTGGGTACTCATCAATCACGTGTATAAAGACGAAGATACTGAATACAGAAAAGATTTTACTGGCCCAGTAATCATTGAAGAATTTCTTTCTTGGCTCAAAAACCTGTGTAGAAACCTGAGTCAGGGTCCTGAAAAAGCTTGAAATAACTATCCGCGGATTCGATTTTATTAAAGCGCTCTGAAGACCCTGACTTAGATTCAGATTTCTACACAGGTTCTTATTCCCAGTTTTTATTATTATTATTGCTCTTTATTTGATGATAAATAAATGAGAGTAATGTTGTGGTAACGATTTGCCTTGCAAGAGAATTGGAGAGCAATTATCCGCGGTTTTTATAAAAGCGTATATTAGGCTAGTTTTCAAGTTAAAGAGTGAACAGAAAACGAGGCTTGCGCCGGCGAAAGTTATGAACAGCAGGTGCACGAGGCGAATCTCCAAATAAGGGAATCGGCAGATTCGCGATCACAACATCCCCCCAGATTCGACTGGCGTGAAGGTTGACCGACGCAGAGTCCAAGTTGGTGACGAGAGCGGGTTCGTCGACTTGAAGCCTCCTCGTTGTCTTTTCTGATCAAATAGTGATAATAAATGATTTGTTATGATCTTGCTTGGAAAGGTACAGTCTTTTTCCGGGCGCGCCGCGGATATCTTTCGGTGAACGATGAGGCCGGTTCAGCGTCGGGTCGTTTCTTAACAACGGGGTTCTCGGGTTGATTTTGGCCGCAATAATCCGGGTCCAGGTGCTGTGGACGGTCCTTGTAGAGAATACAGTGATGTCGGTGTACCCAACTGAGCTTTCCACTAATGTCCAGTCGAACTATAACGCCATTAGTGTCCACCACTTCAAAGGGTCCATTCCAAGCGCCCTTGCTCTCCTTCGTTTCCGCGGACATGGGTCTTTTTAGCAGAACTCTGTCGCCTTTGGTTATCGTTATTGGTTCAATTATAGATTTTCCCTTATTTTTAGCGACGAGGTCTGCTTCCGATTGAGCTAAATCGACGAGCTTGTGGACGCGGCTTAGGGTCGCGGCTATTTCAGTGGCGTACGTTTTTGGAGAATCCGCGGATGGGTTTTCGGCCATTTGTATTCCGTCGAACGAAGGTTTTCTTCCGTAAATAATTTCGAATGGCGAGACGCGCGTTGCCACATTTTTGCATTTATTCATAGTACTCACCACTGATGGTAGAACTAATTCCCAACACAGATTTCGTTCCAAGGCGATTCCATATAACGCATTTTTGAGAACACGGTGCGATCGCTCTAGGCATCCAGTACTTTCCGGGCGATAAGGAACATGTAAATTCTGCTTGACTCCAAGCAAATGACAAAGCTCACTCAGCATTTCATTTCGGAAATGTTTACCTTGGTCGCTGCTGATAATCTTCGGGAAATCGTACAATAGAATGTGACGCATAATTTGGCGAGCAGCGTCACTTGCTCGGCACCTCGCAGTCGGATAAACTGACAAGAAACGACTGTATCCATCCATAATGGTTAATGCGTATGATTTACCGGTTTTCGATCGCTCGAGTTGTATAAAGTCGACATAAATGATTTCCCATGGTCGCTTGGCACGGTAAAGGGTCTGCATATCTGGTTTACCTTTCTGCATGTCCTGGCCTTTTCTTTTCAGGCAAATGTCGCAACTTGAGACAAATCCGCGGATATCGTCCAATTGGTCGGGCCACCACGACCATGATAGCAATTCCCTTGTTCGATCAACTCCGGTGTGCGCTTTGTGATGAGCAGCTTTTAAATAGTGAGGAATAAGGCTTTTGGGAAGCACAAGGCACTTCTTTTCCCCCCAGTTGATCGTCAAGGCTTTACTCTCCGGATGGATTTCCAATTTTTTCGACCAGCGTTTGTATGATTCTATGCCGTAAAGACTATCTGGGACTTGCCATTTTTCCGCGGATATTTTGTTTTCTACAAAGTTTTTTACTGTACCTATGAGTTTATCTTCTGATTGAGCATTTTCAATTATCCGCAGCTCCAGGATAGGTACGTTTTCGCTCAGAACTCCTGTGGCAGCTGATTTTAAAGCATAAATTTCCGCGGCGACTTCTTTGTTTTCGAGGAGCATTTTCTGTGGTAAACTTTCACCACCGCACCATGACGGGATATAAATTATGAGGTCGCTCTCTCCGGCCGGATTGTAGAATTTTCCTGCCAGTTCGTCGCTTGGTTTTTCGTTTTTCGCACAGACTTTGTGCCACGGTCGTGACAATATATCTGCCAGGCAATTGTCTTGTCCTTTAATGTACTGAATTGTAAATCGAAACTTACTGAGTCGATCTTGCCATCTTTGGAGCTTGTCGTTTGCCATTATTTTCTTGTCCAAGGCGCATAAAGCTTTGTGATCGGTGAGGCATAAGAATGGCTTTCCCTCCAAATAATATGAAAATTTCTCGATTGTCATCAATAGTGCGAAAGCTTCTCGTTCCGTCGTTGACCATTTCGATTCTGTTGACGACAGTGTTTTCGAATAAACGGCGATCAGTTTTTGTTTGTTGCCGAATTTTTGCATAATGGCTCCTCCAATAGCCACTTTGGATGCATCGCAAACGACCACAAATGGTCGAGAAAAATCAGGAGACTAAATACCTTATTACTTGCCAAGATCCTTTTTGCGTTATCGAAGCTCGCTTGAGCGTCGTCATTCCACTGAAATGGTTTATTTTGCCTGTTCAGCACAGACATTTCTTTGACGATTGAGCTGAATGAGTTGATGGCCACTCGGTCACCAACGTTGCATGAGATCCAGCTTTTCCACCAACCAAGGGTTCCGAGGACTGACATTAATTCCTTCCTGTTCCGCGGTGGCTGCAATTCCTTTATTGCTTTCATGTTTTCTTCTGGGATGCTTATCCCTTCCGCGGAAATTTGTCGGCCCATGAATTTTGTTGATCGCCGGCCGAAATTGCACTTTTTTCCCCCCAGCTTGACGCCGAATTTTTCGCAGGCATCCAAAACCTGCTCCAAGACCTGAAGATGCGTTTCTTCGTCACGGCTATGTAGCAATATATCATCCACATAGCTTTTGAAGTTGTTTTGTAGCTTCACCGTCCCTAGCATTTTTGCGACACATTTGCAAAATGCGTCGCCGCTGTGTTTCATTCCAAACGGCATTCTGATGTACTGATACAGCTTGTCCTTATAATAAAAATTCGTTTTATGTCGGTCGTCTGGGTGGATTTCCATGTTCCAATATGCCGCGTTTATATCAATGTCAGAGAAGATGTGGTTTCCAGTCTCAATGTCCGCAAACAAACAATCTATATTTGGCACGTTCCAGATGTCCGTCTCCTCTGTGAGGCACTGGTTAAGCCCGGACTTGAAATCGGAGCATACTCTTATATCGTCGTCTTTTTTAGGGACAATGACTAGTGGACTGTGAAAACCCTTTCCGTCGGGGCACTCCTCGATTATCTTCCCATTGAGCATCGTTTCCATCTTACCATCTACTTTCGGTTGCAGATGTTTGGCTATTGGCCGCGGTCGAGCGCTTTTCGTTAATCCAGGGATTGTCGGGATCCTCACTTGCTCCGAAAACAGGCCTACTTTATCGTTTGGCCCTTTGAAAACTTTTTGCTTTCGGAAGAGGATGTTGATGAATCGTTCGAAATTTTCACCTTTGAAGATAGTGTTGTCGAGTTTTAGTTCTTTCGTTTTCTCCAGTAGTTCCACCTTTTGCTGCGTCGTTAATTTGCTGACTTCCATCCTAAACAGCGCGTTGACTTCTGACCAAGGGAATAGGACCCTTCGGCCAGAGTGAATCATTATTTCCATTCCATAACCGGCGATTTTGAAGTTTCCGTGCTCGCTGCTTGAGTGTCCTATGATAAAATCTTTGCCGAGGATTGCCGGCAAACCTTCTCTCACGATGTAAAAGCATACACCGCGGAATTTGTAATTTGATTGGTGAGCTTTCACTATTGCGGATATCCTACCAATTGATTTTATTCTTCCACATCCGCGGAATTCCATTGAAGTTGGCTCGATAAACTTGTGAAGTGACGATGGAAGGAGATGCATTGGCAAAATACATTTGTCAGATCCGCTGTCGACCAATGCAGTGACTTTTAGTGTAAATCCATTCATCATAAGCGTAATTTTTGTGTTGAAGAAAGAATTAGTGATATTTGTGCTGCACGATAAGCATGCTGATAATTCGCACTCATTACCAGCATTTATAGAAAAACCGACGCTTCATTTTCCTCTGGTAGACGTTCTTCTTCATTTGCTTGAGCAACGAAAGTGTTGGTCTTCTTACCGCGGTCTTCTTGTCGTTTAGGTTTCTCGTGACGAAATCTGCAGTTTTTGACTCTGCAGTTCCCCGCGGCAAAATATTTGCATATTGGCATTTTTGACTTTGGTTTCTGGCTCTGGCGTGCGAAAAATACTGATCCGCCCTGATTGGTTGTTTGAGAAATCAGGAATTCGACTTTTGTCGCGATTGTTTGAGCATCTGAGATTTGAGCCCATTCATTGGCCATGTGTGCATGCACCGAAGGTTTCGTGACTTTCAATCGCCCCGCGATAATGCTCGCAGAAACGAAGTCGAATATGTCATCCGCGGTTGGAGCATTACTATCGTCGTTTTCTTGTGTGCCCGGGTTCTTTTTCATTTTGGTTCGGCGGATTTGAGCGCAAATAGCGGCTTTAGCCGGCTCCATACGATCTTCTATGTCCTGCGCGTACTTTTTCCACGGTGAATTTTCGTCGAATTGCGTTTCCATTACTCTTGTTAAGAGTTGCAGCGCTGATAATCCCGAATCGTATGTTAAATTTAACCACTCGCGCAGCTCAATCCAAGTTTTCGTCGATTTTGTTGCGTTTTTAAGCCGCGAGTAAATTGAAGGGCTGAAGCGCAGCTTAACCTTTGACGCGAAGATTTCGTGCAATTTTGGGTCATCGGCGATATAAATTTCGTAAATTTGTGTTACTTTGGAAGTGAACACCGATGTTTCATCGAAATCTCGCCCGCTGTATGTTAATTCGTTCAGGGCATTTTCCGCGGATTTGATCGCACTTGCCTGCTCTCTTGTTAACTCGTTACCTTCCACTTTGATCCCGTCGATGGCGATGTCCAGCTTTGCCTTGAGTTTCTTCTGTAATTCTTTTTTCTCTTTTGTGGCTGCTGAATTTGGCGAATTGAGCGCCGTTATTTCTTCATCTAGCTCAGCGATCGTTTCTCGGATCCATTTGAGAGTTTCGAGCGACATGGCGAAAAGCAGTTAGGTGACTCTTTTGAATGGCGTTACCTTATTGGTGCACTCAGATTTCAATTTCGATAGGTTTCGAAATTGCTGAGTGACCTCCGTGAAGGGTTTGATTCCCGCTCAGGATTAATCCACGTGATTGGCTGAAACCACAACTTGCGTTTTCCTCTCGGCGAATTGGTCCACCAAGATGATTTTCTTCCCAAATTAGCTTCTCTAGATGGCTGGCTGGGAATGGGTGTTGTAGGACCGTGGGGTCGATTTTTCCTGGTACCAGTATGTTGTGGTAACGATTTGCCTTGCAAGAGAATTGGAGAGCAATTATCCGCGGTTTTTATAAAAGCGTATATTAGGCTAGTTTTCAAGTTAAAGAGTGAACAGAAAACGAGGCTTGCGCCGGCGAAAGTTATGAACAGCAGGTGCACGAGGCGAATCTCCAAATAAGGGAATCGGCAGATTCGCGATCACAACAGTAACATGCGAGTCGGACAGGAAATTGGAAAGTTAGATTCTCGTGTTGCTGTATTCTGTGTAGACTTTTGTTCGGCGAGAGCGGTTCTTGTTCTTTCTCGACTTTCGCTCATCTTCACTGTTTCGAGCTGGATCGTAAACTGATAAAGACGGCTGGAAGTTAGCATCAAAGGCGTCACCAAGTGAGGAAGAGCCTCCAGAAGAACTTGAAGAAGATGAAGACGACGAGCCATTTGAATTGCGCCTTTGTCGTCTGCGAACTCGCTTTTTCGGATTCTCGCTCGACTCCGAACTCACGGATGACCTGATAAGTTAAGCTGATTCTTTCGAAAGCTGCTTATTTTTTTTACCTGTTGAGGAAAGAAACGACAATGAGGATCAAGAGTAAAAATCCAGCGGTTCCGCCGATGATTCCCCAGCCCACTTTCAAGTCAACAGCTGTCGTATCATCTAAGAGGGAAATGAAGACCTTCTGAAGAAAGTTCATCTACCTACCTTGATACATGAAATAAACAAGAGATCCGGCAACTGTATAAAACACCAGTTGGCCTACTGTCATCAAAGTCGCCTGAAAATATGTCGTTTTCATAAGAATCGTTACAAATACCTTGAGAATATTGCTGAATTTGTTCGCCAGTGCAAATCCCTGAAGAATAATGAGAAATCCAATGCTCGAAAATGTCCCAATAACGATGCTCTCTGTTTCGTCGAAAATTCTCACTGAAAGAATGAAATCAACAACGACAGACTCTTCTTTAGTTTTACCTTCTTTGAGGACTTTTAGGTCAATTATCTCGTCGGGCTTTTCGACTGTACGTCTAAGGCAATCCGATCCTATGTAGTTCATCGAATACGCTGTAAAATCGACATCAACAGTCATTTTCCAAAGTTTATTTCCAGTATCACCAAAGGATTCAGTTTCATTCGATTTCATTTCAAAGCCTTCCAGCTCACACTCTTTGAAAGCATTTCATGGAAAAGACGGTCAAAAATTTATCATTACCATTAACCGCGAGGTTAAAAAGATCATCAAAGTAAACAGCATTCGGTAAATCAGCTTCTTTGCTAAACGCTTTTGTTTTAACTTCTGTCTTTACAACGAGCCGGTGGGTTTGCGCACTCGCTATCTTTCTCGGTGAAAACAGAGTTTATCTAAGATGAGGTGCATGTCATCTGTATCAATCACTGTCCTGTCTGTATCTGAAGCGCGAGAAAAGATAAAAAAGGAAGCATCATGTTCTGACCCGTCAACGTTTGACAAGTGAAGTCGTAATACCTGCCACAACTGCGCGAATTACGCGAAAATATTTGACTAGCGCTAATAATGCCAATATGACAATATGATAAAAGAGCATCCGAGACTTCCTGCACAAACTTCCACAAACTCAAAATTCCGAAAACAAAAGTGTATTTTCCCTTTTTTGTTTCATCCATTTTATCGCGACTTTTGATTAAACCTCAGTCGCGTTTTCAAGTAATTTGCAATATAGGAATTCTATATTCGTGCAATAGTTCAAATGTTCGTTGAATTCAAGCATATTTCTGTATATACTTCACCACAGTATATATTCAGATATACTTTATTCATAAATATTCAATCATAAATCAGCGATTTCGTCATTTGTTCTCAGAAGCAGATTGAAGGAAGTCCTCTAAGGTGCGCTAGAAACGCTCAATTGGAAAGACGAAAACAACCGATTGATTATCACCTGGTGACGGATCGAGTTTAAATGATGGAGCAGTTGAACTTCGCTGTTCATAATACAGTCGCAGGGCTTGCACTTGTACCTTCCAATTTCGCGCTTTTTATCCGCCTTCCTGTCCATCAACCCAAGCTCGATCATTTTATGTTTTGTCGATTGCACATGAGCCTAATCGAATAAATTCATTTTCGAACCCCTTTTTCAACCCTTCTGACCTTGAGTTGTTGAGCCGAATTTAAAAAGAGATTGCACGATTTGCAAAATAAGTCTTCGTTTTCCGTCGCCTTTTTGATTTCTTTCACCTTTTCGATAAATTCTGGCAGCGGGTCGGGAATAGTTAGCATTGCGCGTTTTAGAATCTTTCGGTTTTTCAGAATTGCATTTGAGCATTTTTTCTTAAAATCATTTAGAAAGCGCTATTTAGGGCTGGTCTTGGCAACCTGTTTATAAAACCTGAGTCAGGACATGGAATATATGCAATTACAGCCTATTGAAAAGCCGCAAAGCGGCTTCGCAAAATTATCTTTTCAATCTAGTGTTGAATTCTAGCGGCTTTACGATAATGATCATTCAGCTCTGACTCTGGTTATTTATACATGTTATTGAGCTCACATTTAGGGATCTAATCGTACCTTTTTCGAGATAAATCCATTTGCCAATTGATGCGTTAGAGGAAGTTTGAGCACTTGGGGCGAGTAAAACATCATCGGCTGGACAACTCCCCGTTGAGAATTGCCCATCAAAGTCTGTTGGTTTGGAATCATGTGTGGCAGAGTCATATTCGGAGTTTGTTGGAGCATGGTATTGTAAAAGTACACTGGCGGCTGAGAGCTTCCGTTGCCGAACTGGGTTGAACTGGGCTTGTGAAGAGGATTCATTCCTATTCCTCAGTGGTTGTAGCTCGATTCAGGCTCAGATTTAAATTCTCTACTGGTGCAAGATTATTTTTGTGACACAATGCAGTTCTTGCTGATAATGGGCAACACGAAAATTAAACGGATAATTATCGCGACCCTCTTTATTTACGAGCTGCTGAGGGACTTGCAAGGAAAATTACTCCCCTGCAGATTTATGCGTTTTGGGCCCCACGCGACCACTCAATTCGAAATTTAGATCATTTGAGTTTCTCTGAGCTTTCCTTGGAATGAATGAATTAGTTTTCTTGCTGCTGTAGGAGATTTTGCGACTATTGATGCACTGCATGACATTTCTGCAAACCACCATTTTATGAAATGAATACAACGAAGATCGAGTTCAAGTCGAAGGACGTATATTTTTCGTAGATTTATTTACTTGAATGCATCAATTCATAGTAATGTTGATGAGAAGACGGTGGTCCTCATCACCTCCAACTTTATGTCCTTCAACATAAAATTTGACGCGCTCTTTTCCTTCGCCGACAGTTTCGCTCCAATCATCGTCGAAAAACAGCTCAGCTTCTTCCTTAGGCTTATCGTGCCAACAATCAAATATTTCAACATCGACATCGAAATCAATTTTTGGCTTTTCTCCTAAATAAATAACACACTCATTAGAAATTGTAAAAAAATCTACCGAAAATGGTTTTGCCGTTGGTTTCGATTTGAATTTGATAATCTTGCCTCCCTTTCCATCGCGCGTTACCCGCGCTGTCCTCCAAGCACTTGATAATCAGTCTCCAACCGTCTTTTTCGACATCGAAGTTCATTCCTGATGATGTCTTTTGTAAGATTTTACGAGTTACATTCACCCAATTGCAACAACTTTAAAATAAAATCTCCTTCCTTAATATGCACCTCAGTTGCTCCAGCAATAATCAAAGCCAAGACATTTTCGATGTCCTTTTCGTTCATCTCCTTCCATGTCGAATAATCCCCTACTTCGCTTCGATATCCATAACCAATTTTCGTAACTCCCTCCAGCTCTTTAATATATATATTTTATCAACTACTAAGAATAACGCTAAAATACCTGAGTCATGCTTTTCCAATCCAATAGCTCCAAGAAAACTGTCGAGCTTAGTCGTTGCCGCGGCTTTGCATTTTTTCTTGAGTTCGAGATCATCTTTTGCTTTCTTGGCCTTCTTAATCGCTGCCTTAGCTGCTTTCATCGCTGCTGCTTCGTCTTCAATTTTACATTCGGCGACAGCCGTGAGTAGGAAACGCTGTCTCTTCGCGCAAGTTGAGCACCATTTCTTGCCTTCCCAAACTCCAAGTGATCTAAATTTTTTCTCATAATTATGATAACATCGTTTCAACAAACTCTTTCTCGCTGCAGCGGTCGCATAACTCTTCCTTGATTTCAACTTTCTTTTGCTTCTCAGCACTTTCATCCTTTTGGTCCATATTGGCTTCATCAACATCCATCTTCCGTTTTCCTTGTGCCTTCTTGGGAGCCATTTTCGTCGTTCGTCGTCTCTCGATTTTTTGAAGACTGAATCTAAAATCTCCGGCACGCCCTTTTAAACACCTTTCGAGCCGAGTTCCAGAAAAGGCGGGCGCTCAAGACCGGTCTCACAGACGAGTTTCGGAAGAAAAAATGAGTGTATTCGATTGAAAAGATTCAAATTGAATGATTCGACTTCATTTTCAGAAGTTAATTTTTTATTATTTGCCAAAATAAGACGGCTCGGATAAGATTTACAGACTGATCAGTAGAGAAAGACATTAACTCGGCGGAGTACTACACGAAATACTTGAGAAGTTTGTTTTCTGAGTGTCGACGGAAATGGTTTTCTGGACAGCTTGCTTGGGACTTGTGTCTTGCGCTTTTTTCTTGTGGTAAATGCTTCCGACGAAATCGGGGATTTTGAGAAATATTGGCACTGAGTGGAAGCAAACGACGATCTTCCAGGCGAGATGCGAACAAAGTCCTCTCACAGGGTTGAAATAGTGCGTTTCCGGATCCCAATCGACCGAGAAGAACCAAGCAACAACGACCAGAAAGTTGAATGTAGCTCGGAGGATTACTATTAAATGAAATAAGTTTCAATACAAATTGAAATGCTCGAGAAAGACCGGGGCATCAACTGTACCTTCCAATAAATATTTCCTGAAGTTCTGGAGGCTCTTCTTTGGAATATTCCAGCTGTAGTTTTCCGCCTCTTCTTCTTGGCATCTAATATGGCATTTGACTTTTTGCAGCGCCGCCAGTGAGAGAATTATCGACAGAATTCCCGGGCAGAGAATAAAAAACACCAGCATTGTCCAGAATGTAAATTTTTCTGAAAACTCATCTCCGACGATAACGGGGCTTTTTTTCTCGATTCAGACATTGATCTACTATTAGTAGCAATTGGAGAGAAAAGAATAGTCTGAAACATTCCTTAGGGTTACTTGATTGATTCTGACAAAGTCGCCGTTAGTCCGCAATCCGACCAGAACAAGCAGAACTATTGGCACCACCAGAATAAGGCCTGATAAAAGTCAAATAATCAAAATAAATTAATAAAAATAATCTTACAAGACATGAGTCCAGCGTACAGAAAACTGGTCCCGATTTTGGCGGACACTTTGGAAAAGCAGGTGTTTTTCTTTTTGTTCATCAGCTTGTCGATTTCTCCAAGAAATGTAAGAGACACCAAAATGAGGAGAACTGAGTGCCAGTGGTTTACGAACCAGGCAAGGCTTTCCATTACTATAATCACTGTAGCGAACGTCTCTGTCAGTTCCAGGGCTGTTTACTGTATCCCGGGCTTGGTAACCTGTGTTGGCCTGACTCAGGGTTTCTTCACAGGTTGCCGAGCCCAGACTGTATCTATCTTCTATTTTGAGTTTTAATTTACAGTTAGGGTTAAAGTTAGGAGTCCTAATTTCAAAGAAAATAAGCAGCCCTGATCAATGGAGAAACTACAGAAGCAAGATTTTCCACCCTGTCCAATTTTAAAGAAAGAACACCATCATCAGCCAGAATTCCGCCAAGAGTAGCCAGTTCTCCAATAATATGCGAAGCACAGAAAAGAATCGAACTTGAAAAGGGCTCAAAAGTGACCTCGTGTGAACTCTTACAAGCTTCTTACGTATCCCTGCGTAAGCTGCTCGATTGGAGTAAATAAACATTTAGGGTGACTTTTTTCAGCCGGGCCTGATGGCAATTACTGTCTTCCACAGGGCCATGTGCTTAATTTTGGGCTCTAAAAAGCTGTTGTCTTCTAACATATCGAGATTTTATTAAGAGCCCTAGCTTGATCTTGGGCTGCGAAATCATCAGGTTTTTCCGTGCGTTTCTGTTCTCGCCCTTCCATCTTTCCCACGTGCCTTTTATACAGATTGAGTTCAAAATAAAAGACAGCAGAAATAAAAGAGCATTGAAGCCAAAGAACGCGTAGATGACCGGCTTATCGCAGCCGAATTTAAAAACATCGCCTTGAACTTGCGACTCAGATTGATTGCAAAAAACTGGACGAGGGATAATAAGCTCAAAGGAAGATGAGCTTGAATTGGTTTCAATGATTCTTCTTGGCTCCAAGGAGACGTTATTTATGGGGGAGGAGGAAGAGGATACGACGGTTGTTGATTTTTCACTTGGTTGGAATGTACTATTTTGAGCGAAAGTCGATTCTTGCTCGGCTTTTATATCTTTATTGAAATTATTGAAATCAATTGAAATTAATTGAAATGATGTTGATTCAAGATAAAAGCCACTGACTGTATGTGTCGGACTGATTGTTGATGTGGTTGTTGAACTGTATGTATTCAAGCTTTCAGTTGAGTTTACTGCAACTTTTAGCTTGACTACAGGCTCTGGTACTGTTAGTCTACTCGGGTTGCTACTACTATCGAGTCTTTTGATTTTGCTCCCATCTATGGATATTCTTCCTCTCTGAAATAATATACGATTCTTCCTCATTTAACTATTTTCAATAGCCTCTTTTTTGCATGTTTCAGACTTTTTATTATTCTTCAGGATTAATTTATTGAGCTTGATAGGAAGAAAAACAAATGCTTTACCAGATTGCTCAAGAATTTACTGTTGATTAACTTTAATTCTAGCGCTCTTGAATGGATGAAATATTTTAGAAGGCGCGCGTCTATTTTTAGAACACGAATTTTCTCTACCTGGAATAGTTTATCCCTCCTTTTATAAATGTCTTTCAATTCTTCTTTTCTTTCGAACTTTTCGTTGCTCACGATTTTCTTCTTTTTCTTATTTTGTTCGTCGTTTATTATCTCTGTCGAGTTTAACATGCTTGATGCATTTAGCGAACTCTGTATGGAAGGCGAAGAATTTAAGGGTAGTACAACTTTAGAAGTTTCTAAATGCATTTCCTGGTACTCACTGCTCTCATGTTTTCTCGCCAAATAACGTTGCTAATAACTATAGGAAGGTTTTCCTTAGGCGGCCCTAGGCGATATTCCAAGCACCACACTAACGTGACTGCTCCATTCAAATGTCACTGCCTCAGTACTTGCGGTGCTCTGACCCTGTTTTCCTTCTTTTATAGTCAACCGTTTTTTCCTTCTAAAAGTGCTCAACAGCCTGCGCAACTTGAAGGTTTCTCTATTTCATGGTATCGCTTGATTACTTTCGCCCAATTAGTAAGCTCAAAAGACGGAAAACTTTCTTGCGGTTGCGGAAAATAGCAGATTGGAGTGATTCGGGTGCGATAAAAGGTCTTTTCTTAGGAAAAAGAGAACGCTCTAGTCTTTGGTTTACTTTACATGCGAATTTTTTCTGCTGAAGAAATAATTATTCATTTTGGCAAAATTGAAAATTTGGGCTAAAAAGACTTTATTTAATTACAGTCTTCTGACAGAGTTTCAATCAGGAGAAACGCTTAAGCTTTGGTGTGGAATCGCTTCATGGTCATCTTCTGCTCGATAGCTTCGACAGTTTCAACGAGCTCGCCACCGACGACTTCCAAAGCAATCTTCATCTTGCCCCCAGAGCCAACTCCGACGAGCTTGTCGCCTTCTCGGGTAACAGTAGCCTAAGCAGCAGATGTAGAAAGAAGAGGAATCCGTTCTTACCTTGAAGGGGTTTCCTCGTGGGCCGGTGAGCTCGGACTCCTGACCGATGGTGATGGTGTTGGTGTCGATCTTCTCGCCGTTGTTGTAGTTTCGGACGATGACAACCTTGTCGCCAGAATCGGTGATCTCAGTCACTGAATGAATTATAACAATTATGAAGGAAAACAATGTATTGAACTAGCGCACTAGATTTTTTTCAGATTTCAACTCTCTTTCTCTCTCTTGAACTCACCGCAAGAGGCATTGGCAGCTCTCTCCATAGCAGCTTTGTCGACGCCAAGGGCGGTAAGGAATGCCTCGCCGTTCTCGTTCCGGGCTTTGTTCCACTTTCCTGCAAGAGCCATTTTGTTTCTTGAGATCTTGATCTGTGAGAAGAAATCGCGCCCCACTCGAGTTTATATTTCTTCACGGGAAATCGTGAATCGAATAAAAGAAAATATAATTTATTCTGAGTAAATTTAATGAGACGATAGTGACTCGGATACAATCACGTAAATTTGCCAAAGAATACCGAGTTTAATTCATCCAGGTCAACAACCTTAAAAAATACTGCTATTTTCAGGCTGCCAACATTCAAAGCGCGAGTTGCAATTTGCAAGTGCGAGTTCAATGTCCATAAAGTTTCACAGGTCAATAATAATCATTGATGGACTTATTGACAGTTTGTTATTGTTCTTTGCTCAGAGTTATATCTACAAATATCGCTTCAACTAAATTGGCTTCCAAATTCCATGTTTTTTTCTCCTCAAAAATGCTCAAATTGTGCTCCGATGCATCTAAAATTTAGCTGTGAAACAATTTCAAAAATCAGAGCTTCAACTTAATTTAAGGAGTCGCAGAAGATATTCAGTGCACTTGTGATTTTGAAGTGGAAGCGCCTTTACTTCTTTTTCGTACGATTAGCATTGCTCTTGAGAATTTATTGACAATAGAATTGAAAGCGGGAATATTCAGTATTCGAGGCTCAGAAGCCAGAAAAAAGCGCCCGCTCAGCCGCTCCGCTCAGCTATTTTGAAGCCGGTTTCTGAACCCTGACCCTGGAGATCGCGCCACTCCCCATTGTACAGTGCTTCCGTTTCACAGTAAATGCGCTTGATCTTTTCGAGTATTTACGATTATTTCATCAGCTAGAGGTCAACGACCCGCAACCGCCGCCGGCGCGTGTGTGTATGTCCAACACGAGTGAGAGTGGAAAATTTTTCAAAACGACAGGACAAATATTTAGCGGCTTAGGAGCTTATTCGGCAGAAAACTTAGCGCTATAAAAACGCGGGTTACCGGCCGGATACTCACGAGTTAAAACTTCGTGAATCAAATTTATTAGAACATGGGAAAATTCGCCGGAAACTGGAAACGAGTCCGATCTGAGGGAGGCGCTGCTTTCTTCCTTGTAAGTGCTAACTAGAGAATTTCGTTCATTCTTTTCATAAAGCGCTAACTTTATTAATGATTTCTCATTTATTCGATTTATGAAAAATGCCGAATCGAGGACCTTACTCTATCGTCGGTCGTATTTGCAATGATTTTATAATTAATTTGAGAAGCATTGAGCTCTACCAAATATTTCAGGCTTTTGGCGCTCCCCAGGAGAAGCTCGAAAAGGCTGCCAAGGCTGAGCTCACCACCACCGTCACCTCCGACGGAAAGAACATCGAAATCAAGCGAACCTACTCCCTCGACGGGTAAGTCGGAAACGGCCAAAAGTGACACTAATTTGAGAAGAGCAGCGGATCTTCCCAGCAGAGGTTACATCTTCCGTTGTTAAATTCAAACGTATCCGCTGAAATTTGAAAGATTTGACCGTTTTAAAAGTCTTTTGTAGCTTTGATTCATGAATTTCATCACGTACAAGCTCTAACTTACAATCAAGTACCTTGTAATAACTTGTTTGTTTCAGTGAGTCGAAAGAATCCGTCACCAAGGTCGTCGTCGGCGAAGTTTCCGACATCGTCGGTCCCTTCGGCCAGAGCCACAAGGTCGAGGTCAAGGCCGACGGTGAAGCCGTTGTCGCCTCCACCACCGACGGTGCCATCACCATCCGATTCGAAATCGTCAACGACGAGCTCGTCGAGACCTTCTCCGGAAAGGGCAACACCTTCAAGCGATTCCACGCCCGCGCTTAATTTATTTTTTCTGTCGTTAGAATAAACAGGACCCCGGGTGGGCTCTTCAAGATAAATACTCTCTGTTTGCAGATCACTACAAGCATCAAAGAACAATCAGAATATCGAAGCTACTTTGTTCACCAAACAATATGTTTCTCATAATTGGACTAATCAGTAGTTGAATATTTTGAACTCTAGATTTATTGAAGGAGAGGGCAATTAATTTTAGATCGAAAAAAAAGCTACAGAACTAAATTAAAGTTCGATTCAGGGGCTCGCTCTTTTCGTCGAATGGAGCAGTTCAGACGCGTTTTTCGTTATTTTCGTTCTCAGCCAAGAAGTCGCATACAGTGTTCGCTCCTGATCTAGAGTGAGCCCCTGAAGCAGAAGTGGCCGACAGATGGAATTCGAACTCGCCGCCGGCCATTGCATCGCCCAGTATTCCCAGGTTCGGCGGCGTTGGGAAGTCCATGCACTCGGCTGCCGGGCTAGTTGCAACTGAAGTTGGCCTCTGAATAAAATCACGTCAAACTGTGTAAAAGATAGAATTTGACTCTTGTTACCGAGCGTTTGAGCGGGCCGTCAATGCTGGTCACGGTGATTGTCTTTTTAGAGCAGTTCGAAGGTGTTTTTGGAGGCTCGATCGAGGGTGCTGGCAGCGGCGACGGAATCACTGAATTGCTTGACTGTAGCTGCTGATTATTCGTCACGTTCAGATCATGCAGAGCTTCGACTCTTGTCTGACCGAACGAGTGAGACTGCGATTTCGAAGAGAACGCACGCGAGGAATACGAGTTCAAAGCAAAAGGTAACCAAAATTGATGTTAGTCAAGAATCAAATCAAGATTTTTCAAAATAATAATCTCCCTTCCAACAAAACATTTTTACCCTTCCTCGTGATCTCTGTTCCAAAACCAGCGAATTAACTTGAGCAATTCGTAGGCGAAGTAAATGAAGTTTTTTCCTGAAAGAATGTGCTACTTTTTGACGGGTTAGGAAGATCTTACCAAGAAAGATTCGAGATGGCTTGAGGCTTTGGAATTTGACTATGAGGTAAATTCGGATAATTGGTAGAACAATGTTCACGGAAAAAAGAGAGACGGCCAAGTACATCAGCATTCTCCATCTTTCGGGATAGCCACGCTCTCCTGAAGACCTTTCCAAGGCTGACTCTCTCTCTCTCCCTTTCTCGCTTGTGGCAGATAGAGAACAAGCCCTTCCTTGAAATTTCGGCGAGGGACAAGGTTGGCAGTATCAGTAGCAAAATATAGCAGTAAAAATACAGAATGCATTCGAATAAATAGCCCAGGCACAATGTAGTTCCTTCAAGGACACACGACTTTTTCGAGTTTTTCTTTCTCCCCGGAGAATTCAAAAGGGATGAGAAAAAACATGCCTGAATTTCTAAGACGTCAATGATATCCATGACGACGAATAAGCTCTTCGAGCGGAGTTCTTCGGCACCTTCCGCTATGTGGTCGGCGCCAACTAGTGTACTTTCAAGGCTCAAATTTACGGTACTCCTTGTTGATTTCATGAAAATTTTTCTGAAGTAAAAATGACGTTGGATCTTTAAAGGTACTGGGGAGCGAGTGCTTTGAGATTCCTTTACAGTAGAGAACGGGAAGGATGAGGGCTTGAACCAGTGTGACCATTTGCCTGTCGAGTGTGGCAGATTTGACAGATTCAGCGGAGACGCAAATTTTCAAGCGACGGGGTGAGAAAGCTCAAGCTAACAAACACGCCTTGTTAAGCGCACAAATAAGATAGCACTGTATCACCCCTGTCAAAGGGTCTTTTGATGAGTCGTACAGAGGCGTTGCATCTAGGCACTTTTCGCTACAGGATCGCAAGTACTGTGTGAGTAAATGGTCAATCAAAAGCGCTCTGGTCTAAGTCACCTGGAAAAGGAAGTAAATTTTAATGTCCAGCACAAAAATAAATAAAAACCACTCGGCCATGCTGCAGCCTCGTCGAGTGGTGGTGACCTCCGCGCCGACCCAGGTGCCGACATAGCGGAGAATAATCGTTTACATGGGATATGAACGAACTCCAAACGACTACGCTTGTTGATAATTCTGGAGACGCGCTCTGTCGAAATAAATTATTTGTCTATACTTTTGAATGATTAATGAATCTGCGTTCGGATCCCAGCGCAAAAGGCATACGTTACCGATGAGCAGCATCACGAAGACTCCGGTCTGTCTTCAGTCGAGGTTCGTCACGCATACGTACTATTGGCTTTATCACTTGTCATGGCTAAAGATTGATTGAAAGTTCGACTATCTGCGGCGAGAACCGTTCCTGGATCCTTCATGTAGCTTGACTAAGAAACTGTCTTTTGGCGCGAGTTCACCTTTTCCGTTCTGAGCCGGATTAGCGTTACACATGTGCACTAACGCGATTTTCAGTCACAAATGTCACAACTCGCGCAGAGTGCGCCCGCGCTCCTATGGCTGCCATGCCGGCCAGGATAAGTAGCGTGGAGATGATGACATGGATCTTCGAGCTTTTGGAGAGTTCGTAGCTTGCCCAGACCTGTCTGATAGACGGGCTCATCTTTGGCAAGCCCTTCTGTTTTACTAGCATCGTCTCTATTATTTTTTCAAGCAAAGTAGAAGTCAGAAGCTGCGCGCCAGAACTCAACACCCCCGTCAATCATCTCCTGTTAGCAATTTTTGGTAACAGCCAAAGGTGGATAATCAACTTTCTAAATCTTCCCTCATTTAGTAAAATCTTAATCGAACCGTGCTTCATTTAGCCCGTGTCTTTAATATGCAAGATTGAACTAAGCATGTTTCGCGTGATTATTCATCCTTGATATTAATATCATTCTCGCTCGCACTTCAAAAATGCAGGAAGCAAAGCAAAGTCGCCCTTTTGTAAACAAACCTCTTCAAGATTCAATAAAAAGCCAATAATGAGTTCTGAAATCTGTTTCTTTTAATTTTTTAATTGATCATTCAAGTTACTATTTTCATTCATATTTTCATGAACGCTGAATGCCTAGGGGTTTGGGTTAATGAGTGCACCAAGATGATTCTTTAGCGTCTTTTTTTTTCTAAGATTAGTAGACTAAAGTTGATTTTTGATGAAGAATGATAGATATTTTTCGTTTTAGTTCTTTTTTATAGTTATTTATAGTGGTTTTTAAAGTGTCTAAACTTATTTGAAGATTTTGCATAACTATCAATTATTTGGTTTTTTTTTGATAAGGTTAGGCAGCTGTTAACAAGATTGTTAGTACTTATACCAACGAGGGGATTTGCTTGCATTTTAATTGTCGCGTATTAATGAGCTATTTAGGCTGGGCGTCTTTGCGTGCAATTAAATGTGGCAAAAGGGATCTATGGGGCGCGTCATTTGTAGCTCAAATCTGGCTTCATTTCCCGCAGATTGCTTTCTCTTTTCATCAGTATTCAAAAACTGCGGCTCGGCGGGGGATCCTCTCGAACTCTGTTCCTTATCGGCGTCGCCATGTTGCTTCGTTCTCGTTGATTTCATAATCTCTCCATTTTGATGTTGGCTCTGTTCTCTAGTAAGTTCTAGGTAAGTGAAGGCTATACTGCCCTTATCGCTCCCGCAGGTGAAGAGAAGGACGCTCGAGGGAACGTTCTTGAAATCTGTTTTCAGATTTTCTCTATCAGAGTAGAGTCTTAGGGACTTGAGCGCTGCTTTAGCTCCCCGACGGGGTAACTCTCTGCTCCCTCTTCAAGCAAATCGATTTCCAATTTTTGACACATAAGGCACACTTTTGTTATTCCTCCAAATTATAACTTTTCCATAAACATCACCTGCTTGCACTGGATTATACTGTTGCTATCAACCTCAATCGCTCCCTGGCACAGTACTCCGCGCCCAGTATAAATACTAATGAGCACTTGAGCTGGCTAGCCCGTCCTATCAATCGCCCATCACCTCGTTTTTTTCCTTTACTTCGAAATTTTCAAAGTTGAAATTCGATTGATTTTCTTGAAATCACCATGCACTTGAAATTCCACCTATGGTCGAAGGAAGAAGAATGAAGGGCGGAACATTAGTGGAACAGTATCATTACTCTGTTTTGTAATGAATATTTGAATAAATAAAAAGAAAATGGCGAATAATTAATCGACCAGCGAAAGCAGAAAAAATGGGTTGCGAGTTATCGTAGAAAGCTCATCATCGATATCGGAAATCCAGGAAAGTTTGACGGATAATCAATCTACCATCAAAGGGAAAAAAAAGTCAGCCGCAGAGTTTCTTTGCTAGCACTTAATTATTGTCGGTGCAATCGCAATTAGTTAATCCCAATGGAAAAACGCTCGCTTGCCCTTATTATATAAAATGCATTCAAACATATACCTAGCCATTCCAGGGGTCACTTAGTCTCGCTGACTCAGGGGTATTTATGAAGCTGGAATTTTAAATTTTGATGAAACTATAGAAAAAAACTATCGAATTTGTCTTGTTTCGGCCTTGATCTTCATTCTGTTTGTCAAAAAAGAAAAGTTTATTTACGAGAAACAGCCTTCAGAATACCTAAAACAGGGGTCGTTTACGAGCTAACGACCACTTCACAGCTCTAAATTACTTCAGTGCAAACTGTACCAATTATTCCATTTTGAATTATTGGCAGTGGATTTTCTGAAGATACTGCGTATAATATCACAATAAAAAACCATGCTGCTGTTTGAAAAGAAACTGGAAATAGTCTTATAAAAAATGAGATCGTCCAAGGCATAATGAGGAATCCCACTGGTCTATGCAGTGTCTTCAAAAAGGCATCTGGTCATTTGAAGCGGCGATAGGGATGCGGACAATCAAAAAACTTCATGGAAAAGCGAAAGGCCTGTAAAATGGGGGGTCTAAAAATACTTGAAGGAGTACTGGAACATGTCAAACAAGCAGCTTTGCGCGGCGGTGTTCGACAAGTCGGACATCCGCGACCACAGCTGCCCAAAATGAGTCCGTCACTGGAGCCAAGCTCACTCATTTTAAGATTCACTCCTTTTCAGATTCTCGCCGGCGACATGCGCATTTTTTCCAAGGCGTTGAAATACATGCTCCTCGAGATATTTCTTTTCCAGAGCTTTATCTATCGAGCAGAAGCCAAATCCAGCTACAAGCTCAACATCAGAAAGGGATAGAATTATGACAAAAAATAGAACTCTTTTTCTCAACTAATTTTCATTAAAATCAACCCCTGACTTTAGCCCACCAGAATATGTAACTCAAAACTGGAACGCCTGGATGGCCTGGGTCAAAGCATTTGGAGTGCCAACAAGAAGCGAAGCTCGCCCTCCCAGTCCACAGCTCAGTTCAAAAAAACAATAACAATTTATTTAGTAAAAGAAAGTAAATTCGTTTGAGAACTCTAAAAAAAGATAATTCGAACGGCGCAAAAAGAAGAAAAAGAAATCGCAAAGCCTTGGTTATCAAAGCCGCAACAACTACGATCAAGTCAAAGAAGACCTTATGGTTCGCGCAGTTCGCCGATCGGGTACAGTAAAATTTCAAGTGCGCGTTTACAAAGAAGGATTTATCGGAGCACGACTCAGCCAACGACGACAACGGAGGAAGAAACAACAACTTCAACCTTGACAACGACCTCTACAACAAGAACCACAACTTCAACGACGACTACGTCAACAACGACAACAACAACCTCAGCCACGACAACAACTACGTACACGACTACGTCAGGAAATGTTTTTGGACGAAAGTATCTCCCAAAATTTTGGCATGATATAAAAGATAAATCTTCAAAACTGTCACAAAAGCAACTATTTACGAAGAAACATCAACAACAGATCTAAAAACAACAACTGTTTCGACTGCATCAACAACTACAACCTCCAATATATCCAAAAAATCTAAAATAAAGGGCAAAACTGATGACTCCCTGAAAATCATGAAATTCGGTGCTGCCGAAAGCGCATCAGTCAGAGTCAAAACAGACAAAAAAGAAAAAGTTAAAGAAGTGAAGGAAGAGGAAGAGAAAGAACCTGCGTGGGGCTGTGCTTCGTAAGTATTTAAGTAGATCAAAAAGAAAAGTTTAACATCGATTTTAGAAGCGGCGGTGGAACAGCTACTCCACCGAGGGATCGAGTTCTGGGGGTGACGGAGAAAATGTATACTTGGATTCGCCGGTCGGTTAATTTACAAATACTCGTTGAAAACATTTTTCTAGCTTCACTCCCGATCACAAGAAGTCGGGAAAACTTTACCGTGCGATCGATGCTGTGTCCGATAAAATGCTTTTCTACATTGACTCAGAATATGGCTACACGACCAACTGCCGTCCATCAGAAGAGGGAAGAATTCAGCTCTACAAGAAAAAAGGAATACTTACCGACATAACTCCGACAGAAGATCCGACATTTTTCTTCCAATCTCGACTTGGTTCTCGAACTACTTTTGCTTACGAAGAACCTGACTGGGATTACTTTGAGATTGAGTTTTAAAAACGCAGTAAATTTCAATAAGCTCCTCCTAATAGTGTTAAAAACTCCAAAAAAGTGGGACGACAATAACGAGGATCAGCACCGGCACCGGCGATTTGCTCCTAATAATCCAGAGAAGCAGATCCAAAAGCTGACATACACTCTTCACTGGATTAACGACCAATGCTTGATCTTTTGCCGTGATCACGATGAGCTGGGAAACAAGGTCTTGATTCTTTTTTGTCAATGGAAAGGGTAACGAACTTCAGATCAACAAGTTCAGCCGCCAGGCGCTCCAAGTTCTGGCCCTTTACACAAAACCGAATTTCCGCCCGACAAGATCGCCGAAAGAAAGACCACCAGATCAGTTCCGGCCGACGCCAGCGGGTAATCCACCAAAAAATGATCCCAGCAATATTGATGGAGGTGTACCTGATCCCTTTTTCGATTTCACGACTGCTCCGCCATCTTCGAATGAAACAGGAGAGGATTTATTCATTTTTGATGCCATTATCATTTTCTTATTCCCGAGATTATTCCTATAAATTCCAAGCTAAGCTTTAGAGGTCCCACCAAGCACAACGACAACTACAACAACCACGACGATCACGACAACCACGACAACGTCAACAACCTCCACCGTTCCTCCTGAGCCCTCTACCGAGCCTCCTGCGACCAACTGTGGCCGTGGTGGTTGCCAGAGACAAGCGTCCCTTGCAACCCGCAGTCGAGCTTCAGCAGCGAAAAATCCACTTTCACGAAGTAGCGAGCGACTTAGAAAATTTTTTCTATCCTGGGGATGAAGCTCCTAAGCTTTCTTCCTTTTTCATCTTGATATCGCAAAAATAAAAAAATAAAAACTGATTGTCTTTATCTATCATCCATTTTTTCAAGCGTAGAAATTGTCGTGTGGCAATTTATTTAACATAAATACTAAGTAGAAGCTATCTATTTAATAATTATCAACGATAAAGTTGGCGGTACTGGCGAAGAAGATGCTTTTCCAGGCGATTAGTGGAAATGATTCGTCTTGCTCGGCCGTGAATGTGGTTCAATCTGTTGTTTCCAAGTCGATTCTGGCCGATCAAGTCCCCGACAACTGCATTCAAGAGCACCAGCAAGCAAAGAATGATTTTCATTTTGAAAGTTATTTTGTTTTGATTCCGATAACTGTTGTAGAATGAGGAATATTCAGATGGTCTCGTTTATATTTGCAAACTTACCGTATGTTATATCATGTTTTTCATTATATGGGAACACTCTCATTATTCAGATAAATTAAGTCTAGATCGGGAAGGTGGACCTTACTCATGCTTGCATAAAATTTTGTGTGAATATCGTTAAATAATCAGATATTATCCTTCGCTGTCGTCATCCTTGGACCCTCCGCCGGTAATTAAATCGTGACAATATTCAATTGGAGAAAGGGGTTCTTTCTCTCGTCTAAATTTAAGGCATTGCTTAAGACCGTTGAAAGAAATGGAAGAATTTATTGATTCATAACAATGGGCAGCGAAGTATCGGACTCGGCATAAGGGTTCTTGATTGCATCTGAAATCAGGGCTTAATTAAGTCATCAAAGAGTTGATTACTACCTGTATGATAGAAAGTGAGACGCTTGATCAGCAATTCTTTCTTTCGTGAAGAATGGCAGTAGCAGCATCCGCAAATCGACAGTAAAATTATTACAGCCACGCATCCGATAAGGGCTTGAAACAATTTGAATACCCAGAGCATCATTTCTCGATTATCTACGACAAAATCCTACCGTAAATGAGCGAGTCGACAAGCAATTCGACTTCATCTTGTTCAAGGCACTCTTCCAGATCTATTCCGATGATCTCTTCTAAAGAGCATTCGTCCTTCCCCATCTGGGGTATTTTTCTTCTTCTCGCTTTTCCGCTGCTCTAATTTTTGAATTTAACTTTTAAAGAAATGCCTTGCGAAGGAGTCTTTGTCGTTTTTTTGCTCGTCAGGGATCGATAAATCGACGTTTTACACCAGATCGAGCCTATGGCACCGCCAACTGGCTCCTAATTAATTATTTACAAGTAGTAACCTTCAAGTATTTCCAATGCGAATTTCTCTCTTTTTACTGTTTTTGCTGGGGATAATTGAGAGTTTGAAACTCGATGTAAAAAAAAACTCGTGAAAGAAAGTGACTATTTTTGAGGAGTCTGTAAATATCACCAAAACGTCATTTTACTGTAATGCGCAAACGTAGTGTCCATTCAAAAGAATGTACTCTGCAAATCTGAATGTTAACTATCCGTATTCAGTTCGTACTTCTTTCTGCCAGCTGCGCAAATTCGATGAAATCAACGAAGAGAATTTCATCAAATTTGATATTTCACTTATTTTTTCTTTAATTTTATTCTTTACATACATGTTTACGTACATGTTTCTTTTTGTTCGAAGGCAGTACAGTTATTGAAGCAAAGCGAACAAAGTGTCTTTATTTCTTGACTTTCTTTCGGAGAATTTCTTCATCTTCGTCGGAAGAGTCGAGATTGTACTTCTTCGCCAGGTTTTTTGATGTTGAGCTTTTTTTCCCGAACGATTCCTGAATTAGAATGTTACAAAAGGCTGCGTAAGTTTGATTGACAACAATAAATTCATACGTAAGTTTAGTTAAAAAATGCGCAAGCCTGGATAATTAAATGATAAAACCGGTACACATTAGCGTCGAGAAAAGACGCATAATTGATGCGACATAACAATCAATCACCTGGATTGTTTTCGACTGTTTCTTTGTGTCCTTTCTCGCCGTTATCTTCTTGCCAGGCGGGAGAGCGTTTGCTACTTTTGTGGCCTTGATAAATAAGCCTCTTTCTAGCGGTACGGTGCTGTTGGAGGTGATGTACGCAGCGCACGGAGGTGCGAATCGACTCATCTACAAATAAAAAATTAGAACTTTTATGATACTGAAGTGAATTACCACAAGTTGATAGCTTTGATACTTGTGAGTTTTAGATAGGAGCTTGTCATCAGCGAAAAGGGGGTCTGCTCCGCCGGGAAGAATTGACTTCAGAAACTCGTGGGCAAATTCGATGTCCAGCTCTGCATCGGAATAGAGGACCGATCATTGGGATTTCAACTCGTTAGGCAACAAAAGGATCGAATGCCGATAAATTGAAACCCTTCCAGATAAAGAGGCACTCCCTATTAGATCTGGTTAGGGAAAGAGCAGAGAATCAGAAAGTTAAACCTGCAATTGAATAATCCCGCCACGGCGCTGGTACTGAGGCATTTTCTGAAACGCTTTGTTGAGAATTGAAACAATCGTGTTTATTTTTTTGCGTTTTAATATGCTGTACTAATATTTAGAATAAATAAGTAAAATAGGACTGGAGAAAGAAAGTTAAGAGGTCCGTATGTTGGAAAAGGAAGAAATTGAAAATATTGGGATTGGAGAGAAATAAGGCAACAGTGCTCATTTAGGAAAGATTGCAGTCACTGGGCAAGATCGGGGATTGTTTTGGGGCATGCCTGAAGATGCAAGACGCTCGTTAATAATTTATATTTGGTTGCCAGAAGAAGGATCGGAAGGAAGATACAGAACAAATTGGATTTAGGAGGCGTAGGTGAGAACAGACTCTTGGTTTCCGCGAAGCATGATGCATGGCGGCAGTCCGGTGGAGATCGTCTCCAGCCAGGCGAGGTACAGCGGCGCAGGACACGCTTTTTGTTTCACAATTGGCAGCGTGCAGACGATCAAATCAGCCTGAACAGAGTCATTAAATCACTCAGAGCTCGACTTTCACCTTGGAGGAGTTTCGCTTCATGATTTCGTTGATGCGGATTTGGCGCTCAGTTTTCTTCTTGAACTTTTCTAGGTGATCTTCGGTGATTAAGTGGTCCGAGTCTTCGTCCTCGTCGCTGTCGTCAACTTTGAAGGGGCTGATCAACTCACCAAACTAAATAGAAGAGAATTCAAGACGCGAATTTCAAAAGAAAGAATTACCTTGTCTCGGCCCTCTTCACTCGGCGGCTTATTCAAATCCGTGATAACATCGACTTCAGCTTCGATCCGCAGCTTCGTCAAAAGCCGGGACAGTTCCAGTTTGTCCTGATCGAGACGATCCTCTTTACCCGGCGTGAAAATGCGCAGCTTGGCGTTAGACCAAAAGCGACGTTTTGTGAGGAGGAAGGGGATGAGAATGGTCAGTCCACCGTCGTCGAACAGCCAGTAGACATCGATAGTTCGAGGCTTTACTTTTCCGTTAAAGTAAGGCGTAGAAGTCGCAAGAGCTTGCTTTTCTTCCGCGTTGGCACTGCAGCAGTCGAAATACTTGAGATATTTTTATAAAAATGTAAAGAAGAGCTTACAAGTATGTACAAAAAAGGAGTTTTGATTGACTTACGGATTTCTTCGACTTGGTTGGAGTTTCTCCAACTTGTTCCTCAAGAGTGAATGCCTCAGCATCATCTGGCAATCGTAGAATACCGACTCCCATGCGGAGGGTAAACGCATCGTGGACCATCGCATAATAGGAGTAATGATCAGCTACGTCTCGTTTCTTCCAGCTGTGCATGAAGCCCAAAGTGACAACGTTCGGGCGCATTTTTCCGATTCCAGCAGCGGACATAAGAGAAACTGCACCCTGGCAAACGCTTTCCGCCTAAAAATGATTGAATGATGCTTTCTGATTTAAAAATTACCTGAATGGGAGTGTAGATCGCCTTGATGTCGGATTCATCAAGTTTCTTCTGGTGAGTATTTTCAAAGACATCGGCTCTCTTCTCGCAAACATGTCCAAGGAGGCAGATTCCAGAGTCGCGGGTCATTTGAGTGCAAAGATTGACAAGATGTGGCCTTTTAGTCGGTTCTCCTGAGAGGCAAAGAATCTGCGGACGATAGTTCTTGATGTGATCTTCGACGCTTGCCAGTTTCTGCACGTGGTGCATTGCCTTAACAATATTGATAAATCTGCTCTTTCCGTTAAAATATTACCCGCATGTAAGTATAGGCTGGACCAGTGGAGCCCCAGTTGACATCAACATCACGGTGGTCGATCCACTTGTAAAGCGCGGCAACGCAGAAGAAAGTGACGAGAGCGGCCCACCAGTTGGCGATGAACATGATTACTACGCAGAGAAATGACGCTATAAGAGCAAACCACTTGTTGTAGTACTGAAATCATAAATAAGAATTGATAAGAGGAGGGCAAGTCAAGAGCTTACTTTGAATTGTGGTCTAAAGCCGGGTGAGTTAGCCATCGATGCAGAAAAGCAGGCATAGTTGATGAGACAGTATGATGCGAGGAAGAAGTTGGAAATGATAGGCGCAATTGCATCGAGCTTTCCGATCAAAATAAAAGCCAGGGAGATAATGAAAGTCAGGTAATAAGCTCGTCGCGGTTCGTTTCCAGCGCCAAATCCCTTGGCAAACCACTCGATCTTCGGGATCAAGTTGTCTTTTCCCAGCGCTTGGAAGACCTTGGGCGCGGAGACGAGGCATGCAAGGGCGGAAGAAAGAGTCGCCGCGAAGATGCCAGCAGTGATCAGATGCTCGTAGCCGGAGACTTTCGCCATGGTCGCGTAATCACCCTTCAATCCAAAGCGGCATTCTATTCCCGGCTCCGGGCAGCTGTCAATTATTGTATAGTTCCAGCCATTAGCACACGCGGCGTCGGAATACTCGTTCACTGAGCACGTACTTGGCCAAATCCAATCGTCAAGTTGCTGTGTTCCATTTGCCAAAGTCTGACCAAAGTAGCCAGGAGCGAAACGAGTAGTGTGGAAACCAAGAAGGAAGATAATTCCAATGTAAACGGTGCTTGTGATCCCGATGGCAGCGAAAGTACCCTTTGGAATGGCAGAACTGGGGTCTTTCAGGTCGCCGGAGATGTTCGAACCAGCGAGGATTCCCGTTGCGGCGGGGAAGAAAATGCTGAAGACAGTGAAGAAATTTTGGCCGGCGGAGAACAGTGGCCAGAGATTATCGGCGCCAATAGCCGAGTTGAGACTGAAATGCCCTTGCGAGTTCAGTTTCTTCAAATGGAGCGCTTTGTCGGTCAGATTTTGTGTTGGCAATTCCCATTGATCTGAATACGTAGTAGAAGTGAAGTCCTTGGGGATGAACACGCCGACGATGTAGTTGCCAATGGCGACAAGGAGCATGACGAGGAGGACGCCCTGCGCTTTGGATTCCCAGGCCATTCCCGCTTGAGTAATGCCAAGGAGAACGACAAGAGTGATCGCGCCGATGATACGCACGTCGTTGTCAAAGTCAACCATGATGATATTGTGCTCGCGGAGCAAGTCGCGCACAGTCTCGCCGAAGCCAACGATGTACATACTCACTGCCACTGCATTTGCGAGCGAAAAGATGACGCCAATACTTCCACCGAATTGAGGGCCAAGTGATCGCGATAGCAGAAAATACGCGCCACCTCCTTCGACAATTCCATTTGTGCAAATCGCAGACATTGATATCGTCGTTAAAACTGTCACGACTGAAGCGAGGAGAACAATTCCTATGGAAGCGACAATGCCAGCTTCTCCTACGATCCAGGACATTCGGAGGAAAAGGATGACGCCCCAAATGTTGAGTAGGCAGCGAATGAGGACGCCTTCGATCCAGCCAAATTTGGTGCTGTTGTTGTTGTCCTCGACTACTTCGTTTTTGATGGCTTTGACTGTGGTGATGGTTTTTCTTTTGACTTGGATTGTCTCGACATTAGTGTTGTGCAGATCGTCCATGGTGGGGCGGTTGAAAAGACTCTGCAGCTTGTCCGGCTGGCGGTAGAAATGCTCCCTTGGAATAACTTCAAGCGTTCCATGTCCGAATGTACGAGTATAACTTCCAGTCACAGTTTTCTGGCACTCCAAGTCTTTCTCCGTGCCAGAGTCAATTCTCACCGTCTTGGCCTTGAAGACTCTGGTCCCCTTGCTCTCCATTTCAACCTCTTGGCTGACATGCTCTTCATCGGTCATTGTTCTCCTGAAGCAAAAATCTCGATCTCAGGCACACATCGTCAAGTTTACCGAAATGGGGGAAGTCTTTACAGTCTCTCTCTCCAAAAAAGAGGTGCTTCGACTTGACTGCTGACCGAGCTCAGACGAAACTCTAAAAGGAAGAGAAAAGTGATAAATTGACACCCTGCTGCGAGCAGCATCGATTTCGGTTCATTGGTTTACCCAGCCTTGATTTGACCATGAATCCTACAGTAATTTAATGAAGAAACAAATATCAAATGCCACTACAGTGTGTGAGTAAAATGAACTCTTGACGGTAGTTAAATATCTAGCTCGTTTTATTTTTAATCTTGGCTAACAGCTTCTCTAGACGCTGTCTTAACGCCAGAACCAATTTCTAATGTGATTTTTTCCAAAGCCAGGTTCATATTCAAACAAACTTCTTACCAAGTTGACCTTAGTAGCTAATTACTAGTTGCTGCACTGACTAATTACTATTGAGAAAGAGCTGTCTAATTCCTGTAGATTTTGTACATCGTACGGAAAATTAACAGCTTAGTCAAATCATTTAATTGCCTACTTATTTCCAAAGATTACCACTGGTTATATCACTACCAGTTTCAAGTCTAAGAGGATTAATCAAAAGATTTAATAACCCGGTGACTTTGATCTCATCAAGTCGAAATAGAACGAGTTGTGTAGACTAGTCTGAGCTCGTTTATCGCTAATTCTCTTATGAAACAAAAGATTAGGAATCCGCTCTCATGCTGCGCAATAGATTTTCAACACAGCAATAAATCTGTTTATTGCCGGGATTTCTGCTGGAAGAGAGATTTATCTCTAACGGGCTAAATGGGTTTGATTAGCTCTAAAAGAATAGTAAATAAAATTTACTGAAAGAGGCGATCAGAACGGAAGTAGAAAAAAGAGCAAAAAAAGGTAATTTTTTTTATTAATTTAGCCTCCAAGAATAGCTTTTGGTTATTTGGAAATAAAAAGAAATAAATAATAAAAGTGAAGGAAAAAAATTCTAAAAGAGTAAAACGAGGATTCTTAAAAATAACATACGATTCAGGCGGCGGTCTCTTGATTCAAGTCTAGGCGCTGTCTCAAGTTGCTAGAGCTGGTTCTCTCTCACTGCGAGCTCGACCTGGGGGGTTTTTATAATTTCTCCGAGCTGAGTCAGTTGATGATGCCTTGAGAGCTCAAATACTCTAGTTTATTATCCAAAATCGGAAAATTCCTCAACTGTGCCATCGATTTCTCTCTGACTCTCCCCGCGCGCCTAAGTAAAGTTTGCCAATGTAACCATAAAACTCAAGGATGGATGAAGCAATGGCCATTCATTTCGTCATACTTGGCTGGGCGAAAAACTCGAACACGTGGAAAACTTTGGAGCTTATTTTCTCATAACTGAGTCACCTGGGAGGAAAATAACTATCGGCCCTGCTTATGAGGACTCATAAAACGCTTCGCATCAAAATAAAGAATGAAAGGATCCAGTTAATTCCTCTTAAACTAAGAGACATCTGTCTCTCTCTCTTAAATATTCCGTGCTTTAGTTCAAGATTTATTCTATTCGTTTGCCCGGATATCCTTAAATCTTTTGACAAATAAGATAAAAAACTCTCGATCTACTGCAGTTCAGGGAGAAGAGAAGGCCTAATTTTCCTATTCTACGAAGGGTAGTCAAAGGGCTGACAGCTATCAATAACTTGGACTATTAAAATTATACAATGGCTCGATGGAATATCAAAAATCTGGATCAGACTGGTTCGAAACACTGCTTGTTTGTATTACTAATTCTGATAATCAGAATTTGTGATTTTAGTCTTTATGATGAGAAGCGGAAATTCCCAAAATTTCGGGATTTTTCCAAACTTTCTGGTTTAATCATGAATTTCGAATTCTCTCTGGAAATACTCCAAGATTGATATCTACTCTCTTGAATGAAAATGAAAGGACAAATCCAATCCATTCAATGATGCTTACGATTGTTTCGAGTGTTGTATTAGGAGCAAGAATGAGCTTTTGTTCATTTCAAAATTGTCATGCACCGAATCTATCATTTGGAGATGGAACGAAAGAAAACACAATTTATAACATTATTCTATACAATTGGTGAGTTTATTGACGCACGTCAGGAAGAAAGTGGAAAAATAGTTTTTTTTGTTCAGTTTGTTTTTTATCCTTTTGATAGTTGATTTCATATTCTAGTTTTATCCTTCTTTTTTTCTATCAATTTCGATTGTTGAACAATCGTATCAGTTTTATGGCGGCGAAGATAACAAGTCGAGAATTCGAGAAGCACTGGCTTCTTATAATGTTTTGTTCTTCAGTTCGTAGAAGAGACTTTTTCGCGCAAATTTTATTACAGGGCTTTTATTGGGGTCGCAAATATTACTAGTTCTATTTCTCGTAAATAAGGCTTTAGTTTTTCTTTGACCCATTCCTTGGCGGGCCGCTTTGTTCTGATCCAGTGTCCGAGCTGATCAAATTTACTTCAGGGGACTCCTCCTTGATTTCATGGGCTCGTTTCGTCTTCTTTTTCCTCTTTAGCGGCGTCGAGGCATATCTTGAGACATGTTCTTCGTCAGAAGAAATCACCATCGTTCCTGTGCAGTTTCTGTTCTTCAACAATTTCCCTTGTCGAACTGGTGGACAAGATCGCGATCCGCGATTCTCCTTGTTCTGCTGCCACCTTTCGCGTTTGGAGGTGCCTGGTTGCATGTTGATTCCAGAGTCGCTTTCTTCTTCCGAACTGCCTACAAGCTCATTCTCCACTGGGAATAATGACTGCGATCTATCATCTGACCCCAATCCATTTTCAGATTCCGAAGTGGTGTCAAACGGATTTCGAAAGTCCAGCTCTCCTATTTGAAATTTCTTTTGTTGATTTATTTTATTATCTGAAGTAGTTACCTAAATCGTTCGGTTCATCCATCATGTTGTCTTTATTACAGTCTCCTTCTGTCGTGAGAGGCAATTCAGGCGTGGGAAGGACAGATTGAGCTGGGAATTCCATCCTCGAAATGGCGCGAGGAATCGAATTGTCCAGACTGCAGGTATTCGAAGCTATTGGCTCATCGAAATTGTTTTGAAAACTTAGAGAGGATTTTCAAATGCTCACAACTAAAAGTTAATGAAGGGTTAATTGATAGATCGTTCCTTTGATTCGGTGTTTCAGGAGAAAACAAAGCGCCACTTAAATTTACTTCTTCCACAGAGTTTTGAGAGAGCTTCTCTGTAAGACCGTTCAGTGAATCGTCTCCAAAAGAGTGTGGCTCAAACTCATTGATGCTCAGATTCACAGGCTGAGGATCATCAACCTGACGATCTTCGTCGCAATTATTTTCAGTATTGTAACGACTCAGAAGTTCTAGCGCAGCGGGCGGAGGAGAATCATCGAGACTAGGAGGAGAATCCTCCAGACCAGATGGGATATCTGGAAGATCGCCACCAATTTCAGCAAGGCTTTCGTCTGGAACATGCGGCAGAGGTTCATCATCGCTAAGGTCCACATCGAGAAAGTTGAAATCAGTCGATGGTCCAGGCTGATCGCGAAGGGTTGCTCTCTTTTTTGTCTTTTTCGCGCTATTTTTTCTTCTTGGAGTTTTTTCCTTTGGCGTCCGTTTCGGTTTTGGTGTTCCTGATTTTCGTCTAGGAGTCTTCCATTCTGGCTCAGGGGATGGCGGCCTATGAAGTTTTTTATACTGTGCAGTAGGAATTGGCGTCGGTCCGAGAACAGGCCAAGCTGGCATTTCGTAGTTGAGCATTTTTCTCCATGTGGTTTTACGAACTTCAGGAGATTGACTAGTGATTTTGGCCATAAAAGTCTCCAAGGTCTTTTCGCCTTCGAGTGCTTTCTTGTAGCTCTCGTATTCGCACTCGTACATAAGATAGAGAATTCGACCGTTGTGTTTTCTTCCAGTTCGACCGGATCGTTGAGCATTTCGAGTTTGGTTCAAAGAATGGTCGTACTGAACTACAAGATCGCAAGCTGAAATGTCCAGTCCCTCTTCTCCAATAGACGTCGCCGCTAGAACATTAATATCTCCCTTCTTGAACTTTTCCAGCTGCTCGACTTGCTGCTTCTGTGTGATCTTCTCGGCAGTGACTTTTAGCTTCGTAGTATTGGCTCCGTGGCCAACGAAAAAGATGCACGAACATTATTCGAGCAATTCGCAACTAAATATCTTCTGATTTCTTCGACAATGCTCCTGTCGTTGACGAACACGAGAGCTCTCTTTTTGTAGCTTGTGGCGGCATCAACAAAGTACTTTTCCAGTTCAGTTGCTAGGTTTTTCAGCTTCTCGCTCACTTCAGTGTTGCCAGGTTGTTTGAATCTGAAGATCGTTTTCTTCAATTCTGCAACTGCCTTGCGATTGATGTCTTTCCAGACAGATTTCTCCTTGTCCGTGCAGTTGTTTTCAAACAAGTCAACCATCTTGCCCATTCCGAATTTTCGCAGGGCCACCAGACAGGCCACTAGTTTCGAAAAATTCTAATAAAATTATTAGTGCTCTTATTCTTTTTTCTTGAATCACACTTACTTGATACTTGGGGTAATAAAATTTCCAGTATTGGAGGTGTTTTGACCTGTTGTACTCTTCTAACAGACCGTAGTTGCTGACGCTCGCTATATTTATATTCAAAAGAAGCTTTCCCTTCTGAATGGTCTTTAAGATCCCGTCTCCGATGTCTGAGAGAAGGCGGAGGCATGTCAGTTCGGTCTTTGTTCGTCTAACAATGATCTCATCGATTTGGACGATATGTTTTTTTATTTCTGGATGCGAGGCTGGGTAGAACACGATGTCCTTTCAGGGCTCTTTCTTTGATTTTCTCCGAGTTGAATAAGCTTTGATAAGTCATTTAGGAGCCCCTTTCCTGTATGAATAAATTCTCAACCACTTTGTAAAGCTTGTCACGCTCTGGCGTAGCCGTCAAGCCAACGATTCTAAATTCATCCGTTTCCGCCTTGAAATTGGTAATGACTTGGCTGTAGGCGTGCTCTCCAGTCGCTCTATGTGCCTCATCCACGATGACGAGCTTGACTCGATTGAACTCGATGAGTTTTTTTCCAATGTCGCTATTGATACACTGGGGCGTCGCGCAGATCAGCCGGCACTCACTGTACATTTTCTGGCGTTTCTTATCCGACGTATTCCCTGTGATGAGGCAAGATTCTCGCTTCGAAATGCCAGCATCGCGTGTGATCGCCTCCTGCTGCTGCTTTGCCAAGGGTTTCGTCCAAGCTACGAATATTGCCTGCGAGTTCGGATGCCAGTCGAGGAAGTTTCGGATCACTGCAGCTGCCACTAGAGTCTTTCCAGCACCAGTAGGAAGGCACACCAGGCAATTGTTCTTATTAACAAAAGTGAGGGGTATTTCTTTGATGAGAGTTACCTTCAAGGCTCGCCGTGTACATTGCTGTTGATAAGGCCTGACAGGGAAGTCATTCGGAAAGACAAATTCGCGCTGCTCGGCACTGTTAGCCGATTGTTGCTGCGTTGGCGAGACTACTTGGGTCGCCCAAGTAGTGATTGGTACTTGCTGAGTCCCATAACGCGTGTAAGTATTATGGAAAACGCGGTCCGACATCGTCTGTCTAAATCTATTCCGGTATATAATATATATAGAATATACGGTATATTCTGCCGTACATAGAGAAAAGAGACAAAAGTAAAATTTACTATCTTTGTTTATTCAACTGAAGCTTTTTAAAAGTCAGGAATGAACAGCTTTCAAAATTCTTTCTTCGATTTTCAGTTTTTCTTTCTTGAGTTTTTGACGCGCGTGAATCGTGTTAGCAACTCCTTTCTTTTTAATAACAAGTGGGTCGACCATTATCAGCTTTTCAACGAGTCGTAAGACACTAGATCGATACTTAAGAAGCATGGAATTAACGAGGAGTACTCTACCTTTCATAAAGTCGAGGATCATCTGTGTTCAACGCCGCTAGAACTGAATCCAGTGCGTGGTAGTGATAAAGACTTGTTACATCTGATGAATGAATCAGCATTTCTTCCATAAAACTGAAAACAGAACATAGAAAATTATCTCCTCATTGGTTGCCTCACTTGATTATCCACAATCGCTTTCTTTTCGTATTACTGTGTGCCCAGAAAAAGTCGATGAAATCTGGCACCGAATCTGAGAAACTTTCCATATGAACCACACTGGCCATCATCGTCTGATACATTTCATGCTCTGGCTTGATCATCAAATGAATCGCTCGGGAAAAATAGACTGCGACAGCACTTTTTAGCGGTTTTTCTTTTACAAGATTGAAAATAAGCATTTCTTTTTTGTGTCACTTTGATAAATGAAAGTAAATGCGATTTGAATCTATTCCTGGTTCGAGAATTTCCTCCAAGAACAAGAAGAATGAAGCGATAAGATTGAAATTCGACCAGCGGTAAATAATCAGATGATCTTTAATCCGGAAGAGGGATTCTAGAGCAACGCTTCGAAGCTTGTCGTCTTCAAGAGTCAATGCCATGATACAGAAACTGAACGCTCCTAAAATCTGTTGAAAAATCAATATGTAGATAAAGAGCTTACCAGAGCTTATCAGGAGTTTTGGGTCAACTTGAGCATCTGCTCTCACCAAATCACAAAGAGCAAAAAGCATGAAGGCAGGATCATAAACGCAAGAATCATCTTTCTTTCCAAAATTAATCATCGTTTTTTGCATTCTTTCTCTATCCAAGTTCTCCAAAAAGGCGCGGGAATGATCTGTAGTCAAAATTCTAGACGATTCGTTTGATTCGTGGCTTGAGCTACTTGATGAGCCGAATAAAAAGGGACGATGGCGGTAGATGAGTTTTGATCGGGAGAAAATTTTGTTGATGAAAGAGTTGATTTCTCGGTCCAGTGGGGAAGTCGAACAGGTATAAATGCTTTGAATGGGTTTATGAAATTTTCACAGAGCAAGCATTGCTTTTGCTGAAAAAAAGATAAACCATTTCCTAAGAGACAACTTGGGTAACTCTTCCCAAAGGTCCTCTTCTTCTCCCAAAATCTGCAGCACGAGCAATATATTCATCCTCCCTTCTTCGGATAGCTCTTTATTCCTCAAATTCATTTCTTTCAGTAGTTCCTTCGCTTCTTCATTATCCATCGCTTCGACTTCTATCAATGAGCAGAGGATCTTGAGTTCATTCAAATCATCGTACGATTCCATCGCTAGTTTTTCTTTCAACCTATTTTTCGTCAATTCTGTAAATTCTTGAGGAAGTGTCTTGACTCGCTCGAGAAAGCCACCGTTTCCTAGAATTTGACAGATTTGCAGCTCGGACATTTTACACGATTTGGAAGGTTTTTTCAGTGCGCTTTCAAGAAGATCTGCCGTTTGAATGGAAATGGAAGGGTTAGAAATCGCCCGAAGGAGGAGTTTTTCGGACCAAGACAAGCAGGGCTTAATTCTATTTCAGAAAGAAAGACAATTTCAATGCCTACCTTTGTGAATTCAAGTAGCTCTGAATTTTCCAACAAGCATTTTTCCAGTTCGAAAGAAAACTTTTTCCCTTCAAAAGCTCTCTTAGACTTTCCTCAAGTCCGGTAAAATTTCTAATGTGCCGAGCCGCCAAGAACTTAGCTTTCGTCGATGAGTCGCTTTTTCTCAAAATTGCAACGAGCAGTTCTATGGTTAGGTGATGCGCTTCTTTTTCAAGTATTTCTTCGTACTGGCACAATTTCAACAGCTCATAGTTTTCGAATTTTTGGACAATTGAAGGGTCTTTTTCGTATAACACTTTTAGAAATTCCTTTGGCGCAGAAAATAAAGATTTCTTGAGCAATACGTCATTCGATAAAATCTCCTCCAGTCGCTCTTTTCTCAAGTATTCATGAAGTCCTTCAGCGCTAGAAAATTCTACCAGGGTCCGAGTATCAAAATGCTCCCAGAGCGTCTTGGGCGGCACCAATCCGGAGTTGTTGAAATATTTCATGCAAAACTGCTTCATCAATTTGTTCTCCACCAAAACGGTGAATAAATAGTTTTTGGAGAACTCGCTCTTTAGAAAATTTCGCTGGAAACTTGTCGATTCCAGAAGAGAGACGAGATGATGCGCTTCTATTTCGGAAAAGTCTTCGATTAGACTGGCGATTTGGGTGAGAAGAGGGACGTTTTCGTTGGCTTCTTCGATTTTGGAAACATAGAAGATAAACTTCGATAAATTGTCGAAGCATTCCGGAGCTTCGCAGCCGGATTTTCGCTTCTTATTCTTTGATTTCTTCGTTTCGATCCAGAGCTTTTCGCATTTTCTAATTATCGATTCATTTTCTTCGTTGGCTAGTTCTCTGAGAGCATCGAAAATCGCAGCCAACGTGAGTTCCGGTCGCTTCACAATTGACCAGGCGACGAAGATTGCTAAGACTTCTGGAGAAATTGAGTTGTCTTTTTCGATCAGTTTGACGATTATTTTTGGGAGTGGAGAAGAAGGCAAGCGCGAGACTTCCATGGGAGTGTCGCTTGATCGAGGAGAAATGAGAGATTTGAGCTCGCTAAGCCAACCAGCTGACGTTGTATCGCTGAGAAAAATCATAAAATACTCAATAGTCTTTTCTATTTTACCTAGTAATATCTTTGGCGATTTCTTCCAAATTTTTAATCTTTGATGAAATCAGCGGCCAAGAAGGAAAAGCAAGCAGTTTCGAGAGCACCTCACAAGCAGACCCTTTCAACTCCATCGAGCTCTTTTCTGATTGCGCGATGAGAACGAGCTCCGAAAATGCGTTTTTCTTCCCTTTGAAGAACAGAATCGAGTCTCTTCTTTTGTCGATAAGTTCGAGCAAAATTATTGTGCTTCGTTCGCAGCTAGTCATTTTTGAGATGAAGCTCTCGAATTTTACTGGAGCCAGCACAAAAGGACAGAACTCATCTGAACTAAATTTTATTTTTATATTCAATCTGTCAACCACTTGCCGATTGATTTGAGCATCACCATCGTCTGAGAAATCAAGTTTTCATCAATCTTGCGCCTGTTTGTTTCTGACTTGTCGATAGAGAGAAGAATCCGATTGAGCCAAGAGTTCAGCGCCATTCCTTGAGGCAGCAGATCTACTGCTTGATCTTGAAATTGTTGCTGGACGTTTTTCTGCGTCTCTGGATGATCTATTCTTCCAAGCAGCTGGTGAACCCGAGCCAGGAGGAGGGGATAGACGCGGATCAAAGCAGCTACGTCCTAGGAAAGGCTTTTATTGTTGTTTGGGCTCGAAGATTTCTTACTTTATAGCTTCCCATTTTCGATTGCTTCGCTAGAAGAGCCTCAAACTCCTCCTTTTTAAACAATCCAAAAGTTTGCTTTTTGATGCACTCGATTACCGCTGCTGGGTCTCCACGAAGTCGCTTTTTCTTCAAAATGCTATCGCTTTCTTCTAGTTTCTCAAGAACGCACTGGAAGTGAGTGACGTTCTGCAAGTCGATTCCTGGAAAGAAGTACTTTGGAATGAGCTCTTCTCGTCGCGCTAGAATCTCGGCCGAGAAATTTATTGACAACTCGTCGCCTTTTCTGATTGAAGTCAGGAGAGACATGAAGTGAAAGTTGGCCATTTCTTTCTGCAGCAGATCCTGGTCAAGGGCCGCTCCGTGCTCGTGATCCACTGCGAGAAGAAGCATGTTCGAGAGAAAGGGTTTGAATTCGGGAGAAACTTTGAGCCAGAGGCGGCCGAGAGACTTAAGCGTCAAGTCTTTGAAAATCGACAATTTCGAGGTCTTCGACATTTCCTGATTAGCCAGCACTTTCGAGTGGAAGAGTTCCAGCGTTTCGAAGTCCTTTTCAAACTGCTCTGGAGAAAGGATTTGAAGAAAATTGGACAAAAGGGCCGTGTTAGGATTAACGTGCATTCCACTGTAGAGCAGATAATGGTGCACAAGTCGTTTGAGCTCTAGGAAGAAGTTTGCCTTGCCGAATAAAACGTACACAGATGTCCATTCCATGTCGGGCACGACTCCGTAATTGATCAGGGTAGAAATGAGCTGAAGGGCGATCATGTTGACTTTTTGCGAGAAAGGCAGGGAGAGGCAGTTTTCTAGGTTGCGAGGAGACTTGGAAATTTCAATAGCCGCTTTAAAAGGATTTAAAATGCAAATTTCAAAACTCAAATTTCAAATTATTTTTCCACTGAAAACCCTTCCTGGTCGCCCAACATCGTCGATTATCTGCGACAAAATACGCAGCGATAGAATTACTTCATCATTATCCTTCTGTTTCACGGCGTGAATGAACTTTTCAACTGCTGACGCTGTGTACCCCGCTAGTCCGGTGATGTTCGTCTCCAAAAATCGGTTAAGCTGCTCCCGGTTCGCCGTCAAAAGGTCTATTCTTTTCGCGGAAGGAGCGGAATCGAAATCCGGCTCATCAGAACGCTCAGAAGGACGCTTTCGATTCATTTAACGATATTTCTGAGTTGAAAAGCTTGTTAAAGAAAATCTACTTTCTCATTTGGATGAAGAGGGTTTATTTGGAAGCGAGTTTATGAATCATTGGAACAGTCGAACAGGAAATAAGTTAAGCATCGATTTTTATTTGGGATCGACGTGCATGTTTTCGAAGATCCAGGCCATGTAGTTAGCGACACGGGTGTAGAGTCCTCGCCGGCCGCAGCCAGCGCCAATGTTGACGATTCCCTGCAGCTTGTAACCGTCGTCTCCGAGGTCCAGGCAGAATAGAGGCCCACCAGAGTCCCCGTCGCAAGCGGCGCCATGCGCTAGAATCAGTTTTAACAACCAGCTTATCAAGTATAAAAAATCACCTGAAGAAGGAATGGAGCCATATTTGCTGGGGTCGTAACTGCTGTCAGCCGTGCTTCGCCCCGCACAGAGCCGATTCTCCATGCTTTTGAAAAGAACGCCAATTTCTAGCTCCCGCTGATTAAGTGTGCATTCGTCCATCGGAAAAAGGCGCACCAGAGCTTGCTGCAGAAAATTCGCTCGATCACTCTCTCCATAACTGCTCGAATAATAAAGACTGTCTTTCGCAGAGGGTTACATTATTTTTTCTGAAGTTGCCACAAAGAACTAGTAAAAGCCTCTTTCCTTGGAGACGGGTGTTTCCCCAGCCGGCGACAAAACAGGAAGACTGTTGGTATTTGTTGCTTCTAATGATGTCCGCTTCTGGATCTGGCAGGCAAATCGGCCGTACATACTCGTTGTACTGTATCGTACTGTTTGTTATAAGTAACGCGATATCGTTTTCATAGTCTGACGTTTTAAAACGAGGGTGCTTGATTTGGGCTCTAAGATTAGCTCCGAAAATAAATAAACGAAACTATTTGAAGGAAATTACTTCTTTTAAAGCCCAACTTGACAATTTTATCTAGATGGTATTCAAAACCAACTCCTTGCTCCGGATCAGAATCGTGTTTACCCAGGAGGACCTTGAAGCGCGCAACATGCAGAGTATCGATACAGTGGGCAGCTGTGACGATAGCGCGGGAACTGATGACAGAACCAGCGCAAGGCTGCTCCCATTCTTTCGTTCGGATGTTCCTTCGCATCAGCATTGCCATCCACGGCCAGCTATGGGCAGCGGCTGTTTCTCCGTTGAAGATGCGAGCGGAAGCAGACATTTTGAACTTCGGGTGAATCATTCCGCAAGTTGAATCTTCCTCTTCGTCGATCTCATCCTTCTCCATCTTCGCGGAAGAATCATCGTTATAAGACAGGATCCACGTGACAGGTCGGTAGCACTTATCGTCTCTCCAGCAACACTTCCAGCGGTTACAGTGTTCTTCGGATACAAAACCTGACGAGCCGCAATAAAGTGAAGGAATATCCGCGTCACAACCCCGAATTATGGGTCGAAGAAAATTATTTTGGCAAGACTGATAGAAGAGAATTAATATTGACCCTTTCCCAGAGTAAAGTAAACGCTCCGTACTGAACAATTTGTCCTCGGAAAGCAGGCGATGGTGGCATTGACAAGTAGGGATTCAGGTTGCTCTCTATCAGAGACGCACTAATAAAATTTAAGTAATTTAAATTCAGAGCTGTTAAAATTCCAAGATCAATCTAATCGAAAAATCTCACCTAAGATTATCTGAATTCGACGACACCGAGCGCATCGCAAGCTGCCCATCGGAAGGGGCCAAATCATCCCTTGCTCTTTGGATGAGCTTGACCAAGCTTATCTGAAAATCTGCTAGTGGATTGACGCTCTTCTGCTGCGCTGTGGAATCGAGAAGCTCTGAGTGAGAAAAAGGCAAAAACAGCGGGGATATTTTCATCAGCGGCGGTGGAACGCTCTCTCCGAATGACGACGATTACCGAGGAGCCTTAGCCGTTGCGGAGTAATGATTTTTTCAATAAAGAAGCGCGGGGTGCGTTTTTGAGCTTCAGGGGGCTTCAATCATCCCAATTCACTCAAGTGATAGGCATCCATTAACAACTACCGCAGGCCATGACAAGCCCTGACACTTGCTCTGCATAATTTCGCCCGAAATTTTACGACACATTCATCACCCGATCCGAAGAGTGACTCAGGCAACGCGCAACTCGTGCTCTAGCGCCAGAATAGTACTATCAAGGATAGTCCAAGGCAGTATCTTTCAGGAGTTCGAGAGCACAAGATTTTTTTATGAAATATCTGTCTTTATTTATATTTTTAAAAGGCACAGATTTTGTCTACTTGATTTTGACATACAGAAATGTGAACGAGTGGTTTTTCTGTTTCGGAAATAAGAGGAAAAAGCAAGGACTTGAAATAATACAGAAGATGAAATAGTTTTGTTAAATATATATATATATAAACTTGACTTTAAGGACTTGAAGAAGTATGTTATTTAAATGAGCTAAAGGTAAATAAGCTGTAGAAGGCTTTTAAATGTTTAGCTATGAATTAATGAGTGAGAGCACGATAAAACTAGACACGATTCCGCAAGAGACTCTTTCTCAGTTCCATCTCGTCTGCTCCACTCTCTTGCACGCCGATTTTGTTGAACTGGAAAGTGCCCGCGCCCGAGTTCGGAGCGCGCTTCTTGTAGAAAATGATACAGCAAAAGAGGATCCCTAGAGTGGTAACGCCGTAGACTAGAATGTTGACGAAGCTGCTCGAGTTTTCGCTCTCCCAGCTTGGATCTTCATCATCAACGACATCTTCATCTGTGCGTGCCTGTGGATCGACAGGGTCAGCGAGAATGTCCTCCTTATTTTCACTCGATTCAAAAGAGAGAAGTTTGTTTTCCGAATTGTCACTGGTAGGATCGTCCTCCTCAAGATCAAAGAGCTCGTCACTTTCAGACTCGTAGCTCTCTTCGGACTGCGATTCTTCAGAATTCTCCGAATCATCGTAGCTTTCTAGCGACTCTAGTAATTCCTCCTCGCTTTGAGCTTTAAACTGCGTCGTGTCGACAAACTCTTCTTCTTCCATGAGTTCATCTTCAATGTCCATTTGCGGCGTAACTTGGAACAAGTTAAATTTCAGGAAGACAGTTGGTTTTTCAGCGGTAATCTCTATGCTTTCTGTTTGGTTGTGGAAGCCCGGCTTGTGGATAAGCACGGAGTAGGTTCCAGGAAGAAGCGGACGGAAGAAATCGCCGCTTTTCAGTGACTGCACGTGATGCGAACGGGCTTTGGGAACATCTAGTGACAGGAGTTATTTTATTAAATACCATTTTGTCAATCACCTTGATCATAAATCTCGACGATCGCTTGAGAAACGGGGTTTTCGTTGACATCGAGAATCTGGCCAGTGAATCCGGACGAGGCGAAAGAGTAGTATTTGTAGATACTCTCTCTATTCGCTTCCCAGTATTTTTGAAGAAAAGGCTCAGAGGGATACTTGAGACAGCCGATTTCAACAGTCACCTCGAGCGTATTCGTGTAGAAGTAGTTCCAGTCTTGCATGCTGCCGGAAACTTCGTACCACTCGGCGCCGTTAGTTATTCCGCCTAAAATAAGAACATGGGGAAAATGGACAGAAAGTGGACAAACCTTTGAATCGCTCTACGCCGTATAGACTCTTCGTTTTTGGATTTTCCTCGATCCCGATCGCATCATCTTCGCACCCTTTTCCATTCGCCATTGTTGGATGATTGTTTGCATAAGTACTGGCAAGATGACGAAAGACATCGTCGTCGTCGCACTTAGAGTAGCTACCTTTTTTATCGCGACCAAGAGCATAACTAGTCTTTGAGCTCCAATAGTTGTCGTCGTACGGATAGTTGGCCAAAAGACCGCCATTGTGCAGATTTAGCGACAAGACGAAATTCGTCTTTTCGGACCAGTTCATAACGAGCTCTGTCTCCCGAGCTGGAAGAGGCGCTCTTCCTTGCTGCGGGAAGGGAAAATTGCGATTGAGATCGACACGATCATTGTTGTCACGTCCAAAGCCGCCAGTTTGAGCATCTTGTTTGTGTGGTCCGTCGTTGAGGATTTCTAGCGTCGCGATTTCGTGCCCGTCTGGATTCATTGTAGAAAGAACGTGGATTCGGTTGGAGTCGACGAAATTCTTGACTTGGGGATCACTCTCGTAGTTGGTGACGAGATCAGTAATGAAAGCGACGGCGGTGATTTGCGAAGAAGCCTCGTTTCCGTGCATCGCAGCGACGAGTTTCAACTCGGGCTTGAATAGCTGATGCTCGCCTGGGTCGCTGGAGACTTCGACGACCCAGAGATCGCGTTCCTTGATTGACTTGCCGATTGAGTAGAGCTTTGAGATTGAGGAATACTTCTCCGTAAGTTTTTGGAGGTATTCCGTCAGATCCGCGTGGAGACGATGTTTGAAAGGGTTGAAATCAGGATCAGTAAGCTTCGAGAGATCGACACGTGCGGGAGCACTCTCTTTTTCTTCGTTTTCGGAAAGCACCGAATTAGCTTCCTCCTCAGGAGGAGATTGAGTAGGCTCCTGATCATAATCGTCAGTTCCTGGCTCGGGATTTTTTGCACGAAGTTCCAGAGGAGTTTCAATTTCTTTCGAAGCCTCTTGTTCTTGTGCGTCGACTAAATCTAGAGTTTCTGTTTCGAGAATTGATTGGGGCTCGTCAGAGTCGACTTTCTCCTCAATTACGGTTTGATTGTCATCATCAATTTCTTCTGTTTCAGACGATCGTTTGCCTCGGAGCGTGATGTTTCGGGCAACTCCGCCTTTTGGCACATCGATTGTGATTGTTTCCGTCTCAAAGCCTTCTTTTGCGAAAGTGACTTGATAAGTTCCCGGGACGAGTGGTCTCCAGTAGTCGCCGTTTGAGTCCGAGTGCATTACTTTATCAATTCCGTCGACTGTAATTTCAACGTTGTTCTGTGGATCCCCTTCGTCGCAAGTAATAAACCCATGGACAGTTTGATCCGATTGACGAATGTAAGCCAGAAGGGCGTTTTTGTTTCGAGTCCATTCGTGCTCAAGCGTTGATGCTCTAGGATACTTGCAGCAAGTCAGTTCGATGGTGATCTCGACGCAATCGCCGTAGATGTAGTTGAAGTCTTCCATGCCGCCGTTGAGGGGATACCAATTGGCACCATTCGTGACACCTTTGATGAAGCTAGGCTCGGGCTCGCCACATGCTGCGCCGTCCATTTTGTGCATTGTTTCGTGGTTATCTGCGTAAACATGAGCCAGCCACTTCAGGAGCTCATCATCTGGCATCTTTGAGTAGCCATGTCGCTGGCCATTTGGAAGTCCGTCCCAGCTAAAAGACAAGTTTAACTCCTTGACTACTGTGTGGCCAAGTAACTGGGCAGGACTGACCCATAAGAAGCGACTTCAGAGCCAGCATGCAAATTGAGGGAGAGAACAAAACGACTGTTCAGGATCCAATCGATCATCGCTAAATTCTCCTTGGCAATGTTTCGCCCGTTTCCGAGCTGTGTGTCGCCGACCTTCCAGTTTGTATCGCGCCACTGGTCGGGAAAGTTTCTGTTCAAGTCGATTCTGTTGGCATTGTCGCGCCCGGAAGTATGGCAGTCACCTTCTCTCGACGCTTCGAACCCGTCTGGGTTCAGACTAAAGAAAACGCTCTACCTCAGCCATTAAATCAGGCCGATTTACCTGGGCATAAGATGTAGATCATAGTTATTGACGATTTCGGCAGCGACGGGATCCGTTTCGTAACCCTCCAGAAGGAACTGCGCTAGTTGGAACATTAGAGCTTTGCCGACTGTTTCGTCTCCGTGCATGTTCGCGACGCTTTTAACTCGCGGCCTTCCGGGAGTCCGTTTATGTACATTTTCTGTGATTTGAAGAACCCACAGCTCCCTGAATGAACGATTTACCACTTGTATCAAAAAGTAGAATATTACCTGTTCTGTTCGCTAGCACCTATTGAGTATAAATAGCAGAGTTCTGGATATGTCTCGTTGAGAGTCTTGAGCAACTCGGTCCCTTCTTCATGACTGTGATAACGGAAATCGATACAGCTCGCATTCCAGGCTACTAACAGTAGTAGCCACAGATGCATCTGAATAATATACAAGTGTTAACAATAATCAAAAGAAGATATTCTAGCAACAGGCAGTATTTATTAAAAAACTTTCTTTTTAAAACTTTATGCTCTCGTCATCGAAGGGATGTAAAGTCTCGTCATAAATTTCATCTGCCCACTGGTCGCCATGAAGCTCTGGATAAAAGGTAGGGAACATAGGCGGCTCCTTCGCAAAATCTAAACATCAATTGAAAATTAACGTGCTAGTTATATTTTACGACCAACTTTACAACAAAAAAAACCCGGTAGCCTACTCTCTTTGAAATCAATTTTTTCTTTAGATATCCAATTATACCGTGGATTGATCCAGGTTTTGATTTCAACAAGAAGTTGTTAGCCCGTTCCAGCGTTAAAATAATACGCCCCCAGCGATTCCTTTTTTTCGCTGATTAATATCAAGGGAGAACATGTTAATTGGCTGAAAACATGGACCCCTTTGTTTTCGGCACTTGGAATAGTAGCGTTCTTACCAACATCGTTTTTTGTTGTTCTTGAGTCATAAACTCGTGCCCAAGAGCCAATTTCTCCAGCAACTGTGCCCAAGACCCAAATCAATTGGTGTTCAGTATTCATCCTAAGCACTTTTCGACCCCAAAACACCGTGTCAGCGCCTCCCAGCTGGCCGGGCCCTCTTCTACCCTTGAGCGGTCGGCCAGACAGCTCGTTGTACCAATTCGGCAAGTTGACTTTCGTATTTCCTCGCGCTCCAGCGGAGCCTACTTTTCTGTGATTTCCCCATCTTCCTGGACTCAATCGCATGTGATACTTTCGGTAAAATGGAGATTTGCCATTTTGCTTCTTGTGGTACCTCTAAATCATCAATAAGCATCTTTCATTAAAATTTAAAAATAAATAAAGCAAATAAGCGCCAAATTAAATCAAAAACTTGATTGCGGCTACTATCGACCGTAGGATATTCCGGAGAAATCTACCTATTAACCTATTACAGTCAGGTCGTACGCCGGTGCGCCTGTTCCCAGGGAACGAGACGGTTGTGATACAATCACAGACCTACGCCCAGTCGTGTTCAGTTTAACCCAGCGGACGGAGATCCAAGTGCAAGCGAGGAAATCCCGGGGAGAGTGGTGACCAACCCATTGGCAATAGGACCGACCAGGAGCGGAAACGAATGCGCAAGTGATTCAAGAAACCGGATCTAACACAGTTTTTTATTGGGAGCGAGAATCGAACGCATTGTTCGTGGGAAACCCCTTACTGAGCATTGTGTGTAAGTGGCGGTCCGATCTCGGGATTCGAACCGCAGACCCCTGTAGCGGGGTGCCGCGGTCGGTAAGGTCGTACCCCTCCGCTAGATACGACCCGACTGGGCGTGCCTGGCGACCGGTTATAAGCCGGGAACTCGGCGCTTATCAAAAATGACATCTTAGATGTAAAAATCTATGGTTTTTTTCGAAACGAAGACTTTCAAAAAGAGAGTCGCTTTAGCTTTAAAACTTACAGTAACAACATCTACTTCTCCAAAGTCGACGGATTTGATAACGACATCAACGTACTGCCCAACGTGAAAGTGCTGGACATGAAGTGGAGTTCCAGGCTGGAGTCGTGCATTTTCCGTGACTGGGAATCGAGCTAGATGGGCTTTAGGCGTCACTCCCGCATCAAGACAGTATTGGGTGTAGTTTTCGTTCTTTAGAAAAGGCTTGCCAGTGCCAGCGCCGACAATGACAGCGCCAGTGCGGCCGTTGAACTCGTGCTTCGGAAAGTACTTGATAACGTGGCAGTTTTGGACTTGCAAAATCGTGCTAAAAATTGTTCAGTTTTATGAGTTTAAACTTTGATAGACCGCCAGTAAGATAAATGGCCTTTGTAAAACACGAAAACTGACCTTACAACGCGAGTTCCATCACGCAGCCACATTGGCTGAACACCAATCTTCTTCATAACCATTCCTGTTCTTCGACTCCCAGTTTTGTATTTATAAATTGGCCATCTAGAGTTTTCTTCGCCGACTATATTCTCCTGGATTGTTCGTTCTCTCTCCTCCGCCGCGTAGCTCTTCTTCTCGTCGAAGATTGAGTTCAAAAAGTGGCGATTTTCGTAGGAAAGAGAAGCGTCCCACTTTGAAGCGGATTTGGGAAGACGAGACATTGGCATGAAGTTTTCAGTGTTGCGGACATAGCCTCCCAGAGAATTTGCTCGAGTTTTTTCCTGAAAGCAGGGAAATTATGCTTTGGTTAAATTTTCATCGGCATTATTTTTCTCTTTTGGTGAAAACGCCAATTATTGGTCTTATCAGCGAGAAATACAAGTGTTATTTTAATTTTGAACAAGAAGGAAATAATTGATAAGCTTATCGCTAGTTAGTACCCGAGGCCAGACTAGCCAGAAATGGGAATAATTGAGCAGTTGGAATCTGAACTTACGTTGAAGCGGTATGCGCCGGAGCGGAGGTGAATATACTCCTCCACTGGTGGAATATAAATTCTTTTCTTCCGGTCATCAAAGTGTCCCTTTTTTCGCAAGGAGTTTACTTTGGAGGGAGCAAATTTAAATGGTTCTTTGGGGATCAAACAATCGCAACATGGATGGAAAATTCGAGGATAAATCAAACTATCAAAAATGGCTGCCCAACAATAAATAAAATAACAGCGACATCGAGTCGGTACGGTATTTAAAGAAAAAGTCGAGATTCAAATTTATTAGTAAAATGTAGACGAGTTCTCTTCTGCCATGAACTAGCACAGATTCCCCTTTTGAGATGTTTTGCGTCGTTGTAAAGGCTGTTTTAATAATATTCGTTAATAAATTGTTTTTGATAACAGGTTTTTGACCGGTTCCTGTTGGCTTTGGCCGTCCTAAACTTCTTGTATTTCTGGTCTCCCAACGATGAATAGAAAGCTGTTTTGGAGCCAGTCAAGCCTCTACGTTCTAGCTGCGAAGTCGTGGAAAACTGGCGCACTGGCTGCAAAGAGACATCGACAATCCTCCGCGTGAAGAATTGACCCCGACCGATCATCAAACTCACTTCTAGGCAGAACTTCTTTTTATTCATATTCGTAACCTTCATAAAACACCGAAAATTTACTCTCCGAAAATTTACTCGACCGTTTGACCTTATTAACAAATGATGACAATGACCTCAGTGATTAAGTCACTCATTAGGTAATTAAGAAACATATTAGAAAAATAAATGACCTGAATGCGTTGAATCGCGGTAAACCCTGTACCGACTGTTGTTTATTCATTGTATAAAAGTATGCAAGTGTTTTTCTCATTGAAGTAAATAGTTAAATACAGACTTTGAAAGTGAAAGAGTGAAATTTATGTTTCCAGACAGATTTCACCGAGCGTTTAAATGCACTAGAATATAAGAAATACATTTGCCTCGTTTTTTGCTGTAGTTATTCAATTGTTCAATTTTCAAAGGTGAATTCTAAGTTTCCGTTTTTTTCGTCTTCAATTGCTGCAATTCTTGAGATCGCAGTTTAAATACTGGTGTTGGGGCAGATGCAGACAGGTACAGTCAGTCTTGGTCGGACGTGGATAGACTCTCGTGGTATTCACGCAGCCGGCGCTTGAGAAAGTTGCATCTTTTGCGAGGATTGACAATTTTGAATTTTGACATTTGAAAGAAAAAAGTTTGAAAAAGAAATATTTTGGAAGACAAGGAAGAGAACCGCTTGCTCTACCATTTGTTCTCTAAGTACATTTGGAACATCACCAGAGCTGCTTCGGGCTGATCCGTAGGCACCATGTGGCCAGAGCCTTTGATCGTCACGAAGGAGAGGTATTCATACTGTGTAACGTAGCCGCCAAGTTGGAGATTTTCCCCGTCGTCTTTGTACAGCCAGGGACGCTGATCATCCAACATTCGGAAATTCAAAGACGTAGCAAAATCTCTTCCACCGAGAAAATTACATGCCATATCGATGTCACCATTGTAGATGATCAAATGCGGCGTCTTTCCTATATTTCGGTCATAATCATTTCAAGCTTTTTAACGAGCTTTTCCTTGAATTTTGAGTGATGAAAACCGTGCCTAACTCTCTCGTGTTTCGAAAGTAATTAATTAAGTTTGCCCGGACATCTGTGTAGGTCTTTTGGTAGGCCTGGAAGACAGAATCCGAGCACACTGTCCAGTTTTTACTCGCTGGAGAGTTTTCTACATGAAGCGCTTTTACTACTTCAGGCTTTTTTGGGTTCAGGATCATTTTACTTCGGCAAGAAGGGAGGAAGTTATTCCTTCCTTCTTCCTAAAGTTTATCTTGAACCAAACCTTGTTTAGATACGTTCTAATTGCCAAGTCGCTTAAACAAGTTGGTGCCATTTGAAGCTTCTTTTTCGCATTAAAAAGTCGCCTCACTTGTTCTGGAGCAGAATCGGCGATAAGCTGGCGCGTTTGGAACTCATTTTTTGTCACACATCGGGCGTAAATGTTATACCAGTTGAGGCCGACCTGGAAAATGACGTTCATCACCTCTGAAGTCTGTAGCGCGCAGATGTCGCTAATCTCTGGGTCATAGAACTCGCACTGTTCGGTAATGTTTTTGCAGCAATCGCTAAGGACGTTCTTCCAAAGACTAGGGGGTATCAGACCGTGTCCGTTCGCGAAATGGATCATGGTGTTGTAGTTGATGCCGTAGTCGAACATGCCGTTGCCGATTAAGGCTCCATCGAGGATGTTTTTGAACGTAGTGTGGCTGGAAAGCGCTTCCAAAAGCAGCGAAATGTAAATGCCGGCGTAAGACTCGCCAGTGAGGATCAACGGCTTGGAAGAATAGGCAGGGAACTTTTCGATGAACTTTTCTAGCGCTTTTGTGTTGTCCCTTGTTGTGCTTTTGTCGCCAATGAACGTTTCGTCCGCCCGATTATCTGAGTAAGTAAAACCAACGTCGACAGGAGACTCGAGATAGAGAATCGAGACATTTTTCGACCAAGCAAATTGATTGTCCACCAGGCTTCCGTCCTTATGAACTCTGAAGGGACCATTTTCTGTCAAGAAACCGTCCATAGACGAGCATCCCGGACCGCCGTTCAACCAAAGAGCCCATTTTTCCGTCCCGTTTCTTTCTACAAAAACGTAGTGGTAGTGTTTAGCTTCAAAGTTGAGGAAGCCAGAGTATAAGGTGAAGTTTTTCGTTGACAAGTCGATTCCGGGCAGGGATGAAACCAGATCGTCCTCTGCTGATGAATCCTCGAGAGGACTGGAAAACTTCCGTGTGTTCAGTTTTATTAATTTGCTTCATGGGTCAACGAAAGTAATAAGCGGCAATCGATTTCGAATAATTGGAGATTTAAAAGTTAAAAATAATTCGTTTAACAAAAACCATACTCTAATATGATCGATGATAATCTTTACGATCTTATGAAAGAGGTCAAAAATAATCAGATGTTCCCTAGAGCGATCGCAGTAGAGAGTGTCCCCGAGAATTTTGGTTAATTCTTTCGGTATAAATAGTATTGATGGAACATTTTTTACCAGTCAAATGACCTCTAAAATTTTTGAACAAATATTAAATAAACCAGAAAAAACAGTATTTTGATTTATTCAGTATAAATAAATGAAGCGGCGCGCTCACAGACCTGATATTGACCTTTCACTCTTTAATTCTGGTGAAGCCATTTTTCTTTGAAGAGCGACCCTCGCTCTGTAAATAAAAAGAAAAAGAACACGTTCCTTGAGTTTTTCAGCGAAAGTTTCTGCAAGAATGAGAAGAAAGAAAGGAGGGCTGAGTATCTTCATAGTTTCTCAAAAGAAAAAGATCGTCGATCGTCAAAAAGAAAGAGCCTTATTAGGTCAGAAATAGAGAGAGTGCGCGGCACGATCGATTAACTGATCGCCATAACAATACACACACGCGCGGGCGCACCCTAATCCACGTCGTAAGCTCACTTTTTTCCAACACGCAATAGATAGATGGAACATCCTCATGGGTCACGTAGTAGCTTTAAAAAATATAGATTTGTCAATCCATTCCTTTGGTGCGTTTCTTGATACTCGCGGACGTTTTTCAAGTAGCCGTCTTTGACACATTGTCGGTACTCTTGAATCACTTGTTCTCTTATCGACTCGTAAGGCTCTGTTCCTTCGGTAAGGCGGCTCATCTCGCCCTGCAGCTTCTCGAACTTGGCGGCGATCTTCGAGTTCTGCTCTTTGAGCACGTGGAAACGGGCAAAATCCTCGTCGTATTTCGCACGGTAGGCTGACTCCGCATCTGGTGATTTCAACGCTGGGTACTTTCTGAAGTCCAACGTTAGTCCAAGATTCTTTAAAAGAACCGCGATTCTGATTTGTGACTGACTAATTTTCGCTGAAATTCCGAATGATACCAAAGTAGAATTAATGCTGAAAACCGAGAAGCTGCTTGCAGCTTCGAGTAAGATTAAACTTACGCCGCACGAGGCGCGGCTTCACTGTCTTAATTTTCTCGAAGCCGCAAGCGCCCTCTAGGTTGTCAGCAGTTATTCTAGTAGTAATTCTTAGTAACGATCGGAATTCCAGCGAAAATTAGTCAACAATGAGATTCATCATTTCGTTTTTGCTTCTTCGCAATTATAATTTACCGTTCTAGCTCGATCTTGAGAGCGTCGAGGAAATTCGAGCTCAGACCCGATTTCTTTCCATTTTCGAGGATCTCCTCTTGGGAAAGTGTTCGATGCTTCTTTGGCCTCTTTGAATCGCGACTTGACTCTCTCGGTTTTCGTTTTGCCTTTTCTCTGTTCTCTTTGGCGAGTTTGTATTTGTTGAGCAGGTCGTCCTTGGCCGTCTTTCCGGATTCGACTCTGGAGGAGTTCATCTTGCTTAGCGAGTTGGAGTTCGAGCTGTCACGGGAGTCGTGACTCTCGCGGTACTCTCTTTCTGGATTCTGAATGGACACCCTGTCCGAAGCCGTCTCAGAGTCGCGCTCTTCAGGGGTAGACGAGGAAGAGATGGACAGACCGGGGGACTGGCGATTCAGCGGCTACAAATCTAATTATGAGAGTTCCTCTTTTTTGTTTTCCTCAATTCCTTATTGTTCCTTATTCAAAATGGACTTACCATTGCTTTGCTCGACTGGGCGGGAGAGGTAGTGTCAGGTGAAATAACCCTTCTTGTTTTCGAATTGAAGGAATTTTCACTTGTGCGGCTAAAATAAAATAAAAAAATAGAGCAATTAGTCGACTGGATCCAAGCCAAGATGAATTAGATGCTCGAATTGATAGACTCTATCGATTTGATCCCTTTTCAGGGTCAAGGAGGGGAAATCAATTTAAAAGCTCCGATAAATAAAATGCGACGAGCAGAGTTTTTAGGGGAGACATCGGGAATCCAGCTTTTCGGATGGACTTTTCTCCGATTTCATTCACGAAAAGAAAGTTTAAACTCTTTTGAGTTAACGGCAGAAAGACCCTTAATTTTTACCTTCACTGAAAAAAAGTTAACTCGAAAACTCAATTCGCGATGTCTTCCCCTTTAGTAAAGATTACCTACTTTCTGCAGGCGCCTTGACTTTGCTACTTGACTTGCAACTTGTATGGTCTCTGTTACTGCAAGATTTATTGCTGTCTTGAAACGGGCCTGCTTTGCTCCTGAAAACGCGAATGTCAAAACACAAAAATTGTCAAAAATTGTCAGTTCTGTGAATGGCACGCTTCTGAAAATGTCACAATTGCGAGATGAAGACACTGTTGATAAGGCGATCTTTCTTTTTCGTTGGCTGTACCTGTTGTTGTCTGAAGCTGGGTAAAAGTCGTCCTCGAGCGGCGTTTCCGGTCGGATTTGACTTGCTCTGGGCTTGGGTTTCTCGTAAGGCTGGAAGCCGGCTTCCTTGACTTTGGCGATGATGTTCCTGTCCTGCTCCTTCTTGTATCCAGGCCACTGAGGATCCAGTTTCATCTTTCGCCCTAGCTTTCAATTTCGTCTTCATCAGAGCGCTAGATCCTCGAGTAAAACATCATAAAACTCATTAAAACTGTATCTAACTATATTTTTGAGCCCTTCTCATAGCCACCTTACATGTTTTCCCCTTCGATCGACCCTCATTCAACGGAGGATCGTGGTACTTTCGGAGGTCAATCATGCAGAGGTGAAGAAGAAAAACGGACAGGTTAATTAGTGTCGTTTGATTATCCAGTCTTTGGACCAAATTCGAACGTCATCAGTGCCTTCGCCAACAAAATATATATCGAGGAGGTATTAAAATTGGGATTTAGTATTTCCCAGCTAATCGGATCTAAGTAGAGTGATGACCTTAATTATTTGTCGATGAGAACTGTTTTTACGAATCGCAAATCTTATCGGACCAATATTTTTCACCAAGACAAACCATAAGTGCAATTAGAGCTTATCAAAACGCTAATTAACTATCCAATCACAACGTTTACTCAAAAAAGGCGAGTAAGTTTTTCACCTACAGGGACTCCACCTGTTAGGGGACTGTGAATCTCGCCCAAAGTGAAACTCTGTGTTTAACCAGACGTTGGTTCCGTTAATTGAGCTACTGTCTTAGCAACATATAGACAGACTAATAATAATTTAAGATGAAAGCCGTTCATAAGAATCTTCAGTGAGATACCAGCACTTGTTCTTTTCCAAAGTCGCGACGCATTCCAGTGCCGCCTTGACTTCCTTCGCTTCTGGGCCGTTGATCAAGTTTCGTTTGGAGAGCTCCTCTTTCAACTTCTTGTCCTGGTACTTTCCGTTGTTGAGCGCTAGAATGTGGATGACGCGTTTTTTCAAGTCTCCGTAGGTGCTCGACGTGATCGGCGGCGGCGTCGTCGTCCTCGAAGCAGCTGGTTCCGGCCCTGGGTGTCGAATCGCCTTGTTCCTTTCTCGCTCTTTCAGATACTTCGGCGCCCCGGTCTTTTTCATCGGATCCTTTCGCTTTAGCTCTTGCGCCGTCGACGCTTTCTTTGCTTCTTCCACTTTTTTCATGCTTTCTTTCGCTTTGTTGAATGAGTCCTAGACTTTTTTAAATATGGGTATCTCTAGCGCTTTATCACTCGGCAACCTGTATAGAAACCTGAATCAGGGTCCTGAAAAAACTTGTCATCTCAATCTTTTTTCATTAAAGAAGCCCTAAAGCGGCTTTTTCCTAAAGATCTTTCAGGACCAGACACAGGTTTCTACACATGTTAACGAGTCTAGTAAACACTACCATCAATTGTTTCCTTTCAGTATAAAGTCTACCTTAATACTGGCATCCATCTTGTAGCTCTGGGAGATGCCACCGTAATCGTAAACGAAGTCATCAGTTTTGGTGTGCGAGTAGACAAGGCTGTTCTTGTTGATTTGCGACTTGGCGGAGAAGGTCTTTGGCGGCTGGTTCTTGTCCAAAATCAACTGGCCTTCTTTGCCACTCTTTTCAAACTTGATTTTCAGCTTCCGTTTGAGTACGGCTTCCTGCAGCGCTTCCAGAGTTCCGTCCGTCAGAGTGAGCTGAAAAGAGACGATCAACGGGGCAAAGAGGATGGATCAAAAGTACCTCGTAGACCTCGAAACGATCCGTGTCCGTGGGGCAGTGATCTCTGATGCTTAGGCTTTGGATCGTCTCCGCCATCCTAACTTACGAGTTCGAGTGCTGATCTTAACAAAAAAGCTATCAATAAAAGTTTTTCTTCTTGCAAAAATTTGAAAATGCAAAATTACGAAGATGAAGACTTTTTTAATATAATTTAAATTTTATTTTTGAGGTCAGTGAGTTTCAATGTGTGCAGCAGTGGTAGAGAAAATCGCGATAGGAAATGATGTGAAGTGTGTTTTTTAAATTATCAAAACTCGTGAAGAACGTTTGGAATCTCGAGAAAGCGAGAATCGTCGCGTTCCATCACAAGTCGCTCGTAGTCCTTCAATTCTCCATTCTTGCGCGGGTCCAGCTTTACTTTCTTCACATCCGGCGCTGCAGCATCCAGGAAAGCCGCGGGGACAGCTTGTCGTTCTCTAAAATCGAAAGTTTCAGTCGTTTTGAAATCTAAAGAAAAACTTACCTTTCGCGCTTCTTTCTTTCTTTTTCCTGCTTTTCTTTGATCCTTAATCTTTCTTGCTCGCGCTTTTGCTCTTCCAAATATTTCTACAAACAAAGTTTTCACTCTATTCAAGAACTCTTTTTATAATTTGAAGAACTCACCTTATATTCAATTTCTTCCTGCAAACTCATACCCGGAGTGACAATAACTCCTTCAGGGTGGCTATTTTGGACAAAATTTTGGGGTCTGGCCATCCAATTTCCATCCAATATATTTTGAGTCGGAACTATCCATCCAAAATCCAATCCAATCCAATTATTACCCAATTCCCCAAAAATCCCCAATTCCAATTAGATCCAATAGGATTTTCAATTTTTCCAAGGCTTTTAGCACTTTGAAAAGAAGGGAAACAGTAAGTTTTTATCTGAAAGGAGGATCAACATAGCCAAAACAATGATTTTTTATCCGAAATTGCTCATTTTTATCATGAAAATGACCCTCCTTTGCATAGTTTAGCGATATATTTTTTATTGGATCCAATTCCCCAATTTCCCCCAATTGCCCAATTTTCCCCAACAAAATCCGGCACCCTGGCCATCCAAATTCCATCCAAACCTTATTGGATTGGATCCAATCCAATTCCAACTAACCCCCAAATCCAAAATAGCCACCCTGAACTCCTTCAACCTTTGGCTCGTCGTCGTCGTCCTCTTCTTCTTCTTCTTCTTGGTGCTTCGAGTAGGCATTCATCTTCTTGAAGTGTCGGCCGTTCAGGACGTAGTTCCGTCGTTTGATCTTTTTTTCGTCTGAAAAAATCGATTTTAGATTTTTTTGACTTTTGCTATTTTTTGAGTTTCTAAATAGGAAGTCGCGGACTTTTTATAAGAATGGGCCAATAAAGGCTCAAATAAAAATGTCGGACCATGAAGGCAAGAAAATGCTCTTCACATTTGTTAAAGAGCCGTTATTTGCATCAAAAGGCGGGATCGATCAAAAGAAAAAGGGTGGAGAAAAATGATCAGAAATTGTTGATCAAGAAACTTTGGAAAACTTTTGGCAACTTACATTCTTTAATTTTTGGAAGTCCCTCGAAGCCCCTGGCTCTGTACTTTTTGATCTTGTAGACACATTTGTTTTCAAACTCTACATTGTAGATGTGAACCATCTTCCTGTGTCTTCTTTCCTTGCAGAGATCATCTCTGGGCTCCCACGAGTTGTGCTTCGAAGAGTATCCCTTCCACTTGACTTGGTACTCAATGCAGGGCTCGTTGTCCGAGTCGTACTCGCGGAAGTCGAGGATCGATTCTGCTTTCAAATTCATTATTTCACCTGTCTCTCTATCGGTTCCGGAAATTGTGGAATTCTGAAATATTGAATTGCTCTCGCGCTTTTATGGGGTGGAAGTGGGGCGATATGTGTTTGTTTTGCAGCCTGGGAAGAGCAAGAATAATGTCAAACTAACAGGGTCGGAATAACGGGGTCAGAATAACAGGCTTTGATAAAATTGTCAGTAACTTTTGGTAAACGAAAATTGATTACTTTTAGAAACTAAAATAAGTGAAACATTCAGGGTTTTCTGTTTTTAGGAAAACAAAATCAGACTTATGTCTTCTTGATTAATCATTTATAAATAGGTATCTCTATTTCAATTTGATCTTCTGCTAAATCTTCCGTGTTCTTTTGAATTCTCTGAGGTGAGTAGTGATCGCGCTGATTGGTCAAATCGGAGGAAAACCGCGGCTCTGACCCAACTCTATTAGAAATTCAATTTTCTCGCTTTTCCCTTTCCGTCTGAATTTCTCACGGGAAACACCCATCTTTTGTCATTTTTCGGGGATGATTTTCGGAATAAAGTTCCATTGAAGTTTTTCAAAATTGCTTTATAAAGTGACTAGGACCATCACCCTCCGCTTAGCGTCATACCGCGTAGAATAAACCAGTTCTCGTCCGATCACTGAAGTCAAACTACGACGGGCGGGGTTAGTACTTACATGGGTGACCGGTTGGGAATACCTCGTGCGCTAAGCATTTTTCCCACGTTTTCTATGGAAAACTAAACCCTTTTTATCAAAACATTATTTTTTTCATTTGAAGACTGGGTATTGAAACTGGGTATTTCATTTCATTTGAATTTATTTCCGGGTCTACAAATCTACTTCGATCATAAGATACAAGCTATCGAATGTCTCTAGAATTGTCTCTAGAATGTGTTTAGTGTCAGAGTTTAGGGGCGCGCAGCAACAAAACAACCTCGAAAACGGGGACCTCTCTTGGGCACTCATCCCATTTTTGAGTCCGATTTCGATTGTCTAACAGGTAAAATTCGTTCCCAAGCCTACCTTCTCCTTCCCTCTTGCCTCCTACAAATGACAACATTCTTCAGGTAGTGTCAACTTGACATTGATACAATTTTCTGAACTGGCGGTGCTGACATTTTCTAAAAATAGGAGTGGCAATGATTTCAATGTGTCTTATGGCCTGGCTGGTCAGTAATCAGCTGCATTTAATGAGGCTTAAATTGAGTGCTAGTGTGTGGGGTAGTGATTGGGATGATGGAGACCCCGCTGCTAAGTTTGGGCGGGCTCCATCAATCGAGTGCGTTGACGAGCGCATTCACAAGTGCAAGAGCCACCAGCTTTATTTTATCTTCTGTTTTAGCAAGTTACACTTCAAAAATCTACCAGTTTCAAAGAGAGAAAAAAGTGGCATGTTTCTTTTACGCCGGCCTTCCCGGCCACAGAATGGAGCAGGGAAAGCTGTTCTGCCGGAATCAAATGTAAAGGTTCGAATACTGACGTCAAAGTTTGAGTTGTGAGCCCTTATTAAGGTGATCAGACTCGAAGGAGGACGACCTTGGGGATTTAAAATTGCAGGTGGCGCGGAAGTCAACAAACCAATTCTCATTACAAAGGTTTGCCAGTGCTAGTAGACCAAGTATTCAGCAGATAGTTGAATTTTTGCTTTATCAGTTGAATTTTTATTGATAGTTTATTAGATTGACCCGGCTGGGCAAGCAGCGAATTTCGCAATTTCTGAAGGCGACATGATCACCAGGTAAGAGCTACTACTTGTAAGTCGGCGTGCCCAAAGGCTGCACAAACAGTACAGTAGTCCCGACTGTGCAGACAATCACAAAGATCCATAAAAAGCAGCGGTCGATTATCATTGCGACGAATTTCCAGTCGTTTTCGGCCTGGAGTGCTGCTTCTTGCTCGCGCAGATGTTCTGAAATTCGCGAAACAGATTTCATGGCTTTTTGGGATCAATAACGATTTTGACAAAGAGAGAAAGTAACTGCGGGGGATAAACATTTTAGAGCTCGTTTGATTGAGAGATTGATGAACCTTAGGCTTGAACAATGTGCGGAGCAAGGTCAGGATGGTGTTGAAGTGTCGAGAGAGATGGGCGATCGCGGGCTTATCAAAAACATGTTATTTTAGAGTAGCGCTACTTTTCCGTCCTACTTTCTTGTGATTTGGGACGCGTCATAAGCAACAAGCGAGGGATGAACTGTAGGAATATGAGATTGATCCACGAAGGAAGTCTGAATGTAACTCAATTTACTCGTTAGTACTGATGATTCTACCTGTGCATGGCTGGATTTCGATAGTGGATATTGAGGACAAATACGGAAATCATGACGGAAAGAGTGACGAAAATCATCGTGAAAAGTAAATACTCTCCTATCAGCGGCACGACGAGCGAGGTCGAGGGGATGATTTCAGTGATGACCAGTAGAAACACTGAAGCAGATTAGTAGAGCAGAACTACTTTTAGTTAAAGTACCTGTAAGAGTAAGAAGAACAGAAATGCAGAGTGTGATTTTTTCACCCGAGTCGGAGGGTAAGTAGAATACGAGAACTGTTAGGAAGGAAATGAGGAGACAGGGAATGATGAGGTTGATGGTGTAGAAGAGCGGCAAGCGACGAATGTGGAAAGAGTACACGATGTCGATGAATATGTTCTCGCAGCAGTTGTACTTGCGCTCGTGGCGGAAACCGTAGGAATCGAGAATCTCCCACTCGCCGCTCTCCCAGTAGCTCGCCTGGTTCGACTGATTACCGATCATGATCAGATCGATGCGGCTCTGGTCATTCGTCCATGAGCCAAATTTCATCGTGCAGTTCTGTTCTTGGATCGTTGTTGTTTTCAATTAGAAAATAACCATGGAGTTAGATCCATTCCTGAGCGTCGAACGGGAAGTAAGTGACATCGATGGAACAGGAGGACTTGAAGATCGCTGGCGGCATCCAAGTCACTGTTCCATCGCTTTTGATGACTGCTTTAGTTTTCTGCTGCGCTTGAAAGTCACCAACTGCCGTGTTGTAAAGGACAATGTCCGGGCGCCAGATCTTCTCGGCGGGAATGCGCATTTGCGAAAGATTCCGAAACTCTCGCGGATCCCACTGCAGAAAACTATCCCTCCACGTCTGTTTCAGCCATAGTTTCGTTTCCATCATCTTAGCAGAGGAATTTTAAGATTCTCGATTCTGCATTTTCGGAGAATAAGCTCACCTGGCTGACCTCGTTGATCTGGATTAACTGCGCGATAAATAATTCAAATGTGATTGGAATAGACGCTGACGAGTTTCGGACGGGTCTTTTTTGGATTAGAATATCATCGTGAGGTTAAAATCGACCAAGAAGAACAAACGAAATTGAATAGTTTCAATCTGATAAATTTTTGCTCGAAAAAAATTAAACATTTTGAATTGATAATTGAGTCCATTCCTGATCCATTTATTGTAATTTCTAAAAAGCTTGTCGTAAAGATCTTTTTCGCTGTTTCCAATTTTAATCGCTGTAATATTTGATGATTCCAGAGCTGCGGTGATGCTGCTGATCATAAATAGACATAGTGTTCTGTACATTTTGTCTAAGCAGCTTAGCAAGTTAGTGTTTTATTCTCTTTCTCTTCTGCAGAAATAGCTCTCTGGGCAATATGCGATAATAATTAATTATAATTTCCCTTTCTTCAATAATCAATAAGCAATTTAGTGAACCTTGCAAGGGTAATCACACAGAAAAGGTGCGTCGATGCTTGCTTTTTTTCCGAAAAAAGGGATGAGAGTAACAGTCCGAGGATCACTGAGTAGTAAATAATTGAAAAGTACGCCCATTACGATATAGGCATTGTGCCGCCGCCCATTAGCAGATATGTCTATATTATCAAATATCGAGAGACGGCCTTAAGGGATCCCCCCCCCCGTTTTCGCCATTTTCAACGGCGAACTACTTTTTTTTGGGCTTACAATTTTACGCGTGCAATAGCGCAAATGAAAGCTCGTTCATAGCGGCTAATTCTCTAGTACAGAGATAGAAATCCATAGACGCAAACCTACCACACGGGGGCGCTGAAGCTAGTGTATTTTGAAAAAACGCTGTTTTTGGCCATTTTCATCGGCAAACTACTTTTTTTAGGGCTTAGCTAGTATAAATTTGGGACTACATTTAGAAAGAGTAGAGTTTAATCTAAAAACTCTAGTACAGAGAAGTCATTTCATCAAGTAATAAAAATTTTTTCTTAAGAACAACCAAATGTACCCATTTTTGGCGTTTTTTGGTGTTTTTTTGCTCTCTAGCGCCAACATAAGGCCGATATTTCTAGTGCGGTTATTATATTCTTATTCGGTCAGTTCTAAGCTTTCGATAGACCCCTTATATGTCTTATTTCGATGATATTGAAAAACCGAAAAAAATTCCGATTTTCACGCTAAGTACAATTTACATGCATTTTTGAAATTTTTGAAGGCTAAAATTTTGGGGAAAGATGTTCATAAGGGGGTCATATGATACACCAAAATGATCCTCAGAACACGAGTAATCTAAAAATATCAAAGATAGACCCTTATCAAGTACTTGAAAAAACAGGGGGGATCCCTTAATTGGGCCTCGATTGGGAGATGATCCTCTTTTATTCATTATAATCTTCGAATTCAGCGTGAACGGCGTCTCCCTGAAATACTTCGTCACCCGGAAAGAAGCCGTCCACCACATCAAAAAAGCGGGATCCAAGATCATCATGGAGATCCAAAGCAATCCGCAGTCGAACTGGGCCGGCAAGTCCGATTGGTAAACACTCTTCTTTCGTTAATAAATCCACCTTTCTATGATGTCATGACTGCTTTATTTATGATGCGCAAGATTCCACATTGTTCTGGTTGGTACCAGCTAGCCTGCGCTAAGGCCAGCTTGGCAGGTTTACAAACATTGACCGCGAAGGTATCGAGAATTTGATGCGCTGGCGCTAGGTTAAAGTTAAACTATATAAAATCGCTTTCACGGCCAGCAAGGAAACCCTTTAGACCATCTTCTGATAAAGAATGAAGGTAAGAGAGTAACTTATCAAAGAGATCGAAGTGAAAGAATCAGAAGAATGGGAAAATTGATTTCAGGTCCTGGGCTTGGTTCTAAGTACTTGCACAGTTCTGGCGGAAAAGAGAGACGATGAGTCACTTTCTTCTGTGTTCGGCAAGGCAAGAATGGACTTTGCCGAAATGATAGCCAGGTAACAATCATTTTCGGACTGCATTTCTTTATAGTTGATAGTTGATCTGTTTGTTCTAAGAATGCAAAGTGAGCGGCGAGGAGCGCGACCGCAGCTGGTTGAAAGGCTTAATCTGCCAGTTCAACCAGCGGGCTTACCGCAAGCAAGAGTCTTTCAAGAAATCAACCAGCCAGCTCTTGACGCTGAAGCTAGCGAAGATGACATTGTTGTCTACGACAATTACGGATACGGCGACGGTAAATCACTCGATTTGCTCGGGTTAAACTGAAATCATAGATGAGGAGTACGAGTACTACGACGAGTACTACTTGGATGCCTTTGGCCGCTCTAGGCGGAAGAAGAAAAAGAAGAAGAAAACGAAATATTCTTCCGCCCCAGTTTACGTACCTTACAATTATCCAACGCGGCAGCAGGGGGACTCGAACACCATGTGTTGGCGGTGTCACGTGGCGGTGTCGACATACGACTACAGTAATACAGATCTATATAAGGTTCATTTTCACTTGATTTTGTCATTTTCGCTACTTTTTCCAGTTGTGTCTGGATCAGGGCGAGCTTGAATACTGTGGAATGGGGCAGAACTATTGCCAGATTGAAGAAAGACAACGAGCAGGGCACATTTACCAGCTCAAATCCGGTTGCAAGCAGCCCCAAGCGTGCATGATTAACTGGGCGACAAACTTCCGCAACGAGAGCTACCCAGAATGCGATCCGGGGTCAATGCACTATTCCGTCTGCCGCCAGTGCTGCGGTGGCGACAACGCTGACTGCAATTTCCATCGTTTCAACGACCCTGATCAGCGATTCACAGTATGTTTATATTCTCACGTTCATTTTGCCAAACTTACAAGCTCTGTTTTGATTAAACTCATTTAAATATTTAGACGGTGGCTGAGTGGGACGACGAAAGCGAGCATGGCTTTCTATCGCCTCAAATGATTGGCGATCCCGGCTTTGACCCGGCTACTTTCAACAAGTCTCTCACGTGGGAAAATTACAACAGCGGCAGTTACAACTCAAACAGTTACAGAAGCTCAGAAGGGAGCCAGATGCAAATGGACTCTTATGGTGCAAGTTACTATCAAGAAGAGCCAGAAGAAACAACGACGACGACAACTACCACAACGACAACAACAACAACCACGACAGAGGAGTTAACGACGAGGTATGAATATGAAGATTCCGTCACAACAACTACAGAGTTTCCCACAACGACCACTTTTTACTACACAGGTAAATCGATTGATTTCATCCGACTCTCATCCATATTTTCGTAGAAATAGATCCCGAAAATGCGTCGGAAAACGCGTTGACATCGCTGCGTAAGATCGTTGAGACTCTTTCTTCGGAACCTGGCGGTGAGATTTTGAAGTCGATGCGTCCTGCCGAGCTGCGCACTTTGCTGCGGATGCTCAACTCCCAGAACTCGGAAATCAACGAAGAGTACGACTATTTCGAGGAATACATGGACGAGTACTAAGCGTGAAAAATAACATGCTAAAGATGATGAAAAGAAAACAGCTTTTCAGATGGACACTGTAAATTACTTTTTTTTTACCAAAACTGCCTCAAAAAGAATAAACAAGAATCAATAGTTCGTGCTACCTTTTTTTTGTCTGTCTGTTTTTTGAAGAAGCAAATATATTTTTCGCGGTCAATTATGGTTAATTAAATAAACTTGGTCTGGTGGTTATGATAGAAGACAATTCACGGCGCTGGCTTTAATATTAATGGTATCAAATGTTCGATTTCACCTGTTGAGCATTTTCCCGGCAAATTAAATCGAAATCGAAGAAAGTGAACCTGGAGAGAACAAACTGTAGCCACAGAGTGAGTTGGCGGATTGGGAACAGCAGGCATTTTGCTGCCCCAGCATCCATAAAGCATAAGAATCCTTTTGAGCGCAAATGTATCAATTATTTTAAATATTAAATGCGAAAATATTGTCAGCGCTTGGTCCTTCCACTTTCCTCCAAAAAGCAAATTTAGCCGGACAAAGACACTTTTTAAGATACAAACTCAGATACGAACTTGATTGATAAGCATGGACAGATCGACAAGATCCGAGAGGCAATGGAAAAATATCACGCTCCAGTAGTTTATTTAAATTTTTTCAGGCGATCTGAATCAGGCATATTAATAATCGGCCATTATTTTATTATTCTTAAGCGATAAAATAAGCTAGGAATATCGTAAAATGACGGGAGAATAAGCAATTTATCATGACTAGTACTGGTAAGATATTTAACCCTAAAGAAGGCAGACTCATCAGCAACTCGCGTGGCAAAAGGCAAAGAAAGATGCGGGTAAGTCTAGGCGATATTTTGAGGAGTAGATTAAGTTTTCAGGCCCTGGAAAGAGAATACGCAGAGGCGACACAATGAAGCGAAGATTGAGCGAAAACTCGAACAAGAACATGTCTTATATTCAGAGATTATTCACCTGCTGCTCTGGCTCGGAATAAAATTGTCAAAGATCTTTACATGTAATTTTATTGTGGCTTTTTTACAGTTTCAGGGTCAGTTGCATCTCAGAACTCGAGCTGGTCGTATGATCCGGCCACTTTTTCTCGCTTTAGCTTACTTTCAAAGCTCTGAAGAGATCTTACTTTGACTCAAATAGTTTTGCTTATCCAAGGAGCTTCCTTTCCTGTAAGTTTGAGTGACATCCGGTAAGTCGCTCATTTTTTTCGGGGAAGACGATCGCACCTCTCTCGCTTTTTTCTTACGAGCGGGTTTTGGAGGAGGAAGCACTTTCTTTTCTGTAAAACAGTCAAAATTAATCTATTTGCAAGAGTGTCACGGTCATCACCAGTATCATCTTCTGCCTGGGAAAGCACACGTTCCAGGTCGTCGAGGGAGTCGTAGATTCGATCGTCGTTGTTGGCCAAGACGCGGCTCATTAGTAGATCCCCGTGGCTTTCGCTTTTGAAAATCGGTTTCGGTTCCGGCAGTGAGTCCGTTGGCAAACGCCGTTCCAGCGACTGTGATGCCATTTTGCGCCCGTCTTGTGATTCTTTCAGATTGTCGATCACTCTAAAATAATTAAATTGAAATTATTCCTCCAGAGATTTTTTTGTTCAACCTCAGTGTCAACCTCTCGTAGTTCTTGACCATTTCTTTCTGCTGAGCCCTGCAGCGCACGGCAGCCACAATGACAAGTACTGTCAATAGCAAAAAGCAGCCTCCAATAATACCGATCAGTAGATTATTGTCCAGCAGGGCTGCTGTCGATATAGAATAGCTTTCTGTCGATTCTGTCGGAGGGCTGAGAGTTTTAGGACAGCCGAGAAATGCAACTCGAAGCTGCATTAGATTAGTTTTTTCTTCTTGCGATTCGTAATCCGCGATTCTGTAACAATCTGAAAGAAACGAAGTTTATAATTTATAACTGTTGAAACAAGGAAAAAAAACTGCTTTGTTTTCTGTCAAAAGTTATTTTCCAATGGCACATTACCTGTTGGAGCAAGCTCTATCCTCTTTGCGACAAGATCCAAATCAACAAAAGCAATTTTGTTCCTCAGTTTGGTGAGTCTATTCTCGAACTGATCGTGGTGAAACATCGGCACTTCCGCATGCTCCAATTTACCCCCTTCGGCTATCCATTTCAACTGCAGAGTTCTACAGTAGACTATTTGCTCATCCTGCATCGCCGTGGTAAATCGGAGACCGTTCAAATAATGATCTTGCGTGAGTCCGACTTTGAGCGTGAAGTTCTGTTCTCGCACCAAAAATGAAAATATGCCGGTTTTTGAATTATCGAGTTCGTCCGCATCACTTTTTGCGCTAATGCTATCCACTAGCTCTTGTTGCTTCGCAGGATCGTGCGGTGCTGAGTCTACTGCTTTCACGCCCGCTGCAATGTTCGAAAAGCACCTGGCACCGTCCCTAGAAATGGCGAAAGTGCGCTGATTGGCAGTGACCGAGGACATGATCCCATTCCGGAAGACGCGTGAAATTTTCTTTGTCTTTTTTGTTGTCGCTTCGATTGAAAACGACTCACCAAAGGGCACTCCAAAATGTTCAGCAGCCTTGCATATCGAACTGATAAGAGCGTACTCGAGGGGGGCTGCATCTTCCGATTCTTTTTCTAGCGCAAGGTGAGCATAAACATTGCCAGTTTCGCATTTCTCCGGACAACTTCCCTCATGGCGAGCTTTTTCGAGTTTTTTTTTTTGAACTTTAATTTAAAGGGATCGAAAAATTTTGATAAACCAAATGAACCCTTTCCTGTTAGATTTTCCGCCGTCTCATCACAATCAAATGCCCCTACTGTCTTCAATAAGAACGCAACGGTGATCCTCCAAAGCGGCAAAACCATCTTCAATTATTTTTCTAGCTTCTTTTTTTCACTGCGAAAATGCTCTCTTCAAGGGCCATTTTGGGCTCCTCCTCGCCCTTGGAAAGCTCTAATTTTCTTCTTTGATTAGCTGTTGCCTTTTTTGCTTGTTTATGGGTGTTTTTATGGGTGAGGTTTAAAGTGTGTTTTGTTTTAGAAGAGAAAGCGGAGAAGAAAGAGGATTTTACGAGTAGTGGCCGGGCGGACCCCCAGGCGCGCCACAAGCTAATCCCACTCATTTATAATTCAGCCATCATAATACAATGAAAGTCGAATTATATACCCATCCAAATTTCGTCACTTACATGTTCAATCAGGCCTTCTGGCATACCATCGATCATTTTACATTTTAAAAATATTAATCCCCCGCGCTTATTGTTTTTAATCTAGTGAGCATGTCCGAGAGGGCACGTTTTAATCCCTTTTTAATTAAATTCTTTCTATTTGATTCGGGAAAGAACAACAGTGATATTTAGTCTTGGAAAAATGGCGAATAGAGAAATGTTCGCAGATCAAATTTTTGAAGTTTCTTGATATTGTTTTTAGTCCTCCTTTGTACGGATGGCCTGCTCCCAGCGAGATTCCACAGTATGTGCTCAATATCATGGGAACAAAGAGAATCGACGAGAACAGCTACGCAATCGTCTTTCTCAAGATCTGCTCGTTCGTCATGGCCGTCTTCGCCAGCTACAAAGTGATCTCGATTCTCAAGCTTTACATTTGGATTGCTCAGCACCTCGGTTCCTGGGCTAAATTCAGTGACCCCTTCTACCTGAACAACTTGATCCTTGTCATTTTGTTCCTCTGCGGCGGCGGGTCCATTCTAGCGCTGAAGATTCCTTCCTTTGACGAAAACGACCCAACGCTCCATATTCTCCAACTACCCATTTTAGTAACTCTTATGTATCAGGCTAAAAGTCGCCATCAACGTAACTCTTCTTTTTAGATTTGTTCTTCTGGGAATGCAGTCTGGAATCAAGAAAGGATCTTAATCGTTCCATTTTCTTTGAAGTCAAGGAAGACTCTCATTTTCAAAATTAAGAACCTCTTCCAGGCAGAAATCGAAGAAAACTACGACGTTGACTCAAATGGAAAATTCACCAAGATCGCCAAGATTAACTCGATTCAAGCCGTAATGCCTTGTTCGCCTCAAGAAGTGAACAGCAAAACCTCGGCGATTCAATTCCGCTGTGGTCAGAATCCACATCTAAAGAAACGCGCACAGAGCAATCTGAGCCAGATACCTCGGCATGTCACTGTGCCTAGCTTTCATGCTGAACAAATTACACAGTTTTGACTCCTATCTTTTCTTTGTGACACGCAAACTAGACACTTTTCTTTTGCTGAAGTATATTTGGCAGTTGTCAAGAAAGAACTTGGTCGTACATAAATTAATTTGCAGCGTGGGTAATCACAGAGTAAGCAAAATATAAGCAAAGACCCATGATTATAATTGTGACTTGCTACTGTAGCTCTCCCAGCTTTCCAGGAGCTTCTGTTCGACGGGCTTGTCCTTTGGCCAGCCGAGATGTTGACACCATTTCTCGTCGCCCGGCATTTTTGTGACTCCAGTAATGCCGATCTAAAAATTGTAAGTAAGCAACTAGCGAGGAAGCTTATGTACCTTTTCGCGAAGAATGCCGGTTGTGGAGACGTCTTCGAGGTGAATAAGTGGCGTATCCAGCGCCATGTAGTAGAGCTCGTTCATGACATCGCGCGACATCGCGAAACACCAACCAACACAGCCGAGTGGATACTGGTCGCCGGGGTAGTCCTCGCGAGACATGTCCCACTTCCCCTCCCGCCGCACGATCGGATGGAACACTTTCGAACAGCCGAGGAAGCGGGAGGCCTTGATTCCTGACAAATAGCTGACGATGTCGTTCACTTGCCCGAAGACGTCATCATCGATGTGCAGCGCGAAACGAGCGTTTGGACAGAACAATGTTCCCCATTTCAACTGGCCGATCGTTTTCAATGTCAGATTTCTGAATAAAAAAACTCTCAAAAACCCATTTTTCAAAGTAACCCTAACCCAGAAGAATAAATCAACCCTAACCCTGACCATATCGCTAACACAATTGATGGTTAAAAAAGTCTCTACCTCGATAAAGGCAAAGGAGTCATTTCATGTTTCTAAAAAAGTCTCTAGAAACCAGTCATTCGAGCAATGTGTTTTTGGTCAAATCCTCAGTTTTGAAAAAGACGGCGCTGGTCTTTGGCAAGAGAAAATTTGTCGCCGAATAATTTTTGTATGTGAGTTTTTTTTCCTTGTTTTTGTGACATTGGAACTGGTATGGATAAAATTAGCTATCAAAAGTGCGAGTGAAGAAATTTCACTACAGTAGTCTATTTTCTCAGAGTGGGATTCGTGTTTGATTAAGATGTTAGTTGTACTCCCACCGTGGTATTACCGGAGTACTGTTAGTACCTGTAAGTTTCGTCGAAATCTTCCAACACTAAATCGTTGTATTCTTTGAATTCTTCCTCCAATTTGAACCGATTCTTCGGTTTGTTGTCGTTTCCGACGAAGAAGATGTACTTGATCGCTTGGCCTGAACAAAATTCATAGTTTCTAGATAATCCTCCTTGTTGATTCTTTCTTTGTAGGCTCAAAAAATGAACCAGATAAGCAGATTGGAGCTGGAAGAGATGATGCTGAAAATTGAGCGGCTGAACCTGCAAAGCGCCGAGTACGAACGCAGGGAAGAGGAAGAAGAGCGAATGCGCGCTGAAACTTCGGCAGAAAGATCACTGGAGAAAGAAGGACCGCCAGAAAAGCGCCGCCGAAAGCAGTAAAAAAAGAAAAAACTGTTCAAGTTGAAGACCTGTCATTGTTTTAATTTTCTTATCTATTTATTTTCTAGTTCTAGCCTATTTGTTTGATTTTTGATTTTTTCAGACTTTCAGACAGAGAAATCAAGATGGTGGTTATTGGCAAGAAACTGACGCCGGAAAATCTAGAGTATATGTTCAGCGAGCTGGGCAGAATAACTCTGGAACGAACGGCAAGGCTGTCAGATTTTTATTTCGAATTTTCAAATGTTTCTTTTTCGAATTTTCAATATGCAAAAGCCCTTGATAAGAACCAGTTAAACGCTCTTTATGACTCTCTTATTGATGGTCCCCCGGAACACGAGTACTACGAACGGACGTTCATCTGCCCCCTGAGCAAGCAAGAAATCCATCGAGGTGCTCTTCGAAAATGTTTGAAGATTCATCTTCTCGAGCGTGAATTCAAAGGTAACTTTTCCAACCCTCCCAAAACAAGCTACGAATTTAACGATTCAGAATTCCTCTTTTACCGCCAGTTGTTCATCGAATTATGCTATAAACGCAAACGCCGACTGCTCGCCAAATGCGTGCTGAAAAAACTCATCAAAGAATCGAGCGAGGACCCAGAGATTCCAGCTATAGTTACTGAGTATTACAAGGACTGGCGAAAGCGAAAAGCGCCTCTTCCATTGCTTGTCGATGAAGTCGAGTAAATCTTTTACTACTGTTTTTTTACTGTCTTTATTTTTTTTTTCTTACGATCTGGATTTGTAAAACTGTTTTTGTTTTCTAGATAATTTTCAATTTTTTACTAAAATTATACCCACCGACTGCATTTCTAATATTTCAGAGCTGCTCATTCGAAATGACGATGATAAGAAAGAGGTTGAAAAAGCGATTTCAACGCCAAAGAAAAACAAGGAAGTTTCTCCATTAAAAATTACCTTGTGCTTTTTGAGAAGCCCAAGTATCCCTGATCAGCTTTCGTCTGTCGAATTCCCAGCTGGCAGATGCAACCATGACTAGAAGGAAAACTTCTTCCTCTGATGCGCAAGCGTCGAATGGGTTCAGAATATAATCGTAATCATGAGGGTTGGAGCCTGGCTTCGATTTGTAAAAACGAAGTGGGATGTCTGAAATCGTTGTTTTCACAATTTTTGTTCTTAATTATCTAGTCGGAAATGAATATAATTTCTGCTGAAATCAGAAACATTCTAAGTAATCAAAATGGTACCTGAATTGGGCGGCCTTTCTGGAATGAGTTTTCTCCTCTCAGGAAGCGGGAAAATACCCTCTTTGGAAACTTCTTTCTGATCGAAGAATTTTGCGAATTTTGACTTTTGAGATAGTTTCGGTTTTTCTGTTGCATTCACCGAAGCGGTCAGCTTTGCTACTCGATGATTTGATTTTTCACGGGAAATGCTTCCTTCGAAAAATTCGCTAGAATAACGACTCCATAAAATGACACCTAGAAAAAGTATTGTTGATCAAATTTTACTTTGATTTCTTTTGGATAACCTAAAACAAAGCAGGCTACGATCGTGTAAAGCGTCTTCTTTCGCGATTTCCTCATGATTCCAGCTGGCGTCAGGACTTCTCTCGGATTGTAGCTTACATAGGTCGTACTCACTTGTCCGGATTTCTCAGCAAGGGCGACATTGAAGCTCATAAAATAGAATTCAAGACCATGATCTACGTTTTGGGATGAGAGCTTACGCTGGAAAATTGCAGCGCCCCGGCCGCGGGCCACGCTAGACCGATCGAGGATTTTTATGGTTTCTTTCATTACCTTTCTATTCATCGATAAAGTAATAATTATTAATATTTATGAAAAACTTAATGTCCAAAAGAACCTTCCATTGATCTACTTTCAATTTGATATTTTAGGATTTTCTAGAATACGCGAAAATTAATTATTCATTTCTTATGATGACGTCATAACCTATAACGAATTCTTATTGGTCGATACGGTCTATAAAAGTAAAATTCCAGAATTTTTTTTTTTTTGTTTTCGACTTTTTTTGTTTTCAACTTTTTTCAACATTTTTTTTCTTTGACAACAACAACAAAGTCACGTGGTTCTGTTTCTAGAATGTTTATGAGGATCTGTTATTGTTTCTGGGAATTTTCGCCGATCAGTCATACTTCAGAAGGACTGCAGAATGGACGTTTACCGAAGGCGCAGACGACCAGGGCTGGATGCGAATGATACACTTTCGAGTAATAGGTAAGTTTGTTTTGAAATTATGGGTTCTAGAGCGGCTTTTTTAATCTGTAATAATTTAGATTGTCAACGGCTTAGAAATCGTTACGGTTCGGTATTGCTATCAATATATATTTATATAGAGCTTACTATATAAAATAATGCATACATACAGATTCATGATAGTTGAAAGACCTAAAGATATCATATTCATCTTTATTTTAACTGATTGGTGGTTTCAGGGTCGCGGTGATCGACATGATTCACTCACTGCAGGAATGTCAGCAGTGTTGATTGATTTCTACGCTGCTTTGAGTACAGATTTCGCATCCACAACTAGAACAAATGGACGATCAATTTGACGAACTTAGTGAACGTCATCGTCTCATGGCCGACGACATTTTTCTTGCTGGGGCTAATTGGGTTTCGCACAAAGACCTCAACACCTTTGACAGCGACAAACTCGTAAGTACAAACTTGATCGGAATCACGCGCTATGGGAAAGCTTTTGAAACTCGGGGTCTTATTGGCTAAAGACAAACAGCGCCACCCGTCGACCGAAAAGTCTCCCTGGCGCTGCGATTTGAGATCGCATTTAAAATGAAACGTTTATAAAAACTGCGATTTAGATTGAAGCACTAGTTTCTGTGGATGCGCAGGGAAGGCCATTTCTTTGGGAGCCTGGACACAAAGAAGACTTCGACTTGTTCAAGTTTTTTCTCACCGACCGAATGGAACCGCCGACAAATAGGGACGCGGCCGTCTTTTTCTACCACAAAGACTGGCGTTCGGAACACGGTAAAATCGTCCAGAATATGGTTCGTCAGGCACGGTTTCAGTGGGATTTACGGCAACTATGTGTAGATAACATTTAGTTCCTATTTTCTTAATTATCTTATTAATTTTTCTGGAAACATGATTAGTCTCAATAAATTTCCTGGAACTCTTCAAAGATCGTTAACGTAAATAACGGACTAATCATCAACCAGAAAAAGTAATACTAACAGTTCTTGAACACGAACGATAACTAAAGTAGTGTTAACTTACTAAGCCATTTCCTCTTCTTGCTAATTTTCTCTAATGGCCGAGACGGTGCATGGGAATAACGAAGTGAAGACGTATTCTAGAGAATTGTCGAAATTTCCAAAAAGTTTCTGAAGAAACTATCTAAAAGGCAGAGGCAGTTTTCAATCTGTCTCAACTGATGTTCTCGCTCTACCACGGATCTGGCCACGCGGCAACCTTCAGAGACTTAAACCAGCAGCTCCAGCTCAATCAACATTTGGTCATGGACATAACAAGGAGAGGATTTGTCAAGTTACCAAGCGACAATACTGTAAGTCCGACTGATCTCGCCGTTTCGAGCTAATTTTAAGATTTAGAACCGACCGAACGGCAGCAGATTTAGACGCGCACTACATGAACTGTGCTGCGATATTTTTGAAGCCGGCGGCCAGGAAGTCATCTTCTCCATGTTCGTCAATGATCACATGAAGATTATCAAGCAAAAGTGCCTGGATGCTTTGACGAACATCTTATGTGTTCCTGTGATCGAGGAATACGTACTAAATGTGAGTTGTTGCTTACCATTCGGGCGAAATGTATATCTTCACTAAGAGGAAAACTTCAGAGACACGAGTGGTTCTTGCGGTCTCTCATTCAACTCATTCGCGAGGGTGTAACATCTGAAAAAATGCAGCAGAACGTCGTCCCTTCAATCTCCGTCCTCGATCGTTTGGTGGTGGTGATTTTGTCCAAGTCGATGAATCAAAAGTATGATGTGCTCATGCGGGAACGGTTAGTCCACCTCTTTTTAACAAGAAACGACAATAGCCATTTTAGAGCGATAGAAGCATGCCTTGGTCTGCTAGAAACTGGAACAGTAGAGTTGCGAGAAGCAGCTCAAAGGCAAGTAGGAGACAATGTCATAGTTGATGACACTAGAAGCCATTTCATGAAGTTCGAAACAATCGCCATGCAGGGTAAGTTTTACCGTTGGAATTACTTAACACTGTCTTTCTTTTAAGATCTATCACACTACAGTAGTTAAGAGATAGGGGTGATAAAGGTAAGTACAACCCCAATTATGAGCACTTTTATCAATATTTTATCATCAATTACCTATCTCTTTATCTTTTTTCAAACATCAAAAAGCATCGAAAATTTCTTCCTTGATTTCAAGACATTTTTCTCGGCCTTTTGATGTTTACATGATGAAACAATTTTCATCATCTCTTGCATGCTATTTTCATTTAAAAATTTTTTCATCGCGATTTACGATTATTTTCGCCTGTATTTCAAGCTTTCGTTCGTAACTTTTCTTTCGGAATGTATTCCCGAAGTACAGCCAAATAATCGCAAATCGCAATGCTTGTCCACCGACTAACATCTCTACTTAGCGGTTTCGCTGCTTTTCAATGACTATCGCTCGACGTACTGGGACCCAAAGTTACTAACGCGTATTTGCCGTCACTGCTTCAGGGTCCTCTTTAACTGGTACAAAAAAGACACGCTCTCTCAAGACCCCTGGGCTAGAGGCGATAACTACAAGTCGATGAGCTTCAGCTCCTCCACGCTTCTCTTCGTTCTGACAATCTTGGTGAATGGAATAAGTCGACCAGCGTTGAAGCCATACATTGGAAAGATGTTCGACACGAACAACTTCCTCCTGAAGCTGGTGATGAAGATGACGACAAACCGCTACAACGACAGTGGCCGCTGTCACATCATCATCAACCCCGACGTTCTGAACGACCCGCTCCACACCAATGATCGTCCGATTCTTCAAGCACTAGGGTAAGAAAACTACCAATGAACTATCGACTATCCTAGGACCTAGGCACTTGTACAACACGATGTACCCTAACGAGAAGATGCGCTACATGAACAACGAGAAAGGAGAGCTGCCGCAAGTGCTGATCAATCCTCTTCAAGACTTGACTGAGCACGTGCTACGAAAATGCAGCAATGCGAAATGCAAGAAGATGGAAGAAAAGGAGAGATTCACTCTTTTCTGTCCCAGATGCCAAGTCATGGTCTACTGCTCCGAATCCTGCAAGAAGTCACACAAGTCCAAGCATAAGCAACTGTGCAGCTGGTTGTACCATCGCGAAATGAGGTGAGATTCATTGTGCAGTCTCTTTCAACTAAACATCCTTTTAGCAAATGCAAGAATGAAAGAACCAAAACCCGCTCCATGTCAAAGAAAGAAAAGAAAAATCGTCGTTTCGGAGAAGAACTCTCGAATTCTCAGTCTTCTGAAGTATAATTCAATCTGCACCTTCCTTTATCGTATTTTTTATTTTTTTTTTCGCACTTTATCTCATAGCCATTTATCTGTTTCACTTCTTTTTTATAAAAAAACATCTCTTTTGGATGAAAAAAAAAACTAATAAAAATCTCATTTTGTTTTATAAAAAAAACCGTCTGAGGATAAACGCGAACGAGTTTATCTTTTGGCCTTTGTTTTGAATTTATTAAATCTAAGCAAGCAGTTTTTGTTCACAGTTAGTAGAACTGCTAATTCTGAACTTTTCTTTTCGGTAGATGACGCGCGCCTCCGAAATCGTCTGTGGCAATTGGCGGTTCAATGTTTCAGGCAGTGCCCAAACTGCAGCGCTAAATTGGAAAAAAGGAATCATTACAAGAAAAGTCATAAAGTTGTCTTACCACCCAGCAAGGCTAAAAACAGCATAGAGAGAATAGACAACAGCGTAATTCTCACTGAATGCCAAGTACGGAGCGAAGAAGCCAGCAAGTCCTTCGAGAATCGAGACAAGTCCCATTCCAGCTCCGCGGATAGAAGTCGGGAAGATCTCGGAAATGTAGACGTAACTCGAGCTGCAAAAAGCGTTAATCGCAAAATTCAGCGTCAAAATTTTACCTGAAAGCGACGGAGATGGCGAATTTGCCGGCGAAGCTTATCCACGTTCCAACTGTTTCTTGAGGCGAGTTCTTTGGAAAGTACTCGAAAAGAATGGCGCTCATCAAACAGCTGCCAAAAGCTGCTGCGAAAGAGCTTCCGATGAGTAAACGCCGAGTCATTTTCGGCATGAGTAAAAAGGCGACGACCGCAGACAGTGCATCTAGAATGCTGTTGATCAAGTTGTTCGTGTAGAGATTGCCGGGCAACGATGCTGCGCCAAGGGAGGTGCCGTTGTAGGCGACGCCAACGAGGAAGAAAACTGTCGAGCAAAGGATCGACAAGCGCAAAATAAGCGGGTCTTTTCCAAGTTCGACGATCGAACTATCCGGCTCTAAAATGGAAAAGCAAATTTCAAAACCAACTCACAAAGGAGCTTCTTACCATCATCAATAGCAACAACATTCTCCCTAAATCGCTCCTTTAGGTCTGGCGAAATCTTTGACTTCGTCTTCTTTTCAAAAATCTCCAAAGTTTGAAAGCCGCCTTCGATATCGCCGCGAGAAAATTGCCATTTTGGAGAGGGTGGGCAGTACATCATCTTGACGAAAATTTCAATTTTTGAATTTGGTAGACGCATTTTGTAAGGAAAGGAGGAGGGTAGATAGCTTATATTGGGTTTACAATGTTTTTGACCTCTAATGGTAACCTTTAGCCAATTATTGAAATTTGCACCGTAACGCGGCGGGAAGTGTCTAGCGGTGGAAGTAGGGGGGAAATCGAAGGTAGGGGGGTAAGAGGGACTCGTCTGCCCTGCTATCCGGCGGGTGACCAGAATGGCCGGACCAAGCGGGTGACAAGTCCGCCCTGGCCGGACTGCCCTTCTCCGCAGGGGATGCGAGTCTCGGTGGGAAATTGCGAAGTGACCTTGCAAAATCCTGATCACAAGGGTGTTCCGATGATGGAGCTTATCTGCACTAGGTTCATTTTTCAGAGGATCAAGAGCATTTTTCTTCAAAAATTTTCAGGAAAAAGGCTATTTATACAAAAACGAATATGAAGATTCCGAAAATCGAGGTTATAACTTCTGAAAATGAAAGTTTCTTCATGAAAACATGCATCAAAGAACATCCTCTTCTTATCTAATTATGTAACAGCTGTCTTATCATCTTCTTTTCTGTTTGAATTTCCTTTAACTTTCTTCAAGCTGATCTTCTGACTTTGTCGGAGTAATTACAGATGCTTCGTTTATGTTTTCACCTAACGGAAAGCTATTTAATTGTTCTCTCCTTCTCGTTCATTCAGAAAATAAAAGAAATGAGTGAGATATTTTCGAAACTCAAAAAAGCTTTGCCAATTGGTATTTAGCAGGCTCAGAGATTTTGCCACATCCCAGTAATAAACGATTCATCTTTACAGTCTTGAAGGTAAGAATAAGTGTCAGAAGATCAGCTGGAAGAACATTAAAGGAAATTCAAACAGGAAAGAAGATCATAAGACAGCTGTTACATAATTAGATAAGAAGAGGATGTTCTTTGATGCATGTTTTCATGAAGAAACTTTCATTTCCAGAAGTTATAACCTCGATTTTCGGAATCTTCATATTCGTTTTTGTATAAATAGCCTTTTTCCTGAAAATTTTTGAAGAAAAATGCTCTTGATCCTCTGAAAAATGAACCTAGTGCAGATAAGCTCCATCATCGGAACACCCTTGTGATCAGGATTTTGCACGGTCACTTAGCAATTTCCCACCGAGACTCGCAGTCCCCTGCGTAGAAGGGCAGTCCGGCCAGGGCGGACTTGTCACCCGCTTGGTCCGGCCATTCTGGTCACCCGCCGGATAGCAGGGCAGACGAGTCCCTCCTGACTCAAGGTAGGCAGGCCAGATTTTTGAGAAGCTAAAACGGGCTTAGCCTAAGGGTCCCTTATTAAGCGACCGTGAAATTAGAAAAATTCGCTAAAATGTGTTATGCTTCTGATAAAATAGTATATTTAGAAAATTGAAACTTTCCAGTGGAATTTGAATAAAATAGAATATTGACAAAACTATGGTCATTTGCCTCCAGTTGCTCCAGTAATAGGCCACTGGCGATGATAAAAAGAAGCCGATTCCAAAAGCAAAACTGACGTAGTTAGACCACTCCCGTTTGGATGGACCTAAGATTTCAATAGCATAAGCAACAGAGGCCATGTATCCAATATTGTCGAAGAATCCCGTTAGTATCTTCAGCGGAAGGAACTCGTACCACGTATCGACGAAAGCTGAGCAAAATGTTATAATTCCACATGCAATGGACGATAAAATCAGCGTCTTCTTTCGACCGTAACGGTCCGCCAAGTTTCCGCAGAAGATGCCACTTACGAGCTGTCCTGGTGCAATCTTAAACAAGGGTTCGACTTTGTGCGTCTTTTTTAAGCTCAGTTAGTAATTCTGGTGAACTCTTGACATAGAGGGAATGAAGCTGACGAGCCACTTGTTGTCGCAGTGCAAGTTCATTTCCATCGGAAATGAGTACAGACCAGTGTCGTCCATTGCATACACAATTTGCTCGCAGAACTCGCTGTTGCATGTGATTACGTCATCAGATAAACTCGTGCCGCAAATGTCCTCTTGAGTCAATACTGTCGAGTTGCAACTTTCCCCGGTGAAAGCAGATACGCCGACTGTAGTAGAATTCCAGGAGATATTATTCTGATAGGAAGAGGCTTCATCTAAAGCTCCGGTACAGCGGGTCACGCTTTCGTAAAATTGAAATATTATCAGCTGCGCAGCTAGGCCAGAAATCAACGCAAAGAAGCCAACATTAAATGTTAATATTTTTTGGTAGGTACTGAATTCTGGTTGAGATATTTATTTGCCGAGAAATTCTTAGAAATGAAAGTTTTTCTCTTTTATAAAGTTCATAAAATTCTGTTGGCAAATAATGACCCCAAAGGTCACCATTTATCTTCAGATAAGAGACTTATATGGTCCGATGAAACTATTTTCTCTTAGCTTGGCTACAGTACCTCAGCAAGAGATCAGCTACTGTAATCGACCCTTGACTGAAAAAATATGGAAAAAAGTTCTTTGTATGTCAACCTGTCAATCCTTATATGAGGCAAATACTCCCAGACATCATCAAAACTTGCCATTGACGGGCGTTTCTTGATCACTTTTTCTCTATTTGTTTCTTCTTTTTCTCTTTTCTTCTTTTTGATTTATACAGTTAATAAGCTCTGGGAATCTTCTTGTATTTAGAACTCTTCGCGGTTGGATTTTATATTTTCCATATGGGGCTGGATGTGGTTCGAATCTTCAACCTCGTAAAAAGCGCATTTTTACGAAGTTCGAAAAGAGTTAGTTAAGGCTTGAAGTTTGAGTTTCAAACTGGACAGTCTGTGTAAACAATTTTTGTGAAGTGAGCTTAGACTCGGCTTTCTCGGCGCAGAATTCAAAATTTCGAAAATTTCCAATTTCTTTCTTCTCAAGTGCCTCCGCTCCCCGAGCTGGAGTACTGCTCAGCCACTTCCTTGCCGGCGAAACTCAGGAAGGCGGGAAAAGGCAGTCTTGGCTGCTAGAAACGAGTTTCGCCTGATTACATGTGTTCACTGCGCGCCCTCCAGTCTGAAAGACGTCGTAATTTGTAAATCGTTAGTTCTTCTGTATTTCAAAAAATACAAGCATTGAATTGAAGCAAAAATTACCGTTATTTTTATTGATGCGTTTTTTTATTATTGACGATTGAATGAGAAATTTTAGCGAACCACTAGTTTTTTTCTTCGTTTTGAAAGACTTTCCTAACCTAACCTGAACATTAACTCTAACCCTAACCCTAAAATTTGCTTATGAAATTTAAACCAGGTGTTTGAAAAAGGGTTGAAAACTCATTATAGAGATTTGGCTGGCTGCCAGGTTCCATTCTGAGTTTGGTTGAACCGCATCTCTGAAATTCGGCCCCGGGCTACCATCTCTAGTTTTTTTATGACTGCGCACGTTGCACAGAGCCTAGCCATTGCTAACTGTCCTGGACATTGTTGAATAATGTTAATAGAGAAAATAAAGTGAACTTTGCGATGATTTCTGGCCTTGTTACCGCTCTCTTCTTGGTCATTCTACTCGAGTTCGCGGTTCTGGTATCGAGAAGATCTGGAAGCTCGGGGATCGGCTTTGGTTCAAACCCAAGAATAAGAGAAAAAAGAGGAGCTCCTGATGAAGGCCTTGGGACTTATTTTTCAGGAGAAACTTATGACTACTCCGGAGAATACAGGCACTGTTTGAACAAGTGTTTTTTGCTCGTTACATAATTTTATAGTCGCTAAAAAATTTTCGAAATGACTGATATTTTTTCAAACCGCAAAAAGAATTGTTCGATTCCACCGTTCTGAAGGGGCAGTGTTCAGTAATCCTTGGGAATGGGACGATCTGACGTTGGCAACTCAAGGATCAGTCGACAAGTTATTCTACCTGAAGACGATCACGGAGCGTTTCGATGGACCTCTTTCCGTATCCATCTTTTGTCCAGGTTATGATGGAGCATTCGCTGACGACGCTATTCACTTGCTGAGAAAATGCTATCCGAAGGTAAGATCTTTCATTGCTTTAGCAAATCTTTCGATTACAAAATAAGATCAACGAAAACGTGATGTTTCACCTGGTTTATCCTGCAGAGCAGCCAGCAGACCTAGCCTACACGACCGGATGGCGAGAGCTCGAATGTGACGAGTTCATTCAAGAACTCAAAGCTTTCACATCAACAGAAAGTGAAGGAGCGGGATATTGATATTTTCATCTTGTTTTTCTTAAATTTAAATGTTCACAATTATATCCCTCTGAAGCAGTTATTTTCCCTCACAACGTTTTGCGGAATGTAGCGCGCTCTGCTGTTCATTCGGAATTCTTCCTCCTGCTCGATATCGACTTGAGCCCCAGCGTCAACTTGAGAACCTCATTCATCGAATATGCAAACGAAAATGATCTTTCGGAGAAAGATGACGACCTTGTTGTCTATGTTTTGCCTGCGTTTGAACAAAAACCGGACATGAAAGTTCCAGAAGATAAAGCGCAGCTAATCAAAGAGATCGAAAATGGAAACATTCGTCCCTTCCACAATGAGACTTGTTTTCCATGTCACAGGCCAGAGAAATACGAGCAGTGGAAAACTATGAACGGAGAATTTATCGCATTTGAAGCACCCTGGGAAGAAGCTTGGGAGCCCTTTTACGTCGGCAGGAGAAAGTAAGAATCTTCCTTTTTCTTATCAGAACTTTAATTTTTTTCTAAGTCTTCCGTACTATGATGAGCGCTTCAAAGGATTCGGATTCGACCGGATCCAACAAGTTTGTGAGCTGTACGTCGCCGGGTACACAATGAAAGTGCTCTCTGAATCTTTCGTCGTCCACGATGACTGGAAGCGGCCCGCACTTGGCGGAGAAACAACGCCTAAAGATAGCTTCAACTGGTATCTTTTCAATTATCATTTCAAAGATGAGCTGCAGAGAAAATACAACACTTCCAAGACTTGCAGCCCCCTTCCTCAAGATAGTCAAATGGTAAGTGTCCAAGAATTAACATTTTTCTCCAGATAAAAATTTAGACTGGACCTCGGCAAGGAAAGCCGTTAAATGATAGAAAGGCAAATGACGACTTTAATCGATACCAGATCCAGCAGAATATGATGGGCAAGCCAGTTGCCATCAAGGTAAGAGATGGCTTTCAACGGCTGGATGCAAAAGTACAATTTCAGAACGAGCCACCGTTCACCATGGATGTGCCGTCAAATCCACTGGCACTGCTGCCAAACCACGACCATCGCAAGTTGAAGGTGCTCAAGTCACACATTCGAACCTATACGCATGATGAGCTGAAAGAAATTTACCAAAAGGGTCTATCCAACGACGGAATCATGAAAGAGTTCCGCGTGCCCAAAGACGACGACCTGACTTGGGAATTCGACAATTAATTGTTATCCACTACACAATCGCAATCACACCATTATTATTTATGTTCGCAAATATTCTAGTTTCATAAATGTTTATTCTGCTCAAGGAAAAATCCGAAATAAAATAGTTGTTTCGTGCAACTATCTCCAAAATGATGAGTTTATTCGCCCCAGTGACAGCAATATGAAGCATTTGGGCAGGAAAAGCCTTTTATCGGGTTTCATATTTGAATTTTTCGTCTGATTTTTTTAATAAAAATGGCTAAAATATGAACCCAAAGCTTGAACGCGCACTCCACCAGCGTTGGCACCGGCGCAAGTGGCCACATTGGAGCAGAAGAACAGCTTTCCTGATTCTTGTTCGGCAGCAATGCATGTGTAGTTGTCGCTAAAATTACCTTAGAAGGCATTTTTTCCTATTCAAAAACCTTGCGCGCTGGCAATAACTAGTGATGCACTCTTCGCATTTGACATCGTCGGGGTTGAGGACGCACTCCTGGACGCACATGCCCATAGCACATCGTCTAAAAGCAGCAGAACCATCTGAAATCGTCAGCTTTCCTGGTCTCGTGAGAGTGTACTACCAAAACAAAGTCAATAAAGAAACGCTCGAAAGAGCTTACCTTGTTCAAGACGGCAAGAGGTCCATTTTTTCGACTGTTTTGTCTTTCTTTCTGTCCGTGGTGCTTGCCCTGTCCTCGCTGTTTCTGAGGGCAGTTTTCTGTTCGACATTGCGAGCATTTTTCATTGAACAAATCTCCAACGCATTCTTTTGAGCACGATTCTTGCGCACATTCAATCGCCTTATTCACTCCTAGAACATCACTGAGTACTCGATCAAGGAAAACAATTACTTACGGTCTGGAAGAGGGCATTGCGAGGTCTTGAGGCAAGTAAAGCAAGACTCCTGCAACCAGTTTTTATCTGGACATTGAGCTTGGCACTTGGATCTTTTGCACTGTCGAAAAGCCTTCAATTGTCTTTTCCATGCAGCTTTGGCTTCAGGATTAGACATGTTGCCCTCGCGATGCTGTCTCCATCCTGCCTCGCAAGAAGAAACGAAAACGATGAGAGCGGAAAGCTTCATTTTATTTTCTCTATTCTCGAGAAATTGAAGGAATAGAAAGGGGTGTCCTTTAAGAAATCTATTTATTTGGCGGGATAAGTAAATAACAAACAGGGTTGGGCAAATAGTACTTGCACAGTCAAAACAGGTCCAATCAGCCCCGTGCTGGTTTTAGATTCTCTTTTAGTATTCCCTTTTCGCCACGTGAGAAGCACATCATCAACGGCTGGAGAGAGGGTTCCAGAGCAATCTATTCGAATATGAAATGAAACAATTCGTTTATGTTGAGTTAGGACTACTACTAAATGTATATCTGTAACCCCCACTGTATTGAAACCATAAATAAACTAATGATAAAAATGATGTCTAGTGTTCCAAACGAGCTGAAAAGTGCAGTTAGCAGAAAGCAGATAAAACTAATTCTCTACTTTTGGAGAGTTGTAGTCACGAACGAGAAGAGAGGAATCGATAGAAATCCAGTTAGTCCAGCAATGCTCATGCTAAAGAAATTGATTGACTGAACTTGAGCTTGGTCTACCTGAGGCCATAAAGGACACCGAATTGCTGGAATGGGAACAGAGTGGCAACGTAGTTTGCTTGGCTGGGATAAGTTGTTTATAAGGCCGAAAGCAGGAGCTAACTACCTTGAGTAGACTGAAGATCGGAAGAAGATCTCAAACAGACAAGTAGAAAAAATGAAGATATATTTTTTCTCCTGCTGGACTGCCGCTAAAATCGCGGAACTTGTCGATAAAAGAATCCCAAGGAACGATGTCAGGACGAGACTTGCGCCACACGAGACATATTTTGATCGAGCTTCATCTTCAAGAAGATTTCTTACTTCTAGTTATCTTGCAAAAGACTTACCATCCGGGAACTTGCTCGCAACAAAGTTAATAAAGATTCCCATGAGGGGCGCGACAGCAATGCCGAAAAACTGCAAGACGCCAAAGAAGCTTGTCCAACTGGAAACGCAGCCACACTCAGAGCTACAGTTGATCGTCACCCAGGCGTTGAAGGCGGAAATGAAGAATACGTGGCGCAAGTTAGTAACTAGCAATTATCAAATGAAACTAGACACTTTCCTTTCTACGGGCGCACTCACCAATGTACCATAAATTCATGAAGATGAAGTTTTTTGTCAGCACCTTTTCCTTGATATCCTCCCACTGCGTGCAAAGAAATCTATCGTCCGACCTGCAGCTTGTTAGCGATCCAGATTCCTTAGCGTATTTCGCTGACTTCCAATCTCTCCAAGAGAAGGAAAAATTATCCGTTAGGGGCCATGGAATCGCAGCTTTGGGCATGCAGAAAAAAGTTCGGAGCCACATAATGAATGTTAACCCCGCAAGTCCAAGAAATAGCTGTCTTTTCAAATGCTCACTTTAACCGTAACAAAAAGTATTATGAGTATTGGGAGAATCTCCTGTAGGAGACGCCGAGTTCGTAGAGCACCTTCAAAAGCATGAATGTACTCAGCGATGGTGTCAATTAATCGATTCAATTGATCTAGCGCAAATGAAACGAGCGGTTAGGCGGCGTGCGCCTTAGAAGCCCCTTCCAACAAGTGGAGAGACGTTGGAGTGTGTTCAATCGAAAGCGAATTCAAAATCGCCAACGATTTTTTCATTTTCAAACTTATTATTTGACACCATCCATGATGACGAGTCGTAAACGCCGTTGAGAAGGGTGACCACTAGAGCGCGCTTGTCCTCGTCTTATCAAGGCTTCAACAATTTATAATTTTATAAATTTTTGAATAATTATTAAACAATGCGAAACCTTTTCATAAATTTCCAATCTGCATATTTGTCACTTTCAATGGTTTTCAAAAGTCAGCTATCCTCCCCCAATTTCTCGGTATTTCAAAAACTAAGACTAGAACCATAATTCCCGCCATGCCAATAATGATCGTGCCAACATAGAGGAGCCAGGGTACTGACTGAGTGGCGAATGCCAAGCACAGTATTCCAACGGTCTCGGATATTACGACAACGATTCGTGTCTTACCAGTTCCGTAGCGATCGAAAATCCAGCCGAAAAAAGCGCCGCCGATTTCGTATGAAGCAACGGCGGCGACAAGGATCGACTTGAAAATGTTTAAGACGGGGAATATTGAGTATTTTTAGACTTACATTGAAATGAGCATCCTGGGATGCACATGAAGCAGCACAAGTTTGATTGATTTCATGCTCGTAGCCGTCCCCACATTCATCGTAAAAGAACCCTTCTTCTTTGAAAATGAAAACAGCACTGCCCCAGCCAAGAATAAGTCCAGAAAAGAGGTATTGCTTGGAAAAAAATTTAAAATTTGAAAATAAATGTTTGATTGTTATTCAACAAAAATGAAATTTTATCCTTTGCTCAAGTATCGCTGTCCAGAGAGAAGTCCATCGTCCGACGGCCATTAAGGATCGAAACTAACCTTGGATAGCATCAAGTTTGTTTAGTTCGTGGCAGTTCTAGAGACACGATTTTGTTTTTTGAGGATGGGTCAGAGTGAACGGGATTTGTTATTTAAAGTTTTAGTGCTGGGCAATTTGGGGATTTATGGTACGTTGACAAGAAAATGAAAGGAATAGGTGCGATGGGCTGCTTGTTCGGCCGCGTGCGTAAGCGGGTTACTGACGGCAGCGCGTCTGATCACTACTAAATTGCCCAAATTTGGCGGACACTGGTGACACACACAGCTCATCGCCCCAATTAAACTGTCCAACAAGCATTAATTGGAAAAGAACTCCTCGAAGCTGTACAGTCAGCCACAGTGAAAGTGATGAATAAGAACGCCGAGGCAGTAAATTCGTGCCCAATTCGCTTCAGCGGGGCAAATTGACAGGTGGCAAACATTCCAACTGGTCTCGCCCGGCGATCTGCCCTGAGGCAAGTGCCGTCGCCAGTAAATCTCGCCCTCGGGTCTGGGAAACCATTGAAAAGCCACATGTCTCCATGATATATGATTATATTGGTCGTTATCTGACTGCTAAGCGCATAAGTAGCAGTTCTTCCCGATCAACCAGAAATTCGTATGCTCCTTCTTGCGAAATAGGAACAAGAACAAGCTATTAGCGACGTAATTAAAACTAGGTGAAAGGCGATCCAAATCCTACTTGGTGTGATTTGGGACGAAAATGGAAACTTTGTAATCCGTGAACGGCTGGTTTGTTCTGGCTACCTCCGCTTCCGAGAAAAGCTTGAAAATCGCGCAGATGGCACACTTTTCCCATGTTTCTCGATGGAGCTTAAAATAGCACCAGCCCTTAGGATTTTGCCAGTGGCTTTGAATAATTCGAAGCTCAAGGACTATTCTTGGACTCATATGATTGAATTCGGAATAGAGCCGGATAAGCTAGCTGTCCAAGATATGCGAGATAGCTGTCACGACTTGCAAGTTCTTTTGGCTATACTTCTTGCCCGAAAAGACTGAGCTGACTTGAGCAAATTTGGAAAGATTAGCCATCGGCCGATGGATCGGAAAGATGATTTATTTGAGCCGGGACAAACAGCGATGCAAATTCTTTGTAGTCATTTTCAGTAATCTTCTGCGCATTCAATCAAGGGCGCTTCATTTTTATAGCGAATTATAATTGTAAAAAATATTTTAATCGAGCTTGTTTTACAAAACACTCGATAGATTAAGGAGGTTTCTCAAAAATTTAGTCTTTCGTTCTTTAGCAAATGAATTGAGAAAGAGCTGAGTAGGCGAATGTGCAGTAAGAAGCGAATTCAGAGTGATTTATTGGAATGAGGAAAATGCTACAAAACGGGCCTTTGAGTGCGGTGGTGCGCAGGGGTTAAACGGTTATCAGAACGGCGTCGCGGTCATCGTCAAATATTTACGAAAGCATCAATTGTTGCAGCTTAAGCCATCCGTTCCAGCAGTCGGATAGCACAGCTGGGCACAGCATCACACCCTCAGAGACACCCTTCCTCTACTATTCAAGTAAGTTATGGAAACTTCGGAGACATAAATTAAAATAAGCGCATTTTTTCAATTTACAGCTCTACTGTCAATTAAATCAATATCAATAACTGTAAGAGACTATTTCCAAAGAAAAAAATCTTCTTCGAATTTTACTGCTATTGAAATAATATCTAAGAGTAACTGAGGACTCTCATGAAATGCAAGAATAATACTTGTAAAAAAAATGTTATTTTGATGGCAAGCCACATCCCCCATAAAAAGAGCATCCTTTGGTGTTTCTAGTTTTATTTAGACTAGATTTGCTATTTTGCTCTTTTACAATTTGCAAGTTGCAAAGGCGAATCATTAGAGCCACGCCGATCGCACCTGCTTTATTACAACTAGAAATAAAAGCAAAACAAGTCTCTTTTCTCCACTTTGATTTCACTTACACTTTTCTAGGGGGCGCTGTTAACGCTGCGTCGAGAACAAAAATAAAGAGTCGAGCACGAAGCAATCGTCTGTGACTTGGAGGCTCCGGAGCGCCACGCGCTAGAATACTTTAAGACCGACTAGGTTGACCAGCTCGAGCACACAAACCGAGTTACTTGTATCAGAAACAAAGCAAAAATGACCGGAAAGATTCTGCCAACAAAAGAGTCAAAGAACAAGAAGAAGAGAAACCCGGGCGCAGTCCTGAGACGAAACGCTCGAGAGCGGGACAGAATCCGCAACGTCAACGATGCCTTCGACGAGTTGAGAGATCACGTGCCCAACGGAGATGCTGGACGAGGACGCAAGATCTCGAAGGTCGAGACGCTCAAATCAGCGATCGAATACATCAACGCACTCAAGGATCTTCTCGGCGACGAATTGAAGCCAGTCGAGTTGAGCGATTTGGACGACAAACGTTCAAAGACTCCATGCGAGCAGCAACCAGAGACAAAACAGATTCCACCACAGCAGCTTGCCTACGCGACTGAGCAAACCAACGACTCGCATGTTTTCGACAAGTTCGAAGTCCCATCTTCTCCCGAGTCTGGCGTCGGAGCTTCCTCGAACGAGACCTCGATCGACTTGGATCACTTTTCCTCGACAGAAGACTCGCTTGATCTTCTTCAGCTGCCGACGAGCTTCGCCGCCGATTTGCTCCAGTCGTCTCACATTGACTTTGCCAACCCATCGACCCTTTCCTTTGCAAAGTACTGAAATCATGGAAGACTCACTTTTATTTCTTTATTTTCTTATTTCACCTGCCTGACTCTCTCTTTTTTTTGTCAACTTGTCCAAGTCTACAACCGTAGGATATCGGATAAAATGATCTTCTTTTACTTATCTTATTCCTCTACATTATTTTAATGATTTGAGCCAACGAATTTATTGTACAAATAAAAATAAGCTATGAAAACCACTTTCGAATTGTAATTTTAATTGAGCATCAATGATTAATGAACAAAATTCGAAGCTCGGAAATGAGTGGAAAATCCATTCAGAAATCAATTGTCTTTCATATCGAAAAGACGGGGCAGCTGGCCAGCGCTGGAACATTTTCGAAAGACACTTGGAAATTTTCGTTGAGCAACCCTTGTCGAGAACAATGAATTAAAAAAATACAATACTCGATTTACAGAAAAAAATTGTTGCTAGAATTTTGAAAATGGCTTTATTTGAAGGCAAAGCAGAAAATTAAATTCTTCAGGAGCAAATCCATCGTCGTCAGTTTGTTCTTTTCATTCTCAGCATCGCAACGCTCGGACTATAAAATCATCAGAAAAGCTACCTGGCTCGGAGATGGCGGAATGCACACTTTCGCCATCGATTTCTGGCGGGTTTCTGCTGCGTCGGTACTGTTCAAGGCTTTTTGAAATCAAAGAATAATAACATAAGCTTAATAATAATAGTAACAAGAGACTCTGAATAAAAAACTGCCCTTCATGATGAGCTTTTTAAAAGAAAACGACTCCTCCATTTCGAAATTCTCAAAGGAAGTAAGAGAACTTTCCCGCAGCGTCCTATGTCGTGGCTGGACTGGCTTTCCTAAAATAATTAAAAAAGTGCTCGAATCAAGCTATTGTGAGGCTTGTTAACGCGACCACTAACTTGAACATGAAGGAAATGCCGATCTGACTACAATCTCTCTAAAAGACATGTTTGGTGTTTTTATTTGGTTCACAAATTGAACCACGCTCTTTATATCACCCGTTGAAGCCGCAAAAACGCATCTTGAGGGAAATTCGATTATCGAGCGAGAAATTGAAATTCGCAGGAAACAGTGATTCTGTACCCCAAAAATACGTTGCCTTCCGTCTCAATTTAGACAATCAAATGTAAATGGTAACGAATAAGCTAGTTTATTTAAAGAGAGAACAAATAATTTCGCAGCTCAATAAATGACGCTACTACTTCTTCGGCAGTCGGGATGATCTCGTCCGGCCCAAGCAAAAATCCAAATTTACCATCGTCTCTAAGAAATACACTCATAAAAAAAGCCAAGTCATGGGCCTTTAATCATGCACGATCTGTTAATTGAACCATCCAGAATCTATCATCATTAGAATCGTTCCATCAACGTTAATAATAATTGATTACTAAGAACTTGTATAACTTCGACTCGTTACCAAAATCAAGGCTTGCTTGTCAAAATTGTTTTCAGCTTGTCAAAAAAGGTGACCTCGAAAATGCACCGGTCAAATGCCTAATTCATCATCAAAGACATCAAACCTGAGCTCGTAGACCCATGCGTAGGGAATATCCAAGCCAGCTTCAGGATGGTATGCATAATCTTCAGTGGTGCCTCCCGCAGCATATCCGACGACATCACGTGATTGGCCGACTTCGTACGTTTTGCCGTGTGTTCTGAAAATAGCATCGCCCATTCGCAGGCTTAGTTCTTCTAGCTCGCTGTAGCTTGACTCGGTTCAAATATTTAAAATAAAATCGAAGATGCTAGCTGGCGTCAATCTGTTTCCGTCGTGCATATTACCTAATTAAACTCCCTAAAGACGACTAAAGGTCGATTTTTCGACCCTCCATTTTAGAGGTTATAAGAAAAGGACAGTAACTGTTTCAACCGAGTTTGGAGGATCATCCGCGAAAAGTCCACCAACATCTCTTCCAGTCGCCCATGGAGGCATCAAAAGTTGACTGTATGTATGCACACTAAACCTGCTTTTAGTCTAGCAAAAGTGATGAATTCCGACCTGATTTGCGCAGAAATTGGCTTTTCTTGATGCAGTTCTCGAATCCAGCTGTCCCAAGCTTGTGTTTCCGGTTGTGAAATAGGAGCTAAAAAACCGTCTTTTTCAGAAAAATTAACTCCTTCCTCACTTTCATCTGCGTAAGTGATCATGCATTCGACAGTAGTTCCCATTCCAGTGCGATGTCCAACTGGAAAATTTCTATTCTTTAGATTCAGTAGTGCTTCAATTTGAGTCACTGTATCGATGAGCTGGTTGATTCGGCTAGAGTCACTACGCGAAGCGTCGTTGTGGTTGAATAGCGACTGCACCGCGATGAAGGTGACAGGTAAAGGATGAATGCAACAATATATGAAACGTGCTTCACTGACAGATAATGTGTCAGTTTAGTGTATTCTAGTGCCAACAAGAAGAAGAGCTCATCTCTCTTAGCTTACGAATCTCACGTTCCTGTTCAGGTCGACGCCTTTGCACGTGCCCCCATAGTCCGCCCGGTTCTTTCTGAAAAAAATTAAGGACTTATAAGAACTAATAACTGTTCTTCAAACTACCCCTGTTTTATTTAAACAAGCCCTTGTAAGATCAAAGCCGCTCTTTTTTCATTTAGAGCAGAGTAGTCGCCCGAAATGGGCCCTAGAAAATATCCTCGAGATAAAAATTATGACGATATTACCGCCACATCCTATCAGCAATCCAAGTCCACTCGTAGCCGTCCGGGTTCGCGTATGGCATTATGTACCAATCGATGCTTAACAAAGCGGTTAGTTTATGAAGAAGACGATAAGCTGGAATTTTCCAAGATCTTTTTACTTACTCGAGTAAACTGGCAACATCTTCTGACGAAAAAGGAAGATGAGCTGTATCAATTGGGAGACCAGAAGCTGCTGAGAGCGCCAAATTTATAAAGTATCGGCAAGAGGCAGGGGCAACCCACTCTCTAGCGTGAAATCCGCAGTCTGCTCAAAGGTCAACCGAAAAAACCACGGCGAATCGCTTCACTTTCGTCTTTGTTTTCAGCGTCTAATGAACTCAACGCGAGATTTTTCTATTTTCGATTTGTTTGATGGTGACATGTTCTGATGTTCTGAAATTTGAGTTGCAGATCATTTTCGAAACCTGTCACCAAATAAATTAAAAGAGGAAAACATCCAGGCGTAAAGTGGGAAAAAACCTGAAATTGGGGAAAATGTTTTCTTAAAATAACAGCCAAACAACATGAAGGGGGCCTATTTTCTGCGGTTTCAACACGTTTTTCACGTTTTCTTGTAGCGGATTTTTGCGCAATTTTAAATTGCCAATTTGTGCTTCGCATGACACTTAGACGGGTGTAATCTCCTGTCACATGTGGTTTCATATTGGCTTCGCTGATGGGTTATTAGCATTTCATGACCTGTTATGGAGTGGTTTTTGGGTCAGATAGGCAGCTAAGGGACGTGTAAGAACAAGTCGGTCTTGGACTAAAATATCTCTAAAATTTGCTTCGTAAATTAATCAAGCTTCATGAGCCACTCTTCCTTTCCTACGAAGATGCGTTTATCTGAATTTCCAGCGTTCTTCCCAATCTGGAGTCCCCACAAGTCGCGCCCTGAATTCATAATTTTCGCCGTAAAAAGAAATCATTTATATTTCGCCTAAGCGCAGCGCCCCGTTATTGAATTCGGAAAACACTTGAATTCGCACTCGCTAGTTGAGCAACACTTTAACACTCCCGTGCATTTGATTTTCCTTCAAAAAAAAAAGAAATCATAATCAAACAGTTTTCGCGCAATCACTTTGTCTACACCTTGCTCGGTTTCTGTCAAATGCTTGAGTTGAGCAAGCCTGGGCTCGGCAACCTGTGTAAAAAACCTGAGTCAGCTTCTGAAGAGCTAAAATTTGCGTTTTTCAAAAAGCCGCTAAGTGGCTTTTAATTTTAGCTCTTTAGAACCTGACTCAGGTTTTCTTCGAAGGTTGCCGAGCCCAGGAGCAAGCTCGGGGAACTTCTCGACTGTTTCGCGCATCCAGCGTTCGGCTTTTCAGTAATGTTAAAAAAAGACTGTCGCTATTTCCTTGTTATTTCCTAGTTTTCTTTTGTTAACTTTCCTTGTGGATAGGTAAGAAAGATATTGTAAGGCAGGGATTCCATTTGGTCAACATTTGCGGGCTGTCGTTTCTGTTCGCTGATAGCAGCTTCTGTAGTCAGGGTTTAGGAATGTACTCGTGCACAATAATTTTCACCCCTAAGCAGCGAAATATCACTTTACATTCGCCACACACTTGTCCGTGTTCTTTTTGAGTCCAGACGAATTCACGAGTTGAAACGCGAACGAAAAATAACGTAATTAGACGAGTTCCTTCCAGAACCGTTCCTACATCGTCGACGAGAATTTCAAACTCGTCAAGAGCAAACTGCTCGCGCAATCCGCGAAGACGATTGTCTAAATTGTTCATTTCCGAACAAGCTGCATTGAAAACGTTGACCTACCTTCGATAAGGAAATCGGCACTTTTTGTTTGCTCCACTTGCGCGGCAAAATCCGGCTCCCACATTTGCACATTTTTCTTTAAACGCGTTTGTTGCCTTATTCTTCAAGAGGGGCAAAGTTGAGTTGATCAAACGCTTTCCTCTCTGGCCAGAAACTCGGCAAGTTGTCGAATTCTTGCGTCGGTAAGGTTGCGCATTCGGACGACTTTGAATTGATTTCCAAAATAATACACGAGTTTCGTGGCGAACAGGTGGCAAGTAGCTTTTTGAAAATCAAGCCTTTGTACTCAGAATAGTTGACGTATTCATCCCCGAACGCCCAAGAAAAGTGTATGAGTGCTAGCAGAGCTTGGAAACAAAAGTTCATTTGCACCTCTCAGATCTTTTAAATTCTAAGTCTGGGCTTTCTCAAGCAATCAGACTTTATAAAGAGTCAACTGACTTGATTCCAAGCTCTGCTGAAGAAATCTTCATTGCGAAACTTCTCTGAAGAACTTGGCCTGTCTCGAATTTCCTGCAAAAAACTTGAAAGCGCTCAAAACCCCCGTCTAGCCTCAGCTGTTTATTCGCACAGACTGCTCATCTCTCCAACATCATCACTCGGTTATTTCTAGCGTAACGAATCCCAAATGAAACATAAACATTATCTCTTACTGTTCTAACTAGGTTTGCCAGGAAGGGCTGACGTCATCGAAACTAGAACTTATTCTAGCCACGACTTCGTGAACAATCACTTTCTAACGAAGCCGGACGCGGCTAAACAAGCTCCCTTCAAATCTCCGACAGTGTGAAAATATATAATCATACCCACAGAGCCCGTTTTCTAGGACTAATCGAAAAAAAGAGCATCCACGATTTTGGACGTAATTCGACTCTCTTTTTACATAAGTACCACTCGAGGCTTTTAGGAAAATCTTATACGCATTACGCTCACTTAACTAGTGCTTATCGCCATTAAAAGCCTTAACTGGCCCTTGTAAAACGTTTTCTAGCGTACTCCGTCTAACAAGCTTGGCGAATATTTACGATACTCTGAATTATTTTTACTGGTAAAAATGATAAGTAAACACTGGTTTTGGTTGGAAAAATCTTCTATTTCGACTTATTTCTGCAGAAAATGGACAGTCTAGCTAAAGATGACTCGGCGGATCTGATCCTGTGAGAAGATTCCACGGCAATTCGGGCACCAGTTATCATCGAGTTGGTCCAGACAGCGAGCGCAAATGACATGTCCGCAAGGAAGGGACTTCATTGCTCTGGAATCATCGTTGAATCCAGAATAGCATACTGAGCACTCTTTCCGGGCCTCGTCATCTGCTAAAAAAGAAAAATTAATTCAAACCCCTAAAATTTAGGGCATTAACAAAATACTTACTATCTTCATCTTCCGAATATTTAGCAATCGCCTCTACTACTTTGGCGAGTTTAGCTTCGTTCTTCTTCTGAAGTTCCCAAAGCTTGCGCCCTTCTTCGAGCAACTTCGTCCTTTCTTCTTCAAGATTGTCTTATAAAAGTTTATTTATGATGTAGCACGCAAATATAAAATATTTTAACTTCCTTCCTAATTCCATCTTCTCTCGGGCATGACGGCAGCAAGAATGGGTCCACCAAAGATCAAAGTATAATGAAGCACAAAAAAGGCTTCAATCACTCGATTTTTCTAATAAGTTGTCTTACGGACAATATAATAAAAGATATATTCAAGATTTATTCTTTGCAAATGATTGGAGCCTTTTGTCCGCATTCTTTCACAGGGCATCCGAAAATGATTTCCTCTCCTTCAAATTCCTTGAAGTTAGTTCCCTCATCAAAACCCACGCATTCTTCACAGACGTACTTATGGCCGCACTTGTAATTGTCACTAGGTAAACAGCTACAATCGATCGCCAGAAGCTTTTTGGGACAACTATTTATTAAATATAAATCAATTTTGAATTATTCTATATCATTAGTAATAATTAAATTATTTACCCGTCACATTGATTGCAGAAACGATCCGAGTACAAAGGCAAGAGAAACTCTTTTTCAATGTACTTTGGCTTCTCTGACATCTTCGAAATCAAAATAAAATCGCAATAAATGTCGAATTTCTCAGTGAAAGTGGCGTCAAACTTAGCTTTTTCCGCGTCGAGAGCCAGACGATCAAATCTAGAGTTTTCCCTCGCGCTGATTGACGCGGCGTACTTTTTCTAGATTTCTTATTCGAGAATTGAGCA